GAGTACTGGGGACAGTGCTATCCTCCGCCTTCTGTCAGGCTCGGCCGCCCGCCTTTACTGCGGCAAGCGCAGCTAGAAGCACTCCAATTATACCTCGATGGGTGACCCGGCGCCTATCTGGAGGAGATGCAGCAGTGCTTATACAACGATTACGACGTGGAGTGCTCTCTATCGACAGTGTGGCGGGCTTTGGAGAAGCTTCACTACAGCAGGAAGCTGGCTACAAAGCGTGCGATTGAGCAAAGCGAGCCACTCCAGAGGGTGTACAGAGCGAGGATGCAACAGTACAAGGCGGAGTAAATCATTGCGATCAATGAGAGCGCTTGCAACAAGAGGACTAGCGACTGTAAGTATGGTTAGAGTAGAGTCGGCACGCCTGTTGAAGTAGCTTACTCTATAAAACAGAGTGAGCGATGGTCACTTCTGCTAGCAATAACAGTTAATAGATACCTCAGTTACACTATTTTTTTAAGTTTAATTACCTTAGAGATTATGGAGGACTTCCTTAAACGCTCTATGTTGCTATATACAATACCTAGGTACTCTGTCATTGTACTAGACAACGCCTCTATTCATTAATCAACTCAGGTTCGTGAGCTTTGTGCGATGTACAAGGTGGAGCTAGAGTACCTTCCACCATACTCACCTAACTACAATCCGATTAAGAAGAGCTTTAAGCAGCTGAAAAGTTAAATTAAAAGACACTCTAATAATTAGGCTTTGTACAACAACTTCTAAATAGCTGAGTTGCAATGCGCTGATGCTGACTAGATGCTGCTAGTGTTGTAGGTGCGGGTGCCTCCTGTGTTAATTTAGGTGCTGGCTTATCAATTTTCTGCCAAGTTAACCTTCTTGTAGGCATCACAACACCACAAAAAGTCAAGATACTAATAATATTAAGCTTCTATTATCCTAGAAGGAGCAGCAGCCAGCTCTGTTGTTATTAAACACTAAATTTAGCTAAGAAAGCAACATTGACATCGTCCGCATCTTCCGCGCGCTAAATCACATGATGTACATGGTATTTCGAAAATCACCCATATGCAGGAGCGCTCGTGCTCGTGCTCAGGATCTGTACCATCAACCACCAACAGTTGACAACAGCGCACAACACTCTGGAAATACTTGACTACCTATGCCGTACTGCTAATTACAAACACGATTAGACCGATTCGTGCATGGGTTTGACGTACTTCTTAGCTACGGCACAGCACAGCTTTGACACCTTCTCGCATTAGCCTCGCTGTGCCGGCCATGAGTATACCGCTGATAATTCCATGACGAACACATTGATATGTACCGATGGAAAGAAACGAGTTCGCGTTGGAACTCCTATCAATGACGTTGAGCTGGCCGAACATCTGTGGCCAATCGCCATCCGCTGTTGGCTATCCAGCGATCAGAAACAATGAGCTTCGTCGCTCACGACTCGTGTTGTGAACTAGTGAGCTCGTCCATGTAATCACAGGGGTCTTCGCCGCACCGTGGGGTAGTTGTATGCTCTGCTAATGGTTCCGCTGATTGGGCAATTCGACGTTCCACAAGGGCGTCCCTTTGCAATGAGCAGCGGTGAACGTCATGTTCTGATGATCCAGCCATGGCGGCCTCAAATATAAGCAATGATAAGGTAAGGGGTTGAGCCGTGCTGTGCCGTATAAGTTTCTTCTCGAGAAGGGGTGGCCGCAGCAATATCTTTCAATGCCTCTCAAGAGGAGCTTCGCACTGAACACCAGTGAGCGGACTCGAGAGATCATCATCTTCCTTCCTTCTAGTCTCCCTCAGTACCATTTTACAATATTGTGTCTTCGCCTATGATCGTAGTAGTATCTTGCTCGCCGAACCAATGAGCGCTCGATGGGGAGGGCAATTTGGCCCGTATCAAGGCTAGCATACAGGAAGCCAAAGCCCGAGGCGCAAGCCTTCCCGTTGGATCCAAGCTCGAGGTGTGTATCGCATGCTTCCTTTTCCACTCCTTAGTCAAGCAGTTCGACGAGTTGCAAGAACAGAGCACTGATTGAAGCTAGATTTGTGGATACGGCTGCCTTGACCACTTCCTAGAAGACGGCATCTATACAAATTCTTGGCATATGTTATTAGACATCCTCGAGGATGAGGCCTGTCACGCAATACTTCTTGACATCGGCATGCCGGTAAAGCATGAACAACAGCGCCTCAATTGGTAGGGATGACATACTCAATTTCTAGTCAACTCTAATTCGACAAAGTCGCATCATTGCGCTCGACGGCAACGTCATCTTGATCTGCCCCAAGCTGTGGCTCGCAAATGAAGGCAATTATCATGAGGCAAGATACTTCGACGCATGGAGTAAGATTGTTCGCTTCCTTCTCCATTATCGGATGGTGTAGCTTACAAGTGGACAGGCAAACCCGCTTACCTCGAAGACTACCACCTATCCCCACAAGTTGCAGCCGTTCTTGGCTCCAGAACAGTACCGATCGGAGACGCCGTCATCTCGACTCGAGATGCAGTGATATACTGCGAGGATCTTCTCACTCCGGCGTCACATCACGATCTACTGGTCAAGAATGGGGTCGATGTCTTCAACATATCGTCAGCTTTCTAACAGAGCGTCGGAAAGACAGCTGATCTGCTCCAGGGTATGCAACAGTCGTTGAGGGACAATGGAGGCGTGATCGTATATGCAAACCAGAAGGGATGTGATGGCGACCGCTTCTACTACGGTGGCAAGGCTGCAGTGATCGTGAATGGTACCATTGCATCCCAAGCACTGCAGTTCAGTTTGAACCACGTGGAAGTGGCTGTGGCTACGATCAACCTCAGTCAGGCCCGGTGCTACTGTGACGATATTGGAAGAACAGATGGCATGAAACATAAAGGATCAGCTTACAGAGGGGTGAAGATCGACTTCAACCTGTCTAAGCCTATGGACGGAGCCAACGGCAATGGTAACGGTAACGGCTGCTACCACACGCGTCAGCTTTTGCAAACAAACGGCATCGAAGAAGAACTCGTCTTGGGTCCAGCTTGTTGGCTCTGGGATACGCTTCGGCGCAGCAGGGCGGCAGGCTTCCTGTATCCCCTCAGTGGAGGCATAGACTCATGCTCGACTGCGACACTAGTATACGCCATGTGTCGATTCGTCATAGCTGCGGTTGAAGAGGGCAACCAACAGGTTGTAGCAGATTTCCAACGCATTATCAGGGATTCGGACGCTGGAGAAGAGTGACTACCCAGCGTACCGGAGGAGCTCTGCAACTACCTCTTGCACACCATGTTCATGGGCGTCACTGCCCACTCATCAGTGGAGACTCGCTCCCGCGCACAAAAGCTTGCTGACAGCATCGGTGCTTACCATTTGGACATGTAAATTGACGACTTGTTCACTGCTCAGAGGAATTTGCTCGGACGGTTCGCCAAGTAAGAGCCGAAGTTCAGTATCTACGGAGGCAGCGAAGCGGAGAACCTCGCGCTTCACAATATTCAAGCACGAGGACGCAGGGTGACAGCATACTACTTTGCTCAAACACTACCAACAATCAGACAAAGACAAGAAAGCGGTGGACTTCTTGTTCTCGGCTCAGTCAACCTGGAAGAGTGCCACCGGGGCAATGTGACGAAGCACGACTGCAGTTCAGCGGACCTTAGCGTCACAGGCGGTACATTGAAGTTGGACATCAGGAGCTTCATTCGCTGGGCGCAGACAGCCTTCTCTCTCGCCATCCTGGGTGATTTCCTAGACGCACTACCCACCGGTGAGCTTGAACCTCGACAATCATCCCGTGTGGAGTCTAATGAGAAGGACATGGGCATGACTTATGAGGAGATATTCGCCATGGCGAAGCTACGCAAAGTAGAGCGTATGGGTCCCGTCACGATGTTCGAGCGGCTGCTAGTCGACTGGCGCGAAGAGAAGACCCCACAAGATATCGCCGTCCTGGTGAAGAGATTCCACCACTTCTACGCTATTAACCGGCACAAGATGACGACAATGACCCCCGCCTACTATGCCGCCGACTACAGCGCTGAAGACCCCAGACCCTTTCTGTACCCTGACTTCCAGGACGGCTGGGCCTGTAAACGCATCGACGCGATACTTGCTAACATCGAGGGAAAGAGCGAGAAGCGCAAGGACTCGGTGCTGCAGCCTTAGTGAGTCACTCTATACGACCATTGGCTATTCACAATGTACACGATCTCAAGTCGCGGAGGTGGCGCTACGCTTAATGTGACCGATTGACGAGTGCCACGTCCGTCTTCCCGAAAGCAAGCTCGCTGTCTTTAGTAGACACGGCGCACGTGTCCGTCGTGTTCGTTTTCGCCTCCTCACGATCGTTGATCAGCGGGCGCTGTGGGCAAACGCTTCATAGTGATCGGCTGCTACAAGACGTTGAATTTCCGAATGTGCTTGTGAGCATGGGCAAGAACTTTTCTCGAAGTATGAGATGCTGCTTGCGGTGGGCTTGCAGGATACGTTAGCCTTTAGCTATACTGCAGTCGCAGATCGTTCCGTGATCGACGTCCCCTAATCAGAATTGACGTCAAGCACGTGGAGTTCCGTGGATGGCATTGGGTTCATAGGTAGATGTCAAGATCATGGACTGCATCATTGCCGAAGCGATAATTGGAGTTTGGTCGATTTGGTTAGAGATAGGGATCGGCCCTCACAATCCGAGGCTCTGGAGTTGGTCCGGACCGTTGCCACGGAGTCGTCTACTGTCTCCAGCACTGCGTCACAGTGCCCATGTGTACATTCGATCTGTTTGTCGGTCTCAGATCGTTGGTGCACCCTTGTGGGTTGCTACTGCAAGCTTGTAGGGTTGGTGTCGGCGACCTGAAGCTGCAGGTCCGAGTCTGAACGGCATGCAGATTTTGTGACGCCCATACGCACCACGCAAGCACCAAGAAGAAAGCGGACGATGCCGTTTCTCAACGACACCTGCAGCTGCTAGTAAGTAAGCAAAGGTCAGATTGCAGACTCTGCCATAGTCATTTGTCAGCGGCGAAACAGTGGCTGAACATGGGCTTGCTAAAGCATTGCAGCGCTACGTGTGAAAGCATTAACGAACTACTGGGGACTGGCAGTGAGAGCATTTGTAGTATTGATTATTATTAATAAGACCAAGTTTTCTTGTAAGAGTGTGCTACGAAGAGAAGGGTGAGGAAAGAACGGTCCTGAGACGGGCCCTGCCATCGTACAGACGCCACAAAGCCCCAAAGTAACCCTAGGATGAAGTATGTACGAAAGGAAAGAATTTTAAATGGAGATAGATCATCGGGCAATGCCAGCTAGTCTTGGCTCACGCCTAGAGCCCTGCGAGCTGCGGCTACGCTGAGGAGAAATGTGCTGATGCTGGCCCCAGGTCTCCGCATATTCGATCGTCTCGGTTACGCTAGCTCTTCTGCTGTCCCTGAAGGGATTGCTGTGAGAGAAGGAAACACGGCGATCGGAATTAGAACTCTTGGTGCGTTTTGGGGCAACTGCGTAATCGACAGCCACAATACCCTCGGCCTCTGCTTGCTCGAAAGGATCGACATGCTCAAGAGAATCGATGTGCTCACGGGCGAAATCGTTGGGCGTCCGCCCTGCACCGACAGTGCGAACAGTTAGGCTGCGTCCAAGACCCCCAGCGCCAGTACCAACAGCCATTTGGGTTTCCTCGAGGCGCACGATAACTTCGACAGCCTTCTCATCTTCGATGACCTTGGGATGACGCTTGGCGAAGTATCGAGCGTACTTGAAGAGTGACCAATAGCAGCTGGCTACGTTGACGACGGTGAGGATCATCTTGTAGGGAAGATAGTAGACGTAGACGAGTTGCCAGCCGAGGCGTTCGTTCTTGCGGCGCAGGTGGACCTCGTTGAAGATGACGGTGTTGACCAAGTACATGGCGACGGTAACACCAAGCAGGATACCAGCGAAGCTGGGCCTGACAATGAAAGAAATCGGAAGAATGAAAGGGGAAAGGAGGTAGAGGAGCGTCTCATAAACCTCCTGGAAAACAAAGATTTTGGCGCCAATCTCCCACCAGCCGAGCTTCCAGCTGCAGAGTATGTATGCCATGTTGTAGTACATGCCGTTGACAAAGAAAAAGTTCCAGCGCTTGAAACGCTGCTTGAAGATAGTCATCTCACCGAAACCACCGCGAGCACCGCCGGATGAGAAGAAGACGGCGCTTGGTGTTTCAGTCTCGACGAAGACTTGTGAACACATCTTGATCCGAGAACCAAGCTTGCGAGCAACATGACCGAAGAACCAGTCCTCGGAGACACTGAACCCAGGATGCTCGTGGAAGGTTTTGATAAGGAGATCGCGGTCCCAAAGAGCGATGGCGCCATGGGGGAAGGTGGCTGAGCCGACCTTACCAGCGAATTCACGCTGAATGCCGCTCAGTTTGTACTCAAGATCCTGCGCCTGCTGGCACAAGTTGCCCTTGGAAGAATTAGGTCCCACGGACTTGATTGTGTACCCCAAGCACATGACATCTCCTTTCAGACGATCGGTGACGACAGGAAAATTGTCGGGTAAGGCGCAGTCGTCGTCAATGAGTAGTACGTTCTTGAAAGCTTTGGCCGCATAAGCACCGACATATTGCGCGACGATCTTCGACCCAATGGGGCACCACAGATGGTTGACTCCGTAAGGCGCGCACACTTCCTCGGTGTTATCTAGAGGTGTGGGGCTGTTTCCGTTGGCGAGAACGAAGATGTGCGATGGCGGAAAAATCTTCAAGGCTGCTTCTAAAGTGGCTCCAATAAGCTGGGCAGACTTGTAGCAGGGAATAAGAAGTGCAGTATCCTTGACGTTGTCCTGAATCTTGGTCTCGGCAGTGAACTCGGCTGGTGGGGGGTCGTTCTCGAAGACGATGAGGAGAGGTGCAAAGGCGTAACTACAGCTTCGTTAGTATTTCGCAAGGCCAGGGGGCAGTGCCAATACTTACAACAAGGCAATACCGAGGGTGATGCTGAAACCGCCAGCAAAGACGAATTTGTTCTCGACCACCCAGTACAACCACCACACAGCTCCGTTCCACAAAGGCCTGCCAATGAGGACAAAGTAGATGAAACACAGCAAGAGAAGGTAGATGCTGTACTCAAAAGCAATCTGCACCCACTTCTCTCTCTGTAGCTCAGCCCCTCGCTTCTTAGCATGCTCGTAGGTCTTCCATACGGAACCTTTGCGTTGAAGGCCGTTGAAAGAGGCATTTGTCATTCTCCTTGCAAGCGTCTCAGGGACGATAGCATCGACTATGGAGCCGAATGTGCCTCTCCGTGGCCTCTGACCAGCAGGCGCATAAGCATGTTCTGGCTCCTTATAAATCTTCTCGCTCATGTCGCCAGAGTTGGGGCGAGTCGCAAATGGGTCGTCATTGGACCAGATCGAACTGCGGCTGGAGTCGTTGACGTTGCATGGTGATTCGAAAGGGTTGGTGGTCGTCATACGTCCTGGTGTGCGAAGTGCAGGTTCCATTACACTGTTTGATCTTGAGATGGTAAGAACCTCCTCCTCACCAGGTAGCCAGGACTGATATCGGCTTTTTTTCTGTGCCACAGTCTCTGTTTTAGCTGACGGTGATACAACATCTTCTTGCTGGGGTTTTCCGAACGTTACTGAACGGCGACCCGAGCGTTGTGAGTTCTGTATATTGCGCCTGGCTGATATTCTAGGACGAGAGGTTGGTCGGCTGTTGAGACGATGTGCGAGACTTTCTTTCCTGATCAAGCTTTCTTTTCTCCCAACGAGCCCCTTCTCCTCGTCTGCCATCAACAGCTGCTGTGGCTCCCATGCCAAGTCGTGGTTGGTATCTCGCACTGAACCGAGATTGCCGGTGGCTCGGAGAAGATGAGCTGGGATAGCAACATCTTCAAGAGGTGCTGAATAGGATTGGCGATATGATTGATGATTGAAGGTAGCATGCGGGTTCGGCTTCTCGTTGGAGGCGCCAATACCATACTGTGGTTGAGCCATTATAAAATTAAGATATTGTATAGTTTGTAGTCAGGGGTGGGGGGGAGTAACAATAGGTGTATATAGAACAACCCGGAAGCCCAGGAACCTAAGGCCAGCGGCAAACTTGCATCACCCATGAACATTTGAGCTTTATGGGGCTCCTCCAATGGTCAAGCTCATAGTATCCACGCTGTCTGTCAAGGCTAGCTTAAGGATCCTTGTAAGTTGTGGGCTCTGCTCAGGCTCCATCAAGACAGGACTTCGATGTCGGGGAGGCAGATCGGAGCTAAGCAAAAGAAATTCACAACGGACCGTATGTAGGCTCTGTAGACCCGCACGGAGGGTCGGGGCCTGCAGTGCTAATTTGCAAGCTACTGCCTCAAACCATAGCCTCTCAAGACGGCGACAACTCGACTATACACGCCATGCCGTTTCCACCTCATAATTCAGGAACCGTCATCCTAACTGCGATGCCTGTCTTGCGGATGCCAAGATTCAGTACTCATCGACCTTGGTTTGGAAGCTGTGCATCTTCGGCGCAATAGACACTTCTCCGTATGTTGAGATTTGAATGACCAAAAACTGATTTAACCCCGAGTAATACTCTGTTCGGCACGCCGAATTCGCATCATGGAGAACGTCGATGTGCAGCAGCCTCAACGTTAGGTGGTGTAGCATCGGAGCTTGCCCCGTCACTACTACGGTAGCGCATCAGCGAAATTCTGACAGAGGATGGACGTTTGAGGGCGCGGCGCTATAATAGAGATCGCCGCACAACCAAATTAGGTCGAGCAGGGGTTACAAGAGAAGTCCTAAGACTCGTTTAGTACGCACCTTGACGTCGCTTGCTTTGCTTTGGCGGACCGATGAATCTCGCCGAGGCACCCACCCTCAACTGCCGCTAAAAGACCGAGCCTGCACACTAGAGAACAGGTACGGCTGTTTCACACTCTCTTCGACAGGGTGTACCTAGGTAGTTTAAGGGATCCGTCCTCACGGATCAAAAGAGAATGTTGTGGACCCTCCAGACAATGGCATTGTTGTGCTGAGAGTCTCAGCATGAGACGGCGGATATCGGTGAGCAGGGTTTCTCTCATGTCGTTCTTGGGCGCCGCTGCCGCTGTGCGCGCATTGCGACAAGTATTAAACCACGTGTAGGACTCAATCCGACCGGGCGCTGCTTCAAGGTTGATCCTTCTGGTCTTGTATTTCAAGCCTTGAAGAGACGCTGCGGGAGAGGGGACGGGACGGATGTCTATCATGGTTTTAAGAACTACGGGACACCAATAGAAGCTGTGCGGTGAACCCCAGTAGGAGCTTGACTACACATATGTTACGATGGATGATGAGATCTCGACGTTCAATCCCGAAGTCGGTCGAGTTGCTGGCAAGACGGGCCGGTGTTGATCTCCATGAGCCCGACTGAAATCAATAGACCACAGCTTCAGTGCACAATACGTGAAATGTTGATCCTGTCTCCTTCTGTGTTGATCCTTCGTCGTGCTGCTCTCTCGGTACAATACCTATGTTGTAATAGGGGCAGAAATCTTACTAGAGTGCTTGCAATGAAGTTGCTGTTATCAGCGAGGCCGAGTGCGTCCGCTGACAGCCTGCTTGTACGTTAGTAGCGCAAACTTCCGTTAATCCATGTCTGGTGACAGGTACCTGGTAGGCGTTGGTACAAGGACCACTTATTTTACGCAGCCCTGACCTTGCAGGTTGAAACTTCATGTTCTGCATTTGAATATCAAGCTTGAATTGCCACACCTGCGCATGCCGTAACACGGCAATGTGAGCGCCATATAGACTTCCATGTTGCTGGTGGATTCTGTCATAGACGCCACAGGGTTGCGCGACTGCCTTTTGTGCTGCGGTCGAGGTGACAATTGCGGAATCCTGAAGCAGAACAAGGTGATGCTAATGCAGCCGTCGATCTGGCATCGGCACTGCGCGATGCAGCACACTGTAAATTCTCGGCATGTCGACTGTTGAGCACCCCGGTGGATGCAAAGAAGACTAGGCCAGCCTACGCAGGTCTGAGAAGCTGTGTCTGTCAGCAACTCCACCCATCAATACTGCGAGGCGCTTCTCAAGCGATAGTCGGCGACGTAAGATGGTCGGTGCTAGTCTCTCGCAGCTGTACGTAGACCATAGCAATTACGATGTTGACCGCGCAAAAGCGCTAAGAATAGAATGCACACAATGAGGTTGGAGCTGCGCTGGGCGTCCTGAAATCTCGGAGAATACACACGTGTGTAACCTGTCGAATTGGCACGTTTGAGACAGAGGCTGCATTCTGGGCAGTAAACGTGCTCTTTCCGAACGCCGTCAGAGTCTGCTTGGGCACGCGACTGAATAGCGTCCTTGCGGCTGCACTTTCCGAACATCCCGTAGCCGATACCAGTATCGCTTACGTCAACCTCGTGAGGGTGGATTGCCCGGAGATTTGCTGCGGACATTTCAACCTCACTCACAGCTGCATTGGGTACTATCATTTCATTGTTTACGATGTCTACATACGCTTCCGAGTACCCGTCGGTTGAATTCGACTCCGCTTACGAGAAGTTCTTCGAGAAGTTCTACGCTACATCAGACACTCCAGATGCGCACGAGAAGTACATTGAGAACTTCACCAGCGATGCGACCCTGATTATGGCGTCGAAGAAGGTCAAAGGGTCAGACGGTATGCTCTGCTGCCACACTGCTGTTCTGTCTACAGACTCATGACGCTCAGAGATTCTTGCGATGCGTAAAGGGATGTGGGAAAAGGTTGCTAGCAGGAAGCATAAGGCTGTCAAGATATTTCCCTTTGGCCCCAACTCTGATGAATGTATGCTTTATGGAACCGTCCAATATGGACTGAAGGCAGGTGGTGACTCGGCCGTTGATTGGGCAGCAAGGGCGCACCTGGTAAAAGACGGTGGACAGGTCAAGATGGACTTCTACCAGGTTTATCTGGTGAGTAATTGTTCCCTGATGCGGATGAAACTGACCGGGGCCAGGATACGGGCGCCCAAAACAAGTAGATTGCTAGTCATAGACATGTTCGAACGATGTAATTCTTCGTGACATCACGCTGGAATTTGGCTGTGAGCGTCATGGTGAGGTGTGTAGCTCTCTAATGCTCCTACAGAGGGGTCAATCAGAATCTCGGTAAAGAGGAGTAACCGCTCAGCCGACTAGCTTCAGCCAGGCGTCTTGAAGACGCATACATACTGCTGAAAGGTCAGCTCAACGTGAGAGACCCCGGGCTGGGGCGTCTCCAGACTCAGCAGCTGCGGATTCTTCTACAGGTGTTGCCGCAACCCAGATTTCCATCAACAACTGCCCGACTGGCACAATCGGTAGCGCGTGAAACTCTTAATCTCAAATTGAGGGTTCGATTAGTACACCCACAGCTCAGGCGCTCGAAACTTCATCCCGACCCTCGCACAGAGCCCCTCGGCTCATGGCCCACGTCAGCGCCTAGCAGATACTCATTCGGGGTTCAAGCACCAGCGACGTCTATTTCACTGTAGCGAATTCCTGTTACGGGCATTTTTGCATGAAATGAGTTGGATTGCTCTTCAAGTTGTCGAGATGTCGTATTTTTTGTTCCCGCGAGGTGCGGAGCGGTGAAGATCCTACTGACCTTACCTTGGCTGACGTGCTGATGCACCACTCGCTTTCGGTGCGGACTCTCGTCTGTGTCAGCATTGACGCCTTTTCTTTTAGAGAGACTCGCGCACGTTGTTTTGACCTCGGGCAAATTACACGTCGACAAGCACATGCATCACTGTCAGTGCACGGCAAGGACGTAGTGGGAGCCTCCTGTATCCTGCCTACTCTTGCCCCCTACACTCCGGATCCGCGGAGCACACCTGCACGATTTGTACATCTCAATCACGATCAAATTGAATCTGCCCGAGGATCGACGATATCTACGAATACTTCGTACCAGCGAAACGTTAGAAACCCGTAACATCGATCAACAACACATATATTCTATCCATTCTTGTCGAGCGCTCCGTCGACTTACTCGCCCACCGTCACGCTCAACGAAGCAATCGCATCGCGAATCCGGTGAAACAGCTCCGACGCAAATGTATTCGACATGTATGCTCCACTGATCATCGTAATTGGTGATCTGAAGATGCAATTCGAAGTTTTCGAACACGACAATCTCGCATGGTCCGCTAGCTCTGTGAAACATTGGATGGCTAGGTAGTGCTCGACTTTCAACAATTAGTGTGTATCACAGCACACGTCGCATACACACGTGCTCTATCATCCCATGTGCTCTGGGTAGTTAGAGAACTCAGTCGCAGGCCACAGATCCCCGAAAAGCCACGACCTAATCAAAGCCCTAACGGCTACGATAATTTCCGTTTCATAGCGGACAACTTCTACTATTCGAGAGGATGCACTTGCGAAAACCTAGCACTGCAAGCCTTACACCACGCGTAGGTCCTCCCTTCCTCGGCTGCTAAGTTCATTGCTGCGACCCAACAGAGTACGCACGGTAGATGTCCATATTCATCGCTGTACTTTGACTGGGCTATCATCTTTATCGGCTTCTTCTTCTTCTTTGATACGGCTGTCTCGCACTTTTAGGCAGATCGCTAGCCTCTTAATTCGACGGCTGCGACGACGCGGTGAACGTAACGTTCTAGTCGATTTCGTTTTCTCTAGAATAGATGCCATGTAAGCTTCCTTCTCTGATCAGTCCATGGTATAACGCCTGGCCATTAAGAGGAGGGGAATCCAGATTCTTTAATATATTGCCTTTGCCACCCCGCCATCCTTCCTGTGAGAGGGCTGATGTCGCCTGGAAACCCGCGTTATCCTCCCCCACTACCAGTGGCTGTGTTTCCTTGGGCTGATGCGGCTGATTTTGCAGAACTCGACTGCCTCCACATTGCCAGATTTTGCGGAAGGCAGGTGGGTTGTGCTTTCCTTATCCAACAATGACGACGTGCGCGCGCGTTGGCGCTTGGCTCGCCTTCACCTGTTCTATACAACCTCACCGTCGCCCTGGGCGAAGTTGTACCCGCGCACCTATTTTTCCGTTCCCATCTCTGTTCCTACCTCGTCCGTTAATCTCATTTCACACACGGTCCGCGTCGAGGCTTGACTTTGAGACGGGCAGCAGTCACGCTGCAGATGGCTGTGCCCACGTTATTGTCTCTCGCGGCTCGACTTCCATGACTTCTATGATGCAGAGCTTCTCGATGTACAGCAGGGTGCGAATGAAAAGGGGCTCCACGCCACCTGAACAGTGCATCGGTCGTCGCTTACTCGGTCACCAGGGCACGACGCACGCTGTGCAATCACATGTCCCCTATCGCACGAGGGGAGAGCAGTCCGACTATGAGCCCAACACCATCTCAGAATACGAAGACGAGCCTGGTAAAGAACTCCCGGACAACTCTGACCACAACAAAGAAACCAGTAAAGTAGATAGAGACCTTCTGGGTATCTCTAATTACGACAAAAAATACTGCTAAAGCAGGTGCATCAACTATCACGATGGCAGTCTGCCCCCGACGAACTTGACTATATCGAAGACATGTACGGGAGAGGCCGGGGAAGAATAATGGGCCAGCAGTCCAGTGCATCTGAGCCAGATGACGATGGAGGTGATGAACATCTTCAGAACGCCCCTGGGAATGAAGAAGAGGGTGCATAAGAACGTGAAGAACTCCAAGACACCTCAGAGCACGACTGAGATGCCAGTAAAGCGGACAGAGAGCTCTCTAATATCTTCGAATACAACAAAAGTACCGCCAAAGTGGCTGAATACCTCCAGAGCTCGAGTAGACACCCCTGGATGCGCCAGAGGGCGCGGAGTGCTCTGTCATGCACCGCAGCAGACAGATGAAGACGTCCAGGACTTTTGTGAACAACAGTCATTCCCGTACACGATGCTCCTGGACCAGCAGATACAGCCTATCTCCCTGCCGATGGAAGTCCAGCAAGACAGCCCTGCACCGTCCTCATCCTCAGCATTTCCAAGTTATAGTATGACGGAGGCCAGCTTCCCAGCAAACTCTGACTGGAATGAATTCGCTCGCGTTCATGAAGAGAACGCTAACGCTGATCTTGAAGTCCTCTGGCCCACAGAAGACTAAGGTCAAGCCGAGGTAGATGGCGAAGAGGGAGAAGATGATAACCCTACTTAGACTTCAGCGTGAGGCACTCAAGCAGCCGCGGACCCCGAACAGCGCTCATTTGATGAGACATGAGCTGCGAGTCACAGAATCCCATAGCAACTACAGTAGACGTCCAACAGACGAGGCAGCCCCTACCTGACGATGCGAGCGCCGAGCCTGCTCATGCTTCAGATACGTTGCATCCTCAGATCTCATGAGGATCGCGCCTAAGTCACAGTCCGCACAATGATGATAGACATATCGGCTGTCGATCTCTCGTCTGATAAGGTATGCGCCGGGAGGGAGGCGCCGTAAGCCCTGTCCTAATGCAACGATGACAGACGCAGCAGCCTCTCCGGTAAGATTATTCTAGCCAACTAAAAAACAAAAAGGTAAAATCATCTGATGAGAGATGCGCCAGGAGACATGTCCATGGAGTGAGGGTACCTCCGCCTTGCGAATACTATGGCTGCCTCTAGGTTTGATAGTTAGTCCAACGAATTGAAGTGAAAGATCCACAAATCGGCGCCTGCACACGCTTGTTTGGAATGTGTCGTCAAAAGCGAGCGATTCAGACGTGATGATGACGAGACAGAACACTCACCTGAGGCGGTGACAAGATCTGATCATCTATGCTCTCGATGACGCCGTAAACGCAGATTTTCACCCGGACTGTTTGGACGTCCCATAGATCATCCTATAGGACCAGGTCCAAGGAGAGCCTCTGCCCGCGACAAGGCACCGGAGCTTGGTGAGGAGTGAGGTGTCATGCACTCTTCGGTGTCGCAGTGCTCGTTGTCGATGCCATAGCGTTTCACCGATTAGAGATCCTAGGCCCATGGTTTTTTCCATGTCCCCGGGAAACCTTGGTGACTAGAGTACAAATCCTTGATCGTCTCCAGAAGTTCCCAATGTTCGCAAAGATGCTGAGTTCAAACACTGGCTGCATCCCATATTTCCGTGGATCCAAGAATGCAGGGCTTGCAGTTGGGCCAAATTTTGTCCTTCTCTTGAGCCAACCGTTTATAATACTGCCCCAAACAAGTGAACCTAATCGTGATTTCATCACAGTACACGTTCGATTCCATCTCTTCCAACGCGATGCCGTGAACTGTGCACCGTGTGGTCGTACTGCCCTTGTCATGTGACCTGTCAAGTTGGTTTCAGGCAAATGTGGTTCTTAGTTAAGGAGAAGTGCTCCAAACGCGTGCTCTGCCAGACGCCGGGAGCGCGCCGGGGCCGGTCCAGCCTCAAACGTCTCTGACGAGTGGGAAGGCGACCCGATCTGGCTGTCAACGCTATGGCATAGCTACCAGACCTAGGTTTGTGTATATCGGGTATGGCTCGAGAAACGAGGCCTAACGCGACGGTTGTGCAGGGTTGCACAGAGCAGCAAGCGTACAAGACGCACTATGATAATAAAAAATGCCGGCCAGGGTTTCCTGGTAGACACAGTTGTGTTTGTTGTGGCCGTATCCATGGAAGTTGGTGTGTTTCGTGCGAGCCGTTCTCAAAAATACAACGGAATGGCGAAGAGCACAATCGCCGTTGGCCTACGCCGTTGCTGCTTCTCGAATCTGCGTCGACGCACAGCACACAGTCTGGTCTCCCAGAAGTGGTGATCGTGCCCATTTCGCCGTGGTGCATGCGCAGGGCTGTCTCCCCCGAAATTGCGCAGGGGATCTCACGGCCAAGCACGAATCACAGCGCTCCAGGCCCTCAGCGCTGCCTCCCTTCTCACCCGCAAGACAACTCCTCCGCGTTCCCAGCTCGCTGGACTCGAAGGCATCCTCAGCTACTGGACGCTGGGCACAGTGCGCTGCAGAGCCATTCGGTCGCTAACATTCACTTGGTCTCTTTCGTTCAGCAGTTTGCTTTTTCTATTCTGCGCGACCAGCAGCTGCAGGGAAGTGGCTTTGGTTCACGGCCTCGTGCATGCAGTCCCCCTCCGCACATTCCTTACAATCCTCCGCGCGCCTCCTTACTTCTTGAACCCGAATTTCGTCCCGTTCTTCTTCGCAGCGGCTGCAGTGCTGGACCTCGAGCGTCTCTGCGCCCCCGTCGTGGTCGCCAGCTCGCCGTTGCTTCCCACGATTATCCCAGCCAAGCGCTGGAAGCACTTCGCAACGTCGTCATCGCAACCGACCACCTGACTCGCCCACTGCTAAACAGCGCTCTTCGCCCTCGGACGCTGTGGTCGCCTCGCCATATATCCTGACCGCCGCCGGCCGCCCGTTCTATGGCCGCCTTTGCATCGTCCCGTCAAACACCGCCAGTCCAGCAGTTGACGCCGCCCAGCAGCTCGCACGGCGCTGCAGCATCTTGGGAGTTTGCCGTACCTCTGGACGGCTCGGTGCGTGTGCTCTCTTCTCCTCTTCCTTTTGTGGTCACCATGGCACACGACACTTTGAGGAATCGCCGATGCTAGCGCTCAGCGGCTGCAGCCGTCAATGATGGTGGCAGTAGCGCGAACTCAAAGCATGACTGCCCAAATCCACGACGTCCACGAGTCCATGCACACCCGCCGACATGAGACGTTGCTGACAGTATTTCCAGAGGCAGTCCTACGACCAAGAAGCATTCATGGCCGGCAACTCAGCAAACGGGTACAAGCCACACACCTCACACAACAATGGCTTTGCAAAGCCCGTTCGCTCGACGACCTGGGAATCGCAGGGTCAGTACGACGACGGCAGGGTGACGCAGGCCTCGGGACGTGCAAGCTCGCTGCACAAGAAGCCCAGCCGGGACGTCATCACCAGCGAACAGGACGGTGCGTACGGCAAGGGCAGCACCAAGGGCAAGATGGGCCCTCCTGCATCAGTCAGGGGCCGCGGTGCAAAGAAGTCTGCCACTGGTAGTCCCACCGATCTCGAAGCAGACCAGAGCAACTGGATACACCGAGACAAGCTGAAGGAAATCGAGATCAGGGAAATGGAGGAGGCTGGTTTCAGGATTGGACGCACAAGCAGATCAAACAGCCGGTCACAGAGCGCCACGCGACGGACACGCACCAACTCGGAACTCGGCGAGGGGAGGCAGAGTGGTGATGACCGTTACGAACGACGCGTCGTGTCTCCCATTCCCGCCGAGGACGAGGAAGCCTTGCACGAGCAGCGTTACCACACCTGGAGTCCAACGAACAGCGACGACCCGGCGCCCGAGATGCAGCCACCTTCGCGGACGAACCATACGGTGAGGCCCAGTACGTCTCGCATTCCTCTGCCGAAGACAAGCGGCATACCCGTGCCAGCAGCAGTCGCAGATCGAGAGGCACCTCTGCCGAGATCGAGAACAGGCAGCGCCAACTGGAACGGAGATATTGCTGCTGCTGGTGCACGCGTGCGAAGCGGAAGCATAGGAAGCCAGGTGCTCCTCGACGACTACACAGACGAGAAGCGGTACGGCCACCGCCGCGACAACTCGTCGTCGGCCAGCGCATCGTCGATGAAGCAACCCCCAAGATCACCAGTCAAGGCAAAGACGCCGGGCAAGCTAGCGGCTACTGCGGGCTCGAGGAAGACCAGCACGACTTCGCGCAACACAGCCAAGTCAAGGCAGGTTTCAGGCAATAAGCGTCCCGGCACAAGCGGCAATGCTGTTTCTCGCCCGACCACGGCTCATCGTCCAGAAGGAGAGGCGCCCTGGATCGCGACCATGTACAAGCCCGACCCACGGCTTCCACCGGACCAGCAAATCATTCCCACACACGCCAAGCGAATGCAGCAGGAGCAGTGGGAGACGGAGGGCCGAGTCGGGTCCATGTACGACACGGACTTCCGACTGCTCAACGCCGAGGAGATGGGCGGGCAGCGGCTGTCCCAGATCGATCCCATTGCGCTCGAGAAGGAGAGGGAGAGCGGGCAGTGGCCACTTGCAAGCTCGGACAAGCAGGCCTCAGGCTTGGACGAGAAGCTGGAGCCCATGGGCGACAGGTCTCCAGCGGTCGAGCAGCCTCAGTTCAAGCTCACACCTACGATCCCACAAAGCCCGCGAGTGCCGTCGCCGAAGCCAGGGTCGATCAAGCGAGCCGCAAGCGAAAAGCCCACGACGACGCGAGTGCCAGAAGCGGGCGAAGAGATTCCCGAGAAGAAGGGCAAGTGCTGCATCGTCATGTAGCTTCCGTTCCTGCATATACCCATTTCCTTTGCATGTTCAAGACATAGTACCGACCAAAACGTTTCTTTCCATGTACATGGCGTTCACGCGCGGGGGGTTCTATATTATATACCTCTGGCTTCGTTTCCACCTCTGTATTACCGGGCTCATAGCGTGCAGCGACCCCTCCTAGTTATTTTCTTCCTTTTCTAGATGATGGCACTTTTTCCACACGCGGCGGTGGACGGGTGTTTGCGTTTGTAGATATCAACTAGCACCGCGCCGAGATGCGGGCAGGCAGCGACGAGCCGATTTCGATATTCGTTATTAGGAGCCTTTGGGCGAACGGGGCACTCTGCATGAGACACGGGCGCAGATGATGCGGCTGCGGCTGGCCCAGAGCTGTTGCGATGGATGGAGAGCAGAATGTAGACACGTAATGAAGCTTCTTCTCCTTGGATCTGCGAGTTGCCGTGACGGTCTCTGTCTGGCAACCAGCTCGTTACTCGCGGCACGTGACTCGCGACTCGTGACTCACAGCACGTGACTCGTGACTCGGCGTCTGGCAGTCAGCTCGTGCACGCATGCACGTGCTTGTGGCTTGCTCCGGCTTAGTCATCCGCGCGGACCCTCGACTCGGGGCTTCTGGGTTGGAAGATTCGGCCGATCAAGTCGCAAGCTCGCGAACGCCACACCGCCAGACACGTCTTCTGCGCCCGCTCCCCTACGTCAGCCGCGATCGCGTCAACAGCGCTGCTTCGACTGCGGGACTGGCCCGCCCTCCTCTCACCGTGGCGTCGCTCAACACGGTCCTCGACGACGTGAAGAAGTCGTTTCGCTTCTTCAAGAACCACCCCGCCCTGTCCACGACGGTCCCGCCGATCCACGCGGACGAAGAGACGGCAGACGCACTCACCAGGATCCTGCACGCCCTGCGCATCGCCGAGATTGCAGACTTTGCCGCGAGCCTCCGCCTCGACGATCCCGCGTACCTCAGCACCGCTGCCCTCGGACTCGCGGCAGTCGTCGTCGTCGTCGTCATGTCGTGGTTCTCCCGCGCCGGCGGCAGCTGGGGGGGCCGCTTCTCGCCGTTCGGGCGGCCCAGCCAGAACCCGAGCTCGGGCGTGGTGAACGACTCGGACTTTTCGTACATTACCAACGAGGACCTGCGCAAGAACAACGGGAGCGCGCCCGAGAGCGCCGACTGGGCCGATGCGAACCCCGAGCGCGAGACGGACGTGGTCGTGTTCAAGGAGAAGCGGACGCACTACCCGACGCACTTTCCCGCGCACAGCATCCGCGACGGCGACCTGAGGATCGGCACCGTGCGGCAGGCGGCGGCCAAGAAGCTGGGTGTTGATGACGCCCGCCGGATACGCATGTTCCACAAGGGCCGCAACCTCAAGTTTGACGAGCGCAGCGCGCGCGAAGAGGGCCTGCGCGGCGACGGCTCGGGCAGCGAGATCCTCGTCACCATTGGCGAAAGCCCCGCGGGCGGCCTGGCCCCGGCCGCAGACGACGCGGCGCCGCCGTGGAGCGACAACGAGGGCTCGGGCTCCGACGACGTCGGCTCGGGCGCCAACGGCGCAGGCAGGAAGAAGAGCCGGAAGCGCGGCGGCCGCAAGCCCAAGAAAAAGGGCCCCGCGGACTCGTCGACGGCGGGCGCGTCGACGCCGGGCTACTCGTCCGCCGCCCCATCCGGCGCAGAGTTCCTCCCCATCCCCGCGCACATGAGCAGCGCGCGGCCGCCGTCCACCAAGCCCAAGCCGGCGGCGGCGGCGGCGGCGCCGCAAACGGCGTCGCAGAAACTCGCGGCCATTGCGCACACTTTCCACACCGAATTCGTGCCGCTGTGCGAGCAGTTTATGAGCGCGCCGCCCGCGGACAAGAGCAAGCGCGACTTTGACTACAAGAAGCTCAGCGAGACGATCCTGACGCAGATCATCTTCAAGCTGGACGGGGTCGAGACCGAGGGCGATGCTGATGCGCGCGCACAGCGGAAGGCGCTCGTCAAGGAGGTCCAGGGAATGCTGGCCAAGCTGGATGAGGCGGGTAAGCAGGCGCATATTTAGCGTGTGGAGTGAGCGCCTATCTAGTGTGGAGTGTAGAGTGTGGAGTGTAGAGTGTAGAGTGTGGAGTGTAGAGTGTAGAGTGTAGAGTGAAGAGTGTAGAGTGGAGTGTAGAGTGTAGAGTGTAGATGCATGGCACGACAGAGGGCCATGTGGTGTGGATACGAGTGGTTAGAATGGCGATTTGATCTTTAGACTTGGTATACGAACCCTGCTACATACGACGGCGCTTTCTGAAGTCTACGGTGATTCAGGATACAGGACAGTTTGCAAAGTCTACGGTGATTCAGGACACAGAACATGTTTGCCAGGTCTACGGCGACTCATACAGATACGGCGACTCATACAGATACGGCGACTCATACAGATACGGCGACTCATACAAATGGTTGTGGTGTGCCTGCTCAATCGATGCCCACAAACACGCCGTGCTTCTCCAGCTCGCCCCGCGACATGTGCGGCATCGGACTAACGGCATCAGCCCGCTGCAGCGCATCCTCAGTCAGCCGCCAAAACGCATCGACGTCGACGCGTCGCGGAATCCTGCAGCCGCCCTCGCCCGGCGCCAGCACAGCGACGCGAGTCCGGCCGAGCTGGCCCACTTCCGACGGCACGGGCGAGTGCACGCCGTCGGTGACGACGTCGACGCGGAACCGCTCGCCGTCGCTGTCGGAGAAGAGTTCGGCGTACACGGCCGCGGCGACGGCGAGCGGGTCGTGCAGCGGCGGCCCCGCGGTGATGGAGAAGACGTCTGCATATGTCCCGGCGAAGAAGGACATGGTCTGCGCAAACAAGGCGCGCAGCGCTGACGGGTCGCGCGGTGCATTGTCTGTCGGGTCGCGCGGTGTCTTGTCTGTCGGGTCGCGCGGTGTCTCTGACGGGTCGCGCGGTGTCTCTGACGGGTCGCGCGGTGTCTTGTCTGTCGGGTCGCGCGGTGTCTCTGTCGAGTCGCGCGGTGCATTGTCTGGCGAGTCGCCGTACAGCAGCGCGCGACGGACTGCGCGCGTGCCGAGCACCTGGTGGCTGAGGTCGAGCGGGATCAGGGTCGTCTTTGCGCGGAGCCTCGGCTGCGCGAAGATGAAGCGAGCCGCCTCGGGGTCGCAGTAAATCTGCGGGGGATCAGCCGTCGGGTCCTCGACCCAGTCTCTCGCGCGCGGCTTACGTTGAACTCGGCGTACGCGGTCCAGTTGCCGAAGCGCTCGCCCTCGCGCTCGCCCTTGACCTTGCCCATGGGCGCATCGGTGAAGCCGCCGCCGACGGCGCCGCCCATGATGCTCAGCCCCTTGATGTGGCCCGCCAGGTCGGGGAACCTCTGGAACAGCAGCGCCGCGTTGGTCAGCGTGCCCGTCGACACCAGCCAGGCCGTGTCGGGCGCCGTCGCAGCGAGCGCGCGGTGCATGGCCGCGAGGTGGTCGACGTCGGTGGCCGCGGGCGCGACGGGCGGCGGCAGCAACGTCACGCCGCCCAGCCCGCTCTCGCCGTGGATGTCGGCTGCGTGCACTGCGTCGCGCACCAGTGGCTTCGCGGCGCCCGAGTAGACGGCGACGTCGCGGCGGCCGAGGGCCTCGAGTACGGCGCGCGTGTTGAACGTCGTCTGGTCGAGGGCGGCGTTGCCGTGGACGGTGCTGACGCCCAGCAGCTCGATGCGCGGGTCGTGCGCGCTGAGGAGGAGGGCGTATGCGTCCTGGAAGGCACTGTGAGTCGTCTTCGTCTTCGTCGTGGGCGGCCGTCGGCTGCTCCTACATCGTGTCCCGTGTCCTGGGAGGAGTCAATATGCGTGCGGGACGTGTCGCGGGCGGGTACCGACACAGTCGAGCCAGAGCGGCGTCCGAGAAGACATGATTGCTGTAGTCGTCGTCGTAGTCGTCGCCGTCTTGAAGCCAGAATGCTGCAGTCGTCGCCGTCTCGACACCAGAGTGCTGGACGAGGCTGCTCGACAAAGCTGCTCGACAAAGTTGCTCGACAAAGCTGCTCGACAAAGCTGCTCGACAAAGCTGCTCGACAAAGCTGCTCGACAAAGCTGCTCGACAAAGCTGCTCGACAAAGCTGCTAGACAAAGCTGCTAGACAAAGCTGCTAGACGACTGGCGCTGGACGACAGCTGGACGACGGCGGGACGAGCTGGGAATACAGGGTCCAGCCACGAGGCGCCACGCCGCCGCTAGCTGGCAAGGCTGCACCTTCAATGGGCGCATCACGATTGACCTTTCCTCCTCGCTCCATTCGACGACGTGACGACGCGGTGCTTCAACGGACCGGGCACGAGTAATCGACCCCAGTTTGACACCACACCGTCCGACACCATACCGTCCGACACCATACCGTCCGACACCATGGTTACCATGTTCCCCCGATCAGCAGTGAGCGCGTTTTGACGGCCGGCGCTATACACCAGCATCCGCCCCAATCCGAGCACCCAAGCTCCTCTGTCCGCTCCATGCACCTCGCGCCATCTCACTGACACTCTCATAACCATCGCTCACGTCTGTCGTCTGCCGTTTGTGCTGCACAGTGCCCCAGGCGCCAGTGAATCGCAACGCGAAGCTTGATGCCACATTGCACCTCTTCCGTCTGACCCACCACCGCCATTCCGCCATGGACCTCTTCAGACGCCACAACGGACACCACGAGGTCGACTCCAAGTCCTACTGGGCCTTTGGGTACTCGTTTGCGCCCCTAAACGACGACCAGAAGCAGCAGCGCCGCGAGAGCCTCGACTACTACGGATTCGCAGCCCAATGGTCCGTTTTGCTCGTCTTCGCGCTGTTCCAGATGTCTTTTGGCATCCGCTGGATTGTCTCCAAGGGCATGCGCTATGAGCAGCCCAAGTCTCCGTCCTTCAACAAGCGCCGCGAGAATGCTCTGGGATGGCTGAACAGCTTGCACAGCCGCTACGCCCGCATCGTGTGGTGGATGCACAAGGATGTCGTCCGGAGATGGGAGTGGGGCACGAGAGGAGAATGGATTGGGGGGACTGTCTGGACTGCTTGGCTGCTCTATCTCTGCTTCGTTAACACATCTCCTGGTAAGGCTGTTCCAAATCTCCTGCTCCCAGTCTCCTGCTCCCAATCTCCTGTTCCAAATCTCCTGCTCTGAATCTCCTGCTCCAAATCTCCTGTTCCAAATCTCCTGTTCCAAATCTCCTGCTCAGAATCTCCTGTTCCAAATCTCCTGCTCCGAATCCCCTGCTCAGAATCTCCTGTTCAGAATCTCCTGTTCCAAATCTCCTGCTCAGAATCTCCTGCTCCAAGTCTCGTGCTCAGAATCTCCTGCTCCAAGTCTCCTGCTCAGAATCTCCTGTTCCAAATCTCCTGCTCCAAATCTCCTGCTCCGAATCCCCTGCTCCAAATCTCCTGCTCCAAATCTCCTGCTCAGAATCTCCTGCTCCAAATGGTCGCTAACGCCGCAGACTACCTCCACCTCACGAAGCGCTTGGGCCAAATTGGTGCCTCACAGCTGCCTCTGCACTACCTCCTCGCTATGCGGGCACCCTACTCACCCGTCCAGTGGATCACGCGCCTCTCTCACGAGCAGCTCAAAGCCGCCCATCAGATCCTCGGCCGCATCGTCTATCTGCTGTTCATCCTGCACGCCGTCTTCTACTTTGTCTTCTTCGCCATGTCCGGCGTCCTCGCGAAACGCATCAAAGACTGGGACGTCGTCTTTGGGCTCATCACGCTCGCTCTCTTCGCCGCCATCAGCACGACAGCCCTCGGCTTCGTGCGGCGGCGAAACTACCGCGTCTTCTACATCAGCCACATCGCCATTGCAAACCTCATCATCGTGCCCATGTACCTCCACGTCTCGCACATCCGCCTGTACATGTACGAGGTCATCGCGATAGAGTGCCTGCACCTGCTCTTCCGCGCCCTGCGCATGAAACTGTACAAAGGCACTATGCGCCTCCTGCCCGGCACAAGTCTGGTGCAGATCCGCATCCCTCTCCCGGACAACCACGCCGCCCTGGGCTGGGCGCCGGGGCAACACGTCTACCTGGCGCGGCCGCGGGGCAGCGCCAAAGCACCAAACTACTACCAGCAATGGCTGATGGCGAACAAATCCAACCCCTTCACCATTGCCTCCCTGCCCAGCACAGACCGCGAACTCGTCCTGATCGCCCGCGCCCTGAACGGCAACACGGCGCACCTCGCCGCGCTCGCGCAGAAACTCGCCCAAGGCGGTTCCGGCATGCCCATGCTGCCCACCGCCACAGGCGACATCCCGATCCTGCCCCTCGCCCTCGAAGGCCCCTACGGCGCTTCCAACAGGCTCCCCGACCTGACCGACTTTGACAAGGTCCTACTGGTCGCCGGCGGCGTCGGCGCCACTTTCATCATGCCGCTGTACCGCCTGCTAGCCGACGTGCACGACTCGACCCCCGGCGCCACACACGTGCGCTTCATCTGGTGCGTGCAGAACCTGGCGGACACGCAGTGGGCCTTTACCTCCGGCGCCACACAGCAGACCGTCCAGCACAGGGACGAAGCCGTCAGCAACGGGCTGCTGCACACACCCAGCGCCGTCGAGGTCTTCGTCACACGCCCCTCTGGCGGCGCTGCGTCCTCGGCCCCCGTCTTCGCCATCGACGACGACGACGACGACGAGGCGTTTGAGATGCAGGAGCACGCGCAACTGCTCGGCGCGGAGGAACAGATGGAGCGCCCGCGCAAGGGAATGGTGGTCTCCGCCGGCCGGCCCGATATGGGCGCGATTGTGGATGACGTCTTCAGCAGGGGCGTCAGGACCGCGGTGCTGTGCTGCGGGCCGAAGCGGTTAACGGATGATCTGAAGAGGAGCGTGGAGGGGTATGTCAGGAAGGGGCATGATGTGTTTTGGTACGACGAGACGTTTGGGTGGTGAGAGGGGGGGTGTGGGCTTTGCCGTGGTTGGATTGATGCTGTGCTTGGATTGATGGTGTGGTGATGAATGGATGATTTAACCTGGGCGGCGGACATGTCGAAACATTACGATTACCTACTTACCAAACACCACCAGTATCCATCACCACCAGTGTCCATCACCACCAGTATCCATCACCACCAGTGTCCATCACCACCAGTATCCATCACCACCAGTATCCATCACCACCAGTATCCATCACCACCAGTGTCCATCACCACCAGTATCCATCACCACACCACCAGTATCCATCGCCACACCCACACACCCCCCACGCTGTCCTACCGGAAACTACCCTCCATCGGCGTCGCCCCACTCGCCGTGCTATTCACATGCGCCATACTCTCATACAGACTCAACCGCGCCCACGCCCCACAAAACTGCCCCCCGTCCCCCCCGCACTGCATCGAGCACTCGCCCTGATCCACGACCTTTGTCTCCCCCGCGAAGCTGTCGCCGCAGGAACACTCCCGCCCGAACTGCGTGCCGAAGTAGTGGCTGCCCGCGCACGCCGCGGCGCACTTGTGCACCGTCATAGCGTCGTTGCCCGGCGTCGAGATTGAGAGGACGCGGTTGTATACGTCGTCGGTGTAGCAGCCTTTGTATCCGTACTCGGCGATGGAGGGGTTGCTCGGCACGGCAATGTTGGCGCTGGACTTGAAGACCGTCATGCGGTTCGCGCCGCCGCAGAGCTGCGTTGGGGTTCCCGCGCAGGCCATGTTGCATTCGCCCTCCGGCTTGGTCTCGAACGCGGAGGGGAGCACCCACGAGCAGTAGCATTCGTTGCTGTACTCGACGCCGAAGTAGGGGTGGCCTGTGCAGAAGTCGGCGCAGGAGGCGTAGCTGTTGCTTGAGGAGGAGGTCATCTTTGCGCTGAGCGGGCGCGGGTCCAGCGTGTCGACGATGCAGCCCGTGTATGTGTACCCCGTGAGAGCGGGCTTGCTGGACGTGGGTGTCGGCATTGGAGCCGCGCTTGTGGATGTGGGAGGGGTTTTGTTTTTGTACACGTTCAGGCGCTGGCTTGCGCCGCATAGTGTCTTTGTGTTACCGGGACAGAGCAGAGAACAGTCGCCTTCGGGCTCGGGCGCGCTTCCGTCGTTGAGTTTCGAGCCGCAATCTGGAGAGCGTTGGTTCTAGAGTCACCTGCGAGAAATACGGTTAACTTACGACATTCATTTCCGTTCTCCAGGCCGAAGAAAGCGGATCCTTTGCACAAAGCGGAACATTGTTTCGCTGTCATGCCATCACTGCTCGTGCTGGAGTCTGACAGTGTGCGCCCTGGTGCGAGCTCGCTGTAGCACCCAAAGTAGTCGTATCCGCTGATGGCCTCGTTGACCGGAGGTGACCAGCCGACAGTCTTGTACAGGCTCAATCGTTGACCACCACCACATGTTTGAGTAGAGTCACCTTTGCATGGCATTTTGCAGTCAGACGCGCTGGCTGCCACGCTCTTTGCATTCTGAGCGTTGCCGCAATAACATTCGCGCCCGTATTCGAGCCCAAAGAACTGGTAAGGGTTGCAGAAAGCAGCGCAGCTCTCAATCGTCATATCGTCGTTTTTCAGCTCAGCAGGCGCCAAGGCACGGGCATTGGATGGCTCGGTGAAGCAGCCCTGGTAGTCAAGCTGAATTGCCGGCGTACTAGGAGTTGGCGTTGACCATGAAGTAGATGTTGAGCTTGAAGAAACGCCGGCAGAGGAGGCAGGAGTTGACGATGGACTAGGAATTGAAGATGCTGTGTTGAATGGCTTGCACGCTGTCGCAAGGTCACTGATCTTCTTGAAATTGTCGGACCTGATGCCCGCGAATACGCCGAACATCGCTGCATTGGTTGAAGAGCCAGACAGATCTGCAGAGTACAGCTTGTAGCGCCCGATGCTTGTAGGGGATGCCATGGCCACGGTTGCTGTTGACAGACTTGCGACGGGCGTGGGACTGGCGCGTGGCACTTTCGCAACCACCTGCACACTGGGTGTTTCGTCGCCCCGGATGGCCGCAGCCACAGTCAGCTTTCCGGAGCCGTCTGCACAGCTTTGAGGGGCTTGGAAGATGACAATATCATTGACAGCGTATCCGTTGTCGTTGTTGGTGAACGTCTGGCTTGATCCACCAGAAGTGACGACAATGTCAAAAGACGAGATCGAAGTCTCGGCTGACAGCGTTGCGGAGAAGCCGTAGAATGAGAAGCTATCATCGAATCCGGACGCCGTTCCTTTGACCGTGGTATCGATGGGTGCAGATGCTGAAGCGCCGGTCCGGTCCTTGTAGATGAGCTGCACTTTGCTGATGGAGCCTGAGTTTGTCCTGACTCGGATCTCTCCAGTGAAGCTTAATGAAACACCGCCATCAAGCAGAGTCAATTGAACATCGTACGGTTTGACATCGTAAGGCGTGATGACCTCGGTAAGCGTGATACCCCTGGGGACAATCTCAATCATCTTCTGAAATACAGCCTTGCACATGTCGTTGAACGTCTGAGGGTCTTGCATCGCTTGCATGGTGGAATTTCCATCAGAATTATAGACCCTGCGGTCGGAGTCTCTGCCTCTGTTGTCCGCTCTATAAGCTTTGCCAAATACCATAGGGTTCTTGGTGTTCCCGGAGAGGAATTCTGTAGCGATCTTGTTGTCGAAAGACGCTACTGATGTGTCAAAATGGGCGTAGTTGTTGGGAAATGTTCCAGAGTCGATAATGTTCGGCTGCTCTGCTGCGTGAACGCCTCCCAGAGTGTGCCCACATGCGACGAGCTGGATCATCTCAGTATCATTAACACCAGCAATGCCCATGCGAGTAAATTGGTTCCTGAAAATGCCAATTGCGTTTGCTGCATCAGGGACTTGACCGATTGCTCCTGCACCAGCAGCATCTTGGCGCCCGCCACGGACAGGTACCGCAGGCCCACCACAAGATCTTGTGGCACTGTAGAGTCCGGCAGCGATGAGGTCTGCGAGTGATGTCTGGCTGGAGTAGAATGGTGCATATCTTGTCAAGGTATTTCGAAAAGCAGCACCAGCATGTTCCGAACTGCCTAGCTCGTAAAGGATCGACCCGTCCATGCCTCCTGCTCCGGTATTGACGTTAGCTGAGGCCATGTCGTGGAAGGCCGTCCGAATCCATTCAGCTGCGGAATTGCGATCTGCACCATCACCGTTCGAACATGGGACGACGGGTGACGCGAAACCACGTGCTCGGTAGCCAGAATTGACATAGAGCAAGTCCTCCAGCTCATCGGATGGCGCTGGCCATGTTGGTGCTGCTGCAACTCCGGTCGAGAGGAGGGCACTTAGTGCTGCCGTTAGCCACAGCATATTGAGAGCTGCTATACTTGTTTTGGCGAACGAACGGTGAGGTCAATCAAGAGTGAGAGAAGAGGGCCAGAGCCACCAACAAGTAGGCCGCAACAAATAGATTGTTCAGCTAGCAGAAGACGAACGGCATTTCACCTTCATAACTACTGCCGCGCAATCCGAGTAGCTCAGTCTGCTTTTCCGGCGCCTGCAGTCCACGAGGCAGAAGGCTGATCGGCGCATCCCGTAGCACCATCCTCATCATGAACACTTACCTGTTATTGGAAAAGTGAGCCTATGCTCGATTACAAATTAGGACGCCCAGCTCCATATGCGTCCAGATGGCTGGGCCTTGCAAGCCCATATAACCTTCCGCTGCATGAATGACGATGGTGAGGGAGCCTACAATCTGGCGGGGATGTACGAAGGCGCAGCGCGTGGCTGCCTAATATCCCCGTTCCTATACGTTCAGATTATGCGTGTTGACACTAAAGCCACACTAGAACAAGCAGACTGTCGTTAGTCGACAGCCACATAGGACTTCGGATCGTGAGACTCATGATGATAGGAGAGGTGGTGCTGTGGAGATGAAAGCTAAGGGTCGCGGCACGTAGTGGCACAAATGCATGCAGGAGCGAGGGTAATCGAGGGGCTTTTTTATTCACGGCATCCTGATTGGTCTGACAAGCGAACGTGAACCTGGCTAGCTTTCTATGAACACGAGTTGACACGACTTCTTACATCCACTTCACTCAACAGTTGCGAGCCGCTTTGTGGCGATATGGGAATTGTGCCATGCATGATCTTGTACAGAGTGAGATGCCAGTTGATGCGGGAAGCCCTCGAGCATCAACCAAACGATAGTTGACAGCCTGAGTCACATGCGAGCGCGATCAGCCCAAGCACCAAGTTGGCGATTAGGTTCAGCTGCCAACCTGGGATTCTTGGGGTGTGGGGGGCTGCATTATCAGACTGTCGTCCCTGGCGGTGGAACAGGTGCGGCTGAAGAGCTTGTGCGCGCTGGTGGTCAAGGCGCCTCCTTTGTTTACAAACCTGCGGCCTGCGCCTCGATTAACGTGAACGTGTCAAATGCGCTTCGCCATCACATGCACATGGAATCTGCAGCCTTCCGATAGACTTCGTCTCTGCCGGCAGACGTGCGGAGGTTTAGACTGGCCAAGACTGGGCTTGCAGCCGAAATCGATAAGGAAACGCATTGCTTACTTGCATAATTACATCCTGCAGCGTGATCGAGCTCGTGCTTATAGTAAACACGTTATAAGACCTGAACGATAAGCAGAGCGTAGGTTATCTGCAAACGAGGCTGCCAGTCTGTTAAAGGTCACCAGCTTCAATTCCCCACCTACACCCAAGCGAAATCCCGAATTTTGTTCTCACTGCGCCTCAGGTGAACCTCCTCCTCTTAAATGATGTACGTGACTTAGTGTCAAGCTAAGCCAAGTCAGCTTGAGCTTGCAAAGTGTAAATGTGCTGGTACGTACTGAACTTAGTGGCATCGATCACCGACGACAGATCGTGAGCATTGCTACTGTGGGAACTGGTGGAAGAGCTTGGCATCTTGGACGACAGAGTCGAGCGCCTCTGTTGAGGCACCGGCCAGGACGCAATAAGGCGAGCGCTCGGCGTGAACGAGGCAACAGATCGTCTCATGGCGTTGCCAGGCGTTGATGCAGCCTGCACACTGTGCGGCGACTGTCTGTGGTCATGAGCAGAGGGCTGCGCGGGCCACTGTCCCACAGAGATGTGCTCCACAGCCAGCGTGTCGAAGAGACCTTCCGTCCATCAGCGGGTCTCTTCGTTTCGATTTCTATCTCCTTTACATACCTTCAAAGGTCTTCGTAAGCCTCTGCAGCGCGACATCCAGAATCTGCATGTTGGCACAGTGCCCTTGACGAACAATACCGAAGCAAAGAGCCTGGCTGGCGCTAGGGAAAATATGTTGGTAGTCAAACGCGTACTCAAGCGCTGCTGCTACGATGGCAGGATGGAGCTTCAAGTCCGTCGAAAGGCAGAGGAGCGCGGCGCGTCCGCCCGGACTGCTTCCATCGGGAGCTTGCATGGTGTGTTGAGATATAAGACAGAGCTGATTGTTGGTGACGGGGTTGGTGATGGGGTTGGTGTTACTGATGTACAAAAGTGAAAGTGAAGGCAAGGTGTGACGTAGGCAACCAACCGCCATGAACGCCGAATTGGAGTTGTAGCTACGGAAGTACATGCTGCTTTCGCCTCGCTTGCATTAAGAATATCGAACGACTGACATATTTTCAAGCTTTGGTTCTTTGTGATACACCGTTCATTAGCAGTCACTGTGCAGGCCACTTGAGAATTGGACTCCATGGATCTCAACTGCGTTTGAAGGTCCTCATAGAACATGTCTAGAAAGATGTGAACATGAACTGCAAATATCAACACAATACTTGCTGTATAGCATGATCACGTCACGACGCAAACAAGCTCCTCGAGCATCTGACCGCGCACTGAGCTTGCCATATCCCATGACCACAAAGCATGGTTTCTTATGTATATCAGCAAAGTGAGCCATTGGATACATAAGGCTGCCGAGAACTGGCATCCAAGACCAGAAAGTGCGAGCTGGAGCTATTTTAAGCAGCGGCGATAGCTTGTGCTCTTCATTCCACTTGTGTTTTATATATCGAAGTGTCAAAAGCGATAAACCTCCTTTCACTGCGGACATCACGCACACGTAGTATAGAACCCTCGGTTTGATGGAGCTCTTCTTTCTCTCCACCACTTCTCCAAACTCAACCTCCACCTCAACCAGCAACCTCTTCTTGACTCAAAACTATGTCTACACCCAACGATGCTCCTGAAGACTACTTCGGTACCAATGCTGAGTGGTCCGGCGTTGAGACGGCTTACCCAGCGGGCATGTCCTGGGCCGGCAGCTTGTTCCCGTCTGCGCCTCGAGACCCACGGATCTTTGGTCCTCCAGATCCATTGGAGTTGGTACCCCGTAAGTCACATCTATCTGTGCCAAGTAGCGATTCACTCAAGACTTATAAAGCACCGGGCCCATTCGATGAAGAGGACAGCGACGAGGGCTGGCGCAAGAGCTACTATGGTACGCAGGTCTACACTGGCGAAGAGTTCGTCAAGACCTTGCAATATCCTACTACCGAAGAGCAGAAGCGCCGCATGCGGTTCTGGGACGGCTTTGAGAGCCGGTCAGTGGATATGCGCGGTCCTCGAGTTCAAGACCAGGCTAGACCAGCTGGTGGTGAAGAGCATCGCTTCCCCAATGTGCTACCTACTCGATCAGATTCTCCAACTGCACAGATGGGTCTACACGACAACCATAGTCCCATGAACGGTCTATCTCCAGTACCAGCTTCCCGGTCAGTACCTGCTCTTGCTTCGGCACCAGCATCATCACCAGCTCCAGTGCCAGCTCAAACTGCCCACCGCTCCTCCTCAATTGACGGCGAATACGAGATCGACGACGACAGTCTCCCCGACACTTCCCAAGGCCCACAAACCATCAAATGCAGGAATGACCGAGAGCAAGTGCCAGACAGTACACCTCCAAGGACGGCATCACCCCTTGGCGTCGATGACTGGGGCAACGCCAACTTGCTGAGACTGTGGAAGCACAAGGTCATTCGCAAGAAGGGCTACGAGCCAATGCTAGCCACCTTCACTGGCCAGACCGTCGAGAGCCTGCACGAGGTCTGGACGAAGCACAAGAAGCGGTGTCAGCTGCTTGGTGCTGCGTGGGAGGCTGCTGGGAAGCCGAAGGGTCCGCTGTCGGAGTGGTTTGAGGAATGAAAACAACATGAATCGTATAATTTGAGCAGTGAGAATAGTTTCTAGTGGTTATGGTCAACATTGAGCGTGTTTTTAGCGAAGGTGTTTTGGCGCAGGATGGTGGGAGATACCCTAGGTTTGCTTTTAGCATTTGCTTCACTACACACAACATTTTGTAGCCATCAAGCGTGTCAATAAACACTCGTACCAATACCCTAGCATCCCTAATCCTCTAGCAATTTCTCATTGCCCTTCAGTGTAGCCGTGCCATCAGCGGCGACGTTGATCCCGCTCTTGCCGCCCACGCTCGTAGATCCATCGCTGCCCTTCGTAATACCCAGGTCGCCGCCCAAGTTCTGCGCGTTACCATCCTTGCCCAGTGTAACCCCAGCTTCCTCGGAGAACTGCTCTGCTTCCTGGGTAGCCTTCACGCCCTCGGGCTTCCCACCAGCAGCGGCGGGCTTCTCACCCTCGGCGGCAGCAGCTTCGGCCTCAGCTCCGGCACGAGCGGCGTCACCTTCAGCACGACCTGGCTGAGACTCGGTACCTTTTCCACCAGAGGATGCGGGTTTGGGTGCTACTGTCTCTTTTGCGGCGGCAGGCTCTTTTGGTGCTCCGGCCCCAGTGGCCTTCGGCGCAGCGCTCTCCTTAGCAGCAGCAGGTTTGTTTCCAGCGCCCTCTCCTGCGGTGCCACCCCCCGCAGCGTTCGGTTTTTTGCTCTCCTTCGCCCCTGCTGGCTGGGCAGCTGTCGTTCCATTTCTACCGGCACCTCCTCCGGCCTGCATTGCGCCACCGCCCGCAGCTTTTGGTCCCTTGCTCTGCTTCGCTGCGGCTGGCTGGGTAGCTGACGTTCCATTTCTACCGGCACCTCCTATTGCGCCGCCCTTACCGGCCTTCGGTTTCTTGCTCTGCCTCGCCCCAGCTGGCTGGGTGGCTGACGTTCCATTTCTAGAGGCGGCTGCTCCAGCCCCCGTTGCGCCGCCCTTGCCAGCCTTTGGCTGAGCACCAGTAGTTGATGTGGAATTGCCCTTTCCGCCTAGCTTGAGACCATCGCCACTGATGCCACCACCTGAACCGCCGAGTGTGAGGCCACCGATCTCGAGCTGTCGCTTGACGAAAGAAGGCGTGTAGGTCTTGGAGATGGCGTTCTACATAGCTTGGTCAGCAGATGATGCATCATAGATCAGGCTGCAGAGGTGGTGTGGGCAGTCCTTACAATTAAACTACGCGAAGGGATTGACAGAGCATCGACGCCGGACAGGGCCAGTACGGCAACAGCGAAGTTGTTTGAGAACCTCATCTTGAACAATGATCGAAATTGGATCAGGGAAGTATGACGAAGTGAACAGCTGACCAGCAGATAAGCAATAGAAACAAGGAATGACAAGAGACCCAAGAAAGATAGAGTCTTAGCTGGCAGGAAAGTCACACTGAAAGCGACAATCAAGACCTTTTTACAGGCGGCTTCTCCGCTCGGCAGACATTGTAAGTCTCCTTGGCATTTGTGTAGAACGCATTGCGGAACAATTGTAGAACATCTTGGCTGGCTTGGCTCCGCTGAGAAGGTTCGTCAAACTTGTGTTTGTGCTGATATTTAGGTGCGATGATGCGGTGCGAGTCGCGACAGAGTCGCAGCTTGGAGAGGCACCCTTGCTGTTTCGGAAACCCCACGGTCTGGAGCGGCGCACAGAACCGGAGATTGAGCATCCGTGGCAAAGAGAAATGGTCGAGCGCAACTCGTTAAAGCCTCGCGCATCTAGAATGGATGTGGAAAAGAGCGATCCTCACACCTTTGAGAGTGGATAGTCCGGATATGATTGCCTCAGGCTTCATTCCGCGAAATGTTGCTCGACGTGATGTGCCACCGAATCCTCGTCGCCCTCGAACTTATAGCATACTGGACATACCGCGAGTTTTTCTAAGGCCAGCTGTCCCAAAGGAAGACCAGCTCTACTCCGTTCATGCTGTTTGTCTGCCTCCTCCAGTGCAGCAAACAATCCGTAATCTTGATTCGAGGCCCGATTGTCGTAGAGGTACTCGTCATCTTCTCTAATATCTCTTTCCATTCTTCCTCCTCTCCTTCCTCGTCCCCCTGCATTTGTTGCACCTTCACCGTTCCTCCCTAAAGTTGCCCCAGGCCCGCCAACAATGCCTTCACCCTCTAGTCCCTCGGCTTCAGACACAAGGCCTTGCACTCTGCCAACTCTTCCGTCGCGAAGCCTGACTTTGACACCACGTGGATGATCGCCGCGCGTCAGCAAGTCTGCGACGATACCTTTGACTTGATGTCCGGACTGCTGGTCCTCTTTGAGGATGATAGAGACTCCGCCTCCCGGATGGATAGCTCGGATAAGAGGCACAGATGTGTAAGCCGGCCTTGGTCTTGGTGGGCGGGCTGAATCGGTATCTGCGTGGCTCCCTCGTCCACTTCCTCTTCCGCCACGTGATCGGCGATTTGGTTGCCCTCTTCCACGCTGCATGTCGCCTAGCAGCCTCTATTGGTAGGATCCGCTTTTCGAAAGATTCGGCCAAATCCAGATCTTGGATACTCACAGGTCCTTGAGTGGCAGCTCCGATGAAAGTCAAGTGTCAAGTTTGGTGCTCTAGAAAGGGATTTGGAAAGGTCGTTTTCAGGAGATACGCCTCGTAGCTCTCCAGGATTTAGACAGCCTCAAATTCTGAGCCTTGATTCGATGAGCTGCGTTTTGTGTCGATGGGCGCGTGAACAATGGATCGTTGGTCTCGCGCATATACAAGCCACGAGTCCACAAGCTGGCCCGTGCAGATTACGTCACGCCACACTTATGCGAGAACATTGTTGCAAGCGTAGGATCGATGCAGGAACAGGCTATGCCATGAGACGGAATGGTGTTGAACTTTGAGCCGTTGAATTGTGACAACTATACACAGCCTTGGGTAGCAAGGCCAAAGCAATACTCCTTGCAATGCTGATAGCGACCAACATGAATGTTGCGGTCAATGCGGTCTATCTGTCTTCTAGCGCTCACAGCTCGCGCTTCCCAAACCCAACGCCGTGCGTAGAACCAAATGTGAGGTATGGACACAAAGGAAGTAAACCAGGCCAATAGATGCGCTCGTGAAGTAGATCGTAGATCGTGCGGGCCGTTGATAGGTGGACCTTTGTGGGCTGTCCATCTGAGACGGTGTGTCGATGCTGAGGTGATTGTGTGCGGAGTGGTGCTGTCCTTAGAAGGGGAAGCCACCCGGGAATCCTCCTTGCTGGCCCCTGCGACCGCCGCCAGGCATCCCACCCCCCATTCCACCGAAGGGGTTGCCGCCACCACCGCCGCCCTGGAAGTGGAAGCCACCGCCTCCTCCTCCTCGTCCACCTCCCATTCCACCGCCGAACATCTGCATAAGGATCTCGGGGTCAATACCACCGCCCATTCCTCCCATACCGCCGCCGCCGCCGCCAAACATATCAGAGGGATCGATGAGGTCAGCGCCGGAATCGTATCGTTCACGTTTCCTACAAGGCGTTAGTAAGGGGGCGCAACTGGTTCTAAAGCCGGAACTCACTGTTCATCGCTGAGGGTCTCGTGGGCTTCCTGGATCTCCTTGAACCTTTCGGCAGCCTCCTCGTCACCAGGGTTCTTGTCCGGGTGGTGAACGATTGCCAGCTTGCGGTAAGCCTTCTTGATCTGCTGTTCGGTTGCGTCCTTCTCGATGCCGAGGATCTTGTAGTAGTCCTTTCGTAGAGCCTTCTTCTCTTCGAGCTCGGCATTGCGGATGTCCTTCGCAATTCCAGGCTCAGACGGGTTCTCTTCCTGAATAGCCTTGAGCTCGCGGACAGCATCCTGCCACTTGCCAGACTCGCCCAATGCCTTCGCCCTAGTCTTGCGCGCCTTTGTGTAAGTCGGATCCAGTTCGAGGGCCTTGTCACAATCAGCGATCGCAGCGGACCAGCTCTTCTGCTTGGTGTGGCAGAGGGCCCGGTTCTGCAAGATCTTTGAGTTCGTGAGCTTGTTCGAAGGGTCGACCTCAAGAGCCTTGCCGTATGTACCGATGGCCTCCTGGAACCGGCTGGACTTGAAGGCAGTGTTTCCCTCCTCCTTCATGCGCTCAAGCTTCTGCACCATGCGGAGGTTCTTCACTGCGTCCTTGAAGTCAGGGTCACAGCTCAGTGCCTGCCTAAAGTGCTGTATCGCCTTGTCGTTCTCGCCCTGTGCGTACAAAACGCGGCCGCGGAGTACGAGCGCATCAGGGTCCTGGTTGTTGTTCCGCAGCATGGACATGGCGACGTTCTGGGCCTCGCCTAGCGCATTGACGTTGCCCATGCGCAGGTGAGCCTCACCACGCAACAGCTGCCATTTCCGCGGGCGCTCGACACCGTTTCCAAGGCCCTTGTCAGCTTCATTGAGAGCGTAGATGACCATGGAACCTCCGCCACCGTCTTTTGTGGTCTGCTCAGCCATATCGAGGTTCTTCTTCATAAGCACTGCAGGCTGCATGTCCTTTGCTGTAGCATTGATGGAGTTGTAGACCTGAAGAGCCTCATCTGGCCGTCCCAGGCTGGTGTACACTCTGCCCAATCGCAGCTTGATCTTCATGTTGTCCGAGTCCAGCTCATCTGCAGTCTTGCAGTCTCCCAGGGCCTCGGCGAAACGGTTGGCGGAGATGTAGGCGGCCGCACGGTTGGAGTAGTATGTGGCATTCTTGGGGTCAGCCTCGATAGCTACACGATGTTAGCCAACCACTTCCCTTCGTGCATGCCGACGCTGCCGGGGCTCAAAGCCGCGAGCTTTGGGGAGTACACACCTTTTGAGTATTCCTTGATGGCCGCGGGGTAGTCCTTGATCTTGAAAAACTTATTGCCGGCAGCCTTGTACTCCTCGGCATCTATTGTAGGCATCTCTGCGGGCGGCGTCGCAGCCTCGGGGGTGGCAGCATAGTTGCCGCTGCTGGGCGGCGGGCTCTTAGTATACCGGTGCGGTGGAGGAGCCGGACGGCCCTCGTGGTCGCCGTTTGTGCCATTTGTCTTGGGGAAGCCACCGGGGACTTCTGCAGCAGGGCTCGAGGGTGCGGGCGAGGACGAGTCACGGTCGATATCCATGGCAGACATGGCTGAGAAGGACAAGCGCTGCCGCTCTTCCGGAGACAAATTTAGCGGGTGCGTGTCTGCGTCGTACTTGGACGAGCGCCTTGACGAGAATGTGGAGGAGCGCCGGCTGCTGCTAGTGCGTTCCCGCTCTTTAACGCGGGAGTGCGATTTTTTGTCGGGCGAGCTGGGAGGAGTGCCTTGCGTCTGCGGGCTTGTCCTGTGAGCGAGGGTCGGAGTGGCGGCGTCTTTGGACTTCTTTGACGGTGACCTGTTAAAGATGGAAGGAAGAACCATGGGAGGCGATCTCGGGAAACCTGGTGTTACTGAATTTTAGGTCCCGCTGCCTGCTGCACTCTGGTTGAACGCCGATTCTGTAAAATGTTCTGGGATTCGGTGCTAGAAAACGGATTCTAGCACCTTCCATCGACGTTAAATGCCACACAACTGCGAAAGCGGCAAGCACCGAGCACGATGGCTGGAGCACAGAGCATGCATCAGCAAACACCAATCACAGAATTCACACAGACAAATGCAGCTTGAGGCTTGCTGCGCTTCGAATCTGACCGTTCTTGAGCATACCTTCGTATACTGGTGGCTTGACGGGATTCCAGGGTCTCCTGGTCTGACAGCTCAACTACAACCTCTAATTCCCACAACCTCTTCACACATGTGCCTTGACTTCAAGCATTCGTTATCACAACAGAAGGCCGACAAAAGAGGGCCGACAACAACTAGCCTGAGCCTCCGGAGCCGCGGAGTAAAGTGGGCTCTGGCGCTCTGGCTCTCCTCCACCAGTGCGCAGTCGGTGAGGTTGGGAATTGCAGTCTCAGCGCATTGCCAGCAGCAACATACAGGGCATTGAAGCGAGGTCTCCCTTTCACAGGTTCGCGTTTGTGGTGTGCTGTTTACCTGTTACCAGCCTGCTGGTTTATGCACCAATGCGAACTGCGTTTGGTCCAGCGAGCGCGACCCATCAAGCGAGCCTGCTACGTATTGCTCCGTGGAGGCCGTTGGTAGGTTAAAAAAGCTCGACACGGAGATGGCTACTACGGTCTGTCCAACTTCGACTGCTCAAGTTTGGGAGGAAGACTGCAGACGCCAAAATAACAAAGGCGTAGATTCCTGTTACAGTAACTGTGTCTCCCTGTTGGAGGCAAGTGCAGTCGAGGCCCTACAGCCAGGGTACACTACTAGGACATCATGGTTTGATTTTCAGAACTTCTTGTTAACCTTGCCCATGAAAAGTCACATATCTGCTTGTGTGATCAGTAGGCTTTTCTATGTCCAACGGCCAGGCCCCGTTCACCAGGGTACCCGCGCTTGCGTCGAGCACGTGCCAGCCTCCGCATCATCCCAGCTCCAACGTCCCAGCTTCGAGATAACCTCTCACTATTTACGCTTTTGTAGACTGGCCCGCCTTTGTTGCACTCGGACTTCTCATAGCTCCTGACGCCTTGACCTCAACCAGCTGTAGCCAGTAGAGCTCTTGTCTGGCTGTTGCGCTTACACGATCTTTTTCGCAGCATCCGAGTCAAAGTACTACACGCTCTTTTCGGCTCGGGGCGCTATACTCCCTCCTCATATTGGCTCAAGCAACATATTCTGCCACCATTCAGATCTTTCTCATCCCGTGTATCCATACATCCGACTTCGACTCGAGCCTCATTTGCCTCTGCGGCCCGCGTCCCACGTCCCGTACAGAGGCCCACACCACAGCCATTTAACAGGCAGCGGTTACTTTTTGTCTGCCTTCGACATAGCCCGACGTCCGGTTTCTTGTTCGAAGATCCGTGATCATCGCCATGGGGCTCTCTTACAACATCTACCTCAACTCATCGCGCATCTACGGTTGCAAGAACTGCAAGACACACCTATCGAACCACGATGACATCCTGAGCAGGGTCGGTGCCCAGCAAGTCCAGGCCTCACCCGCTGGCTAATCATAAATTGCAGAACTTTCGCGGTCAGCACGGCAAAGCATATCTTTTCGACAGCGTTGTCAACATCACCGAGTCAGAGCCTAACGAGCGCAACATGACTACCGGCCGTCACGTCGTACGCGATATTCACTGCAGACAGTGCAAAGAAACTGTAGGCTGGAAGTACGATAAGGCGTATGAGGCCAGCGAGAAATACAAGGAGGGGAAGTTCATCCTGGAAGCAGAGCTTCTCTGCACCGTGACATGAGGCGGCACAGACGGCCTTAATACGACATTTCACTATCGCATCTATATGGAGTTGAGGTCTTGGATTATGCATAAGAGTTGGGGAGTTTCAAACAGGTTTTATTGTATATAACCACTCCATGTAGTCGTGGACACGGCCATGAGATGGTTTGCACAGGTGCGTGGAAGCACATCACCAATCTGTCTCAACGATTGAAGAAGAACCAGCACTGCCGCCATAGGTCTCTGTTCTTTTAAAACAACGTTCCATTAGCAGTGCCACAGCTTATGCAAGTCTTCCGTATGCAGCCTATTTGGCATGCCTCCGATCGGAATACTGCGGGGTAGATGCCTCGGCGGGGCTCAAGCTCGTCCCATCGTCACTTGGGCTTTGCCAGACGAGTGTCGTCAGAACCCGGAATGCGAGGCGCAGGGCGTATTTAGTGAGCCCGGACCCAATTTAACTTGCTTCAACATCATTTTGTGCCTTCAGATCCTTTCTGGCTACCACTTTCTGCATCGATTATCCCTCACGGCGATTGCAGCGTGATCTAACAGAGCAACATGTCTACAGATACTATGAAAGCAGTGATATTCCATGGTCCGGGCAAGGTCGCGGTCGAGGACCGGCCGATCCCTAGACTCCAGGATGACAGCGACATTATCGTCAAAGTTGACAAGGTGCGTTCGTAAGCTTTGGGCAAAGCCTTTGCTAATTCCTTGCAGACCGCGCTGTGTGGGAGGTGAGTCCTCTACAAGTTTCGAATTACTATGGCTTGTCTGACAAAACAACTAATGTAGTGAGCTTCACGTCTACCGAGGCCACCAACCATCTGGAACCGGCTTCATCATGGGTCACGAATTCACTGGACACGTTCACGAAGTCGGCTCGGCAGTCAAGACTGTGAGGGTTGGCGACCGCGTTGTTTCGCCTTTCACAACATCATGTGGCGAATGCTTCTACTGCAAGGGTGGGTTCTCCTCACGATGCACCAAGTGCAAGCTCTTGGGCTCGGTTGTTCTGGATGGCGCACAGGCGCAATACGTGCGTGTGCCAACAGCCGATGGGACTGTCATGAAGGCTCCTCCTAATATCAAAGACGAAGCTCTTGTCCTCATGGCAGACATCTTCCCAACAGGCATGTTTGCGGCAAAGAATGGCTTTAAGCACTCAACACCTGAGGAGATCAAGGAGAGCACTGTAGTCCTGATTGGCTGTGGCCCAGTCGCTCTCTGTGCTCTCTGCAACATCACAGACTACAAGCCTAAACATGTTCTTGCCGTCGACTCTGTAGCTTCGCGTCTCGAACTCGCCAAGTCTCTTGGTGCTGAGCCATGGAACTTCCAAACTGATCGCGAGGGCCTGGATAAGCGTGTCAAGGAGCTCACCGACGGAAGGGGTGCTGATATCGTTATCGAAGTTGTTGGCCTTTCACCCGCTTTGAGGATGGGCTTCGAGCTATTGAGGCCATGGGGTGTCATTTCGAGTGTCGGTGTTCACAACGCTGAGATCCCCTGGACTGGCAACGAGGCGTACGGCAAGAACCTTAGAGTGCAGATGGGACGTTGCCCAGTCAGGAGCATTTTTGCTGAAGCACTTGAGAGTCTGGAGAGACATCAGGACAAGCTTGGGTATGTCGAAATTTCCGAAACAGAGATCAATTGCTGATAGTCACAGGTTCATGGCAGACAAGATCATGCCCATGAGCGAAGCAGTGGAAGGCTATGACATTTTTGACAAGATGAAGGTGCAAAAGGTCGTTTTCGAGGCGCAGAAGTGATTGACACCAGGGGCGTCGGCGTTCCAACTGCCATGAGCGATGCGTTAGGTGCCGAGGAAGTAGCCATATCAGACCTGCCGTTTGTGGAATGAGCTGTTGCATTGCTGCAGACTTGCAGTATTGTAAGCATGGATGCGTGCCAGCACACAACATTTTGCGTGCCAGCCACCACGTTCGAGTTCAGCCTCTCAAATACTCTTGCCAATCCTAAGCATGACTCGCAGCAGTTTCTACTCACACCAATCGGAGCCACGAGCGGCGGAGCATCCAATGGAAAAGAAACAATCCATCCCTTTTCTGCCTTGGTGCTGCCGCGCGTGGGACTCAATGGCTGTGAGCCGCCGTTTGGCTGGCCGTGCGCAACCCTGCGGGGTTGCTCTGCGCTGGATGGGGCGCGTTTGAAGCACGCAGCAATTCACACCGTGATTGCACCTGCGATGCAAGGTGCTTGCTGTCGCTGCCAAAGAAATAGAATTGTACTGCACGCGATCGAACATCTCTTAAAGACGTTCAAAGCTCCTGCCCGCAGCTACATTCCTTCCTGCTCTGCGGTAAGGTACCTTCTCGCTAAGAGCTAACCTCAGACCTGCCCAAATACTTTGCCTGCTCTAGCTGCGTCGCCTTGTCACCTCACTCGACCGAACAACTTGCCTCCGTTCGACAACACGCCTCTCCTCTTCCCCGTCCATCACCCCAACACCCTCTTCTCTCCGCTCCTCGTTCTCCCCCAACTCTCTCACCCCCTCGCCGACCGCACCGACCAATTCCCCGCCACTTCCGTAGTCGCCTGTGAGTAGCTCCATCACCACTGTTGCTACACGTCAACAACCACTAACACCTAACGCGATAGCAATCACCGACGGTCTTTAACACACGCTTGACCTCCAAGCACGTCTCACTCGCAGCTCCTCCTTCTGTACGTTCGATCGCAACGAAGCTTTGACCCCGCTAGTACTAACGATTTGCGACAGCCCTTCTTAGGCCATTCATACAGCATGTCCGCCGAAGACTCCCAAAACTCTACTGGCAACGCCAATGCCATCGCTGATCAGCTCGAGCGCCTGAACGTTGACGGCGAAGCCACTGACGCCACTCCTCGCACTGAGCAAGAGTACGCTGAGTCGCAGCTCACACTTCGCGCCATCGTTTCCTCCAAGGAAGCTGGTGTCATTATTGGCAAGGCAGGCAAGAACGTCGCCGACCTGCGCGATGAGACTGGCGTGCGCGCTGGTGTCAGCAAGGTGGTTCAGGGTGTTCACGACCGCGTGCTCTCCGTCACTGGCAGCTTGTCTGGCATTTCCAAGGCCTACGGTCTTGTCGCCAAGGGCCTCCTTGACGGCGCACCTGCAATGGGCATGGGCGGTGTCATTCGCAGCGATGGTACCCACCGTACGTATACATGCTATGCTCGTAGCCTTGCTTCAAGCGCGTTAACGCAACCTAACTCTCACAGCCATCCGTCTCCTCATCTCACACAACCAGATGGGCACCATCATTGGCCGCCAGGGCCTGAAGATTAAGCAGATTCAGGATGCTTCTGGAGTCCGCATGGTCGCACAGAAGGAGATGCTCCCTCAGTCCACCGAGCGTATTGTCGAAGTCCAGGGCTCTCCATCTGGTATCGAGAAAGCGATTTGGGAGATTGGCAAGTGCCTGATCGACGACCATGAGCGCGGCTACGGAACCGTTCTCTACAACCCCGCTGTGCGCGTTCAGCCTGGTGCTGGACCCCTCACGACCAGCAACGGTGGTGCCACAGCAGGTCTTAGCTCTGGACGCTCGTACAACCGCACTGGTCACGGCGCCGACTTCAGCGACTCGCCTCCTTCGTCGTTCCAGCGTCGCTCTGGTTCTGACGCCGCAAACCGACCTCCACCGCCGACTCACACCGAAGATGGCGAGGAAATGCAGACCCAGAATATCAGTATTCCCTCTGACATGGTCGGCTGCATCATCGGTCGTGGCGGTAGCAAGATCAGTGAGATTCGCAAGACCTCTGGCGCCCGTATCTCCATCGCCAAGGCACCTCACGACGACACTGGCGAGCGCATGTTCACGATCACTGGTAGTGCCAGTGCCAACGAGAAGGCGCTCTACCTTCTTTACGAGAACCTCGAGGCCGAGAAGATGCGCCGCAGCCAGGCTCAGGATTAGAGGTCTTGAGCAACAGTCTGTGCTGAGACGGCTTGCCGAGGCTCTCTGAAGTGGGTCCTCGGAGGCTTCTATTGAGCGAAAAGCACAAGTTTTCTTGAACCCTTTCCTGTTATTTGCTGAAGGATACCATGGATGCTCGGGGCATTATTCCCTTTTTCTTTTCAGCACCGTTATTGTCGACGAGTGCCGGTTGAGCGCTTCACGATGTGATGACTTATGGCTTTGATATCCGGAGAGCACATCCGCCCGCGAGTCGAGGCAGATATGGCATCCTGTTTTGTTTTGGAAGGGTTTGGCGAAGAACAGGCAAGAAAGAAGGTTATTCGGTCAACCCAGAACTCGTACCTCGCCCAGACGACATCCTCTGCACCTGGCCGCACCTTTCGTCAAGCCCGGTCACACTCTACCATCCGTCTCCCTCTCACCCTCCTTACCACCGATAATCGCGAATACAATACCAATAACATCAACCTCTCCAGCTCTATCTACGCATCTGCTGCCGCCGCAGGCGCAGCAGATGACTTGGTTTGCTATATATCATAATGTAGAATATTAATGGAGTATCTGATTCACAGTCTTGGAAGCTCGCGACGTCTTCAAGAAAATGTTTGATATTTGTCTATAATCTCTTTGTTCATGTCGGAGCATCTTGAGCGCCCCTCTTTGTCCAATGACGGCTGTGGCAAGCTCGCTTATGCAGTTATGTCGTAAATCGTAGCTTCGCCTCGAAAACCGCCGGCGGATCTTCACTAATAACGCCGATACATGCAAAACCCAGACCCACGCTGCAAAGAAACACTCGCCGCGACAACAAAGCCCAAGATCAGGGTCTTCAGGCCTCACCTCTTACGATCGTACCAACGGCGCTCTTGACGAGCACCCACATAGGTCCCGCATTAACCTCCCTCCTCGCACTGGCCTTCCCCGGCGCATCACCCCCCTCACCGACTAATCCGCACTTCCTCTTCCACTCATCTTTCCAGCCGCGCTCAACGCTCTGCTGCTTCTCCTTAAGCAGCTGGCCCGCGCCCCTCTTCCCTTGCCTCCTGTACCCGCGCATAAACGCTGTCCACTCTTTCCTCTCCTTGACAAAGATGACAACCCCGTTCCCGGCGTCGATTGGTGCGCTGTCAGCTACGATGCGCGCTTCCCACGCGGACGACACGGGCTGGAATGTGAAACTGTCGGTGTGCAGGACGTAGTATCTTTTTCTCTTGCCGTACTTGCTGGCGGTCTGTGAGGAGGGCGTTATCCAGCGTGATGCGGAAGACCAGATCCCGTCTGCTACGGCTTCGTGGAGGAGCACCCGTGGGATGTAGTTCCGGCATGTGAGGATGAGCTTGTTGCGGAGTAGGGTCATGTTGATGTCTGGGTGGGCGGGGGCGATGTTTGGTGAGTACGCCAGCAGCGGTTTTGAAGCCCGAGTCGAGCGGGTGCTGGGTTTGGCGAGTGGTGCTGTGCTGTGTCCGCGTAGGACGGTTGTGAATGTGTGGGGGGCAGACATGGTCTGGGTCTGGACGGAGGCCATGGTGTGTGGATGTCTTTCGGTTGTGACTGTGCTTGCTTGTAGGGCTGCTTGCCGAAGAATTCGCTGGAAGAATGTGCAAGAGAGTGTCCGCGAGGATTATGAAGACTGCAAAATTAGAGACGCAAGGAAAGTGGGATGTCTCTGTCTTAAGAGTGCTCTCACACCAGCTGGATATGGGCTAGCTCCGCAGAAACATGCAAGTGATTTCAGGGCTACTGCTTCGGAAATCAGTCGGGCTGACATGTATCATTCGTCCAAACATGCACATGCTGTTACCCTGGCGGTCAATCATGTGGCAAGCATCCAGGGACTGGAAGGACGAGCGAGAATCGCCGAACCTCACCGCACTACAGAAGACCTCACCTCACCGCAAAGAAGTGTAGCCTCACTCTTGGGACGGGCACGACAAAGAAGACCGTCCTGATGCTCTTTGTAACTACACTATGTATTGACTGTTGGGAGAGGTGGTTTCACAGGTGCACGTTTCTTTGTTGTGCAGAACTCGTTCAAAGACGAGGCTGGTAAGGATCCCTCAAAAAAGAAGCTAGCATCACCGCCTGTCACCATTCTCCCGTGGTACCCACTTGAGGAGAAAAAGCTGGGGGAAAAGCTGTACGTCAACGCGAAAAAGACCGTTTAGGGCCTGAGCGAAGCCCCACCTTCGTCAAAGACTTCCGCAAGCCAACTCTGGGACGCTGTTATTGCTTGATGGGAAAACGCTCAAGAGCTTTGAGAGCGTCGACAATGATACTGTTTTAGGCGAGACAAGTCACTGCTTGTTGGTCGGAGACTTTGAGGGGACAGGGAAGTCGCCGCCATGCTTCCTTGGGACTTGGTCCGTTCAGACTGCGCGCAGACAACTGCAGTGTCGATGCAGCGGTCCAGCCCATCGAATGCTATGCAAAGGATCTGTGGGAACTTCAAGAGAGCGGTGTTTACAAATTCCACAGCATCTGTCAGCCCCAGGTGCGCGGGTGCGGTGCTCTGTTACTCCCTTCGCGTACCTTGCTGCTTGAGGTGGGGTGAACTGTGTGCGGCGGTTGGCGCTTCGAGGCTCTCATGTTGCAAGAATAGCTGACTAAAAGACATATTGTTGTGACCCTCGGAATTCTCCATATATCATGAGACGCTTGCCGAGTATTCCCCAATTTCTCCCCTGAAAATGGGATGCTACCACCTATAGCCATTTATTCCTGCTCCCTGAAAACGAGGCTGATGGCGCTCGTTCCGAAGAGGGGGTTCCGACATTCCGATCTAATTTAGGATTCAGCTAGCGCCCGTAGCTTGATGCCACCTTTGACATTTGGGCATTTGAACATCACCGATTTACTAGGCAAAGAGCCACTTGTCACTCCTTACCTTACGTCTTTTTCACTCGAGGCGAAGTTCTTGCGCATACAGGAGCGCACCACGCTCCTTACGACCAATTGACGCGATTCTACTACGCCTAACGCTCGACCACCACCCTTCAAGCAACCGGTTGCGCCTATCGATATCGAAGTCGACATGGTTACGTCCGTGAAGCGCACAGCTTCTGAGGCGAAAAAAGGGGCCAATGGACACTCACGTCGGCTATCGGATGCTGTTCACTCCATCGAGAAGAAGATTGAGGAGCAGGTGGACTTGGCCGCGCGCAACCCGGCCGAAGAGAAGAAGGGAGGCTACTTGCTCTTGATCATCTGTGTTGGTGGAATCTATGCCAGCTTGTAAGTACTGGACTACTGTTTAGGTAATAGCATGGAATTAGGAGCTGACTGTGAACCAGTCTGAGCTGGGCATATCTCCAGGAACGTCTGACGACTACCACACATGGCCCATTGAACGCGCGCTTCACGTACCCCGTCTTCCTCAACACAGTCCAGTCCGCATTCGCCGCCATCACGGGTCTCGTCTATCTCTTCTTCTCCGCTCCTCGTGACAACATCACCGGCGCACGCCGCGTTCCCGCCGTCTTTCCCACGAAGCAGATCCTATATCCGTTGTTCTTGATCGCAGTCACTTCGTCACTTGCATCGCCATTCGGCTACGCCAGTCTCAAGCATATCGACTATGTCACATTCACGTTGGCCAAGAGCTGCAAGCTGCTTCCAGTCATGGCCCTTCACATCACTCTCTTCCGAAAACGCTACCCACTCTACAAGTACGCAGTCATTATATGCGTTACTCTCGGCGTAGCGATGTTTACGCTTTACAACCCCTCCACGGCTAAGAAGGCGGCGAAGAAGAGCGTCAGCGCGGACGCCTCCAAGACGCTCGGTCTGTTCCTGCTCGGCATCAACCTGCTCTTCGATGGCCTCACAAACACAGTTCAAGACCAGATCTTTACCAGATTCAAGTTCAGCGGTCCTCAGATGATGTGCGCTATGAATATCATGGCCACTGCCCTCACGACCGGCTACCTCTTCGTCTCGCCCTACCTCGCCGGAACACCTCTCGGTTCCTACATCGGTCTTTCGCCTACGGGTAACGGCGAGCTCAGCGACGCGCTTGCTTTCGTCACCACATATCCATCTGTCGGTTGGGACGCCCTGGGGTTTGCGGCGTGTGGAGCTGTGGGACAAATTTTCATCTACACTACGCTTGCGCACTTCAGCTCGCTTCTTCTTGTGACAGTGACAGTCACCAGGAAGATGCTGACGATGCTGACGAGCGTTTTTTTGTTTGGACACACGGTTACGGGTATGCAGTGGGTGGGCGTTGGGCTGGTGTTCGGTGGTATCGGGGCTGAGGCTGGGTACGGACAGATCGAGAAGAAGAGGAAAGCGAAGGCGAAGGCGTTAGCAGAAGAGAAGCAGCAGTAAGGATCTTGATTTCAAACGATGCTCATAGATTAGAAGAATGTGCTGAATGGGTAGAATTGTCGCAAGGCTGAGGCAGCTGCATTAGTGACCTTAAGAACCCTACCTGCTTATCTCAGCCTTAGCTTACTTCGGTTTTAACAGAAACTGGACTATCGCTCTCCTATTGCGTATTGTTTTCATTCCCACACGGCACTCTTCTACTAAGTAATGAGTATATGACGCAGTCTCAACAGTGTGCGACAGGATTCGAATGCAGCCAAAAGCTGCAACAAGGCTACCTCGAACATCCGCCCTATCGATCGGACAACTGCGTACTGGCGCGCATCGGCTCTGAGTGACCCCAGACATCCGTTTCATTGATTACCTCGGCACTGTCAATTGGCAACCGCAGTACGTCATGAGGCTGATCAACGTTGACACCCGGCTACTGGAGGACTATGTCGGCAACAGCCGTCCCAATTATGCCATCCTATCACATACTCGGGAGGAAGAGGAGATGACCTACGCTCAGGACATCGGGGGCGAGTTCAAGCAGATGAAGGGCTTCGGTAAGATTAATATGACTTGCCGCATAGCCAAAGGGCGGGGCATATCGCATGTCTGAGTTGATACCTGCTGCATTGATAAGGGCAGTAGTGCGGAGCTGTCTGAAGCCATCAACTCGATGTTTCGGTGGTATCGTGGCGCGCTGGAGTGCTACGCGTATCTGTCAGATTTGCACTCTGGGGCGGATTGGAAAAAGGACTTCCCCCGATGCCGTTGGTGAGTGATCAATCATCTGCCCAAGACTTCATGCGGAGCAACACGCTGCCCATGGGTATATCAGCATGGTGCTTAAGATAGCGCAGGTTTACTCAAGGATGGACATTCCAGGAGCTGATTGCTCCTCGCTACCTCTCCTTCCTCGACTCGATATGGGATACGACGAGACGCGGAGACCATCGCAGCAGATCATATCTAGCTCCACTTCTGTCAAATAACCAATTTCGATGTGCGAATTCGTATCGACCCTTACAGTCATCGCTCCGTACGATCCAGCCGGTACTGCGTCGCTCGAAAGATGTCTTGGGCAGCAGATCGAACAACTACAAAATTGGAAGACATGGCGTACTTTTTGCTAGGTATCTTCGATGTCAATATGCCCCTGTTGTACGGCGAGGGCGAAAAGGCCTTCATTCGGCTACAGGAAGAGATAATGCGATCAGTGGCCGATTTGAGTATTCTCGCATGGAGTTATTCACCGCCGCTTTGCAGCACCAGCAATGACCACCTGCCCTTAACCGTCCACAACGGCACCGGGAAATACACCAAGCGCCTCACTGGGGTGTTGGCCACTTCCCCAGGATGCTTTCGGCAGTGCAGAAACCACACAACGATGGTCGAAAACGTTGCTCGAGAGTTTACAGTCACCAACGTCGGGATCAAATTACGTGCAAGATTGTATCTCGACGGTGTCAATCGAGTGCTCTTACTGCCACTCAATTGTACAACATCTGTTTCAGGGCCTGAGCTCGCACTACATCTGCTACACTTGGATCGGCAACGGTACATGAGGTTCGATCCTTCGAAGATATCTGCTTTCCGGCCTGAGCTTCTTGGCCCTGCTCGACCGACAGAAATTTATCTTCGTACTCTGGACGTCTACAGTACGGGAAGCTCGCAACTTGTAGCCACCGAAGTCACGCCCCGGCCGCACTTAATTCAAATTGAACCTCTTCTCTTCGATTCGGCAGTTTCCAAACCCTGGCCTGCAAGTTGGTATGATCGTACGGATCAAACTTTCTTCATCGGCCATGACCGCACGCAAGACATGTGTACCGTCAACATCTGGGTTTCTACTTCAGACGCTACTGGCTTGTGCGTACGCAGGATTTGGCATTCTCCCAGCCAAGAGATGCGAAACAGCCATGACAGAAATACAAGCACGTATGTACCGATGGCGTCCGGAGTCCGATCGTGTTTGTCTAGTGGCGCTCAAGTGCGAATTGGTACGATTCGAGTTGAGCAGGCCTGTGCTCATGCATCTCGTCGCAGGGACAGCATCGAGACTGGGCCAACCTGATCAAATGCCCTACAATACTCAGTATGACGTCCGCATTATCCGTGAGATATGTACTTGTTGTTTAGTGCAAAGCTGCTCAGTGAAGGAGTATCTTGTACTCACTCATCTATAGGTATCAAACGCAACACGAAGGTCATTTGCTCTCGTAGATATTCTCCGTTTGTTGGCATTCAGCTACAAACCGTAATTATCGTGCAATGAGAAAGAGAAGGCTATATAAGTCTGGATGAGTGAGCTTAAAGTCAAACGCATAACCACAGAGACTTCTCGGGGAAAATGCAGGAGCCGTTGGATACTCGATTCGACTAGGCTTCTAGGCCTGTTCGTAGAGTTGTGACACGGAGAAGGGTCCTCAAAACACGCCGGCAATTCGCCTGCTACGTCCTTGAGGTTGCTTCAGGACATACAATCATGAGTTGCACTGCCAAAACCCAAAAATGTGTAGCAAAGAAGGCCACCAGTGCGGTTAGCGATCGCCGGTAATTGCACGCTTGTCTACGAGCTCCTCTCCATCCCCACCTGTCAAGTTAAACCATGCTGCAAATAGATGGGTGCTGACCAATTAATTCATTGTGCAGGTGCCTTGCCGCTTGAATTGCCAACTTAGCAGTCTCTACAACGGATTTCACATGTAATGATCACAAGCAAAGAGCACAAACGAATTCAGTGATGTAATTCGAAGGCACATGGCATTCTGGAGAAGTATATACGAAAGATATAAAAGTATAGACGGAGAAGTTATTGACTTAAACCATCAAAACGGGTTTGCTCCGATAGTCCAGCTCAAGGAAGCGATGATGGTGTGGGTGAGATGCTTAGCAAGCAGCGCCGGAGCCGCTGGGGATGTTGGAGCACGCAGTGCTCTTGGTTCCGCTAGTGATGCTGTTGCCAGACCACTTCCAGTTCGAGCAAGAGCCCTTACCGCAGAGGATGTAGGTCTCAACACCCTTGGAGGCCATCGAACCAGTAACGCCGGAGACCTTGAGGTCGGTGATGGGGACACCGGTGGTGGGCTTGCCGGTGGGGGAGCCGTTCTGGTAATCCTGCTGGATGACGATACCGTATCTGGCAATGTTGGAGAGGGTGATGTCTTTGTAGGTAACGTTGGAGACGGAACCAGTGGCGCCAGAGATGGTCTTGATGCGTACACCGTTGTCAGAGTTGATAATGCTAGAGTTCTCAATGACTACGCCCTTGACGGTGTTGTCTGAGCGCCCACCGACAGAGCCAATGGACAGACCGTGACCACCAGAGCAGGTACCACCGACGAAGTGGATGTCGGTACCAGAATTGATGGCAAGGCAGTCGTCCTGGTTCTTGATGTTGGCGTTGGAGATGGTGATGCCGGTGGAGCTGCCGATGTCGAAAGCGTCAGTGTTGTGACCACCGTTAGTGACATCGCCGGCGGAGTTGTCAATGGTGATGTGGTCAAGAGTGAGGCCAGTGGCGCCGTCGATAGAGAAACCCTGGACAGGGGTATTCTTGATGTTCAAGTTGGAAATGGTGGACTGCTTCATGGAGTGAGCATAGAAGAACTTCGGCTTCGTTTTGCCGCCGTTGCTACCCTTGCCATCCCACCACTTAGCACCGTTGGCGTCGATGACGTGGCCGGAGGCACCCTTGATGGTGACCTTGGTACCGGAGACCGAGATAAGAGGGCCTTCCCACTCCTTGTAGCCGAAGCTGGTGGTACCCTGGAAGGTGACAGTGGTCCCGTCCTGGAGCTTGGTAAGATCAAGGGTGGTACCAGCAGGAACAGCGACGTTGTTCAGAACGATGGTAGTGCAAGAGCTCTTGCCCTTAATGGCGGAGGCAGCGTCCGAGAATGTGCAGCTGGCACGAGCATCCAGGCCCGTAGGAACAGCAGACACAAGCGCGCCAGCGCCAAGCAGGAGAGAAGCTTTGATGGCAACCATGTTGATGTTGGTGAATATAATGAGTGACAAAAGAAGCGAATGAACAAGAAGAAGCAAATGCAATGAATGACTGGTTGAGTGATGTTGAGAGGCGTGAGCCAGCGGTACTTATAGCAGGCCGCCATTGCATATATCGAAGCATCCAGGAAGTCTTCAGAAGCATACCTACCTAATGTCGAGTGGATCGGTAAGGCCGAAGCTTGTCGCTCTTGGCCAAGCTTGTCCCTATAGTAGATTAAGGGATGTTGTGGAAATGAGTGGCCCAAGCGAGTGGCGCTCATGTCGAGACTCTCGAGACTTGACATGTGGGGCTGCAGAAACCATCTCTCCACAGTCGGAAAATACTAGGTATGTGGGTCTTAACTTTGCAAGAAGACGTGCAAGGACTCTGCATGGCCTGAAACCTCGATGATGTGTTAAGAGTACAATGGTGGGAAATTTGACGCCACGCAGCCACATCTGTAGGATTAATTGGCACATTAGACAAGCTTTTCTCACGAAAGATGGTGTGTTGTGTCTACTCGAACAGGTAATGTGACCCTTGTCATGGCAATTTGCGGGAGTGATGGTGAAACGAAACGCCTGAAAATCATGGGTCCGGACGTGTGACGTGTGGAGTAGTTCCCAAACACCTGATGTTGGTGATTGACGGGCGCGACGAGGAAGGTCCCGGACTAAGTGCAGCTTTCTAATTGAAGGAAAATTTGTGCATTGATTAGGCTCAGATGAAGGATGACAGACGTCGCGACTCAGTGCAGGAAGCGAAAGCACATGGCGAACACACTAGCGGCACCCGGGCGCCGCTATCCGATCACCAGATTCTGCAAACCTGCATCAATGCTCATCCATCTAGATTTTCAACGATCTCGCCATCTAGCATCAGCCATCACTTTGAGCCGTTATTCAACTAATTTGCGATATGCAGTCTCCGCCACACGAGAAGGGCGACCACTTCGCCGGCGTGTGTTAGACCATCCTTACTCACTGAGACTTTACCCCCTCTGCCCCTTTGTTGCTGTAGCTTCGAAAGCCAGATCCTCTGTAAACCATGGCCAAGCTATCCAACTCCTCAGCAGCATCTCCGCGATTCGCAATATTCTTTGTTCGCCGAGTTCGAAGTTATTGTTCTAACGTCCAGAAATCATGAAAGGGTCAAGACGCGCGAAATATCAAGCCAGCCAGTCTGCACTCCGGAAGAGGTATATACTCTTCACGCGGAATATCACTGAATATTCGGCAGCCACACGTGGGTTATCCATTGCACAACACTCCTTATATTTTTTCAAAGCATCACCCAGAGTAGCTGACAATGACCCTACGGCAGGGAGTAAGCTTCGCTCGTCGACATGTCCTGTACCGGCAAGCTGAAAGCACGCCCTTTATACATAGCGGCGGTACTCGTACATCTGTTTAGTCGTCATAATATCCGCTTTCGTGTGCCGCGTCATCATACACGGCACGTTAATCGAAGATCGTCCGACGTATGATCCAGGCTGGTTGATCTCTGATCCAGTTGCGTGCGTATTCGCGCTCCGCATCGACCGGTGTTTGTGGCATCGTGTCCGTCCCAAGCGTCTGGTCGGCATCTTGGGAAGCCTTGTGCTACACGACCTTTATAAAACTGTGGGGACCGGCTTGAGAAGCAGAAGGCTGAAAATCAGGTTTGCCTCGGAGAGCGAGAGGAATGCTTGCAAGATTGTCTTAGGTCTAGTTGCAATTTCTAGTACTGACGCTACAGGGACCGTGCACATCGTGCACGGATTCACATCGTGCACGCGAACTCCATAACGTGCCAATTTCCTCAACACCATAACTTCACAACGGCATGGATTTAGAAGCTGCGCTTGAAGCCTGTGACAGAGCAGATGCAGCTGGTGAAATTTCTTATACCAAAATTGCTGACCAAAGCTTAGTGTCGCGATCTACGCTGTCGCAGCAGCACCAACGCGTATGCGCGTCGCGTGAAGAAGGCAACTCCACACGTCAAAAGCTCAACCCACAACAAGAGTATGAGCTTGTTAGTTATATAAATAAGCTTACAGAGCAAGGGCTACCACCTACAAGGCAAATGGTGCAAAACTTTGCGTCAGAAATGGCCCAACAGTACGTTGGAGATAGCTAGGTTACTAGGTTCCTGCACTGTCACCCCAATGAGCTCCTATACAAATGGACCTCCGCCATAGACGCCTCACGTCACAACGCCGACGATAGCGAAAAGTACTCATACTATTTTAACCTACTACGTTCCAAGATCAACCAATACTCTATCAAGCCACAGCACACGTACAATATAGATGAGAAGGGCCTAGCGATTGGATTGGTGAATAGGAGCAAAAGGGTGTTTAGTAAGGCAGCTTGGGAAGCCAGAGGCAAACGCCAAAGCTTGCAGGATGGCAATAGAGAGTGGGTAACAATTCTCGCAGCTATCTGCGCTGACAGTTCAACGTTGCCACCAGCCATCATATATGCAGGCCAGCCAAACAGTCTACAATCCTCCTGGATGGAGGACCTGGACGCAGGCAAAGACTCTATATACTCTACTGCAACGCCCTCTGGCTGGTCCAACAACAAGGTTGGTCTTGCCTGGCTTGAACAGGTGTTTGAGCGGGAAACTGCGAGTAAAACTCACAGTAGTTGGCGCCTACTCATACTTGACGGCCACAGCTCTCACATAACGATGGCTTTTATCGACTATTGTAGTCGCCACAAGATTCTACTACTTATCTATCCACCTCACAGTACCCAGACGTTGCAGCTGCTTGATGTGGGTTGCTTCTCACCTTTTGGCAACAACTACTCCAAAGAAGTCACTGAACAACTCCACCAGAGCCAGGCCTTGACTAGCATCAAAAAGCGTCATTTCTACAAGCTTTTCCAAGCCTCCTGGTACAAAATGTTCAACAGCAAGCTTGTGCTGGCTGCGTTCAAAGCCACGGGCATCTCACCACTAAACCCAGCTATTATACTTGACAGGTTTCAGAACAAGCCAAGCGAGCTTCCGCGAACTCCATCTCCATTACTTGACGTCAATAGGGTCGCGATAGAACAGTTTTGCAAGGCAATAGTGAAGGACTCTACAAGTTATGAGGCAAGGAAGCTGGTTTGCACGTTCAACTACTTAGCAGCTCGCAACGCCCTTCTGGAGGTAGAAAACAAAGGCCTCCACAACCAAATTGACACCCGGAAGACCTCTCGGAGGTACCACCAAGCCCTACTGTTACAGGCCTCCAAGTCCTATACTTCCAACGCGATGTTGTGGTCTCCAACAAAGGTGGATGAAGCCCAAGCTCAACTATGTCAAAATACCCGCCAACAGGCTGAGGAAGCTGCTGCAAAGGCTCGCAAAAAGGCAGAGGCAGCTGAGAAGAAGGTTCAAGATGAGCGGGAGAAGGAGCAGCGGAAGGTGGAACAAGCGAGGGCAAAGGAAGAGAAAGCCCTCAGGAAGGCTGCTGAGAAGGCCAAGAAACAACGAAAAAAACAAGAGAGCGACGCTGCCAAATCTATCCAACTATCCCAAACAGGCAAGCGCAAGGCCTCACAGAAGCCACCTACAGAACCTCCAGCCAAAAAACAGCGTGCGCGTGGCGCTACTCAGGTTGTAGTTGAGGCGTCACCTTCCCCAACACCTCCACCAATTACTACACGCAGCAGCCGCACCACGCGACCAAATAGAAAATGGGAGCAGGACAAGCATCATAGGTGTTAGTAGACTGTTACAACAAAAAAATCTCAATATAATAGCTTTTGTGTGTGGCTCTATAGTCTTATTTTTGTGGTTGCCAAAGGTGGTTTTCGCGTGCACGATGTGAATCCGTGCACGATGTGCACGGTCCCTGTATAGTGAACCCTGCTGCGCTTCAGGTGATCGCATTGGCTCGACAGACATGACGAATATTGCCAGCATATCGATTGCTCCATCGAAAGCTCTGTTAGCAAATAGCAAATGGTGAAAAGTATCCTCGTAGTTTGGAGTAGGAAAGTGAGTGATCAGGTCCCAGGGCATGAACGCAGCTGCCCACCTGCTCGGAGGCCTATTGGTAATCAGAACCTCAAGTCCTTATTTGTGACTGTATTGATACAAAGATCCAGGCTAATACTATACCGGAGAGCACATGTGTCCTGACAGTCATTCCGCACAGCTGCGATAACGTTTCCACACGATAAGCTGCGATCGATACTTCGTTTAGGATGGCGATGGCCACTCGTTAGGACATCTTTCTCGTCAGCTGCAATATGGAGCGCAATGGCCTGGAGGTCGTCGAGTGTATCTGACATCTGCACAAAGGTACTAATCGCATCGTCGCGCTTAGCGCACGCACTGCGGAAGTGGCGAAGAAAGTCTTCCCGGCATTTGTCCTTCTTCTTCTCGCGCGCGTGGCAGATTTGAGGACTCTCCTGAGGGAAGCAAATGTGTTCCCGGTTGGCTGCCGTTTAGGTCACGAGCTGCGGTGCCTCGCTTTGTCGTGCCGCGATGCCCACGCAAAGGGGTTATTGTCGGCCCATGCTTGCGTCTGGCGTTGAGGTTGCAACTTCGTCGGCGAGCTGATCGAAATGTCCATGTTGGACTACTTCGTAGGTGCTTGGCCCGGGATTCGTGATCGCGAAGACACTGAGCGACAAGTGGCGGTGCGGCTGGCGTCGGTACTCGAAGTTCGCGCGCTTGACGTTCGTGAATCGTTTGCTGAGGAGGTATTCAGCGAATCGCCCCCTAGACTACGTAGGGTTCGAGCTGACAGCATAGCATTACTGTCAGGTACGCACAGCTCTGTTGCCAATCAATAGTCAAGTCCAGAATCACGCTTACAGCAAACTGTACCCTCTAAAGCGGTTTTGCTTCTGCCAAACGCCCATAGGAGTCATCTGGCAATCATTTGTGTAGTACATACTACAAGACTGATTTAAGCTTTTCAGTGTATCCGGGACTGCGATGTAAGCTGGCAGTGGCACGACAAAGGGTTGGCTTTCAAGGTTGCAAGCGTTTTGTTCAATCCATTGGATCGAATCCAATTTTTTGACATCAATCTCGTACTGTAAGTCACTACAACGAAACGGTCTCTGTTGTGTGATCCGGCGGGAGTTAACATAAATAAGGAGCAGATTTATTGACCAGGATCGATGACGTACCCCGCCCGCATTGCCTATCAAGGACCCACTCTCCAAGAGCAGCAACACAATCCTGCAATCGACGCAGCACGAGCCCCATGACCATTAAAGCCACCACTCGCCTCAGCACATTGCCCGGGAAGTATCTGCCCAATTGGAAGATTTGTACAAGATCTTTAGCAACAATGGCACCCCCAGTACGGCCGCGTAGATTTGCGCCGCTCAATTTGGAAAAGAAGAGCGAAGGAGACAAGCGCCCTACTCTGAAGGGAATTGTGTTCGATGTCGATGGGACGCTGTGTCTCCCGCAGAATTACATGTTTGGTGAAATGCGGTACGTGTGTGCTCGTTCAGGGCGCAGCAGGCACTAACACACTGCAGTTCGGCTCTTTCCATTGACAAAGGCACCGACATCCTGGATCACATCTACTCACTGCCATACGCTGAACAGGAACAAGCTCAAGAGAAGGTTCGAGATATTGAACGCACCGCGATGAAGAAGCAGAAGCCACAGGCTGGTCTTGTGGAACTCATGGCGTATTTGGACTCAAGAGGGTTGAAGAAAGGCATCTGTACACGCAATTTTGATGCACCCGTTGAGCACCTCCTCACCACTTTTTTGCCTTCGTCAGAGTTCAGCCCCATCATCACACGCGAATTTCGTCCACCAAAGCCAGATCCTGCTGGTATCCTGCACATCGCAAAGCAGTGGATGCACAAAGACGGCGGTGAGAGTCTGATCATGGTGGGCGATTCCATCGACGACATGTCTGCTGGCTTTCGCGCTGGTGCCGCGACGGTATTGCTTGTCAACGACGTCAACAAGCACCTTGCCAAGCATCAACACACGGATCTTGTTGTGAAACAGTTGGATGACCTGATTGAGATTCTGGAGAACGGCTTCGAAGGGAGAGTCGAGTCTGATCAGGAGGACGTTGATCCCAAAGGGCTCGTCGAAGAGGCCACAAAGTAGAGCTGAGGAGAGTTTGTTACGATCGCCTTATACTTAAAGTTTGTCTAGACAATGCAGCTGTGTGTACATTGTTGACATGCAAGGAACGTCCCGACGAGACTTAACGTCGGTCTCCGAAGCAACACAGGTTCGACGCCCCTGCATGTTGCATTGGGCTGTGCTCGCTGACATCATTGCGCGAACACCAGCCACTACCGGTACTAGAGATCCCAACGCAACAACTTCGACGGGCCCTGGCCCTACGCGTCAATATCACCGCCAAGATTGCGTGCTTACTTGCGCCTGTCGATGGTGCAACCATTTTGTGGGGAGGGCTGGCTGCAAGCTTTGCTTTGTGCCCGCGCCCCGGCGCCAGCCCTTCGCGTTGCCAGTTGAGCCTCAGGCAACCCGTCGTTTCAAGCACCACCAAGCTCCCCAGGCATCCTCTGAAGTCGCTTTCTCAGTGATTTGTCTCGACAGCAACCGCGAACCGTAAGCTTCTCACACATGCAAATTCAATATGCTCATGATGGCATTGGAAACAAGCACCTCCTCTATCGGGCACCCCTACGTGTCTCGCCACAAGTTGACTGGAAAACCATCGTCAGGGGTACACCAATCACAGGCTACACCTGCGGCAAACTTTACCCACACGACCACGTCGCACGGCATCGCTTGGGTGCTGTAGTGAGATGATCGTCCCTTGCACGACGAGAGACCAGGTACCGTGAAACGTCCGTTCTTTTGGGCAGTTGCTTGCGTCTTCTTGATTCGGGGGCTTCGTTGTCTCAATCGGAACTCTCAGGTATATGCAAGCACTATATCTTCAACCCTCCCAGCGTTCTGCTCTTGTTAGGCACAGCCAGACTACGTTTCTATGAAATATTCACTCATTGCTGGCCTTCTGGCCGTTGCTGGTGCAAATGGCAAACCGGCTTCCCACATCGAAAGCGAGTCCGTCAACGTTGAGACTTTGCGCACAGTGCCCCAAGGATGGACTGCAGTCGGTACTCCAGTAGGCCATCGCAAGCTCCCCTTCCGCATTGCTGTCCGCTCGGTACGTTCACTTCTTGTTCTCGTACACAAATGAAGATGCATTCTGGCGATTCAGATCTTCACACGTGGGCAAAGTCGCACGAGATCCGCAGTTTGCTAACCTTTCCCAGGCCGACAGCGATATCCTCGAGCGAACATTAATGGAGGTCTCGGATCCAAGCCATGCCCGCTACGGCCAGCATCTCAAGCGTGATGAACTCAAGGCTCTCATCAAACCCCGTGCAGAGTCTAGCAAAGCTGTTCTCGGCTGGCTGGCAGAGTCAGGTGTCAGCTCTGAGGACATTAAGAACGATGGTGAGTGGATCACGTTCCACGCTCCTGTTGAGAGGGCCGAGTCAATGCTTGGTACTACCTTCAAGACTTACCAGAATCAAATTCGCCGAGATGTGAAGAGGGTTCGATCTCTGAGCTACTCCGTACCAAAGGCCATCAGGGACCATATCGATCTGATCGAGCCAACCGTTCGTTTTGGTCAGATCAAGGCAGAGCGCAGCAACGTCCTCACACAAGAAGCAGCCCCCTTTTCCGTTGCTGCTGTCAACGCCACATGCAACACCACCATCACCCCTGCTTGTCTCAAAGACTTGTATAACTTCGCCAACTACAAGATTGATCCTAAGGGTGCTGTCAAACTCGGTGTCAGCGGGTTTCTCGAACAGCTGGCTCGCTATACCGACTTGCAGCAGTTCGTTTCGACGTTTGCGCCGGCTGCTGGAAGCAACTTTACCTCCACTTCTGTAAATGGTATGTATAGTACCTGGTCAACAGTTGAACAGTGCTTACACCCACACCAGGCGGCACATCGGATCAGAACGCAACGGACGACAGCGTGGAGGCTAACCTTGATATTGAATACACAGTGGGATTAGTTGATCCCACCATCGAGACGATCTTCTACAGCACTGCCGGACGTGGCATCCTCGTTCCTGACCTGGATCAACCGAGCGAGGCTGACAACGCAAATGAGCCGTATCTTGATTTCTTTACCTATGTTGCTGGACTCCCTGACGACGAGCTTCCCCAAGTCCTTACTACATCCTATGGTGAGGATGAGCAAAGCGTACCTGCGACTTACGCTAAGAAGGTGTGCGACATCATCGGCCAGCTCGGCACTCGCGGTGTGTCCGTAATCTTCAGCAGTGGAGATACTGGCGTGGGATCAGCATGCCAGACCAACGATGGCAAGAACACAACCCGGTTCTTGCCCATATTCCCTGCCTCATGTCCTTATGTCACTTCAGTCGGCGGCACTTCCAAGATCGAACCAGAACGCGCCGTCAGCTTCTCCTCAGGCGGCTTCTCAGACCTTTGGGAGCGCCCAGCCTACCAAGATGCGGCTGTCGGCGTATACCTTGAGAAGCTTGGCAGCCAGTGGAAGGGCCTTTACAATCCTGCTGGACGCGGGTTCCCAGATGTCGCTGCTCAGGGTCAAGGCTTCCGTGTCGTTGACAAAGGCCGCCAGATCTCCGTTGGAGGTACTTCCGCATCAGCGCCTGTCTTTGCTTCCGTTGTCGCTCTCTTGAACAACGCCCGTCTTGCTGCTGGACAACCGTCTCTTGGCTTCCTGAACCCATGGATCTACAGCAAGGGCTACCAGGGCCTCACTGATATCAAGGATGGAGGTTCGACTGGATGCATCGGCAGATCCATCTACTCAGGTCTCAAGGCGCCTCTGGTGCCCTATGCGTCCTGGAACGCAACTGAGGGTTGGGACCCTGTAACAGGTTACGGTACTCCCGACTTTGAGAAACTGCTTGAACTCTCGCAGGGTCAGTCGAACAGCTCGTACAGCGTGCCTCCGTCATAGGAGCTGCACATGTCCGTAACAACCGTGTAGACTAGCGTAATAACTCCAATATGAACAAACCTCCATTTGCTGTTGCTTTGTCGTGGGATTCTGGTCATCAAAGCGGAGTGCAGAGGCGTGACTTTTGATCTGCGCGAATGCTGCCTCGCTCCATTAGTTCGTCTTTCGTACACCCTTCAGAGTTTTGTATACTTCACGAGGCTGCCTGATCAGCACATGGAGTTACCAAACTCTTCGCTGTCTCGTCTCCGATTGCCGGCCTACGAAAGCATCTCGCCGCTAAAATCCTGCGACCTTCTACATTCGGTTAGTACGCCTCAATTATCTACAGCAAGCATTGGCCAAGTAGCTTGAGCCGTCGCCCACTGTTGCCACGAACTAGGCACGCTCTTCTGGAAGTAGGTACCGAAGGCATTGATTATCGCTATTCCCGCTCCAGCCAGTCGCAACGCAGCGCACACACAAGTGACTCGCGTGACGAACATATCCGGCCTGGCTCATCGGCGGTTGACAGAGGTATTGCGCCGACGTCAAGGATATACCTAGAGAAAGTGGAGAGAGCGGCTCCAATGCGTGAGCTTGTCGATGGTGGCGTGTCTTGGTAAAGCTTTTTTCCCGCGATAAGCTGTAGGTCCGCGATGTTCCGCAAACGACTCGCTGTCGCTGTTCCTCCCGATCAAGGGCCTCCACAAAACGACGTTCAGCCTATCTTATCGACCTGACTGAGTCTGTGGTATCCGTCATAGCAACACTCTCGCAAGGAACAAGCAGATACAGGCTGGGGACCGATGACTTGGTGGCTGGACGACGTTTATGGAATACGACTACGGCCTGCCCAAAGAGGTATGAAGCTGATTGTTCTTGTCAAGCTACAACGATTTGTGCAGTACAACCGTGGATAAATGTCGCGTTATGGCAGGGAAGCACCGAAATGACATCGAGGCCTGAGCCCGGACCAAATTTGTACTTCAAGTCGAGCGTATCCGCGTCCTGGTCTTTAGCAGCTCCCTAGGCAAGCTCCGCGAACAGCCAACATGCAGCTCATTACCTCTCTTTTGGTCATTGGCGGCCTCGCAACCAGCGTTGCTGCACGAAACCCTGCAAGGTCTGTGGGCAAGAAGTTTGATTTTCCCAAGCCTCAGCGTCCTTCGCGCAACGTCCAGCACGCCAAGCGCCAGTCCACTGTGAACGAGACTACACCGCTCGTCACAGCTCCCGGTGCTAAGAGTAAGTGATCGACTCAATGCTCGCAACTTGGTCGTTAATGAGAGACAGAGTTCACTGTCAATGGTACTGCTGGTGCTATCCCCGACGTCGACTTCGACATTGGCGAATCGTACGCTGGCTTGTTGCCAATTTCAGCGAAGGCCAACGAAACTTCTGAGCTGTACTTCTGGTTTTTCCCTTCTGCAAACCCAGATGCCGATGAAATCACCATCTGGCTAAACGGTGGACCTGGTTGCTCGTCTCTCGAGGGTTTCTTGCAGGAGAACGGTCCTATCAGCTGGCAGTACGGCAGCGGGTCTCGTGCTGTCTACAACCCGTGGAACTGGGTAAACCTCACCAACATGATCTGGGTTGAGCAGCCAATTGGCACTGGTTTCACTCAGGGTACACCCACCGCCACCAGCCAGGAGGAGACTGCAGCACAATTCCTTGGCTTCTGGAAGAATTTCATGGAGACCTTCGGGCTTGTCGGCAAGAAGGTCTACATTGCAGGCGAATCTTACGCTGGAAGATTCGGTAATTTTCAATGCCTATGCCGTCCTGCGCGCTTCTGCTAACGTGTTCAAAGTCCCGTACATTTCAGATGCTATGCTCAACGAGAACAACACCGACTACTATAACGTTAAGGCCGCCATGATCTATGACCCCAGTGTTGCCGAAGACACTTTGCTCGAAGACATTCCCGCCGTCTCATTCGTTGACCGCTGGTCTGATCTTTTCAACCTCAACAAGACCTTCACGAAGGACATCCATGACCGCGCTGACAAGTGCGGCTACACTGAGTACATGGAGAAGTACCTGACCTTCCCCCCAGTCAGCAAGCTCCCTACCCCCGCGGAAAACGCCTCCAACCCCGAGTGCGATGTCTGGGGAGCCATCCTCGACGCTGTTACGTTGACCAACCCCTGCTTCGACATATACGCTGTCGCCACCACTTGCCCTCTACTCTGGGACGTGCTTGGCTTCCCCGGATCGTTCGACTACCTTCCTGCTGGCGAGGAAATCTACTTCAACCGCACTGCTGTGCAGAAGGCTATCAACGCGCCCATCCAGGAGTGGGCTGAGTGCTCCAACGGTGTTCTTGATACCGACACATCACCTCAGTCTAGCTGGGAGGTCATTCCTCGCATTACTGAGAAGCTCGACCGCTTTGTCATCGTTCACGGCGAGCTCGATTACATCCTTATGTACAATGGTACCCTAATGGCCATCCAGAACATGACCTGGGGTGGTATGCAGGGCTTCCAGGAGGCTCCCAAAGACGAGTTCTTCGTTCCTTACCACGATGACTTCAGCCTGACTAGCCTGAGTGCCAAGGGTGTCATGGGAACCACACACACCGAGCGCAAGCTCACCTGGGTCAGCCAGGCACTGTCCGGCCACATGGTCCCTCAGTACCAGCCCAGCAGCGCGTACAGGCAGCTTGAGTTCTTACTCGGCCGTATCCCCAGCTTGACATCTACTGAGCCGTTCACCACTCTCAGAGGTAATTCGACCGCGAAGAGAGACCTTGGTGTCATGCATGGCTACTAAACGTTGGTGTCTGTATAGCATAGATGATTTAACGGGTAATGTAATGCGTGCTGCACTATTGAATAACAAAAGGAGACAATCCATTTATGGAATTCTCTCAAATCTTCTGTGATCGGTGCAATTGAGGCTCCGTCTCGTCGTTCTTGATTTTCCGGAGCTACCGGTAAATGGACCCTGTCAGCCAAATCGGCAACCAGCCCGCGTCAAGCACCCCACGATGACACTCCGCCCTTTTCCCCGCCGCGCCTTTGCATGATCACAACCTCCCCATCATGACGTCCAGCAACAAATTACATCTGCGCCTACTCAGCAAACTTTCTTTTCCATCATGTCGACCATAGAGCTGCCATTGACGCGCGAGTCCATTGTCGCGGCGCACAAGCTCATCAAACCCCACATCCACACCACGCCGGTGCTCACCAACACCACGCTCAGCAACCTCGCATCCATACCACAGTCACCTGAGGCACTGAAAGGGACGCCATGGGAGGGCCAAGAGCCTGCGAGGCCGAAGATTAGGCTGTTCTTCAAGGCAGAGAACTTCCAGAAGATCGGCGCATTCAAGGTCCGTGGTGCTTTCCACGCAGTCCTGCGGCTGGTCGAGGAGAAGGGAATCGAGCAGGTGCGGAGGAAGGGCGTTGTCACACATAGCTCTGGTATGTCTGCTTTCTTGGTGCCCTACCTAGGTCCTTGTTGGTGCAGCCACATGTCCTCCTCTCATCTCCATCCAGACCTCAAGTATAACACAATGCTAACTCCTCTCCAAAGGCAACCACGCGCAAGCCCTCGCCCTCGCCGCCCGCACACTTTCCATCCCCGCTTACATCGTCATGCCCTCGATATCCACGCCCAGCAAAATCGCCGGCACCCGCGCCCAAGGCGCCATCATGCACTTCAGCGGCTCGACAGCCGCCGAGCGCGAGGCCGTCGTCGCAGATGTAATCAAAGACACAGGCGCGACGCTCATCCCGCCATACGACCATCCACACATCATGCTCGGGCAGGGCACCATGGCACTCGAGTTCTCGGCCGAGGTGGAGGATCTGCTGGCCGAGAAGCCGGAGCTGAGCGTGCACTACAAGTCATCTGTGGAGGGTACGAAAGGGCCATCTGGAGGGAGTTTGGATGCGCTCATCGCGCCCTGCGGGGGCGGCGGCATGCTCTCTGGCAACGCGATTTACTTCCACTCCAGCGCAACCCGTGTGTTCGGCGCCGAGCCGGAGTTCGAAGGCGCGGATGATGCGCGCCGAGGCGTCGACGCAGGCGAGCGCATCACGTCTGTCAAGACGCTTACCATCGCGGATGGTCTGCGGACGCCGCTTGGCCCACATACATGGAAAACCATTAGCGATAAGGAGTATGTGGCTGGCCTGTACGCTGTTACGGAGCAGCAGATCAAGGATGCACTGAGGCTTGTGCTGGAGCGTATGAAGTGCTTTGTTGAGCCGAGTGCGGTCGTTGGACTGGCGACTGTGCTATATAATGAGGAATTTAGGAAGATGGTCGAGAGGGAAGCTGGTGAGGAGGGTTGGGATATTGGGTTGATCTTCAGTGGTGGAAACACCACGATTGAGGCTATCGTTAAGATGTTCGGCGATGTCAGCGAGAGCAAGGCACAGAGGGAGAACGGCGTTGTTAGCTTCGATGGTAGGAAGGTTGCTGAGAATGTTGCTGGGTGATAGACTGTAGATGCTCAGTAATGGAAAGAACGTGTGTCGAGAGACCCATGATGCGTCGCTGTGATGGTTACGATTGGGACTGGAAACTATATCAAGAGGTGTATGGAGACGTGCTGTGAATGATACATTTCCTCAACCCCCGCCCAGCTGAATGTGCAGAGGGTACAACGCAGTGAAAGTTTGCATGTCCCCACCTCGATGTCCCGCAAGTGCTGTATAGTAAGATAGTGAGTTGGCTAAGCATCACATAAGTAAGAGAGATATGAAGGTAGCGAGATTAAATCGTCGTATTCATGTTGCTGTACAACAACACGGAAAATCCTATCTAGTGCACACCAAAGCTTGTACACCAAAGCACACCCCCGATAGCCACGCCCCCCTCATTCGACCACAATAATCCTCTTCCTCACCTCCTGGTGCTCCTCCTTGACATCCCCAAAGAGGTCGCTCACGATCAGCTCAACCCGGGAGGCCTTCACCACGAACTTGACCTCCTCCAGGACTTGGAGGAACTGCTCGTCGGCCTTGTGCCACTGGTCATCGACACGTATGTGAAGATGCAGGAAGCGCAGGTTGCAGAAGCCGTAATCCCCCCTTGTTAGGAGGAGGAGGAAGTGCGCCGAGGGACAGAACGCCATCATCTGCGTCTTCGTGACGATTTTGCGCAGTGAGCGCCCGTGCTTGTCTGTGCGCGCGAGGTCGTGGAGAATTTGCGGGGTGAAGTAGTACGTCTCGAGAGCAATCTCGATGCACATTGAGCGCAAATGGTGGCGGAGGTGAGGAGCGGGAACCGGAGCGGGGATGGCGGTGAGGTAGTCGGTTGCGCCGTTGAACAACGGCTTGCTCTTGAAGGCGAAGTTGAAGTTCTCGTAGAATGCTCCCATGAAGAAGGATGCGAACAGGGGCGAGACATTACGAATCCTGTTGATTGCGTAGTGACGGTTGAGGATGTCGAAAGTTTTGAAGTCGATTGACGTGTGAAACCTTGACTTCGGAGGGAACATGGAGACCGCCAAGATCTCGAAGATTTGGAGAAGTAGCTCATCAGGGAGCCGTGAGAGTTGAGGGCCAAGCTGAGTGACCTCAGCTGGGATGATGACGAGTGGCATCGTGGCAGAGGTTGTGGTGACTGGCTGGGCGTTCATGTTGATGGTGATAGATAGCTGCAAGAGAAGTTTCCAAGTGGCTTGATCAAGAGAAGAAGAGAGGAGAATGGTCGATGGTTGAAGAAGCTGAGAAGCGGGCGGATTCGCTCTTTGTATACTGAGCCTCTGCAATCTCGCGCCTCCACCAACGAGCATGGTACTCTCATCGTGAGCTTGGAAGTAGGTTAGGAAAGTGGATGTTCGCCGTGCTGAGGCTTACAGACTGGTGAACGCTGGCTCTGATGCTGCCAAAGAAGTGCTATGATTCGTCGAGACATTCTGCGCGGAGGGCTGGAGAACGCAACAGCCCCTGTCGAGTGAATTCTGTGGTGCTGTCTAGCTCCCGGGCTGCAGCGATCGGGCTCCGATTGGTAAGGCTTCGACCGTGTCGTGACGCTAAGCGGAGCACGGTAATAGCTATCGTGAAGGGGCTCTTCATCTTCATCACTTCAGCGCCTGTAGCGCCTGTGAGAGGGCTAAGACCGTGCAATCGCGCTGTCGAGGGTCTCTGTTGGTTGGACAAGTGATTTCGCTACATTTGCATGCCGGGTGAGAGCCTGAGGTCGTCGCCGCAATAAGCGTCGAGCCCAGCAGCCCGGCAACACAGCACCGCAGCTCTGAGTAACGTCGTCGCTGACCATGTCGATCGACACGATGAGAGTTCATATGGCCTTAATGTAACAAAGTGATTACTGGTCGATATGTGAACCATTACCGCGATGTTGGTGGCGGGCTGTGCTAGGAAGAGATCTTGCGCAGAGGCTTTCCCGCATGTTTGATCAGTGCTATCGTCCTTGCGCTGGCCAGAGAGGGTCTCGAGCCGGCCACGTGGGTCTGGATGCTTGTAGGACTCCGTTCGTCCACACGGGAAGTAATATGCGCCTTCGTTGTTTCAGAATTTGCTGGAATCAGTGGACTTTCTCCATACATCACGCTCGCGATGAATAAGAACCAGGCGATGCAGGTAGTCTGCTGAGAGGTCGCGAGATGGTGGTCGTAGTATGGACGTCCATCCTTGGGGAGACAGACCTGGGCAGTGATCAGTATACATTCAAAAGTAGCGAGCTGGCACTGAGGCGGACATTAACGAGGCTGCTTGCTGGCAAGGGTCATAGGAGGGAGTTGAGCATTAATTTCAATTAGTATGGGATCAAGGACATGACTGCTATGTGACTACTGTGACAGCTGAGACAGCTGAGGTTGCTGAGGCTGCTAGAATGCTGGACTGCTAGAAGCTGTAAAGATCAGTGTGTTAGTATGAGGTGAGGTGAACGATTCGATCGTCTGCGAAGCTGCTGCGCTTGCTTGACTGCTCGATTTATCTGAGATGGTACATTCTGCAAGCTGCAAAGCCATGTGGAGACTTGAGCTGCTGAGCGTGCACATTTTTAGATAAAAGTGTTGTGTTAAGGTGACGGGAAGTCGCAGCGGATGAGAAGTTGTTTACCTCTCGACGGCCCGTGCGCCTCGGTTGCGGTTTCCCCGCAAGCGACATCGCCGAAGTCATCTTACCTGCGAGCGGCCCCAACCTTCCCATCTTCAATGAGCAGTTGAACAAAGGCATTGAGGATGCCATGACCAAGAGGTCTTACGACAGTATAGCAGCCTCGCCGTACGCAGCGCCTTCAGGCCGGCAAGCCTCTCATGATGCCGACGGCAATGGGAGTCACGAGGATGGTGAAGGGTCATCGCTGAAGAAGCCTCGGTCTTTTATGGCTACCTTGGTATATCAACTACCTTCGCAGCTAACAGTCGCGCCACTAACGCTGTCAGGCCTGCGATATCTGCCGATTCAGAAAGACACGATGTGACGAGGACCGGCCAAAATGTGGCTATTGCCGGACTATGAACCTGGAGTGCACTTATCAAGTCCCCCGAACGACCAAGAAGGACCAGTCGATGGCAGTAGCAATAAATGCAATCCGTCGCCTCGAATCCAAGATCGAGGATTTGACGGCCGTCGTGCAGGCTTCGAAAAGCGCACATGCAGCACCAACGCCGGCTGCAATGCAAGCCTTAGATCACCGTTCGCCGATCTCGACTGTCTCGCAGCCGAGCCCAAGGAACGATGCCCAAGGACCACTGGTACCACGCCATGATCGATTGAGTGTCCACGAATCGGCCATGTCACCGCAAGCTGCACCGACGCCTGGCAAGAGCCCATACATGGTACCTGATCCTCAAAGCAAGGTAGCGCTCTCTTTCAGTCAGCATCGAGTAGCAGTATGGCCTGCCGTCCAGCAGATTCTGCCATCAGAGTTCGTGGCAGCCTGCACAGCCCTACCGGAGGACTACGTCGCTGAGATTGAGAGTCAGCGGCCGGCCCTCCCAATCCACATTGATCGACCGATGAATACACATCCGGAGACTTGGCTGATGGATTTACCCCAATCTGTTGTAAAGGGCATCGCAGACGCTTACTTTGCTGTATTCCATCGTAACTCGCCTGTCCTGGACAAGTTTCACTTCTACTCGAGCACGCTGGGCTTGGCCTTAGAGACTGACTTCGGGCACGACATCGAGTCATGCCTAGTGCTGATAGTGCTTGCTCTGGGTTGTCTTGCGGTAAAAGCCCACGAGGAAGGAGACTTCGCCTTACCATCACGCTTTGGTTCACCCGAAGGTGGCTTCACCCGGCCAGACTGGTACGGACCGGTCCTGGACAGCCAGCCAGGCCTAGGGTTCTTCAACGAAGCTCGCAAACGCTTTGGTTTCCTCATGACACAGAACAGTTTGCAAGCAGGCCAGTACTACATGCTGTCGACATTGTATTATGCGCAGATCTTACGACCTATGGACTCCTGGACGACTGTGAACAGAGCTGCGCTGTGCTGTACAAGCATCCTGACCCGGACCGAAGCTATCGACTTCGATCAGTGGGAGGGAGACATGTTTAGTAGGCTGTTCTGGAACACGCTCATGTACGAGACGGTTATTACACAGGAGCTCGATACCCTGCCTCACAGTGGACTCCTCGAGTTCGAGCCTGACATACCGTTGCCGAAATTCACCCCGTGCCCCCGACCAAAGACATCCATCTCTGGCCTGATTACAGATGAAGACGAGTCATTGTTCAACTTCCACTTTCTCGCTCAGGCTGCACACAGAATCATCCTCACCCGAGTCAAGCAGAACATATATTACTATGCGGCGAAGGAAGCATTTCCAAACGCCAGCATCACTGCGGAAATGCACCACCAGCTTGAGCAATGGCGCGCAAATCTGCCGCCGTCGTTGCAATTCGTAGACAGTGAAAGCGCCGACAACTCGCCCAGCCCTGCGCATGTCATCGCGAAAGCCATGTTGCGTAGTCGCTACCTCGTCGCAAAATTTCACATCGGCCGGCCATTTTTGTACAAAGCATTGCATGCGCCTGAGTTCACTAATAATGCAGAATATCAAGAGGTGCGAGAAGGGCTTCGAGGCGGCATGTTTTGGCCGACCACAATGGGCCTCTGCACACAGATGCTATCGGCCTTGCCGATCAAGTTTGGCTGGTGCTGTCAGTGCTTCGGGCAGGTGCTACTATTCCACGCCGTTGCGCGATCGACAGACGTAAAGTTGAGAGAGACGTTACCAGAAGGCTGGCAGGAGTGGGTGACAATTATGATGGTGCTCATTGAGAAGTGCGCCAGGGAAAGCCCAGGTATCGCGAAGGACTTTGAGCTGCTCAGTATATTGTAAGGGTCGCTCGGTAGTTTGAACATCATGCACCACCACAGAATAAAATCAACGATGCACCCCTGAACGCAATTACCTTTGATTGTCCGGCGTGCTGAACTCTCGAAAATCTGCATTGCAAAGAGCATCTCTGACTGTGTCGAGCCTAGATCCCAGACCCTGCTGTGCTGGACGAGCGATCAGGGAACGCAAATACGACCGTGGCTTACTGCATGCAGCGCCGTTGTCGCAGAGGCGTGGGATCGTATCCAACAAGGGAAGCAGCGCGTTCTTGGAACGCGTTCCTGATTGAAACACATCTTTCACAGCGTGTTGCAGCGCGACACAACCAGTCGTCGGGGGTGATATGGCAGGCGTTTCAGGTGTTGTTGCGGAGGATTACGAGCGTCGATCACCACCCTGCTGCGCGAGTAAATTTAGCCCTATACGAGGGTGGACGGGCCAGGCATTCAGCCTTGATTACAGCGACAGCGTGCGAGTACCGTCATCGACAAGACGTGCACTGATAGATCGATGCTTGTGCGAGATCTGTAGATGCCTCACAATTAGATTCAGTGTTTGACTTGACACATTCAACCTCACGATGCGCTTCGTGGTGGCGGAACGATGGCACTTAGCGGCGTGATTGCGGCCGCCTTTCCCGTTCAATCAACGTCAACCTGTACCGTCATCGTGTTTACGGCAGATCCCTGTCGCTCTAAAGCACGAGGAAACGTTCAGGAGTGTGTGGCTTTGACACTTGTTGCGCTTGTTTGACTTCCAGCAACCCTTCGCTCTTTCCCTTTCCCTTCGCTGTACACACCTTCGTGCCGTTGCTTCTTCTGACAGCCCCACCGTTGCTTGCTCGCTGGTGCTGGAGATTCATCTGACGCCGCGCAAGCTGACGCAAGCCCTTCCCGTCACCTCCGCCGGTAACAAATTACAGCCTTAAGCGTGCAGAGACACCCTCGAGCCACGCCTGTCGTTCTTTCGCCCCGCATACAACCACTCCACACTTTGGTATGGGGGACTACTCGTACCACGCATTGGCGAACATGGGGCCCCAGGGCCGCTGGCGGCGCCCATTGTTGATCGCGATACCCGTTGTGCTGCTGTTTTTGATTTACAGCTCAAGCTTCAGTTACACACCGAGCAGTGCAGCACAAACACAGATAGAGTAGGTGGCCATCGCATCCTCAAGCTACTTGCGCTGACCATAGTGATCAGCTTCCCTACCTCGCACAATGCCTCGGTTGTCGAGGAGGACCCTTCGATGCCCGCCATAATAAAAGCCCTCTACGGCCCCATCCTGCACCCCGTCGACGCTGCGAACTTCACCGACGAGGACGGTGATGTATACCACCTGCACGGCAAGCCCAAGTTCACGCAGAAGCTGGGAAAGAAGGTGCTCATCCTGGACATCGACAGCAGGCCGCTCACTGGCAAGGGCCAGCTCATGGACAAAGACTTGAAGTGGAAGGGCATGCGACCCCTCTCTGCGGGCATGCTCAGTCATTATATGTTCGGTATGTAGGACACGGCTTAGTGTATAATGCAGGCACTGACACGGCGCAGCAAGCATCCATGGTTACGACTACAAGTTTATCCGCGCGCCAGACTACGCCGACCGCTGGGGCACCTGGGTCAAGGTCCCAATGATGAAGGAGGCGCTCAAGACACACGACTACATCGTCTTCATGGACTCGGATGTCATGTTCCACTACCCGCACCTGCCGCTCGAGTGGCTGCTCAACTATTGGAACATGACCGACGACACTCTCGCCATGATGTCCATCGACCCCAACGAGCCACAGAACTACGACGCTAAGGGTAACCGCTATCTCAATACCGGCTTCGTCATCGCCCGCCAGAGCAAGCGCACACAGGAGATGTACAAGGCATGGGCTGAGTGCCCATCTGAGACAAAGTACAAGGGCTGCGCAAGGTGGAAGCAAGACTGGGCACACGAACAGGCTGCATTCGGCAACTACCTGCGCTACGACTACGACCGACCTGACGACATTCGTGTGCTTCCCTGCGTCGAGGCAAACGGTGCACCAGAGGCCGAGAGTCGTGGCGGATGCAAGGGTATCTTCGTCAGGCACTTCTGGGTCGACAAGAACCTCGTGGCCAAGAACCTGGCAGACTCTGTCATGCAGTACTTCTTGCCCAGGCTGCATCAGCTCTACCTATCGACCGCGAGCGAGCACATCGTGGACGCCAAGGGCTTCAAGCTCGAAGGTGCAGAGCTGATTGAGCTCACAGACGAGGAGAAGGAGGCCAAAAAGAAGGAGGGCCAAAAGAATCAAAAGGACGAAGGCTATTAGGAAAGCCCTGTGCCTGAGCCTACCGACTATCCTTTCGGTCGCACAGATCTTGCGCCGGCAAGCTGGCAGCATTCGCAGCCATAAGACGACTTTGGACAGCGCCACAGAATTTCGCAACGGGACTCGGCAGACCGACTTTCATCAGCGCCTCCCTTCGATACCCCGGTGTCTCTAGAGTCTTTTCCTCCAAAACACCACGTATTACTGCGACCAATACCAGCATCAAATCTGGCATTGTGACGGCCGCACGAATGGCTTAGACCACGACACTTCCAGTCGACATTCGCATTTTGTCATCACCGTTTATTACCGAGCAAGCTCAGCTCAAGGCGTTTAATGAAGGCATTTCAATATTCTTACAGCACTCTGGCATGTTATAGACACCGGAAGATAGACATGGGAAGGCACGGCGATTGCTTCTGGTTACATACTCGACGCGCAAACAGCGAGCGTTCTGGCATATCATACAGTGTAGCAGCGTTGAAAGCGCAAATTCGAGTTGATCGACTTCAAGGCGTCACGCTATCTGAGTGAGATCCGCAAGAGTTTCTACCCACCCGCAGTCTATGGCTTGAGCTGAATCGCAAGCCAAAAGCGCGTCCTTCGTTCTTTCGAAGTACGTAACCTTGACAAGGTCATGGCCTGACGTAACGATCAATACACTCGTGCCGCCGAGAGACGACGGTCACTTACAGTTGTACAGTGTGAGCTCAACAAGCTCGCGATTACGTGTTTTGATTTTAGCGTCGGCCATGCCGATGCGGCTATGTTCCATAAACATCATATGGTAGAAGAGAGTGCTTCGCAAGCAGTCGTCGCCGTGCTGGAGAGCGCGCTCGAGCACTAGCATCTCGAGTTCTCAATCGTACGCGTAGTCAAGGGTGAATGGTCGCGCTGGAGGTTATGACAGCGATGGGCTCTTGTGGGTGGTGAGTGTAGGACGTCCCCACCACGTCAATCTTCTTGGGAGATTTGCAGTGCAGGGAAACATGTCTGGGTCGTCGAAGTACGTCTTCGCAAGGCGGTAGTCTGGCCGCACATCTTCACAAGCAAGTGAACGCTGGAAAATTGGAACACCCATATCTGTCCAGTGCGAGGTCGACTAGTTCGCGGTTTCGAGTGGCGATGATCGTGTCAATTTGAGTCATGTACCAGTTGCGAGGCCAAGGAAAGCGGCGTTGCATAGACCGTTCGTGGTACTGTGGATCGGCGCGCAGTTCGGAAATGTCTTCTTCGAGGGCGTGCTCGAGCACCAACACTTTCAGTTCGATTGGAAGGCGTGGCCAGGGGTGGAAGTTGTAGAACATGGTAGTGGTTGAGGTGGAATGAATGGGCGTGTGTGAGATTTGAGTGGATGGCGCAGGTGAGGAAGGCAGTGTCGGCAAATTCGAGGAAGGAAGGGAAGGTACGTCACTTGCTTCATCTACAGATCAGCCACCACGGTTCTGGCTCGATCTATCTGCACTCAAAGCGCATAGTTGTTCTCCGCTTTCGCCCTCAAAAACTCCCAGCATCCTAGGTACCTAATACCTGTAAACGCGAGATTGTACTCAGCGTCCGTTTAGGGCGCTCATCGCAGCAGTACCAAAGGTCTCCTCGCAAGCAGAAGTGGTGATACAGTGATGTACGACGGAGAGAATGAACATGATACTGAATCGCCCACTCCAGAACCAGCATCTTGACATGCAATCCTCCAAATTCATCCTCAATTCGCCTTCCTCTTTAAAACTACCCAGTACAAATGACGTTCCTGAAAATACAATTCTTGCCGCCATAATACGCGGTGGCAGTACACTGCTCAAGAGGGTGGTACATCCTCTTCATCTCGCTGTAATCTGAGGCAGTCAGAGCAAGCCGCCTGGCATGGCGCAAGTATGCTCACAGGTGATTCCGAGCGCTCGATCTTACCGACAAGACTCTGCGTAAATGGGTAGAAATCAGGGAGATGGCTCCTGCAGTCGCATGATGCCTTCACATCCAAGTTGTGCAGACAGGCGGACACTCCTGCAGATTCGACACAGGAGCTGACGGCGTGGGTGAGGACGAGGATCTTAAGTTAATTCGGCAGACGAGGCCATGGGTGGAACATCTTCTGGTGGTGGTGGTGCTGAGTGGGTGGGAAGTGGTGTTGATCAGCAGGACATGAGGTAAGAAGACAGGTACGCCACACGCTTGTACTCACTTGCATCACTTGAACTTTCATGTCAATAGCGCACAAGAATACACTCCATAAACACGATCTTTCCGCTCCGAAGTGAACATCGAGTAACGCTCATCGAACTTCACATTAAACGTTTGTGCTCAAAAATGTGTACGTTTCAGTGTCCCACACCCAACGGCACATAGGCGGTATCCCAACTACGCGAGGTAGGGCGGGACTTCCAGTCTGAGGGTCGATCTCCATCACCTGTTCGTTAAGCTTCCACACGAACTGCCACTTTGTCGCACTGTGCCTGCCGCGATGAGGTAGTCGGTAGTCGAACGTGTTGCATCTGTAGTCTGAGCATCTCATCAGCCTTAATCACTTACAGCGGGAGGGCTGCAAAACGCACACGTATCCAATGCGATCCTGACAAACTTGGCGTTGCGGGTGCTGATCAGCGCGTTGAGAGCGCCGAAACGGCTGGCTATGTTGAGATCGTGAGAACGGTTGGTGACCGGTTTGTCACTGCTTAGAGAGAAGGAGAGGATGTAATCTCGAAGTTCGGGGGGTAGCTGGGACCACAAATGAAACATAGCTGTGGTCGTTTGATGGATGAAGAGACGTTGAGAAATGTGGTAGGAGGTTTTGCGAGGTCAAGGTTTGCAGATACTTTCACCTACGGAAACGGAATCAGGAAATCAATTATAGATCTCATGTTCTGCAAATACAACGTCTTCTAGGATATCTCGCGTTCATCTAAGATGCCTCTATAGTAGCTGCTCACTGCAGTATAGCCACTTTGTTCCCGCTAGTTTGCCTTCCGGAAGATATCCTCGACCATAGCCCTAATCCTGCCAGCGCAAGCGCACTTTCGATAACTAAAAGGTCCCACCTGCATCTGCACCATGATATTTCTTGCCTTCAGTTTCGTCACGCTCTGTTGTGGGATATGTACCAGTGCTCTAGGCTGCTGGCACACGCACCGAAGAGGAAATCGCAGCTCGAAAACATCCCAGGGTCCAAAATCGAGCCGCCATTGATACATATCATACTAATGTAATTGTTGACCTCTCCTAGTGGTGAATAGTCCATTCTTGGGTGCAAAGAGAAGCTTCCATGGGTCGCTGGCGAGCAGCAAGAACATCCTAGCGTCAATATTATCGTGAATTATCCATGAGGAAGACTAGGCGTTGGATAGACTTACGGTACTGTGATGGAGGTAACCGTAAGTGAATATGAGTCTTCCCGATGAGTGGTCTAGTTGTAATGGCGAATTTGTTGCATGTGTAGTCCGGGACTACATTAGGTGCGAGACAGTCTTTGCGCCATGTAGACTTACATGATTCGAGCGAGAGAATCAATAGCTTGGAGTTATGCAAGCTGATGAACCTGTTGAGCGCTTACGAGTGCTCGTGATCGACTGGGACGTCAAAGTATGTGTAGTACTGTAGTACCTGGAGTTTGAGTTCGGTGGGTAAACGACGCCATGGGTGGAAGGTGGCGGCCGGCGTACAGTACCATGCGGCCATGGCACATGCGTGGAGGTAAAAGGTACGAAGATTGTGGCCACTGCGTTAGGTGAAGTGGAAGGAACGTCATGTGAGCAATTTCATCTAGGTAATGCGACAGGTGCTTCACTGCCAACACAATAAAGCAGGTAGCTACAATAGTCAACACCTGATGCTTCACGATTACCAAGTGGAGTAGAACATGCATGCCACTTCTCTGGTTAGTGTACTTGGCTCATTTCCATCGTGAAAGCGTGAGAGTTCCACCGCTGACAACCCTCTAGCAAAGTGTGACGAGTTCTCGATTGCGTGTATGAAGTCGCCAACTGAGATCGTATCCTCTTTAGAGCGATTTGTGTACTGCGCGAATGACGGGAATGGCGTGAGTCAGGACCATGCCCAGCACTTCCAGCTTGAGCTCAGTAGGCAAGCGGGACCCCATGCAAAATCCCGAACCCCGAATCTTGGAACTCCAAATCCTGACGGAGTAGATCCTTCAAGCACTCAAATCTGTTCTGTCGCCTGATAACACAGCCTGTAGCGCGCCCACCAGCCTCAATTCACAAGTTCCACTTCGACAGCCCTTCACCGTTGCCGTGACCAACACCTTTTTCGCGTTGATGCCGGTAGTCCCGCCGGCAAGAACCTCTATCAAATCGTTCTGGCTGTAGCACGTACACGCTGAAAAGACCGGATCCTGTCGCGCACCGAAGCGAGTCCAGACATCTGGCTCGTCCATGGCGTACTCGCCCGCGAGCCGTAGATCCAGAGTGAAAGTCCTCAGTGAAACGAAGTCGCGCTGCCAGCCAGCTCGAACAGCATCGTTGGGAACTTCACCTTCCTTGTGTTCGATCAGCGTGAGCATGAACGCCCATGGGTAGATCTGGCGGTTGAGGATGTTGGCGAGCTCATCGTATTGGTAGTGCGACACGGCTTGAGACAATGTTTCGCGAGGGAAGCATGTGGCCGTCCTGAACACCAGGTGCTGGATCTTCGGAGCTAGCTGAGCGTGCGGCCGAATAAGACGACAGCGAGGCCCGAATGTGGTGCGTAGGATGTGCGGAGCGATGAGAAATGTGTTGGACTTGTAGTCTAACAGGGGGTCAGCAGCCGCAGCAAGAGCGTCAGAGGACTAACTTGCAAGCATCGATTGCAAGCTGTGAGAGCTCCTTGTTTCGTGTGCTGATGAGAGGGCTCAAGTGCCGTACCCGGACGTTGTCAAGATGGGCAGAGTGCGCGATGGGGTCTGCCTGTGCTAACGCGTGCTGCAAGACCTTGAGTTTGAGCTCTGTAGGTAGTTGTAGCCATGGTTGGAACATGTTTGCAGATGACGTCGAGAGAGTGTGGGTTGTAGAGGTCGCCCGTTTTGTAGATGCCGAGGTGCACTGCTGTACTACGGCGCTGGGTGGCGGGCAGCTGCCTTCACCTGCACCAAAGCGGCGACCTGCACTAGTGCGCTTGAAGCCAGTGGATGTATGTATATACCCTTCTGGGAGGGTAAGAGATGGTCCGCTAGAATTGCCTCAGAAAAGGTCCTTCTTTCAGGGAGGTGTACTCGAGCTTGGATGTACTCAGTCGACGAAGAGTAAGGCTGATGGGCAATAACACCCTGGCAGTACAGTAAACTAGAATGTAAATATTCTGTTCCTGAAGATCGGCCTTTTCTGCAGAAGGGTAATTCCCAAGGCACTCAATGACGATTTAGCAATTTCTTGGTCTCGAAGTAAAGCTAACAGCGCAGTGGTCAATTTCGCGTCTAGATAGGCCGCTTCCAGCTGCACAGGTCTTGCCGCAGCTCGAACTCGTCCACCTCGTGGTGCGGACGATGCCGGTTCCTCTCGGCCTCGACCTTCATTTGGTGCGCCTGCTGTTCCAAGCTCCCTCTGCCGCGAAGATGCTGCTTCGGCGACGCTTCCTGCGCACTGCCCGGGCGCAGTGTATCCTGCGACTTGCGGAACAGCCGGCGACTCCCCTGCATATGCCTCTCGTCCCCGCTGACGGAAGCGCTGCTGTCGCCAATAGCGGTCGCTGTGAAGCGGATGCCGCCGCGCTGTGGTGAGTATGGCTTGGCGCGATCGCCCCAGCCGTCTCCGCCGGCGAAGATGTCTTCTATGCACTCGTCTGCCTTGAGCTCGCCCGGCTGGGCGGACCAGTACGCGGCGAGGGTGCGCCTGTACATGTCCTGCAGCTCGCTCGCATCTCTCGACTTGCTGGTCAGCGAGGGCGCCGCGCCGCTGTCCTCGAGCTCGGCCTGCTCGCCGGCCATGATGCCCGCAATGCCACTGAAAACCTGCGCCGTCTTCAGGGCGGGGGCGACAAAGTTCTTGTCGCCCTCGGTCTGGCGCATGTATATCCCGAGCTTGAGGGTGCTGTTGATCTTGCTGTTCTGCATGAGGTAGCGCCGCGTCACGCCTGGGTCGTCGCCGTCGGCCGCGGCGAACTCGCTCTGCTCGACGTACTCGGCGAGGTTGAGCCGGACAGTGCCCAGGGTGATGCGCTCGCCACGGCCCGAGTTGGAGTACTCCTGCACCACCTCGAACTCAATGTGGCTCTCCTGCAGCATCCCATTCTTGTCGACGGTGAGGCGCACGGGCAGGGTGATGCCGTAGTCGTACTGGACCTTGTGCTCCCTGATCGGACAGTTCTCCGTCTTGCCGCGATGCTCGGCGGCGGTCGAGTGCGGCAGGTGCCATTTCACGAACGACTTGCCCGACGTCAGCGGCACGTTGTTGAGGTCGACAATCTGCGGGCCATCAGCTCACGGTCGCGGGGAGAGGGCCGGAGCCGCTTACCCTCAGGTGCAGGTCGAACTTGGGCTGCGCGCAGGTCAGCCGGGGCCTCTCATGCCGTCTGCAGGCGCGCTCTTACACGGCGGTTCTTGGGCACTGGAATCGTGAGCGTTTGCGCCGCAAAGGCGACGGAGCGCAGCCGCAGCGTTGACATGGCTCACCAAAGGCCTGCATGGCGGCGGACAGGGCGGGCCTGCGCCGAACTTATGCAATCAGCTGGGCCAGCGGTGCTGAGCGTGTGACAGGGTTCCGCGACTGAGTTGCAGGAGCGACTGGAGCCGTGAGACTAAGCGTGAGTGTACGCACCCAGGCCCCGAAGCCACGCCGTCGACCGCCCGCTTCCGGCCTGCCGCTCCGCCACAAGGCACCAGCACAGTCAGCCCAAGACATAACATTCACTGCAATAATAGTAATGCCGCTCGATGCAGACGCCATTGCCGCCTGCGTCTTGCACGCGTTCGAGCAGCTGCCAGACAAGCGCAAGCCCCGTCCGCGCAACGACGGCTCGCGGGAATGGGTTCCTCTGAGCGGCATCGTCTTGGCAAGAGGTGACCCCACCAACATCCAAACAAGACTTGTGGCGCAGGCTTATCGTACAGCGAAGATGGCAAGCTCTCGTGCGTGTCCTTGGGGTACGTAGCGTCTGGATCCAGCCTTGCAGGCACGACCGTTTGCCAGGGTCCCCGCTCCCTCTGCTGCTTCTGCATGCGGGCTCCAGATGGCTCAATATTGCGTCTCCTCGAACTAGCGCTGATGCTTCTGGCAGGACTGGAATGAAGTGTCTACCCCATAACAAGCTTTCCTCGGCCAACGGCAACATCCTCCACGACTGGCATGCTGAAGTCGTTGCCATCCGCACATTCAACCGCTTCTTACTGGACGAGTGTTTGCGCATCTCGAGTGCCGACTCGCACTCGCACTCGTACTCGCACTCGGCCGTCATTCACCCACGTCCTGGCTTTGAAAGATCAGCCCAAGAACCTCAGCCTTTTGCCATCCGTGACGATGTACAGATCCTCATGTACTGCTCCGAAGCCCCCTGCGGTGACGCCAGCATGGAGCTGACCATGGATGCCCAGGTGGATGCAACGCCGTGGACGACTGCACCGCCGACCATCTTGCCTGAACTTGGATCAGACAGCGCAGGAGCACTCCGAGGCCGCTCCAACTTCTCCCTCCTCGGCGCTGTTCGCTGCAAGCCTTCCCGTCCAGATGCCCCACCCACACTCAGCAAGTCTTGCACAGATAAGCTCGCATTGAAGCAAGCAACATCGCTCCTCTCCTCCGTCACCTCAACAGTGATATCTCCGAGGAATGCGTACATCCATTCACTCGTCCTTCCAGACTCGCAATACGTGCCTGCTGCATGCGAGCGCGCTTTCTCCCGCTCGGGCCGACTACAAGGACTCACCGACGAGAGCATCCAGGGTTGGCGTGGAGGCTACAGATGGCAGCCATTCGACATCAAGCCAACCCAGAGGGACTTCATCTGGAGCCGACGAAGCATTGCAGTGCACGAAAAGGCCGTTGCCAGTAATCTTAGCGCAGTGTCCACGCCTTCGTGGCAAGAAACTCTGATTGGCGGCGTGTTACAAGGACGGAAACAGATGGACCCCAGGGGAGCAAGCAAGATCTGTCGGAGGAGTGTGTGGACGCTGGCGGCGCAAATTGCAAGCATCGTCAGTGCGCCAGCGGTACTCGAGGCGCTCACGAAGGCCACATATGGAGACATCAAGGCCAGCGAAGCTTTAGACGCGAGAAACAAGGTCAAGAAAGACATCCATGAAGACGGGCTGAGAGGATGGGTGCAGAACACGGGCGATTCAGACTTTGCCCTCTCCCCAACCTTCTCATAGCTCAACACCTAGATATCATCAAGATACTTCACAAGCCCTCGATCCCCCCGTCCTTTCCCTCCTTGAAAGCACCCCACGCGCCAACCCTCCCACCCCACCGATCCGCAACTACCTCGACCACACCCACCATCTCCACGCCCCTCCGCTTCCCCCTCTCCCTGCCCCCGGTATCTGCGTAGTACACTCTCGCGTCCATCTTCCGCCGCGGCAACATACCGACTAGCACGTGCGCATCCGCATACCTGCTCATGAGCCCCAACAGCGCCGGCACCGCCTTATTCGACGAGAAGACGCTCGGCGGTGGCGGCGGCTGGAGCCTGTACGCTTGCTGCGGCCCTAGTGCGGCGGTATCGGCTGCCTTTCGGCTGGGTGAAGGGGCGCGTGGCGTGGTGCAAGGGTTCAGCAGGATGGTGTGGAGGGCGTGGGTCTGTGTCAGGTTTGAGAGCGTGACGAGGAAGGTTGTTGCCAGCGTGTTGGCGGAGGTGGTGTCTTGTTTTAGCAGGGGCGTGAGGACGTGCGCGAGGTTGTCGATGAGGATCATTTTGAGGACTGGCGCGGTCGCGGGCGCGGGTGCGGATGAGGGCGTGGACTGTTGTGTGCTAGGAGTCGGTGGAGAGGATGCGTGATTTGAGGCTGGCTGCGGTACTGACGGGGCTGTGGGCGGTGCTGGAGCGTCGAACAGCATCTCGTCGTCCGAGTCTTCTAGGCCTTCCTCTTCGTCCTCGCTGTCCGCTACTTCCGTTCTCTCCAACCGCCGCGAGGGGACCTCTTCCCCGACGACCTCGGCCGCTGGAGCATTCTCCAACGCCATCTCCTGCTCTCCAAGTGCACCACACTCCCCCCTCGCCCCTCTCCCCTCCAGCTCACCCCTCAACTCTCCAACCGCCTCCCTCATCCCCACAAAGTCAAAAACCCGCAAAATCTTGACCCGATCCAGCGTCTTCGCCGCTACCTCTTGCACTCCGCTCGCCCCACCCCGCATCCCCGCGTTCTCAGGCTCCATCTGCAACCGCGCCACCACCATCCTATACAGCCCCACAACATCGAAATTCCCCGCCGTGTCAATGACCGCGATCGCGCTCGCCGGGTACCTGAGCAGCGCATCGACGAGAAGTGTTCTCGCGACAAGATCCCGCACACTGCTCTCGGCGCTGAGCGCGACGACGCTGCCGCCCTGGAAGGTGGCGCAGAGCGCGGCGTCGAGGCTGGGAACGTACGTCCTGAGGGTCTCCGGGGGCATGTGCGCATCGTCGAGGGTCAGCGCGTCGAGTATAGATTCCAGGGGTGAAGGGCCGAGGAGGGATGATGCGAGGTGTGGTTCGCCTGCGCGTGGTGGCGCGGGGGGTGTGTGTGGGGTGTGCACCGCGGCCATTGTTCCTCTCTTTTCATGAACGTCTGTCCAAGCCTTGTCTTGTCTTGTCTTATCTGGAGTGCTCAATCGCGCTGTCGAAGCGGCAGTCTGATATGCATCCTGGTTGACTGCTGTCTACACTGCACCCTACTAGCGCGCCCGATCAGGCAATCGCTCCAGTGAGCAGGGAACACGATGCCGCAGGCCGCAGGATCGTGGCTGGAGGTTCGGGATGCATCCGAGAGGGTGCGATCGGATGATCGTCGCCTAGCAGCGCGGTGTTGTGCTTGGCTTCCAGCGGAATCTTTGGGGTGTGGTGAGAAGTACCTAGGGTTCCAGTTTCAATGATGCCGGGCCGACCGCCGAGCGAAAGGGGGTCCGATGTGGCGTATCCGGGCAACGACGATTGATGCTTGGGCGAGACACGCCAATTGAGTTGATTCGAAAATTTTGGTGCATAGGTCATTGCTATTCGCGAGCACGTCAAAGGAGTGCGACTGCCAGATGCCATTGAAGGTTTTGATTGAGCTACAAACCCCTATCACGCCGTACCACATACGAATCGAGCTTGCTGTCTGCTCAATCATGCATTAAACGTTCGATGCTGAAAGCGCGAGGAAGAAACTGAAAGCCCCTTTTGGGATGCCTGCTATAGCCCAGAGGAATTGACCAATATACACGGGAGTAGTATCCAGACCCTTATCCCAATCCCAACTTCCCATACGCCCGATGTACATATGAGAAGATATGCGTGCCGTGAAGATGCGTGACAATGAAGGTAGAAGAATGTCGAGGCGACCCTGGTGAGTGGTTGCTGCTCGATGCCACTGAAGCGTTGCTGATCATCACGCTGCATTGGCATCTCCTCATTACCGTCTACGCCCACCCTTGATGCTCTTCATGCGGCCAAGGAAACCCGTAGGCTTCGACTCGCCCAACGAGCCTGTGCTTTCTGTAGTTATGGCACGTTGCAGGGGTACACGGGGAGGAGATCCGTCCTTGTAACCCGAATCCTTGGCCTGAAGTGCTGCGCCCTTGCTGTCATAGGCCTTGTTATACTCGTCGAAGAACGGGTTTAGCTCTGTAGCTTGGTTCTGGGCCAAGGGACCCGCGCTGTATGGACCCTGTGGGCTGGTTTGGCCGCCGTATCTGGCGTCGGGAGACTGAATTCGGGCTCCATCGCCATATTGACGTCTCGGCTGCGAGATGCCGCGGAAACGTTGAGCAATCGACTTCTTGCGTCCAAGACCATTAATCTCGTTCGCCCGCTTCTGCTCGAAGTCCTGCTCAACTGCAGTGCGGGATGCGGGTGCACCCTCGAGGAAAGTGGATGTGCCCAGTCCGTGTGTCTGCTCGCCATGAACGATGTCTTCGCGGCCCTTGGCACTGAACTCGGCTTCGGGGCGAAGTGGCTTGATGTCTGCAGCACCCCCAAAATCTGTGAAGCCCTCTGCGCCTCTGCCGTGGATCCTGTCAAGATCGATTTTCTGGTTTAGAGGACCCGAACCACCGAGCGAGTTGTTTGCAGACCCTGCAGGGAAAGCGTGCATGGGAGCACGCACATCCTTCTTGCGATTGCGGTGGGGCTGAACTGCATCGTAGGGTCCATCGTGGTGGATCATGCTGGGGCCGTAGATGCCGGTGACATCGAGCTTGTCAATCAGGTCGAGACCCTGAGGCTTGCGAACTTTCCGTGTGCTGCTCGACTTGCCATCCCGGTCCTTCTCCTCCCTTTCTCTGCGACGCTCACGGCGCCTGCGGTCTTCCTTCTCCTGAGCTGCCTTGTCAATGATGGAGGAGTCGGAGTTGCGGCGTGGACGGCGCTCTCGGCGCTCAGGGCTGTCTGGCATGCGGCGGCGCGCCTCTGGAGGGCCTCGGGGGCGAGGCGGCCCACGGGGAGCTCCTCGCTGCCTCTGCCTTTCCTCCTCGTCTGAGCGCGATGGGCGGTGGCCGGCGCGAGGGTCGGTGCCGCTGCGGCCGGGCTGAGGCCGCGGCGGTGGTGCACGTCGCTTATCCTCATCTTCAATTGTGAGGTTCTTCTGTACAAAGCATGGGTAATCAGCAAACGTGTTCACGAAGGACAGAACCCGGCCCATGGCGCGAGAGCAGACATCTTCGCCGACGGCAGCTGCGAGAGGGGGAACGTACAAAGAGCTCTTCGGCAGCGGAGCCGTTGCTGAAGGTGGCGTTCTTGGGCGACGCCTTCATGGTGGCCGACATGTCGATGTCCGTTTTGCGGGCCTCCTTGTTGAACTCGGCCTCGAAGGTGCTGAGGAAGGGATTGCGCGACATGGGCCTGCTGGCGGAGCTCGAGCGGTCCGACTGGTTTGCGGGCGAGGGGAAGCCAGGCGAGGTCGCTCTGTTGCGGAAGGGGTTGTTGGAGGACAGGTTGATGGAGAGGCCAGGCGATGGGCGTCGCTCTGCGAGATAAGGTCAGCAGGGCCCGGGAGCGCCATCAGCAAGCCCCCCGATTTCGTCACAGACTGCAGGCAGACTGGTGAAACGGGCGCCGATAGGGGAATTACCTGGCATTGACGGTTCCGCGAGCATGTTGCTGCCGTTGTTCAGAAACCCTGCAATATGTTGCAACGATGCCCAATCAAACACGGGAGGCCGGGCGTCTGCAGGCGACGGCTGGCTGACTGGCACTGGTGACGCGCAAACAATCGCAAATCCTGCTCCTGCGGATTGGTACGACTCGCAGGCACAGTCCTGGTGCACTGACACTCTGCTGTCGCAGCGCGAGCAACTCAGCAAATGCAGAAAGGGGCGGCGTAATAAGACTGGCGATACTGATGTTGGCGTGTCTCGCCCGGGAGATGGACGGGGTTTTGTTCGCCGCGGAAGGATGGCAAGCGGGGCGAGTTTAATGGCCGCGTTTGAGGGCTGCTGTTAGTCTTTGCCGCGCTTAGTGGATATGCAAGCAAGGCTGCGCTGTCAGGAGGGAGTGACAGCAACGTGGGAGAGCAGAGGGCGCCGAGGATTAGTGGGCAGGGCAGCGCGGCTTAAGAAAGGGAGGGCCTGGAAAATGGGAAATGGGAAATGGGAAATGGGAAATGGGAGATCGAGACAAGCGTTAGTGATGGGGCAGGTGGTCATGCTAAGGTAGTCGGTCCCTGGCTCGCCGCGAGCGTGGCTGCCGTTCAGTAGGCCTCTACAGGCGGCGTAGAGGCGAGCTGGACTGCAGCCAGCGCCGCTGATTCGCGCGTATGGTCACGAGTGAAGGCCAAAAGGGCCCAGCACGACGCCGTTCCGTGGAAACAGAGGCCCTGCGCTGCCGAGCTGCAGGGAGCTGTGGGGTTCGAGCTGCAGGGCGCTGAACTCGTTGTTGCTTGTTCTCAGCGCCCTCACAGACAAAGCACGAATCCCCCGAGGCTGCACTGAGGCTGCTGCAGCTTTCATCACAACGGACACGCACTCACCGAGCTGCTCCCAGCCAATTTTACCTGCACATCAGCGCCCCATCAGCAATCACCGCTGCTGCGCAACGCTGACCGCTGAATCGCTCAGACGCTCCATAAGGCTAGCTGCCGGCCACTCGCCAGTCCAACTGCGGCGTGCGGGGAACAAACTCAGGACCCTGAGCCTCAGCGCCGATCGGAACGTGCCTGTGCTCTGGCCGCACGCCGTGTGCCTGAAAAGCTGTCACAGGCCTCGCCAGCGCCCAACCCAAACTTCACCATGGCGACCCCAAACCCAGCTCACGAGAGTGCCGACGTGCCGCGAACCGGTGGTTACACGCGCTTCGAGCTCGAACTCGAGGTCCGTCCCCTATCCTCACAATGTCATGTGCCCCTGGTCTGTTTCAATTAACACGCCCTAGTTCGTGCAGTGTCTTGCGAATCCGGACTATCTTAATTTTCTGGCAACGCAGAAAATGTATGAGAAGCCCGAGTTCGTGGCCTACCTCGGCTACCTGCAGTACTTCAAGGAGTCCAAGTATGCAAAGTTCTTGCAGTGAGTCCGCCTCGACGACGCTTGATCTTCGAAGGAGCTGCTGACTGAAGATGTGTCTGCAGCCACCCTGGTCCTACGCTCCGTGCGCTAGAGCTACTGCAACAGGAGCGATTCCGCCGGGAGATTCTGCATCCTGGCCTCAGAGACAGACTCACCGTCGATGGCCAAAGGAGTGCGATGCCTGGCCAGCTAGATTGATGACGAGGCACCAAGAATGCATTCTTCGACAGCCAAGGCTCAACGCCCAGAGCTCGACGACTCTCAGTACCTAGGGGCCTGCACAAGGCACTTTTTATTATGCTTCCAGCTTGCACGGAAACTATATTCGCGTGATGAGTCTATTGCAAGAAAGGCAGGTCTCACGATTCGGAAGTGGCCCAGATCCATTACGGCAAAATTGCCGTTGAAGAGCACAGTGCTCATGCGGTGCGCGGTTCAGTCACAGAGGCGCAATTGCTGCCCAGACTCTGGTTTGCGTTGGCTGCTCTTGAGCGATAATTGAACTTGGCGAACGACTCTCCAAGAGACAAATAGAGTGCTTGCACGCGTCGATCTTGGTGTCACGGCAGCCGATGCGGCTCAATAACCATTCCGTACTCGATTGTGCAAATGTCACGCTGTGTTCAGCTCAAAGTATTGTCAATACTAATATTATCCACATCACAATTCTGGCGGCTGATAACAGGATGGACAGAGATGAGCACTCAGACCTATGTCGTTTGTATGGTCCAATGCACGTGAGCAGTGATTATTGTTCGATGTGGGGCACCATGGATGACGATGCGCAAGCTACTGTACCATCAGGGTACTTGCTGCCCCTCAACCCACAAACTGCGTTTTACGAGTGCCCTCCGTTATGAGACCTGTCGCCGAAGCCGAGTGCGTATGCTGTAAGCTTCGTACCTGCATTTCACCCTAACGCGCGACAGGAAGCACTGGCGTCAGCTTGACGACTTCCATTCTCTCACCAATCTCAAGATCCATGTCTCTTCGCACACAGAGCCTCAGATAACTGCTGGACTTCGGTCAGTATGCTGGAAGGTGCGCGAACTTCTAAGATCGCGCAGGCTTCGAAGCTAACCACAATGCTAGATCTTCCTCCTCTTCAAGACACTCGATCGCTCGTCATGGCCACACCACCTCGCCGAGTCGCGCAGAACCTACGACTCGCTGCGCACACATTACCTGCGCGCCATCGAACATCCCGATGAGCTCGAATCGTCGGTAGATCCTCTGAGCGATAATGACGAGGTACTTCCATCCTCAACTCGGCCCCAATACCTGAGTACAACGAGTGTTGACCTGTACTAAGTCTTGAAAGTCCCCATGGTCAGCCCTCCGAGCAGATGAGGCCCTACGCGCCGAGATCTTCCAGGACATCGAACGATGCATGCCGGACAACGTTTACTTCCGCCAGCCTGCGACGCAGAATATGATGCTGGATATACTGTTCGTCTGGTGTAAGATGCACCCGAGCATTGGCTACAGACAAGGTATGCATGAGGTCTTAGCGCCGTTGCTCTGGGTTGTAGAGAGAGACGCCGTAGATGTCAGCCCGGAGAGCTCTGTCGATTCCACACTGGCAGATATGCTCGACTCGACACATATTGAACACGACACGCACACACTGTTTGGCCTGATCATGCAGACAGCGAAGTCATTCTTCTCACCCGCAGACCCAAAGTCGAACTCTAATGAGACTCCTATGCTTGCTCGGAGCTCAAGGATCTTCGACACATACTTACCGAAGGCCGACCCTGAGCTCCATGCACATTTGACGAAGCTGGACATCGTACCCCAAATTTTCCTTCTGTAAGTCTTCTGCACTTCCTTGATCGCCAGTCTGACAATTTTCAGACGCTGGATCCGACTTCTCTTTGGTCGAGAGTTTGACCTTGATGCTGTCTTCGACTTGTGGGATGCTCTTTTTGCTATCGATTCCTCACTAGAGCTCGTCGACATGATATCGATAGCAATGTTGCTTCGAATCCGCTGGGAACTCATCGCGGCAGAAACCAATGAGGCATTTGCGCTACTATTACGATACCCACAGCCAAGTGCGCCAGCGTATACATTGATCAAAGATGCGTTATACCTACGCGATCACCTAACCCCCCAGGGTGGTGCTGAGATCATCACACGTTATGGTAAGCAAGCACCGTCGGTTGAGGCCGAACCAGCTGCTAGTTCCCGTGCCCCTTCGCCCGTGCTATCGTTCGCTTCAAGTCGCGCAAGACAAAGAGTGGGCTCTCCGAAAAGCTTCCTCGGCCCACAGGGGGCTGGACTGGAAGCAGTACTGCAAGGTGCCGCTAAGAACGTGCTGGAGAAAGGCTCACAGTGGGGAGTTGGGAAAGCACTCCGGGACGCTGTAGGTGAAGTGCGAAAGAATGTTGAGGCCTATCAAAATGGTGTGCCCTCAGGACAAACCACGCCAAGGTCTGGAGGGAGAGAGTTCCGAACACCCAATCTGTTAGATTCAGCCGTACCTGGTCAACGACCCGTACTCAACCGAACGAACTCTGCCAATATTCTGAAAAGGATTGCGGACCTAGAGAGGCGGAATAAAAATCTGGGCAAGATGCTCGAGAGTGCCGTCGCCGAACTGTGGGAACATCATCGAAAGCAGACGGAAAGTCACAAGACCAAAGACAAAGAAAACAGCAGCAAGGAAGCTATGGAAACACTCAGTCTTGCCATTGCAAAGGTACAGTTTGTTCAGGTCTATCTCGAAGACTCGTCGATACCACTACCCATGGATGAGTCTACCGATCAGGCGGCGACAGCGAACGCCGAAGCAAGTCTAGCACCTCCCTCGCCGTTACCGATTGAGACGACGATAGTCGCACCGCCGACAGATAGCCCTACTGCTTACACGCCGGCGCCTACAGCTACGGACGCACCGCAACAACCTCCAATAATTGCTTCGCAGCCCGCCTCTCCACCTCCTAAGCCGTATGTATCAAAACCCCCAGCTACCTCACGCCTGGCCCAACGTTCGCGCCCGCAGCTAACATCCTCGAACTTCTCGTGGATGTTGGGGGAAGAATCGGCATCATCAAACTTTGCCTCGGGCGCGGCGCATTCTACCTTTGCCTCGGATGAAAAGCGACGTATGAAAGGGAAAGGGTTCCTGTTCGGCGATGAAGACGAGGACGACAACAGCTCAAAGGAAACTAAGGCAAAGAGAGGGAGTTTCAGTGGGAAGGGAACATCGAAAGTGGCCAAGACCAGAGGCAAGCATATACCAGAGATCGAGGTCGAAGAGGAGATTATCGACTTGGAAGATGTTGGCAAAAGAGGCGTCATCTAGGCTGGCGTCCCGATATTCCACGCCACGTCACATCACGCAACATCCAGACTCTGGGACCTCAGCCTTCATTGGTGTCCACAGGAAGGTTCAACCGCAGCATCATATCTCGCCACGCCTGGCGCCCTATGACCTACTTCGCATACAGAGGCTGCCCACTATATGCACTCATGCCCAAGTGCGGCTTAGCTCCCGTTACCCTGCATACAGTCCCACGAAACTTGCTCTAGCCCACACACCCATGGCCTCAGAACAACGCCAAACGACAGCCTATTCGTTTTCCGCTCAATAGCCGTAAACTTAGCACCCGCTGGCGCTATACAGGCAAGAGCGGCTATCGGCGTGTTGAGTGCCAAATGCGGACTCAACGCGGTCTTCGCCCTTCGCCCGTGCTCTTATAAGCCCCGCAGTGCCCCTCCACGACTCTTTCTCTCGCAAACGTCTACAAACACCCACCACAACACTTCCAACCCTTACCCAACCCCAAACTACACTTCCTCAACATGCCTGGCTGCGGAACTGCTGGTTGCACTTGCGCCGACTGCGGCTGCACTCAGGGTGCCTGCAACTGCGGCAAATGTAAGTCTCACCAGAGTCCAGGATAGATAGCTTTACGGCCAGATGATTGACACATTCCAGAAACTCCCGGCCTCACCTGCCGATATGACAACATCGCCTTCCACTCATGTCACCAAGGTCATCTGATGGCGTAAGGCCTCAGCATCACGTGGATCGGATCAGCACCTAAGCACGAAGACCATATACCAATCAATCATTCATTACAAACAATATCACCCACTGCCCCCCTCCCCCTCACACGTGCATGTAACTTTGGGATGAAGCTCTTATCATAAGAATGCATTACTACTGCCCAGTCCTACCCTTACCTCTTCTATCGTCTCCCACTCATAAGCTCCATCAGCCCCTTCGCCGCATTCCCCGCATTTCCCTGGACACTGCTACTCTCCCTGTACGACTGCTCCTTCAGCCGTGCCAGCCGCTCATGCTTGCTCTCCCCACCCCGCACGGGACTCATCATCGCCGCAGGACTCACGCTCTGCACCGGCGGCGAGCTGCCCACCTCGTACCCTTCCACAACGCGCGACTCTATGCCTGTGCTCTGATTCGGTGGCGCGAAGCTCACGGGAGGCTGCCCAAGGGCCCCGATCGGCCGGAAGGGGTCGAGGTTCGCTTTCACGAAGACCGGGGCGCGCGTGGGCGAGGAGATGGTTATATTCGGCACGCGTTGCGCTGGTGTCGCCATCGTGGCAGTCATATGCTCGGCGGACGCGGTGTAGGCGGCGGTAGACGCGGATGTGCGCAGCGCGTCGGGCGACGAGGAGAGCTCGTAGTCGGACAGGACTTCACGCGAGGGCTTGGAGACTTGGTTTGTGCGGACCTTGTATTTCGCAAAGGTGAGACGCGTGCGCAGGAGCTGCGCGCGCGACTTGGGTGCTGGGGCGCTTGATGGGGTTTTGGGCGCCGGCGCGGGGATTGCGGTCCCGTATTCGCTCTGTTGGGAGGCGCAGAGACCGTAGTCGAGGAACTCGGAGAACGACTTCTGCGAGTCGGGAAAGGGCTGCGATTGCGGCTCGGGGGGAGGTGGTGAAGGTGTGGGTGTTGCGCGCTCGGTGGGAGAACCGGGATCGGCGAGACCTACGGGATTGTTGGACTGTACAGGAATTATTAGTGCTGCGTAGACGCGTTCATAGCGGGACACGCACTGTGTGACGCTGCACTGCGGCGGTGGTGAGCTGGGCAATCGCGTCGTGTTGGGGGGTGTCGCGCTCGAATGCGACCATCTTCGCGGTAGGAACCTTCTCCGCGTCGTCCACTTCGGTGATGCTTCTCTTCCTTCCGTGGGGGAACGCGTCAGTCCTTATAACGTTTTCCTTGCCGGCGAGGGCTCGTGCAGTTGGGGCGGTGGCTTGCAGCTGCTTCAGTGGGCTTTGTGCTCGAGCGAGTTCAGACTCGAGATGCTTAGGCTTCGAGGGCGAATTCATGGCTTTGGGAGGCAAGTCACCTAAGACGCGTCGCGAGGGAGTTCCCGGGCGGCTATGCTGAGTAGCCATACCCAAAATAAGCTGTTATTGATTTGTTATGATCCTCTTGAGTGTTTGCTGTCTCAGGACGCGCGGGACGAGCAGTGAAGCGCGCCGAGGTTATGTTGATCAACAAGTATGAATGGATCCGAGATTGATGTCTTGCCTCCAAGTTTGAGACGGATAAGAAGAGGGACAGACTCCTACGAGACTGAGAATAGAATGGTGTGGTAGAGGATAGTCGCGTTGAGGCTGGGAGTGCTAGACCACTGACGCCAGTCGCGTTCAAGGTGCCCCACTTCCATCCACTTGTCTCCAGCCCGTTCGCGCTCGCGCGCGCTTCTTGCCGATACAACGCCTCTTGCTCATAGGCAACCCCGTTTCTACAGCCTTGACAATGCTGCCGCAACCCATATCGGACGCTTGCACCAGGCTGCAATTGCAGTCTGTAACCTGTCCGTCACTCAGATTTGCTGATCATCGAAAGTCTCCCTGCGGAGCTATTTCAACCGCTTAGAAGGACACGCCTTGCTCGGCTGCAAGGTTGCACCGTGGACATAGGCTGCCAATTCGCAATACTACTCCCTCCCTGTCTCAATTCCATCTGACCATACTATCAACAATCGCAGAGACGTAAAAGCGTGATCACGGCAATGCTCGCTGGGACGCTCTTGCCGACTTCCAGAGGCCTTGTTTGCATACGTCACTTGTGGAACATCAACACCAACATTCCTAATCTGTTGCACCTCATTGCGATCGACTGAGCAAGACATCTACCCCCTAGCACCTATTTTTGTTTGAGATACGTGAGCACACAAGCTGCATTCCGCGCACACCCTGCTATTCATTCCTTCGAAATCCTACACCCACACAAACGCGACCATGAATGGCTTCTTGCAGAAAGCTAAGGCTGAGTGGAAAGACTTCTCACAGAAAGACTCTCGACCTGGGCAAGACCAGCACCATGGCCACCAGCCTCATGGTCCACCAGGTCACGGTCCGCCTACCGGACACCATGATCACGGATGCATCAAAGACCCTACAGATCTGGATATCCTGCGATACCGCTACCATCACGGAACCAATCTTGGCTCCGTGTATGTAATCGAAAAGTGGCTGCAGTCGTCTCGATTTCCTGAGAATGCTGAAGGATCCAGCGAGCTTGCTGCAGTCAAAGCTTGGGTCGACCGAGAAGGCATAGAGTGCGCCAGACAAAAGTTCGAACAACACTGGTCCAGCATCGTGACAGATGCAGCAATCGGGTGGTTGGTAAACGAGGCGAAGTGCACCACGATCCGCCTGCCTATTGGCTACTACGACTTACCCGGCCCTGACTTTACGCGCGGTACACCTTTTGAGCAATACGCCCAGGTGTATTGTGGAGCATGGGACAGCATTCGGACCCTCATCCAGCGCTTGCGCAAGCGCTCGATTGGAGTGCTGCTCGACCTTCACGCACTTCCAGGTGGTGCAAACGCACAAGAGCACTCTGGCACAAACAGTGGCCGCGCTGAGTTCTGGCACTCTGATTTCAATCGCGCCCTCGGAATCCGCTGCGCACAGTTCATCGCCCATGAAGCTAGAAACGGACTTGACATAGCCGGTATTCAGCTCGTCAACGAAGCAGATTGGGAGTCGCATCGCATGTACGAGTGGTATGATGAGGCTGCCGGTGCCGTTTCTGCGATCGATCCGAGCATCCCTATCATCATCTCCGATGGATGGAATTTGGAAAAAGCTGTTGAGTACTCGCTTCGGACGAACTCTGTCTACACCGATCGTGCCAAGACTCCAGTTGTTGTCGACACACACTTCTATTGGGCATTCACGGACCTCGATAAGCAAAAGTCACCTCAGCAGATTATCCAGGAAGTCGGTACTAAGTTGGGTGAGCTTGACGGCAAAGAAGGCTCAGTCATCGACCGGGGTGCTGTGCAGACCATCGTTGGAGAGTATTCCTGTGTCTTGACCGAAGATTCTTGGGCCAGAAGCGACGGAGTGCCAAAGGAAGAGCTTGTGAAGCAGTTCGGTGAAGCGCAGAGTCGACGATACCAACAGCGTGCTGGTGGAAGCTACTTCTGGACCTGGAAAATGGACTGGATGCCCGGCGGTGAGTGGGGCTTCAAAGCTCAAACTGATGCAAAGAACATTGTGCCTCCCCAACACGCCACACTGCACCCTGACGAGAAAGTGGCGCGCTTGGATAGAGCAAGGTCTGAGCAGGACGGACGCAAGCAACAGGCTTTCCAAGAACACGTTAACTACTGGAACCAAGCCGATCCGAACGGTACATATGAGCACGAGAAGTACGAGTATGGCTGGCACATCGGCTACTCTGACGCATTGGCCTTCTTCGCAGGGTGCGGTTCGCACGGTGACAGAATTGGCATGCTGGAATTATGGGTGCTCAAGAGGATCAGAGAAAGCGGTTATCGGGGTGGCTTCACGTGGTTGTTCGAACAAGGAATCCGTAAAGGCGTCATCGACTTCTATAATGCGGCAGGTATTTGATGCTCGGCCTTTTGATAAGCCCTTTACGTTTTTGCTTGGGCCCACCATCTCCAAGACGACCGAATCAAATTCTTTGCCTGGAATGTACATGAAATGACCTCAACACGTGTGTCGCTAGGCACAAAGTGAACCCTCGAAAATCAACAGTCTTCGTCGCCATGGCTAGATGTAGGATTGCAACGACTAATATTGATGATTGCAACCTGCGCTTCGGAGGCTTGCTTTTACCAACGTAGTCAGGATGAAAACCACGTCGACCGACTGCAATGGAGATCACTCAACCGCCTCTTGCAAACATACCCAGCGCTGAGAACAAACGGCATTGCATCAGAATCAAAGCGCGCATCAAGATTCATAACGACCAAGAAGAGCCCGCGCATTGTGCTAGACCTCCATATCAAGCGTACTGCGAGACAGTATCATCCTCAAGACCCCAAAGCCCGGACGTCTTCACAACACCACCCACACATTCAGGGCCCTTTCAGCCTATCCGGGTGTCAGTTGCACCAACATATACCGCTCGCATTACTACTAGCAAAAGAGCTGCGTCGAAAGTGTCGACCAGCCCTGCCGTGTCAGCACTGTCAGAACATGAGAGCCTGCCGGCCGTGCCACTCACATCCACCGCAAGCGACAGCAGACAACATGCTGCAGTCAGCCGGGTACCTGTTCAAGGAAATTCAACCTCAACAAATCGATATCACATCGTATCACGGACTGCAGATCCATGCGACAGCTACTTAGGAAGGACCATTGACACCATGTCGCGTAACCATATACCATCTTTGTCACAAGTACAACAAGCAAACACTGTCCCGAAATCAACAGCTCAAACTATAATGGCTAGAACGCCTTTGCGTCAAAAGAGATATGGAAGAATGGAGTATCATCCACTGCCGCTGCTACCGCCATCGCCGCCAGACACACTTATCGACTCGCCAGTCGAAAAGCAAACCCCTAGCACAACCACTGTCAACTTCAGTAGGGGCGAGATCAAAGAAAACTCACCGCAGCTACAAGAGCACGTAGGTGTGCCGAATTTGATTTACATCGATGGCGACGCTCCACCTCCGCGACTGCCTCCTGCCGTCCATCATCCAATACACCTTCAATCCGCAATACTTGGGCACGAGCGACCACAGTCAAAGTCATACAGGCGAACCGTTACCTTCGCAGACGACACGACCATTTCCTCCAGGAGTTCGTCGCCAGATTACCACGCCCAAACCCACGAGCGAGCCCTGCGCCAGAGTAAAAGTTTCACGTCCGACGCTCAAATCCCATCATCGCTTCGTCTATACTGCTCGCACGACAGTCTACTAATCGCGAACAACAACCCATATGTCAGCGAAAACAGCACTTTGGCCAGCAGACGCACTACCCCCAAAGACTTCAAGCACAAGTATACCTTCGGCCAACGCCCCGCTGCACTCATGACCCCCTCTTCCAGCCTCGGTCGCTCAACAAATCAACATTACAACCCGCGCCTCAGCACCTCCAAAGCGCAATACCGGGGTCTCGCCACCCTGCTCCGGCCGCTCCCCTCCTCACTTCGCGTCGCAGAACCACAACCAGGCCCGCGGCGACCGCCATGGGGATCCCTGGAGGATCTCGAGGAGCGGCGAGGCAAGCGCGTAGATAGGCGTGAGCGCGACCAAGCGAAGCAGTTCCGCGCGCAGACGCTGAGTGAGACGACGACGGTGCTGGACTCAACGGAAAGCTTTGGGAAGCAGGCGATGAAGATGGAGGTCGAGGGGTATAGGAAACAGGTGGTGAGTGTGTATCCGGATATGGCGTTTGATGGGAATGCGGGGAAGGGGGGACGGAGGAGTTGTTGTTGCGTCGTTATGTGAAGGTGGTGTTTTCAAGGCTTTGATGAGAGAGAGTTTTGGGTTAGGCGATGATGCAGACATGTGTTCACTCTTGGGTGTCGAACGAACTCAAAGGATGAATAGTTGGATTCGGTGAGTGGGTTGAAAGTGCTGCTCGAAACGCTCCGGGCTGGGTTGACGCTTGGGATTTATCGATTAATGACTTGCCACCATTACTTGCCCGCTTGCATACACAAAGCGAGCCGTCATTGCTGTGAAGGTTCCGAGAACCCCAACGCTTCTAGCTTTGACACCATCTTTGTTGGTATAAGGTCTTCGGCTTAGGCTCGATGAGATACCAACATCTGGGCAGGTTGCATGCAGCAGTCGAGAATCGCGAACCTTGCACGAATACGGTCAATTATATCGCCGTTCAGCCGCCAAAGGGTACTTCTGGTGATGAAGGAAGATTGTTGATGGAATATAGGATGCAGAAAACGCCATCGATCACGTGCTATGTTGAACACGGACCAACGTTTCCATCTCGTAGCCCCATTTTTAATTTCACGAAGTAACTGTCTTGGTTCCCTTGGTACGATTCTTGGCTAATTCCCTCATAGTGAGCTTTGTCGCTCAGGGTATTGTCGTCCGAGTTCAAGGCCCCGAAGAGCGACCTGTTCGGCGAACGCTATCCCGAAATCAACCGCGGATAAACTCCCACTCCACTACGCCCATGTCGATCCACACCCGCCCCCGCAAATGCTCGATCCGTCTGACCAAAACAAGGCTCCCCCTGCAGCGCACGCGAGCCTCTTTTTGGACTCTTGCATCGCTTGCATCACGCTCTGTGGATGCAGTTTTGCGTGCCCAGGAGTTGGCGCCAGTTCTACCTTAAAACGACCTGGTATACCGGAAATTGCGACTGCTACATGATGGCGACATGATCTTGCAATAAGCCCGAAACTGGGCGGGCGGCATACGAGGCAGGTACAAAATGCATCTTGAATGCTCGTTGAACCGCCAGGACGCGACTTTGCGACCCTTCCACTCTTTCCATCATGCTGAAGACTGTGCTCGGCCTCTACTGCCTACTCAGCTGCGCTGGCGCTCAAACCGACAAGGTCAAGGTCAAATGGCTTGAAGGAACCCCGGACTATCTTGGCGGTGTTACCTTTGGCGTTCCATGGCCTCGTGGCCAGCATCTCGCCAACGCCACTACCTTCACGGCTTCGGATAATGCAGACCTGCAGTCGTGGGTTACCGCATACTGGCCTGATGGCTCACTGAAGTGGACGGGGCATGCTCTCGGTGCTACAGACTCACCTGCTGATGAGTACACTATCACCGCTTCTGGACCAGGCAACACCACTTTCTCTCGCCTTCGCCGTCAGAGCAGCAACAGCACCAACGGTGTGCAGGTTAGCGACTCCGGAGATGAGATTGTTGTCAACACCGGCAAGGTCACCGCCACTTTCCCCAAGTCTGGAAATGTGTTGGTTTCGTCGATTGAATCCGGCGGAAAGGTCGTCGGAAACAATGGCCGCTTGGTTTTGAGGTCGCAAAGCGGTACTCCAGACGACGATGAGGATGGCAAGCCAACCGGCATCGACTACTTCAGCTTTGCTAGCAAGATCCATAACACCACCGTATCGGACGACAACTCTCAACGTGCTCTCATCACAGTTCAGGGTATTCATGCAGTCGATGGCGAGGCATCTCACGCCGACTGGCTTCCCTTTACCGTACGCTTCTACCTCTATGCAAACTCGGAGGCCATCCGTATCATCCACACAATCATTTACGATGGTGAGGCCAAGAGCGATTTCATCTCTGGGTTGGGTGTACGCTTCGACGTACCACTTGCAGAGGAGGAGCAGTACAACCGCCACGTTCGCATTGCCGGTGTTGACGGGGGACTGTTGCGCGAGGCAGTACAAGGTATCACTGGTCTTCGTCGGGACCCTGGTGCAGCTGTGAAGTCTGCCCAGTTCAACGGAACTGAGACGCCTGACAAGACCACTTGGGACCAGAGGGTTACAACTCGCCTTCAATGGATTCCTACATGGAGCGACTACAGACTTACTCAGCTTTCTCCAGATGGCTTCAACCTTAAGAAGCGTACCAAGGCTGGACAGAGTTGGGTCACTATCCCTGGTGGTACTCGCTCTGGCGGCCTTGCTTACCTTGGTGGTTCTACTGTTGGTGGCCTGGCTCTTGGCCTGCGTGACTTCTGGAAGAAGTACCCCACCAGTCTCGACATCTCCAATGCTGCCACCGACACTGGCTCCATCACCCTGTGGCTTTACAGTCCGCAAGCTGAGCCTCTGGACGTCAGGCCATACCACGATGGTCTCGGCCAGGACACATATGCCAAGCAGCTAGATGCTCTCGAGATCACTTACGAGGATTATGAGGGTGGCTACAACACACCCTATGGAATCGGTCGCACCAACGAGCTGTTCCTCTATGCATTTGCTAGCACTCCTTCAGCCGACCACCTCTCAACTTTGACAAATAACACCAACGATCCGCCAGTCTTGGTCCCTGAGCCGACTTACATCCGCGGCACTAAAGCTATCGGCAGCTACTGGGACGTTCCGGGCTCGCCAAGGGACTCCGCTCAAGCCCAGACCATCGAGAACAACATGAAGTTCCTGATCGAGTTCTATGAGGGCCAGGTCGAGCAGCGTCGCTGGTATGGCTTCTGGGATCACGGCGACATCATTCACACTTACGATGATGATCGTCACCAGTGGCGTTACGATATTGGCGGCTATGCTTGGGACAACTCTGAGCTTTCGCCTGATCTCTTCTTCTGGGGCCACTTCCTGCGTACCGGTGATGCTAAAGCCTACCGTCTGGCGCACGACCAGGCACGCCACGGTGGTGAAGTCGACTCTTACCATCTCGGTAACTTCACTGGTCTCGGTACTAGGCATGGTGTTCAGCACTGGGCTGATAGTGCTAAGCAAGCTCGTATCTCCACACCTGTCTACAGGAAGACATTCTTCTACATCTCCGGAGGAGACGAGCGCACTGGCGATCTCATCCGCGAGACACAAGAGGCTACGAAGGCTTTCTTCCTTGTTGATGCTCGCCGCAAGGTTCGCGCTGCCAGTGTTGTCTACAACCCTGACCCTGAGGCTCTTTATCTCAACTTCGGTACCGACTGGGCTGGTCTTGCGCAAGCCTACCTGATTGAATGGGAGCGCCGCGGGCCAAACTGGGAGGAGGCGCGCGACAAGATCATCGAGGCCATCAAGACCTACCCCCAGCTTAAGAACGGGTTTGTTACCGGCGAAGCTCTCTACAACTCCCTCACTGGTGCCTGGTCTCCACCGCCTACAGACCCCACCAATACGGGTAACATTACCGTCTCCCACTTGTCCGGCGTCTTCGGCGTCCTTGAGACCATCGACCAGCTCATCGATCACTTCGGCCCCGAAGCCCGCAACACGACTCAGCCGTTCCTCGATGCTTTTCTCGACTACGCTTACTACTACGGCGCCTCAAAAGCTGAGCAGGTAGCCAGATATGGCAAGGACTTTGGCAACCTCAACCTCAAACAGGGCCACTCTCGCTTCACTGCGTACGTCGCACACAAGCGCAACAACGCCACCCTCGTACCCCGTGTCTGGTCCGAGTACCTGGGCGACGGCAGCAAGGATGGCCTTGCACCCAACGCGCCCTGGAAGACGGTCAGAATCGATGGCTCCGCAGCGCTCATCCCTGTCGATGAGGCTACGTGGGTCAGCACTAATGCTGCCGCCTTGTACGGGGTCGCTGGTATTGAGAACCTGGCTTTGGTGGGAGCGCCCGATGCTTCGTCGATTGGGGGTAACTCGACTGCCACGTTGAGGGTTTGAAGCTTTTCTTGATGGTATATACTACAGCTTGATGACGTTTAGCGCTCTTCTTGTACACGACTCTTAGTAACTTCTTTGTGTGAATATTAATCATAGATCATTACCACTACATCTACATCACATTGCATTTTTTCTGCGTTCTTGTTGGAATGTGCATGGTCAGCTGCTAGTAGTCAGCTCTGGAGTTGTCTTATAAACATGATGAGATTCGGCCTAACGTGGTCCACCACCGAGCGGATCACCCCACCGAGCGAATCACCAAATGCAACTATATATCTTTGAACGTGAATAACTCAACACAACAACAAGATATAATAGTGCGTAATAGCTTGAACTAATCGCCTATCTCTACTGTATCTTTCTTGCATGTACGCTTGTTGTGTCCTGTGTTGCCACACCTCCTGCAGCGCGGAATACCCCTGCTGCTAGCACCTGCCTGCACTCTCCCCTCACGCCTCTCTACTTCAAGTTGAACCTCAGCATCCTTTTGGGTAACTATTACCCCTGCTTCTACCTGTGATAGAGCCCCCCCCTTCTGTATTCGCTTCTTCTTACGCTTTTTACGCTCAGAAGCAGCCTGATTTGCTTGCTCAAGACTATCTATCTGAGCTTCAAGCAACGTGTGTAAGTGTACCTTCAAAGTTAACCCCTTTTTAACCTGCAACACCATCTTAAGAATAGACTCAGGTGATAAGCACCTATAGTCCCTTATCCTCTTGAGAATCAGCGTTGTTTGAGCCTCTATTTCCCAGGCGTTGCTTGGTGTTTTAGGCTGCCAAGGGGTACTCCTGGGTAAAGGTGGTGTTGGTGTACGAGGCTTCACTTCAAGCCTTGATAGCACCACCTCTGGGTTATCCGGAACTAAGCCAGTTGCTCTGAAGCTTGATAGGATATTGTCCTTTGAGAAGGCCTGGTCAAATACTAGGGTAAGTGCAGCTAGGAAGGCTTTCTTGTCAATGTGGTTGATATAGCAGTTTGCCAAGACTCGGATCTCCTCCTTGTACGCACGCTTTAGGGGGGCAAAGCAACCCACATCAAGCGGCTGAAGGATGTGTGAGGTGTGAGGGGGCATACAGAGGGTGATGATATTGTTCTCCTCACAAAGATCCTGGAAGGCGAGTGACTTGTGGCTCTCGTGGCCATCAAGAATCAGTAGTCTGTAACCACCTACTTTCTTAACCTCCGTGTGCTTGATAAAGTGCTGTAGCCAGGCAAGCCCAAGCTCATTTGTTGTCCATCCATTATCACTAACCCCTATTCTCCAATCCTGAGGGTTATGATACCAGGCCTGGTCGTGGTTCTTAGCTTTGAAGATGATGAAGGGTGGGATAACCCACCCTGTGGCGTTGATGGCGGCAATCAACGTCACCCACTCCCTGTCACCAGGCTGAACCCCAAGTGGCTTAAGGCGCCTCTCAGAGACTGTGACTACCTTCACAGACCCCCCAACGCCTATCTGGAAGCCAGTCTCATCAAAGTTGTACGTGTCTTGATCTAGGATACCATACTTGGCTTTGACGTTGCGTACAAGGTTGAACCAGGGGCTGATAATAGCTGGATTACTGCAGAGGACTCGCTGGTGATCACGGAGTCGAGTCACCTGAGATTTGACCTCAGGCCGGCGTTGGATCAGCCTATAGGCCCAGTTCTCCCCAACCTGGCCACCACTACGCTTAGCTAGTAGCTGGTCAGCCATTCCACGTACGTGGCTAAGCGTAGGGGCAAAGCCTCTAGCGTCAAGCTTCCTTATATATTGTATAACTGCCTCCTCTTCATGCTTCTGAAGCTTAGATGAGTTGGGATGGGTATCGCGTCGTGGGGTTCTTCCGGCGCCTTGATGGCTAAGTGTACTTTGAGGAACCTTGTAGATAGCAGCAGCGCGTCGCTGGCTTAGTGACGCGTTAGATTTCATTGCTTGGGTAGCAAGTATAACTCTATCTGCACAGGAAAGTAATTCAAGATCAACTGGTTGAGCCATTGTAATTGATAGTAGAAAGCGTTGTGGTCTTGGCAGAGTGATTCGCTCGGTGGGGTGATCCGCTCGGTGGTGGACCACGTTATGTACAAAGAAGGGCAATCTACACATAACTTCGGGCTGGACATGCAATGCTGTAGCATTTACGACCAAACAGAAGTCGCACCAATTGCCGCGCCGCTGGCGGGAAGCAAGAAGTCGCTTGCAGCAATCTTGCCTGTTGTAGGATCACGCTTGCCCTGCACAAGCGTGATGTCGACCGACTTGAAAGTCGTGTTATTCCATGTAGTGCTGCCCTGCCACGAGTTCCCAGTCTGCTTCTGAGCGCTGTTCAAGCTGACCTGCGCCGAGTTGGTGGTGCTCTTGATGTTGCTCGCAGCAATGTTGTTGGTGAACGTTGTTACAGCAGTGGTGCTCTTGAAGCCAACATCGCCGTTGTTCCAGGCAGTGTTGCGCTGCAAGATGAAATTGCCGGGTTGGCTGTTATCGGTGAATCCCTTCGCGACGTTGTTGAACGCAATGCTGTTACTGACCTGGTGGTCTGCGGGCCCCTTGTCCGCTTCGTCGCCACCGCCGAGCTTGAAGCCGTTGCCGTCGCCCTGAAAGTCGGTGAAGCCCCAGCGGTTTACGCCGTTGCCCCACGCGATGGTGTCGACGACGGTGATCTTACTCTTGAACTCCCAGAAGTCGAGACCGTCGTCGACGTTGTTCCACAGACGAGCGCCCTTGATAAGGTTGCCCTCGCCAGTGCCCTCCTTGATACCAATGCCGTCAGCAGACTCGCCATTCTTGCGCGGGTCGCGGTTCTCGTAGGAATCGAGATATAATATCTGGTTGTTTGCGCTGCTGCCCTGGAGCTGGAAGCCTGTCTCGTAGTTCTGGCGAGTGGTGAGTTGCTGGAAGATGTTGTTGCTCGAGTCGACTGCGTATACGCCGTAGGGTCCGTTAATGAATTGAATACCCTTGATCGTCCAATAAGACGCTTTCTCGACATGGAGAATGCCACGGTCAGCGGCAGCCAGGCTGCCACCGACAGGAGCGGGTGTGCCGGTGAGTGCCTCGCCATCGACGATGGGGACCTCGGTCTGGTACGCTGCGAGGGTAATACGCGCAGATGCGGTCCCAGACTTCTTGACCTGGATGTTCGTGGTCGGAGAGTATGTGCCACCCCGAAGCAAGATGCTGTCGCCAGCTACAGCCTTGTCAACAGCAACCTGGATAGATTTGTAGGGTGCGGCAAGGGTTCCAGCGGCACTGTCCGAGCCGGTAGGTGAGACGTAGAAAGTCGCGGACAGTACTGAAGGGAGAAGGAGAAAGATGGTCTGGAATGACGTGAGCTGCATGATGAGGGAGTTGTGTTAGCGAACGATAGATACGAGAACAGAAGAGGAATGAGCAAAGATAAAAGAAGACCCATTGTCCCTTGAACTGTCTCATATATTCCCTCTGCTAATGCCAACGTCAGCCATCGTATTGAGCTCGCGGTGAACGCCATGACACCACAGACAGAGGATCTTCACTGTGAATGATGGACGCAATTGTGCCGGGCTCGCAACGCGATCTTCCCAGATTCAGTAGATTAAATGAAATGAGTATATTTGAAAATTCCCCGACTGGTGTAATCAGCGTTTCACGTTGAGAGTCCACTAATCAAGAGCCGTGTTTCTCACTTGGCATACTTGGCACACATGTATACTGACTTCGTTGTATCAACAAAGGAACTCTCGGTAAGGCAATTGTGAATTTGGATTGCACCAGTGCCGCGGAGTACGAGAGAGTGTGCGAAGCCGATGGTCGCTGAGCAAACACGAGAGAATGGAGGTCCGCGGACGTGTAAGCAACAACTCGGAATCCGTGGCGTGATCCTTTCGGTCCAAGGTGATATCGCTATTCTTATTGATTCGAACGTCCGCAAGACATGTCTTTCTGCGAACGGAAAGTTGTGGTCAAGTAACTGCGGAAGTTGCTCTATCGAACCTTCGAGGTTAGCAGCACGTCAGAAAATCACCATTTCTTCAGAAGTCACCCTGAGTCCTCGATAGAAAAAAGTATTTGCCATTGTCAATTGCTCGATTGAGAACGTAACTGGTATGAAGATGCTGAGATTGCGTCAGTGCTGCCCGATTTTTCGAAATTTGATCAAAGCCGTAAAGTCTGAGGGCCGCGATCGGGATTCGTTGACATTTAAAGGTGTCCTAGAAGGTAAGCGCGCACCCTCCACGAGCAACAGTGGGATACAGAATTTATGATGGATGATAGACAGTAGTATTGCTTGACAGAACGGTGGATGACGACGGCTCTGGGGAGGTGTGCGTTGCACCAGTCCAGAGAAATGGAGGCGTCTTTTCAGGCTATCGGACAAATCGAACAAGTTCGGTTACCTACCGTGTCCGTGCACCAAATGCGCGCCATCACCAAATGCGCGGAATCCTGATAAGCGCCACTTTTTCTCAACACCACAACACAACAACGATGACAGGTATTACAGAAGCGCTTGCAGAGTGTGATTCCGTACCCTCTGACGACAAGATCCCGTGGCAAAAGATAGCTGATAGGCATGGTGTTGTTCGCTCAACATTGACGCGCAGGCACTGCCGCGAAACATGCTCTTGGAAGGAGGTATCAACATCGCAGCAGAATCTTCAACCAGAACAGGAGGCAGAGCTTGTGAAGTATATAGAGGATCTGACTGAGCGTAAGCTACCTCCTTCTAGAGAGATGGTGCAGAATTACGCATCCAGTATTGCTGGACACCCTGTCTCTGAGAGCTGGGTTACTCGCTTCCTCCACCAACACTAAGATAAGCTTACATCTAAATGGAGCACTTCTGTAGATCAACAACGCCACGCTGCTGACTCTGGTGATAAGTACAAGGTGTACTTTGAACAGCTAGGCAGCAAAATTGACTTCTACAAAGTAGAGCTAGAGTATACGTACAATATGGATGAGAAAGGCCTTATAATTGGAGCTATTAGCAGACAGAAGAGGATCTTTAGCAAGAGGCTGTTTAAGAAGAAGTAGTTCAAACAGATGCTGCAGGATGGTAATTGTGAATAGATAAGCTTATTGGCGTGTATATGCGCTGACAGCACAGCGTTGCCACCTGCTCTTATATACGCAGCTAACTCAAACAACATATAAGACACTTAGGTAGAAGATGTGAAGGTGGAAGAATATACAGCCTTCTTTGAAGTATTAGGCAGTGGCTAGTCAAACAACAGGCTTGGCCTTGCCTGGCTCTAACAGGTGTTTAAGCGCTTCACAGCAGCCAAAGCTCAGAGAAAGTACCGCCCGTTGCTTGTAGATAGCCACAGGAGCCACCTAACAGAAGAGTTTCTGGAGTATTGCCACAGGCATAAGATACTATTAGGTATCTATCCACCTCACAGCACCTACACGCTGCAGCTGCTTGATGTGGTAATGTTCAAGCCTCTTAGCACAGCATATTCAAAGAAGCTATCAACACGCCTTCACAAGCATCAAGGCCTAGTGCCTGTAACTAAAGCTAACTTCTTCAGCCTGTTCTAGGATGCTTAGGCAAGCAGCTTTACTGCGAAGAACATCTTTAGCTTGTATAAGACAGCAGGTGTACACCCCTTTAACCCTAACGTTATACAAACAGCTGAAGGCACAGAAGGCTAAGGAAGTCGCTGGACGCAAGGCAGAGAGAGAGCGCCAAAAACAAGCTCGCAACTCTTACAAAGCTATACAAAAGCCCTCTACAGGCAAGTGCAGGGGTTCACAGCAAGTACTACCAAGGAAGAAGCAGAAACGTAGTGCTAGGGGTGATGTAGGTAGTGCCTCGTGCATTGCGCGTACGTTGACACCTCCACATCAAACTAACAATTGCAGCCGCAAAATCCTTCAGCCAAGAAAGCATTGGTGAGAGATTTAGTTATAAAGATCTATATAGTACACCACCAAATTATCTTGTGATAAAAACTATTGTGTGTGGCTCTATAGCCTCATTTTGTCGTCCTGGTGAAGAAGCGATCGCGCGCATTTGGTGATGGCGCGCATTTGGTGCACGATCACGGTACCGACTACGCAACCACGACCCCGCATTAGGTAGCCTCAAGCCAACCACACAACTCTAGGCTTTTCGAGGGGTACGAAGTACGTCGTGACCCCACATAGAGATCGACAGCTCATGAGGCCGTTACTGGCTCATGGCGCCGCAGGACAAGAGCCTGCCAGTCCGCTTTCGGAGACTCAACCTGCCATGCTCGGTAATGACTAGATGTTACTCATAGTACAGGAAACATGCGGAGGTATATGAGGCCCGCCAACTCCAGATGTGGAGGCATCTATACCTGCGATGACACAGACGATGCATAGGTTTTCGTGTCTCTTGGTGGCGCTGCTTGCAGCAGTCAGCGTGGCCCAGGATATCTGCGACGAACCTGCCTCACGATTGTACCTCCCAGATCCCCCGTACGACAATTACCTATACTTCGACTGCCACTCGAGCTCCCATGTCGTTATCACGAGCCCTACACCAGAAAGTAATCTAAGTGTAATCGGTCCGCGATTACTTGTAGCATGGCCTGCAGGCAATAGCGGCCTGGTCGTCTACTTCGAACCAACAGGCGCAGTCAACGGAACCTTAACACCTAGCCTTGCAAATTCGTCTTCGACTGGCGAACCACTGGATCCAATCTATGAGCCTGTCGAGAATAGTAATCCCGTAGTCGGCGTCTCTGGCTCCATCAACTTCAATGTACCTGTAACTTTGACGATTGCAATTCTCGGCAGCATACGTACTGTCCGAGACTTTGCTGAAGGTCCTAGCATACTCGATCCAGATGTACAGAGCGGTCTTCGGTACTCAGGGTCAAACACCAGCGTGATCATCAAACGGACTTGGTTTGACAACATCACAACCACCAACCTAGAACTCGCTCCGCTTGACGGCGCACCGGCAATTACTATTGAGCAGGTTAGCTCAAATAGCAGCCACGTGCTGTTCGGCGCAGGCACGTATAGATGTGAGCTGGCAATCATAAGCAACACCAAGCAATGGCTAAAACTCCGCAGTCAATGCTTCCTTCAACTACGCCCAGCTTGAACAGCTGAATCAGACGGAAGTGCTCAATCCAGATTCAATGGATTTGGTTCAGCAGCAACCTGACCAAATGACGTCCCTGTCCTTCTTGTCTTACGAAGATAAGCTTCTGGCCGGCACGTGGCGCTTCCTTACCTACTTTGGCAGAGACAGCATGATCTCTATGCTATTAATGCAGCCTGTATTAAGTGAGGGAGAGAAAGGTGCTATCGAGGCTGTCATCGGACCAGTACTGGAGCGCATAAATCGCACAGATGGGACAGTGTGTCACGAGGAAGTAATTGGCGACTACGCCACTTATCTGAACCTCAAAGAGAATATCACATCCACCGAACCCCGCTGCGACTACAAGATGGTAGACACAGACTATTTGCTCCCTATCGCCATGAAAAACTACTTTGTCGATACAGAAACCGGCAAACAACATTCCAAAGCCTTCTTCAACACCACAGCTACTTTCCTGGTCGAGAACGAGGGGCTCACCTATGAGACACTAGCCGAGATCACCATCCAGAAGATTATGAACGCGACTGCTGCTTTCGCAGCGCCAGGGGGCCAAGTCATAGAGAATCTCATTCACCTGCGCGATGATCAACCCGTTGGCGAATGGCGCGACTCGAACAACGGACTTGGAGGTGGACGCATCTCGTACAATGTCAATGCAGCCCTCGTTCCAGCAGGCCTTCGTGCTATTGCCGCTCTTAGCAGTGCAGGCTACTTTGCCAACCATCCTGAATGGAACGAGACAGCCGACCAGTACGCGCAGATCTGGGAAGACTCGACGCTGCAATTCTTCAAAATTAGCGTGCCACAACCCGAAGCCGTTACGCTCGTCGAAAGCTACGTCACAGACAGCAATCTCTCCGTCCCAACAAACACTGGCAATATCACCAGCGATGTGGTCTATTATGGAGTCGCGTTGAACGGCAACGTCGCTCCGCCCAACAATGCTTCGTCCGCAGTGGTACCTGTCATGAATACGGACGATTGTTTCCGACACTTCTTCCTTAATTCGACAAATCAGGAGCAGCTCAGTGCGTTTCTCAACCAGACAGCTGATCACATTCTCAAACCCTTCCCGGTTGGTCTAGCAAGCGATGTTGGATTGTTCGTCGCGAATCCCGCATATTCCGGAGATGAATCTTTTGCTGCAAACTTTACCCGTGGAGACTATCATGGGACGGTGGTCTGGGGTTGGCAGCTGGCTATGATGGGTGCTGGGCTTGGACGGCAGCTTGGAAGATGTGATGGCGAGAGCGTCCCAGGTATGTTTGTCCCTCAGTATGTCGATTCACCTACTAATAAGCGATATTTAGACTTCTGCGACGACTCTAACTTGTATCAAAGGGTGCTATCAGCGTATGACCGCCTATGGGATCTCATCGAGGCCAACAGGGCTCAACTGAGTAGCGAAGTCTGGAGCTGGAACTATAACGACGGCTACCAGGCTACTCCGCTCGGGACCTTCGTTCCGACCGAGAGCAACATTCGCCAGCTCTGGAGTCTGACGTTCATAGCTGTCAAACGAGAGGCTTTTGGCACGAATGGGAATAGCACTGGTGGGAACAGTACTGGTGAGGGTAGCACATCTCAGTTTGAGGGCGCCGCGACAAGAGACATGATTTGAGCGCTGGTTGCTGCTATTGCTGGTGTAGCGTGGCCGGTATTGTAGGCCTATGACTGAAGCTGTTAACATCAAGGAGGCAGTGTCGTCTTCTTCGACTGACTTCGACATCTACGCAGCTCGACAAAATGTCTTTAGTTGCTTAATACTGAGCTCATTGCAGCTTACAGTATCCTGTTACGTATGAAGTGTCTGCATACCTTTTGGATCGATTCTACTCACATTGTGCGTGTTGGCTTGGTGTTGCTGACCTGACTTCGCACAGTGTTGATTGATTGCACGGAGGGCCTGGCTGATCCAGACAGCCAGGAGCAGTAGAATAAAGAACACTGAGCTCAGGGTGTACAGGCATGTCTTTCAGCAGTGTGTTGGATGATGGATAGACCGTACTTCAACAAGTGTGAACAACTCGGAAAATTGCCCACCGAAAAGCTTGCGCGTTCAAAAGAACTTAATTCAAGATCAACCCAAAATAAAACGGCAAGACCATAAAGATGTCAGAAGCACAGGACATCCCACGTTCCAGCACTGCTATGACAACTGAGACAGTCATTCACCGGCCTGAACTGAACCCTGAACGATTGCAGGAAATTCCACTGCTTCCCATGACCCCAAGTTCCTCAAAGACAGTCATCCATCATACACCGCAGGCGCCCAAGAAGCTCAAGACCAAGATCCTCGAGTTCCTCAAGCCAACTGTATATAAACCTGAGGCTGACGAGGGTGCCACGGCTGCCTGCCCTTCGGAACGATTGCTCGATGCGCTCTCTCTGGCCGGTGTGCTTAAACAGCCCAAGCCGAAGCAGAAAAAGCCTGAAAAGAAGACTTATCCCCCACCCCGCAAGCTGACAGTCAATATAGTTGACGGTAAGACCAATATGGTCATCCATCAGTACGTGACTGTTTACCGACTCATGGCCATCTCATCCCAGGCGAAACAAGTCCTTGAGTGGAAGCCACGGGCCGGCCAGTATAAGATCTACGGAAAATATAGCCGGGCCGCTATGTCCAGCGTGCTCGACGCCATCGTTTATCTCCAGCCCATCCCCATCTCCACAACGGTACTTGCAGACAACTTTCTCACATATGAAGCGTGTCTGCGCCTGGGCATCTCTAACAAACGCGCCGAGCTGAAGCCTTTGCTCACTGCTGTCTATGACCAGATCTCCAAGGGGCCCGTTGACAACGAGGTCCTGGCGTTCGTGACCTACCATCTCGGCAGCAAAGACCCGGTGTTCAGACACACAGCCAACGTCCTGTGTCACCAGCGCTTCATCAAGTCCGTACCCGATGTGAAAGAGTTCGAGAAAATGGTAGCGAAGAAGCCTGCACTGCAGAAGGCCGTGTTGCAGATTGATCAGGCGCACAAGTCGCGGCGGCAGGCATATGAGGCGAAGAATCAGGCAAGATCTGGTAGCGAAGCCGACGACGAAGCATCTGGTAAGTCTGCTGGTGACGAGGAGAAGGTAGTAGAGGTCAAGACTGTCGAGAATATGCTTGAACAGATTGCGCGGGAGGAAAGAGGATGATTACAAGCAGAAGAAGAAACTTCTGGGTCTGTTTAGGAATGATGGCGCGGTACGCGAGCCCACAGATGAGACTGAGAAAGTAGAGAAGATTGACGAGACGGAGAAGCTTGAGTAAAGCGCTGTAAGTGAGACCAGATTTCATTGATACAATCTTTTATGTACCATTCCTTCAAACATGAGCAATAGCAGAGACGGTAAATTCGTGTGTCTCATGGTATGGTAACAGAGTGAAGACAGTAGGCGGTGATGACCTTGACTAGCGTGACGCACGTGGCGCCTATTGCCGTGACTACGACAATGATGTCAAGCAGACCCTGGACCCACTCCAAGCTTGAACCTGGCGCTGCGCATGTGAACAATTCCTCTTCTCCACAGGCAGCAACGCAACGAAGTCGTGCAATATTGAAGCCTAGAAACAGCCGAGCTTTGTACTTGCAGCAGTGCTGCGTCCAGAACACACGACCCTTCAGGCACCAATAACTACAACAACAACACCTCTCGGCGCAACACCAGCAGAACAGCTTACCATGACACCCCTCAAAATTTCAATACCAACTGCACAAACCAAGACCCCGGAAAGCGGCAAACCCTACACAGAATACACAATCAAAATCGACCATCCCTTCCCGCGCGCAACATCCTCCGTCTCAAAACGCTACACCGACTTCTCGAACCTCGATTCTGCATTACGCAATGCCGTTGCTGCACCACCCGCCTCCCTCCCACCAAAATCGTGGTCGCTTTTTGGACTAGGCAGTTCGCTTGGGTCGCCAGAGCAGGTTGAGAAGAGGCGGAAGGGCCTCGAGGAGTACCTGCGCGCGATTGAGAATAGCGAGGATGCGCGGTGGAAGGCTGCGAAGCTGTACAGGGAGTTCTTGGGGCTCGATGATAGGGAGGGGAAGAGGGCGGCAGGGTTCCCAGGAAGTCAATTTGGAAAGGATCGAGTGAGGGATAGTTCGGATTGGCTGGACAAGCACGCCGAAGTCAAGAGCAGTTTGCAGGATGCAAGGAGGTGGTTGACGGCGAGGGAACAGGCTACTGCAGCAAGTGCGCAGCATGATGCTGCTGCGAATGCTAAGCGGAGTCTGTTGCGCGCCGAGTCTCTACTTGCTGCGCTGGAGGAGGGTCTGAGGAGACTGAGTGGGACAAGCGGCGATGAGTGGAGCGGCGAGAAGCTGGGTGATGGCGAGGTACGTCGGCGGAAAGATATGATTAGCTCGAGTCGTAAGGAGCGCGACGGCCTGGAAAGCGTCCTGAACACCATGGCCGCGAAAGCCGCACTCTCCGGGTCTGGCACCCTCTCTACACCCAGCACATCCAGCGCCGCCGTCACCGCCGAGCAGAAAGCCGGGCTCTTCAAAGGTGCATCGAAGCCCTCAGGCCGTCGAGTCCTCGGAGGCACACCCGTGGAGACCGAGCGCACGCGCGAGCTGGACAACGAGGGTGTGTTGCAGCTGCAGAAGCAGGTCATGCAGGAGCAGGACGAAGATCTTATCGACTTGACGACGGTGGTGCAGCGCATGCGGCAGATGGGCGTTGCCATCAACGAGGAGATTGTGGAGCAGAATGCGATGCTAGGGCTGTTGGAAGAGGATGTTGAGAGGGTGGATGGCAAGATACGGATTGCGAAGAAGAGGGTGGATAAGATTCGCTGACTAGTGGTTTTGTTTTTGCTAGACTTCAGCAGAGCGTACATTGCAAGGTGTCTGGCGCTATTTGACTATGGACAGCATTGCAGCGATGCTAGCACGCGATCCTCAGATCGAATTTTTGCAAACCTTTGGGAATTTGAACTCAACGGCGTTGCTCATCATCGCAGTTGTGTGGCTTGGTGTGGAGCCCTCCACGAGGGTGGGCTGCCGGTCAGCTTTCGTTCCTGCCGTTCCCACCCAGTCTCTGTTCAATCGGTAGGTAGTTAAGTCTCGACGCCCAAACTACGGAGAATGGTAAACCTGATAGATTCAAGCTCTGGTTGTGAGATTCGCAGCCAAGTTCGCAATGCCATCTTCTGCGAACCAGCAGACTTTCGTTTGCTGTCTGTGCATGTATCTGCGCCTTTCTCTGGTCGCTTGGAGTACATGACCTATCTCGTATCCCCATTGAGATCTCCACTCCATGGATCCGGTTGTTAGCTACATGACTAGATTGAAGTGGGCATAAATGGAAGAAGAAAGGCTCGAGAGTTTTGAAGCATGTGAATCGACTTAATGCGGAACTGATAGCAGGAGACATTGCACGACAGAGACGCATCACACAAAGACGCAATCTAAGCATCTCAGATAGTGTGACCTAAACAGAATCATTATATAGCTACTAGGCAAGGATATTATCAGTTGTCATCTCGATAGTAGAATAACTGCGATTCGCTCCTAGAAAAGACCTAGCAAGTAAACAAAGTGGTATCACGTATCATCTCAACACCCCTCACCGTCGTTCTCCTGCTTCACCCCCCTCCTACTTCTTCTCCTCACCCTCCTTCTTCCCTCCCCAAAGCCCCCCAAGATAACCCCCAGCACTCTTCCCCGCATTACCAACACCACTCCCCACCGCCCCAGCGCCGCCCTTGACACCATCAACAGCGCCCTGCCCGTACCCGCCCAGCGGTCCCTGGCTCTCAAGCGGCTTCCCCTTGTCGTCCTTGCCGCCGCGCTCAGCGCGGTTGATGCCCTCCTTGCTCAGCGCGTCGCCGACAGGCTGCAGGAGTCCGCCTTGGCCGACCTGGCCCGACACCATGCCATGGACGCCGTCTTGGAGGTTGTCGACTTGCGAGACGCCTGTTACTTTTGTTTTGTCGAGGTTCTCTGCGCCAAGGATTGTCAGTGGAGATTCAGATGTGCGGATACAATGTGTGTGCAGACGTGGGGAGGAATGGAAACGTGGGGTGTTTTTTGTGGGGACATGTGGCATGGTGCAGCTACGCGTGCAACGGAATGGGGACGTACGTTTTGTAGCATACGACGCTTTGTTGTCCTTGGTGAACCACTGAAGGTACTTGTCCTCCATCCAGGGGACCCAGTTGTCGTACTGGCGGTTGTAGTAATCGCCGGCTTGCTGCCTGTAGGTCTTGCTCTCGGCGTTCTTGTTGTCGTTCGCCATATTGACGTATATTCAATGTGCGATGCGATAAGCTTAGAGGGAAGTTATGTAGGTACGGAGTGTATGAAAGGATCAATAAAGACCATGGATTGGTACGCTGCAGCTATATATATTGGAGTATCTCACAGGGCCCTCGACCGGCTCGTCATCCCACAGTGATCTCATCTGCGATCACCAGCCCAGGATCATGGCCCACGCAGGCGGTTGGCGATGTGGTGACAGGGGTCGTGCCTGGTGTGTGGACGTCGCACGTCATACGTCATCAGGCTAGACCAGTGATCGTCCCGCGTGGACGCAAGCTCAAGCGGGCCAGATCAAGTTTCCACGGGGCCAACGTCGCGTCAACGTCTGAACCGTCCACTAAGGGTCACTCGCGGCGCAATGTGTCGGCGCCTTGCCAATCCAGTGTGGCGCAGATGTTCAAGATCTTGTTGTGTTGTTGTGTTGGCCAAGTCGATCGCGTGGATCGAAAGCAAATCATATGCAAGGAACAGGGAAAATTGAGAATGTGTTGTATGAGTAATCGAACCTACATACGCACGCAACCTTGATGCGTAGTACAATATTGCTATGCTCATCGTGAACGTGAAAATCGCTGCATGGACGTCTTGTCGTCGATACTGCGCTGCGCTGAATGCATTCGTGATGCCCGTCGAATGCCCTGTTACGCCTTAAGAATCGTCCATGAAAAAGATGTGACCGCTATGAAGATCTCTTCCAAATCTCGACAGATGTTAATCGTACATCGTGTGGCTACAGCCGCCGCCGCTGAACACGCAATGCCGTGACGCACCGTTCCGGCACTGGCGAAGTGCGTAAGAGATACTGTACAGTAACGCATCGGCCGGACGATAGACTGGGTATATATCGTTACAATCGTCAGAAACGCTCAATCAAAATACATGCAGGTCTGCATCTGCTCACTGTCCGGTACTTGCTCCTCTCATCCTTGTGCGACCCAGGCTCATGCTGCGACTCAAATCTGCTGTGGTGCCAATCGAATTGCGGTTGGGGTTGATGCGATTCGCGCCGAGTTGGAGTCGCTCTCGTAGACCGTTGACAGTCTGCTTCTCGACCGCAGGTGAACTCTGTCGGTCAAAGTTGAAGCGCCGTGTGCTGTCTCTGAAAAGGAGACCGTTCTCATTTGGCACACCAGTCACGGTTGGCCGTCGTTGGCTCGGCGTGGGCTGAAATTTAGGTGATGGCTGCAATTCCGGCATAGGCTCCTGCGACGTGTATGTTCTACTATGTCGGTTTTTCTCGAAGCTGCTGTTATTGACATTGGTGGGAGTGCTGGTGTTGGTGTTGATGCTTCGCAACTGTCTGAAGTCTGTCATTGCACGGGATGGTGCGCGCAGTGTATCATCTTCATCTTCGTCTCCATCTACATCCGCATCTGACTGGCGTCGAGTTCGGTTCATACTAGTGCTTGCTCGCTGCACACGTGAAGCAGTGAGCGGATCGGTCGAACCATTGGTGTCCCGACTGGTCGGGCGTTTACTGGTAGAGGCTGCAAGCATGCTGGTTCTGCGGGCTTCAATACGCTCAAGTGCTCGGCTGGGACTAACACCCGAGAACGAAATGACGCTGTCGGTGTCCTCGCCATCGCGTGTTGCCTTTGGTGACTCGCCATTGACCTGTACACTGGGCCTGCGTGCAGCAGCAGAAGCAGCAACAGCAGCCGAGGAGCGCATAGCAGGACTCACCAGACTTGGCTTAGTGTCGCACAATGCTATGCACAGCTCTGTCAAACTACGACAGAGATTGTCAGCTTTACGGCGAACTTGTCGATCAGCCGCTCCAGCACCACTATAGACTGAGGCAGCGGAGCTCAGCATGCCTGTGCTTCCTGCCATCTCTGCTAGCGCAATAGCCTCTGCTGCTGTTGTTTCAAGTGCGCGATACACTGAAATTGTGGTGTGCTGTTTGGCCTTTGCAAGAGCATCTCTCAGTAGCGGATGTACCTTGTTGGCAGGCGCTTCGACAGTCGATTCTGACGGCGATCCACTGGGTTTGCGCTGCTGATGTGGCGAGGAAGAGACGGTGGTAGCTGTTGTGTTGGCTGTTCGTGGGCGCTCAGCGGAAGCCTGAGCAACTGCGGCATTGGATGTTGCTGGAGTCTTGCCGCCACCTATTTCTATCTTCTTGATCCTCGTCTTCAGCTCATCCAATTCATCCCATACTGAAGCCGCCGGACCAGTTGAGCCATGGGATTCGGTATCGTGGTGTGACGACGCTTCGTGTCTCGACTCGGATTGTGGTGTTTTTGGCTCCAGGCGTGCGGGTGTGTAGCTCAGATTGGAAGGTCGGTAAGCATATGTAGCCGCGCGCTTCGGCGGCGTCTGAAGCGTATCAGGAACAGAGGGTCGTCGCATAGAGGCAAGGAACTCGCTGGGAGAGAGCTCTGCATCTCTCCTGGACGACGAGAAAGAGGTCTTGGCATTGAGCTCGGGCAAGCGTGTGCGCTGTGTGTCGGTCGGGTTGGTTGGTGAAAGTGGTGACTGATATGTCGTCCTGGCTGGGGCGGGAAAGGTGGTGGTTCGGCGAGGCAACGCGCTTGCTTTGGGGTCGGTGGAGGAGGTGAAGGGTATGCGGCTTGTGGTGGGTGTAGTGTAGGCAGACATGACGTGCGCTGGCGAGGACGTTTGCGCACCGGAGGGTGTCGAGTGTCGGTTGTTCACCCGGGCAATGCGTGAGCGCAGGCGGTCCTGTCGCGCAGCAGCATCGATGGCACGTCGTTTTGGCGCATTGTCTTCGGCGATGTTCAGAAAGAGGTCCTCGCTCTCGGTGCCAGACACGTTCCTCTTTGCGCGTCCAATGTGCGCGCTGCGAGTGTCGTCGAGGCCAGAGGACTCGTCCCGCATGCTCGCCATGTGTCGCGAGGAGCGCACGCTGGTGACAGTGCTCTGGCGGGAGAGCGTTGGCTTGCTGGCTGCCGGTATGGACGCGGTGGCCTCGCTTGCGCTCGACGTGTCTGAGTCGTCGTCGTCGGCCTGCGGGCCCATCCGTTGCAGACCAGCGATAGGCGTCGGCAGCCCTGAGTGCTGTCGCTGGGGCTGGGTCGGGGTCGTGGCAGGCGCCTTCTTGCGCACGTAGTCCGAGTTCCCTCGTGTGATCAAGCTGACGGGCGGTCCACGCGAGTTGTTTATGCCTGCAGATGAACACGGTCAGCCATGTCCCAGAGCGCTGGGAGCGCCAATTGGCGAGAACAAGAGACGAGAGCGCGAGCTGGGCGTAGTGCTTGAACAGTGCATTGCGCTGTCACGCTGGGAGTGAGAGGGCTGAGGCGCTGCTGAGCTGCCAATCGTCGACCAGGAGACGGTTGCTTACTACGCTGTTGTTAGCACCAAACAACGACCACGATGGCGCAAACTGTATTTACCCATGACCACTGAATGAAGCGGGCGGTCTCTTGCTTCCGGGCGAGCGCAGGTCGGTACCTGAGCCCGAGGAGCCGGAGGAGCCGGGCTGTGGGGAGAAGTAGGACGCGGAGGCAGAGGGCGCGCTCTGAGCAGGCGCCGTAGGCGTGGTGGGGTTTGTTGTTGCGCGTGGCGCGCGCGAAGAGGAAGCTGAGGGACTTTCTTTGTCTTTATCTTTTCTCGGGGACGACGAAGGCAGGCGCAACAGCGACGCGAAACGCTTGTGCTTTGCAGGCGGTGCGGTGGTTTGTTGCATGTCAGGTTGTCGCGCATTCGGCTGGTGTTGAGAGATAGCCGGCATGGCTGCAAGGTGCGCCGGTGAATCCGCTGGCAGCTGCAGGGTTACCGCTGTACAACTATAAAATCAATATACCGCGCGTCATGCTTGTGACACGCTCGCGACCGAAATGCTGTCCCTCCAGAAGGTCTACAGTGTGCGAATTGGTGTTTCCTCCCTCGCGACTGCGCGACACTGGCACATGGACCGTTCGTCTAGGAGGGCCGAATCCTTCGTTAGAGGCACGGTCCGGACCACCTTGTGCACGAGAGGCACAACTCTAGCCGTAAGCTAGTAAGACAGACGCTGAACGGCCGCCAAAGGGAGGACCAAGTGACGTGCAGTTGGATACGAGCTTGAGAGTTGCACAGCATCGACTTTGCGAATGCCCATGATACCTTCCTTACGACCAACCTCTCCATTATTACCATCACGGGCAATACCTACGCTGCCGACTTGGCCCTCACAATTTCGAGGATTCAAACTTCCCCACAATTCGACATGGATTACAGGATTCGAAACGACCGAACTTAATTTCAGCCGAAGACGTGTGCAGCTGAGTGAAAACGGGCTAGTGAAATTACTTGCTGTGATAAAAACGACACTGCTGTTCCGTGTCGTGTCTCCCTGGCGCTGGGCACCATATGCGTCGAACTACCAGAAGCATGTGCACCACTCCGTTGAGGGGACATAAGACGACGAGTGCTTGGACGAGAAGCGCGTAACAGAACCGTGTACCATGTGTGAAATCTGTACAATTCAAAGCAATTCTCACGAAACTTCATGCTGGTGTTCGAGTGGACGTTGTTCGTTAATGTTCTTTCGGGAGGCTCGGCCACGCTGCTCCGCGCTCTTGCCAAGGCGGCTTCATGTGAGTGAACTTTTGCCTGAGATCACCAACAACGCAAAAGATCCTGAGGATCGCCAAACCACACACACCTCCACCCTCACTCTCCACCATGTCTGTCGCTGCTCTTTCCAAGTCGCTGCCGAAGCCCAAGTACACAGGCGAAGAGGAGGAATTGACGCGCAGCACACGCGTGCTGAGCTCTGAGCAGTACGAGACTCAGGTTGCGAGACGGCAAAACGGACCACCCCCATATGGCAGCCGTCAAAGCTGGCGGCCGCGCGCCGCTGAAGATTTCGGCGATGGCGGCGCATTTCCTGAAGTTCACGTAGCGCAGTACCCTCTCGATATGGGGAAGAAGGGCCAGCCATCGACGTCGAATGCGCTCACACGGCGGGTGGATGCTGAAGGAAAGACAAAGTACGACGAGATCGCCAGAAGAGGGCATGGCGAGAACAGAATAGTGCAGGCCAGCTTCAAGGACCTGATTCCGCTGCGACAACAGGCCAATGCGGGCGAGCTTGATTTGGATCGGCCCAGTCAAGAGGTTGTGCAGGCTACAAAGGCGAAGACAGAAGCAGCGCTCCTGGCGCTTGTTCAAGGGCAGACAGCTGCGCAAAAGCCCAAGAACGTCCAGGGCCGCAAGGACGACGAGCCTACATTCGTGCGATACACACCAACCGCGCAGATGGGCGAGGCACAGGGTAAGACCCGCATCTTCAAGATTCAGCAGCGCCAGCTCGATCCCATGGAGCCGCCGAAGTTCAAGCACAAGCGCATTCCACGTGGTCCTCCCTCTCCCCCACCTCCGGTCCTCCATTCGCCGCCACGAAAATTGACCGCAGAGGATCAAGAAATGTGGAAGATTCCGCCGCCGATCAGTAACTGGAAGAACCCCAAGGGCTACACAGTGCCGCTCGACAAACGTCTGGCAGCAGATGGGCGCGGTCTCCAAGATATCACAATCAACGACAAATTCGCGCAGTTTGGCGAGGCGCTGCAAGCTGCAGACAGGCATGCTCGTGAAGAGGTCAAGCAGCGTGCCATCATGCAACAACGATTGGCAGAGAAGGAGAAGCTGCAAAAGGAAGAGCATCTGCGCAACTTGGCCAAACAAGCTCGCGAAGAACGCGCAAACGCTGGACGTCGCCGCTCGTATAGCGACTCGGAGTCGGACTCGGAACAAGAGGAGGTCCGCAAACGACAGGACGCGAGAAAAGAACGTCGCGAGGACTTCCAGCGAGAGCTGCGACAGGCGAAGATGGGCACAGAACGCAAGATCCAGATGCTTGCTCGTGAACAGAACCGAGACATCTCAGAGAAGGTTGCGCTCGGTCTTGCAAAACCCACACAAGGCGGCGAATCCATGTACGACGCACGGTTGTTCAACCAGTCTAGCGGTTTCAACGCAGGAATCAACGAGGACAATCACTACGACAAGCCTCTCTTCGCTGCCCAGGACGCGATCAGTAGTATCTACCGACCAACAGTGCAGCAGGACGACGGAGAAGACGACGGTCAGACATACGACCGCATCACCAAGTCAAGCAAATTCGAGGTGCTGGGCAAAGCAGGCAAGGGCTTCAAGGGCGCTGATTTACAGGAGCAAAGAGACGGTCCAGTACAGTTTGAGAAGGATACCGATGATCCGTTCAATATCAATGCCATGATCAATGAAGTCAAGGGAGAATCTAAGAGCGGCGAGAAGCGCTTTGGCATGACAGATCCCAAGGAAGAACGGTCGACAAAGCGCGCACGAGTAGAGGAGGACAGCGATTGAGGTACCCGAGGTTGTAATTCGTATTGCATTGTATAGGCATGGACCAAGAGTTGTCCCGCGCGATAACCTGAGATTGGTAATTTGAAAATAGGCAGTATCGCTACCTATATCACTATCCGAGATTATGGTCTAGAGAAGGGTACCGGTTGCGCGGTGAGTGGGCCACTTGGGCGCGATGACCATCGGCTGCGAGCACACTTCGTACTTGGTCTGTCGGAGTCAAAAAAGTGATGCTCCAATGTTTGAGATTATTGTAACACCAGAATACCACACGAGCTCATGGCAAGTATGCATACATGTTCCCGCCAGCTTTAGACCCCGCATCCAGCTACATTTACAATACCGTGCTTTCCCTGCGACGCCGTTTAAGCCGCTTACTGCCCATTGCGGATCATGTACTTTGTGATTGGCCAGGCTCACCATTTCGGATGCTTTCGGTTATTATCCGCTCGCTGATGGTGCTTCTTCCGAAGGTCGCCGGGTAGTCCCACAAAGTGTAGGAACTCTGTTTGCGACTACTGGCATGATCAGCACGGCCAGTTCTTACGGAACTGACCCTTTAAAGCTGCCCTGCATGGCCGCACATAGGCTTCTTGATCTCCTGCTAACCTATCGTACGACTAACCGCTACGCAGCGCCTGATACCATTTGGTACTTTGTTTGAGCTCGAAAGCAGTCACAATGCCCGCCGCAGCAGTCGAAGACAGCAAGGCGCACAAGTTCAACCCCAACTTCACACAACAAGTCCTTGCCGCAACAGGGCAGAATGTCAATCTGAGGGTTAAGCAGCTCACACACAGCTTAATCAAGCACCTGCACGATTTTGCGCGGGAGAATGAGCTCACAGTCGACGAGTGGATGATGGGCGTGGAGCTGGTAAGTGACTCCGTAGCACGTGTATGTATACCATGCTGACCACTCCAGATGAACGAAGCCGGCCGCATGTCCGACTCGAAGCGCAACGAAGGTCAACTGCTCTGCGATGTGCTCGGCCTCGAATCCCTCGTCGACGAAATTACCTACAAGCTCGCAACCGACGCCGCCGACGAGCCAACTGCAACCGCCATCCTGGGGCCTTTCTACAGACACGACGCGCCCAAGCTGGAGATGGGGAGTAACATTGTGCGAGGCAAGCAGGAAGACGGCGACAGGACGTGGATGCACGGCACCGTCACGGACTCCATGTCCGGCAAGCCAATCGAGGGCGCGGTCATTGATGTCTGGCACACAGCGCCCAATGGGCTGTATGAGCAGCAGGATCCCGACCAGCCCGAGATGAATCTGAGAGGCACTTTTACTACGGGTAAGGACGGGAAGTATGACTTCTACTGCCTCAGACCTGTGCCGTATCCCATCCCATTCGACGGGCCGGCGGGCAAGGTGTTGCAGGCGCTGGACAGACATCCGTATAGGCCGGCGCATATCCACTTCCTCGTAAGACTTCCCCTTTGGCCCTCCACAGCCATCTCAACTCATGATCCATACCTGACAATGATCTACAGCTCCGAGCCGCGGGCCACAAGCCCATCGTCACACAGATCTTCGACCGTAGCAGCAAGTACATCGAAGACGACGCCGTGTTCGCAGTCAAGGACAGCTTATTGGTGGACTTCACGCCGTTCAAGGGCGATCCGAATGCCGAGTTCGAGCTGCCGTATGATTTCAAGATGGCGACGTTTGAGGATGCGAAGAATGGGATGCTGAACGGCAGCACGGAGGAGAGCGGAGCCGTCTAGGTACAGCATTCACAATGCACTTTGCTATGAACATGAATGACACTGTTCGCCTTCTTCGTTGGCACACCCTCTCCTAAAGAGCTTCTTGAATCATGATCTCTTCCCGAATTGGGGCTTTCGTTCCGATGAAGGGATTTCCCCGCATTGTGGGGCTGGGCCGCTTTGTACCGAGGCTGGGGCATGCAGTACGATACACCGACGCCCTGCAACACCACGCCCTGCAAGTAGACGCCTGTTAATTACATGACTTTATTTCTGTAGATACTTCAGAGACAATCATTCAATTTTGTATGTCGTGGTCGTCTTGTTGCCACAGTCTTACATTTGAGGTCAAGTCATACTTGTCATACTGTCAAGTCACATCGTAATCCGCACTAAAGTACTATTGCATCGTCGCTCAATTCGACGATTTTAGCTGACAATCACCAGGCAAACACACTTCAGCTCCATTGCCGACGACATCTTCCTAAACAGGCTACGTCTTTGGAAATGGCCTCAAACGGGAGTACAGAACCAGCCCCGGAGGGGGTAAAGACGGGGAGGATCACCCTTGGGCGGTACATGTGGGAGCGTCTTCACCAAGTCGGTGTTGAAACTATATTCGGCGTACCTGGTAATTCGAATTGCCACAAAGTATACGAATGTCTACTAATACTTGATCAGGCGATTTCAATCTGCAATTCCTCGACTCCATCTACCAAACTGGCGGACTCAAGTTCATCACCAACCAAAACGAGCTCAATGCCGCATACGCTGCTGATGGATATGCCAGAGTAAAGGGCGCGCCAGGATGCTTCGTCACTACTCACGGCGTGGGCGAGCTGAGTGCTCTCAACGGTGTAGCCGGTGCAATGTCGGAGCATGTCAAGTTGATCCACGTCGTCGGCCAGACGACACGCACGATGCAGAAGAACCACATGATGATCCACCACTCCATCGGACGAAAGCCAGACCACCAGACCTACAATAGATGCTCGGAGCCTGTACGATATGCTGCAGCAGAGCTATGGGACATTGAGACTGCGCCTGCCGAAATCGACCGCGTCATCAGGGAATGCTTCATTAAATCCGGCCCAGTGTACATATTCTTACCCCTCGACTTGTCCGCCGAGGAAGTTGAAGCTAGTCTTCTCGACACCCCAATTGACACCTCTCCGTACATCGACACAGAAGCCCAGAACGCGGCAGTCCACGCCATAACCAGCGCTCTAAGCGCCGCAAAACATCCCAGCATCCTCATCGACGCTCTCGTACAACGCTTCGACGCCATCTCCGAGACACAACAGCTCATCAACACGCTATGCGTACCCGTCTTCTCAGCAAACATGGGTAAGGGCATCATCGACGAAACCTCCCCGTTCTACATTGGGGTCTGGAACGGCGCGATCGGAACCCCCGGTGTGCTCGAAGCCGCCGAATCCGCAGACCTCATGATAACGCTAGGCTACCTGCCTGCAGACACAAACTCAGGCGGGTTCAGCCGCAAGATAGAAGAAGCAAAGACAATCCACATCAATCCGCATTCTGTCGTTGTCTTCGGCAAAGAGTATCCCAAGACCAGTATCAAGCCGCTGCTCGCTGCGCTTGTAGACGCTCTGCCCGCGACGCCGCAGCATAGTGTCCCCAAGGCTGTGCTCCCACCACCAAGGACCCCGCTGGATAGAGATGCGAGCCATATCACGCAGTCGTGGCTGTGGCCGCAGATCGAGAAGTTCCTGCAGCCGGGCGATGTGATTGTCGGCGAGACAGGAACTTCCGTCTTTGGACTATGCGACATTGCGTTCCCGCCGTCTGTTCAATTCATAGCACAAGTCTACTACGGTAGTATTGGGTACGCGATGGCTGCGACGCTGGGCATTGAGATTGCGCGGAAAGAGCTCGAAGGGAAGGCGTCGAGACAAGGAAGAACGGTGTTGATCACAGGAGACGGTTCGCGCGCATCCACACGAAAGAACCCAGTAGATGACTAACGCGACCAGGTTCAATGGCACTCACGATCCAAGAGCTCGGGACCATGATCAAAGCCGGCATCGCGCCTGTCATCTTCATCATCAATAACGAAGGCTACACAGTCGAGCGCCTGATCTGGGGCGCCCAGCAACGTACACGACCCCCCCCCCCCCCTCTCCTCCTCCTCATGCCTGCACGACTGACTCAAACCAGCGTACAACGATATCGTTCCCCATGACTACTTACACCTCCTCCCGCTCTACCACCACCCCTCGCCCGACACCAGCTTCCACCGCGCGACCACCAAGACGCAGCTCGAGCTCATCCTGGGGCAGAAATGCATCAAGACGCCCGTGCATCTGCAGCTGATCGAGCTCGTGGTGCCGAAGATGGATACGAGTTGGCGCTTGGGCGCGCAGCTGGCGTGGCGGGGCGAGAAGGATGCGGAGAGGCTGACGAGGGAGGGGTTTGTGGATACGTATGGAGGGTGGGGATTGGAGGGCGTGGAGAAGGGCAGTGTGAAGTGGAGTTGAGCGTGTGGACTAGAGGGGGTTTCTGGCGCGTGCCGATCAGCGAGCTAAAGGTTGCATCGTGGGTGTGTAGTGCATCGAGCAATAGCAATCATGTTTATCCTGAGACACCGCTGTTCCATTCCGTTGGTGCTAGTCACAGTCTTTCAGTTCCATGGATCTTCTGCCAATGCAACTTACCAAGTAATCCTTCGAACCTATCTTCTTAACCGTCGCGCGGACTTGCATGGAGTGGATGAGGTGTGAGATTAGGTTCTTTGCGTAAAGCCTGGGTTTAGGAAAGACTCGAGTTATCTCGAGTATGCTAAGATTGTTACCAACATCGTTGCTCAAGCCTGCTACTGGGCATTCGTCGGCTTGTGTACTTCTTCGATCGTTCTGAGCTTCTGCAAACTGATGTCAATGCTACAATGTGCGCAACTCTTCTCTTGCTGTGAATGTGAGTGTTGCCGTGCAAAGCCGTGCAGATCTTTTCAGCGTTGATTACACGGCGACCCTGGGGTTTCAAGATGCAGTTTTGCGAAGCTGTTCGTACATCTCTTGCTCTTGCAGTCGATCAATAAGACAAAAATGCAAATCTCAACAGAATCTCTTCTCCCCGGCAGAACGCACCCAATCCTGGTCCTTCTCGGTCAGAGAGACTGATGAAAAAGCCAAGCCCATCAGGGTTTCAATAGCACTATTTCCGTGCGAGTCGGCAAAAAGATGAACTTATCCGGTCGACGAATTGTGAGATGGGATGAAGCAAAAAAAGAAATCACATGATTCGACCCAGACTTGAACTGGAGACCTTCAGTGGACTAACAATGTTAGACTGACGTGATAACCAACTACACCATCGAACCATTTATTGTGATTGATGATGTTTTGAAGTGTAATGTCTATTATAATGCACCAAATATAACATGCCTCATCTTGTTTCGAGTAAGAAACATCAAGTCTCGTGACTCTTGTGTTCTTTTGGCGACAGTGTCGCGTCCTGTAAGATGTGTGGTTGCGTAAGCAGAGTCCTGGCCGAGCTTTAGAAAATTTGCTGTTGGACCTTGCGCAAACCGAGACAAGCTTCTTAACGCTCCAACTTGCCATTTTATTGGCGGACGACCGACATCCGTACTTGATACACCAAACTGCAAGCACGTCGTGACATCGGAAGAGCCCTCGACGGATAATTGCACGCTCGCATGCCCATGCTTCATTAATGGTGGTCATCCTGCATGGGAGCCGTCCGTGCGCGATTGATCCTCAAGCTCTTGCTCCCGTCCTTTCCGCATCCTCCATGATGCTGTTTCTGGCCGTGTATCGACAAGCTCACCTCAGAGCTGCGCAACAGCATATGGACAATCAATGTGGATGTCTGTAAGTCTCAGGTCCACACGATTCCAAGCTTCGCAGGCGAAGACCTAAGAGAAGAATGTCGAATTCGGAGATACAAATCCATGCTGCTCATGCGTCCAAGGTCACGCGGGCGATGGCCGTTGAACTGATGGCGTTTAGCGTTACAAGTATGAGGCCAGCCACAGGGATCTTGCAAGCGGAGGTGAGTGCGGAGTCGGACTGCGGTCACACGATTGGCGGCACCACGCATGGGTACGGGCCGCCTCATGAGAAACTGTTTTTGATAGAAGAAGGCGCGAGGGATTCGATAGGTAGGCCTCTGCCAGAAAGATCTCTATGTGATAGCAGCTGTAAAGCCTCGATGACAGCGGCCTCGTGGTTCACGCGATGGAAGAGCTGTGGAGTTAGCGCTGCCATGACGCACCGCGTAGGCTGGCCACCATGCGTCCCAAGCTCCACAACCGAACCGTGGGATCCATCATCTCTCAACCAATTCTTCGTGTATTGCTTGTGCCGCATTTGGTCAATTGCTCTAATTTTTGTGCCAGCGCATTTTCTTCTCTATTTACCATAACCCACCAAGCTCTCATCTCAAAAATCTGGAAGTTGCGGGCTGTGATCGCACTTGTCAAGCTCCTGCAGGTGCCCAGTAGTTGCCGCTCGCGTTCGGTACATGCGATCACCTACGTCGTTGCGGGGAAGCTAGCAGCAAGGTCGCATCTAACCAAGCTGTGCGAGACAGTCGGTCTCTCTCTTCTTACCACTTTGTGAATTCTCGCAGCTCTTGGTCCAAGATGGCGCCAGCTTTGGAAGATGTGTATTGCACGGTAAGCTTCTCAGAAGTACCTGAGACACGCGAGCTGACCGGATCCACAGCTTCTCATGAGCGACTCCTACTTGCCTGGTACGTACGACAGCCGAGACAACAAAGTTTAGCTCGATCTCGATGTCCAACGCTTAATTCAAGACAACTGGGCTTGCTGCTAATTGCGCACATCAGGTGCCGCCGTTCTCGCCCATTCTCTACGCGATGCTGGCACGGCGAAGAAGCTGGCCGTGATGATCACACTGGAGTCCCTGTCAGCGGAGACTATCACTGAGCTCAAGTTACTCTACGACTATGTAATACCTGTCGAACGCATACGCAACACGAACATGGCCAATCTTTATCTCATGGGCCGCCCCGATCTGTCGTATGCCTTCACCAAGATCGCGCTGTGGAGACAAACCCAATTCCGCAAGATTGTATATCTTGATGCTGACGTAGTAGCATTGCGAGCGCTGGACGAGCTGTTTGACATCGAAGCATCCTTCGCAGCTGCACCAGACATTGGCTGGCCGGATGCGTTCAACAGTGGTGTCATGGTTCTGAACCCAGACATGGGCGAATACTGGTCACTCCACACAAAGGCTTCTGCTGGCGACAGTTTCGATGGTGCAGACCAAGGACTGCTGAACCAGTACTTCGAGCACCGTCCGTGGCAACGCCTCAAGTTCACGTACAACTGCACGCCGAATGCCGAGTACCAGTGGGAACCAGCATACAGATATCACAAGCGTGACATCAGCGCCGTGCACTTCATAGGAAAAGACAAGCCATGGTCCCCGAACCGCACGGCTGGTTCAGGAGTTTACGGCGAGTTACTGGCTCGTTGGTGGGCTGTACACAACAGACATCTGCAAGACAAGAGGTCAGCCCGTCGAGAAAGTAAGATCACTGGTGAGGTTCAAAGCAGCTCGGGCACAAGCACGAATTATGCCTTGCAGCCTCAGTCCGTCCCTGATATTACTATTGGCGAACCTGCCCCAACCGCTGAGCCATCCATGACCGACCCCAGCGAAGCTGCTGAGGATATTGACCAAGGTCTAGTGGAACCCACACCCACAGTACAGCAACGCCAGTTCTCTGCTCCAGAGATGCAATGGGATGCGACTAAATTTGAACCTCCGGCGCAGTCGAAACCAGAAGCCGCCAACTTCCCTCGCGAAACGTACACATTCAACGAAAGCAGACAACTGTTCAACGCACCATCAGCATACCCAGAGCCACCGCGAGACATGTGGTACAAGGTACCCGAGACCAAGCCACAGCCATACGAAGCGCCCAAGCCCATCTTTCCATGGGAGAGGGAGTCTTCACGACCTAAGCCTACACGTGTCTTCGCAGAGGACCATCCGCCGCCGGCCCCGGCACCAGCACCAGCCACTGCGCTCGCACCTGAAGTGTCCGAATTCGAAGCTTCGCCACCGACATCCAAATTCACGACTACGCACTTCGATCACGACAGTAGTCAGGATCAATGGACACGAGCGAAGCCTACAAGAGTGTGGATAGACGACCATCCACCGTTCAAGCCAAGAACTGCTGAGGAATCCTGGCAAGCCTTTTCGCAAAGCAGTGCTAATGCATGGGATAGTGTTCCAGGAATTGACAATTATGTTCGGTCAATCATGGAAACACAGACAAAACGAGACAAAGTCCAAGGCTTGCAGCAGGCAACTGGCACGAACGATCTGGGTTCACCATTACTGTCCCGGAAAGACCGTCGCGAAAGCCTGATCCTTACCGATTTCCCGACAGCTGTCGAGCGACCTAGCTTGCCGGTCACTCCAGCACCAGTACGACGCCCCACATTTTGGGGCGAGGAAAGGGACGAACAGGGCGAACTGCCGGCAGCGGAGGGCGTGCCGGATCAGAACGAATGGGTATGTCCACAGTGCGGCTTCTCCTCCTCCCATGCATCCGCTTTTAGTCGCCGCCGCGGCTCCTTTGTCTCTGTCAGCAAGCATGTCAAAGTTCCCGCGTCCACTGTTGCATCTGTCATCGATGCCCCAATTTCGGCCAAAATCGAGAAGAAAGATACAGTAGGCCTGAGAGATGAGATACCACTTGCCGAAGAACAAGAAGCTGAGGAAGAGGCTCTCGAGGAGACAGAGGAAGAGGCACTGAGCCCGCAAAAGACAGAGCCAAACCCTCGCGATGGGCTGAGCGTCACTGGTGTGCCATTGGCATCTTTAACCGACCCAAGCTTCCTGACGAAACAAATCTAACTGCCTTTAAAGAATCCCGAAGCGAAGCTCGAGCAGCTGAGAAGATCGTCAGTAGTTGAGTTTGAGCATCTCAAGAAAGACGAGCATCCAGAGGCGCCACTGCGCGCACTACCCGAACACTCGGTCTTGGGCGATGAACACGGCGAAGAGCTACAAGTCGGCGGTATCGTTGTAGCCAAGAGCGACCGACCCGCAGCACGATTCTCAACCCGGCCGACATCCACCGAACAATCCGCATCAAGTCAGCACAGTTCGCTGTCATCTTCACTGAAGGGAGGGCGAGGCAATAAGATTGGTTTCACCATGGACGACTTTGGTACGAGCTTTGAAAGGAGGGAGAAGAGCGCAAACTCTTTTGATGGTCCAACCTTTCCGTTCGAGGACACCACTCCCGTCGAGGCTTTCCCGAAGGTCGAAGGCTTTACTGAGCGCGACTTTGGTGGCGACAGCACGAATGACAGTGAGATCCAGTATGCTTCCACAATTACGCACCACTCGATGGGACCTGGCCATCATGTCACCTCGGATGGCCGCATCAAGGCCGGCGAACTAACTTTCAATATCCCGGGTTTCAACTCAGAGAGCACGTCCGAGCTCATTTCTCCCATCGGTGACGCACTCAGTCCTACCACTACTAGAGAGGACAGGAATGGTCACGGCACGCTCTGATCGCTCATACGGCATGAATGAAGCTACGGGTAACGTGTGAATTTGGGCGGTCTATTTGATTCGCACTTGAGCATCGTTGTTCTGGTTGTTCTCTTTGATAAGACAGCCACGGCTGCCGTATTCTTGCATTTGCATCAGCATTGCATAGCGATCCGTTCCTTCTGGTCGTCTTTTATCATTTGGTCCCTACCGTATCTACTTGTGGGAGATGTACGTATGAGTTTTATGATAATATGTAGTTAATGGTCATCCATATCGTCGCACTATATGACAGTCGTCTGTTTGACTTAGACCTACGAGCTTCTAACAGAATGGAAAAATCTCCAAGGTTCCATGGACACGAGCTTGAACGTGCAGGGTCCTGCCTAGTCTAAATTCATCAAAGGAAGGTGGTTTTACATAAGAAGTGGGACCGCAGCATTCTACCGGCCGAGGCACGCTGTCCTTCCGAACGTCTATGATGCCAGATTAAGCTCATCTAAGCATGCTGGCAAAGGCTTGTTGTATTTGGATTTTGTGTGTATCGCGCCTCCGCACTGAATAGCCTCGCACGCTTGGACCAGTCGATTCTCAGAAAGGTGGTGCTGGCGAAGGTTAACGCGTGACGCTTCCGTCCGGTACAACGATGTCACGCTCACTGCGCTTGGTGGGGCGGCAGCATCAATCACCCCTCCAAGCAGCTGCGGGCGCCTTCACACCTTCCCGTTTGACTCCACCGAGAATAAGCGCGCACCGTATTGGCCGAAGCTTCCTTTCTTCTACGCCTGCGCGAAGATTCACACCATCTCTCCAGCGTCTCGACAAATACACCCCCGAACGCCTACCCAACGCCGAGTGGCCGTATCTATACTCAAAGTTCAACAAGATGGCGAACCTCGACTCTTACTTCCAGCAGGTGGACTCTCTGCAAGACAAGTTCATCGACAGGCTCAAGGAGGCTGTCGCTATTCCCAGTATCAGCTCTGAGGACCAGAGGAGACCCGATGTCGTCAAGGTACGGCTGGCACAACAGTGACGAAAGAGCGTGGAACTGATAAGCGCAACAGATGGGCCACTGGCTCGCAGATCAGATCAAGGCGCTCGGCGGTGAAGTCGAGCTTCGTGAGCTTGGAAAGCAGCCCGGACGCGAGCACCTCGACCTCCCTCCCTGCCTTCTCGGTCGCTACGGAAACGACCCCAAGAAGGTCAACGTCCTCGTGTACGGCCACTACGACGTTCAGCCTGCACAGAAGTCCGACGGCTGGGCGACTGACCCCTTCACATTGAGCATCGACGACAAGGGCCGCATGTACGGCCGTGGTAGCACAGACGACAAGGGCCCCGTACTGGGTTGGCTGAACGCAATCGAGGCACATCAGAAGGCTGGCGTTGAGCTGCCAGTCAACCTGGTCATGTGCTTCGAGGGAATGGAGGAGAACGGCTCCGAGGGCCTCGACGACACCATCCGCGCCGAGGCCAAGAAGTTCTTCAAGGACGTTGATGTCGTTTGCATTTCGGACAACTACTGGCTGGGCACAGAGAAGCCTTGCCTCACATACGGTGTCCGTGGATGCAACTACTACTCCGTTGAGATTGCCGGCCCTGGCGCTGACTTGCACTCTGGTGTCTATGGCGGTGTCTCGCACGAGCCCATGACCGACCTGGTCCGTATCATGAACTCGTTCGTCGACCCTGACGGCAAGATTCTCATCAAGGGCATCGACGAGCTTGTAGCCCCTATGACTGAGCAGGAAGAGGCGCTCTACCCTCCCATTGCTTTCACGATGAACGACTTGAAGGAGTCGCTCGGCGGCGAGGTTTCGATCCACGGCACCAAGGAGGAGGCTCTCAAGGCTAAGATGAGGTACCCTTCATTGTCTCTGCACGGTATCGAGGGCGCTTTCTACAGCGAGGGAGCCAAGACTGTCATTCCTGCAAAGGTCGTTGGAAAGTTCTCCATCCGCACTGTGCCCAACATGGAGATCGACCCCGTCACCAAGCTTGTCGAGAAGCACGTCAACGACGAGTTCGCCAAGCTGAAGTCCAAGAACAGGATGAAGTTCAACGTCCTTCATTGCGGAAAGTGGTGGGTCGAGGACTTCAACCACCCCAACTACACAGCCGCCGCCAAGGCTGTCGAGAGGGTTTTCAACGTCAAGCCTGACATGACCCGTGAGGGTGGCAGTATCCCGGTCACTCTGACGTTCCAGGAGGAGCTGGGCAAGAACGTGCTGCTCCTGCCAATGGGCAGCTCAACAGATGCCGCTCACTCTATCAACGAGAAGCTGGACAAGCGCAACTACATTGAGGGTACCAAACTGCTCGGAGCCTACCTACACTACGTCGGTGCCGAGCTCAAGAAGGAGTAAAGCACTGACGGACATGCATGCAAACGCAGTAAATAGCCAGAGCGAAGTAAATATACCCAGTCAAACATAACGCTCAAAAGTCTATCATTGTCATGTCTGTGAAGTGTTGATGCTTGTCGCAACAAAACGTCTCGGCGCGGAGTGGTTTGACCCACTTTTCTGGTAGCGTGGTCCAAAAGTTCCTCCCCGAATTGCACCCCTTCACCGCAGGCCATCACATCCGTCGTCGACGCCCGCCCCACGCGTCCCATTGCACAATGTCGGCCAGCCAATCCGTCCTCCGCACATGCCTCAACACACGGCAGCCCTCTCTGCTGCCGCGGGTGCAATGCCGCCACGAATCCACCGCCCGCCGTCACAGAAAGCTGCTCGCGCTTCCTGAAGCACCTTCCTACACACCCTCGACCACGGAGCCCTCATTAATCTTCAACCCGCCCTCGTCTGCGCCCAGCGTGTACCACACACCGCTCAAGTTCCTGCCTAAGGACGATAAGCGCCGCCAGATGTACAGCACCGCGCTGACGCAGTCGACCACCGCCGCGCTGCGCCAACGCACTTCCCCCGTCGCCGCGCCCGGAACGCCGCTCTCGTCGCCCTCCTTCTTGCCGCCGCGGCCGTCCGCCGCGCTTCCCGCGCCCGTGCGCACGCCGTACGACAAAAAGTACCACCTGACCGAGGCGGAGATTGCTGAGATCCGCAAGCTGCGTCTCGGTGACCCGCATAAGTGGACGAGAGTCAAGTTGGCGGAGAAGTTCGGGTGCAGTCAGTTCTTTGTCGGTATGGTGGCCAAGGCCCCGGAGAAGGCGGCCAGCGTTGAGCTGGAGCATCAGGCGATGCGGGAGAAGTGGGGGAAGAGGAGGCGCGAGGCAAGGGAAGAGAGGGAGAGGAGGAAGATCCTGTGGGGGCGGGATCTCTGAACAACGAGCTCACAAGAGAGATGGGCTGGAGACGGAACTGCAAGAGCAGCCTGCGATGGGCTGCAGGCGAGCGATGAGCGGACCACGCGCACTCGAGCGGACGACGGATGAAGCGAAATGTGTATAAAACTGTTCTTGCATGGTTGTAAGATAGCAAGGCTGGACACGAGGGATCTGGCTGGCATATGCATATCAGGAGCTTTTTGGCGGGCTGTACTTTCTGTAACATACCACTGTCGAATGACAAGACTCAAACGCAATCCCAATTTCCACGAACCCCGATCTATCTCGTCTACTACACCGAGTACCGTGGAATACGTCATCTATCCGCGCGAGCGTGCTGGTGAGCCGCTCACCCACATCCCATCTCATCGCTCACTCACCCCTCTCAACCTCGACGCCCCGTGGCCCAACTCTAAACACAAACCCCTCCCCATCCTCCCCCGACCCGCCCCTGGCCGTGTGCACTTCAAACCGCCCCCGCTGAACAATCTCCCATCTCTGCCCCCCCTCGGCACACGCCTGCTCAACGCCCATCTCCGGCGCAAACCGCAGCACCTCGACCCGCCTCACACCCAGCCTTGCAACACGCAGTCCGCTCGGCCACTGCGTGGGCAGCGCGGGCCGGCAGCTGTGCGGCAAGACGGATGCACTCGTCAGCACGAGGTTGCATTGCAGCATGCTCCGGAGCTGGGCGAGTTCGGTGGTGAGCTCGCGCGAGGCGTTGGACAGCGGGTTGGACGTCTGTCTACCCGCTGGCGAGTGTGGGCCTGGAGAGCGCAGCGACCAGATGAATGCGTCGATGTCTTCGAGGATCAGCGAGTGGAGGCGGCGGCGTGTGCTTTTATGGCTGGGGCTGGCGAAGAGGTAGGCTGGCGTGGCACGCAGGGTGGCAAGCAGAGACGGCCAGGATGTGGGGTGGAAGATGTGCACGTGGGATAGGCTGCTGTGTGTTAGTGTGAGCAGTGAGGCTTGGACGGTAGACGAGAGCGTGGCGATTGGGGCGCCAAGTTTGGTGGCGAGCAGGTCTAGGGTGACGATTGCGAGACGAGAGACGCTGAAGTGGCGTAGTGGGTCGAAGAGGATGATTGCTGCGTCTTGTCCGTTAAGGTTGGGGATGGAGTCGAATGTTGGAGGGAGGATGGCGTGGGCTATGATTAGGTAGAGCAGAGAGGTCTTGCCGGCTCCGGATGGGTGGTGGGTGGGTGTTGGTGATAACAGTTCAAGGATAGTTGGCGACGAGTTTGAGACCAGGGCATCGAGTTCTGGAATGCTGAAGGGCGTATTGTTCGTCGCGTCGCTGTCCTCGCTATTGCGATCGTCAGTTGTCGAACTCACACAATCAAAAAACAATTCAGTAAGCTCACCGCGCAGAGTCCAATGCCCGGAGAGAACTGAGTATCTGAAAACACATCAGCAACCTCCAAACTCCCGTCTTGACCATCATACCGCGCTCAATCCCTCCACCTCAACATCCAACAACAGCTTCTCCCCCAATCTCCTCGCCTCCACATCACCACTCATCGTCATCCCTCCTCTTGCCTCCTTCTCTTTCCTAACCCTCTCGCTGCTCTCTCCATCAACAGTCCACTCCCGATGGCACCAGCAACGCCCGTCCACGCCCTCAGCGCGCTCGAAACCCAGATCAACGTGCTCCCAAACGGGAAGCCGCGGAAACCGCCGGTGCGCCTGGCCGACTGCGCGCTGAGAGAGCTGGTGCAGTACAAGTGCAATATTGAGGTGTCGGAGAAGACCAGGAAGCCGGATGTTATCTGCGAGCCGGTGGTGCGGCTGTTGAGACAGTAAGTCGGCGCAACGAGGTGCTGCGGTGGTCTTGGCACGTGATTCGGTTCGGTGACGGAGCTGATGTTTGCAGATGCGGGAATGGATTGAGTGTTGAGACGACGGCTTGGGAGGGGTGGAAGGCGGGGCAGGAGCGTGATGGGAGCGTGGAGGGTGTTTGATAAAGGTAGTTGTGTTAGGGGAGGGGGGGTCGACTTCACACAAATACATGTATAATCTTATACAAGGCGTCTTGGAGGATTCGGAGGAACAGTGTCCGACTCGATTGCTGTTCTCGGTGGCCCGAAGGCTATGGTACAACGTCTACATAATTACTAACGCCTGCCACATGCTCAGGCCCCTTCCAGGGCACGCCAAAACGTGTATGCTGATCCCAAACGCCGCGCTGTAGAAATGCTGTGCAAACCATTGTCATTCAACTTTTCAAGCTCCCCTCGCCGACTTCCGCCAGAACCGCTGGTCGTAGTTGACATGCACACCTTCCTCGAGGTTGACGTTGCGGTCCACAATGGGCTGCCGTAATTGTCGCTCAACAAGGGGCGCATTCCAGCTGTCGTCGTCGGCCTCCATCTCCGCTTCTTCCTCCCTTGCGCGTTGCCGTGCCTCGCTCTTCTCGTGCTCTTTCTCCTCGTGCAGCAGGTCTGTCATTGCTTCCTGCCATAATCTGTCGCTCTCTCTCATGCGCGTGCTGCGTTTCCGCTTGCCCGCTGTCTGCTTCTGTATGCCCGCCTTTTGTGCTGCCATGAGCTTTCGCAAGCTCTGCTCTGCCAAGATGCCCTCCTCTGTCGCCTTCTCTCGGATCTTGCGTGGATCGTTCTCACGGCTCGTGAATACGGGCGTAGCCTTGTAGGTGTTCTTGGATGGGAATGGCGGGAAATGCTTCGGTATGTATGCTCGAGCTTCCTTGTCTGTTCTTCCGGACAGCTCGGGACCAAGTAACGAGTCGGTACTGATTGGTTGTGGTTCAGGTGGTGCAGGTGGGTCGAAGTGTGGCTGGAGTAATGACTTGGGTACCTCGCCCGTGTCCATTCGCTGTTCAAGGAGTCCTGAGCCAGCAAGACCAGCGTTGCCGAGCGCGTAGATCCAATCGTGGGCGACCGTCTCGGTGCGCCGCGCGCTGGTCATCGACATGCGCACGTTTGCCAGGAACTTGGTCATGTCTGCGCTGCATTAGCCAGGATATCTGCCTACGCGCCTAGTTGTCGTACATGAGTCAACCAGTCCTCTGAACTCTTCCAGCGCATCTGGTCGCGCGCTATCAAACCCCGTAGTCTTGCAATGTATAGCTATCGCGCGTCGCAGTTGCTGATCGTAGAAATCCTTGCTGTCGCCGAAATCGAATTCTGTACTGATGGGGTCGACCATATACTGCACAGGCTGCGTGTGGTGCAGCTGGTGCACGACTTTGCGCTTCTTCAGCGGCGCGCCGTGGTGCGTTAGGCCCGCTTCATCGTGGGGTCTCTTCATGGCTGCGATGGCGCCTCCACTGCTGGCGCTAGAGGGAGAGATGAGGCCTGGCATGTGCTGTAGGCGCAACGTGTTGGTAGGGGATGCTATACGGGGTGCTGGTGCGCAAGGCGGGGATCCAAGTGACGTCGCATGCGGTGCCCGCGCGGTTGCGTGGTCGTGTGTCGAAGGTGAGAGGGCGGCTGCGGGGCGACTCTGCAGCGGCTGCGGACTCTTGCGCACGCGACAATAGCTATTGGGAAAGCGCTGCGACGCACGGCGACTGATGGGTGCCGTCGTGGATTCTTTCACCTGCGTGGAGATGGCAGCCTTTGGGTCGCAGTTCCCCAAATGTGGCTCGTGCACTGCCAAGATGGATGACAATCGGAACTCACACCATTCAACTTCACGACCGCCAGACGACCTCCACCAGCTACCGCAACCCGCACCCCCGCCGCAAAACTCTCCACTCCCCGCAAACCGACTTCGCAATGGCCTTCAAACCGATTACCGGCGTATGTGTTGCCATTCAGCGTCCTGGGCAGCTATGAACAGGGGACTAATGACTGGACAGATGCTCCGCCGTCAGGTCGTGCTCGACCTTTCCGTTGCCATGGGTGCGTTGACAACCCTGCAAATGTCTTCAGAGCTTGATTCAACTTTTCAGCAGCTCTGGAGCATGTGCGCGCGGTGTGGGGAGGCTTGGCTAACAGTCAATCGCAGGTCTTGGTGTGACCGCTGGTTACGGCTGGTGGTACGGTACGTACTCAGCAACGGCATATCCATCGCTGCACACGGCTTGCTGCGAAAGTCGCGACCTGAGACTTACTTTTCCAAGGCTACCACGTCCCCGCCGTCCGTCACCGCGACGCTTTCTACCAGAAGCTCGAGGACGAGCGTGCCGCAGCCCTTGGTCAGAAATAAGCGACAAAGCATCACGAAACAAGATCTCCTATGTTCCGAGAATGCAAGCATGTATAGAGGGCTGCTGGAGCTGGGACCAAGTGTATCATAGGTGGGGTGATCCCCCGAAGGCATGCCAAATCGATATCAGCCAAGTCAACACAACGCCATGTCTCGTTCCATTGATCCAGCTTTGCACTCACTCATGTCCTTTCGCCAGAGATTGTATGCCTTTCGAAACATTGCCGGCAATACTCGATTTTCGATCTTGTCCACAGGCGCGGTCGCAAATACGCAGTTCGTGCGCCTGGACATCAGAGCAAGTGACCAACGTCATTCTGGATGAACGTTTGAGGAGTTTGGTCTCCTGGCTAGAGTTCTCTTCTGAGGGCTGCAACAGACTGCGTTCGTTGGAACGGGCACGAGGTCAATTTTCCTGCGTCTGTCAATCGCTGTCCATTTCCCCGAAGGTATCTATTCAGTACAGGCTTTCTCGGCGCAGGGAAATGGCCTGCACCTTCTGTTCACTTGCACTGACACGGCACTATATATCACTGCTACCATCCGGAATGAAGTTAGCCTCACCTTTTGAAAAGGACTCGACTCGAACCTGAATCTTCCGGGTCGATTCCATGCCGCGCAAAAGCTGGCGGTGCACTGTCACGCTGTGCACCAAAACTAATTGCTACAACACATGCAGGGGGTTGGGAGCTTGCTATTTAAAAACTACCGGAATTTACGGACTTGGCAACCTAACATAGCTCGAGATTCTCTGCAGTCAAGCATCTACGGACTACCTCTTAACGTCCGCTTGCATCCGTGATCAATCGACATCCAAATTGGTTTGACTGACATGACCTTGAGGGTATCTTAGTACCCGCCTCTGTAAGCCCGAAAGCGCGCCAGAACCCTTGCATGGAGCAGATCTGCACCTCAGGAACACACTTCTCCACAGAGATTATCCGTCCGAAATGTGTCGCGTCTGTCCAAGGTCGCTAGCCATGGTCGCATTAAGGCGTGCGCGAAACGATAAACGCGAGCGATCACAACCAGGATAAGATTGGAATACGTGACGAAGCCAGCTCAACATGACAGAGTCGGCAAGAGCCGCCATGGTTAACAATAGACAAGACAATAAAGCGAGGTGGCTCGATCGATTGGTGTTATTGTAGTATCGCCGCAAAAGGGGACAAGGTCTGGGAAAATCCTTGTGAGGCATGGCGGCAAATGACCGATTCATAGGTAGAACGGAAGCGCAGGCGTGCTGGCGATCATGGCGTTCCTTAGGCACGGATTCGCAGGTCGCTGCCAAGCATGATCGACCAGAAACGCACCTCGCAGTTGAGTGAGGAGGCAAGGCAAGCGATGTGTACGAGATCTCCAGGAGAGACAGTCGATGCTACCAGTCCGACACACGACAGGTGTGTGTAGTGATGTGTGAGGCTTGGAGAAGGTGGTCACCAACAGGCGGCATGGCTAGCGAGTTACGGGTGCGGCTACGGGCTTTTGTGGAGCTGCACTATGCGCGTTAGGCCAACGGTTGATGAACGCAACCTCGATCGTGAGGTTTGAGGGGATCCGAGCTATCGCAATACCCGATCAGCTTTAGATTTCCCGAAAGACTCGGATCTACTGTCTGCGAGAGTCTGCTATTGAACAGGGACTTGAGAAAGGGTTGAGACGCTGATACGAAGGCCAGTCCCCTCGTGGCAGGGTCTGGAAAGGCTACAACGGTTATTCGAAGCTAGCAGATAGTGCTGGGCTCGGTGCCACCAGCCGCATATCGCCTGAAGGGCGGGGAGGCCTTCAGGCACTTTACTGCTGCTGTCTAGAGCGCAAGAAGAAGGCTTGGAATAGAAACAGCGATGGTGCGCTCGACCTCATCACCAGACTGGGGCAGCAGACAACAGATGCGGCTAGCGGGCCAGCATGCAGATGGCGCCACGGCTGCGAGATGGGAGTGTGCGCACTTCTGGGCGTCCTGTGTCGTACTTTATTTCGATTGGGCGGCGCGCTCATGAAACCACCCATCCTCGAGCTTCACACGCCAGGCGAGTGCTGCTGCAAATGCGAGACGAGCCCGAGGAAGCTTTTGAGATTGAGCTCCTGAACAGTCTAGAGGGTAAGGGCAAGATGGCAGAGTCGGTCATGACTGCTGGTGCTGATGACAAGGGCACCCACATGTGGCATGCTGTGTCGCCCGCCGCCAGAGTGGACCCTGCAATGAGGCTTCGCCCGGGCGCTCCAGTGACCAGCAGCCAGGGCCCAGCTGTGTGACGAGGCAATCGAACGCAGCGCTGCGCTGCCTTCTTTTGCCCGCCTGCCAGACTGCTGCCTCGGCGTGCCCTCGACTGTCTCTCCTGCCTGTCTGCCTGTCTGCCTGTCTGCCGTCTCTGCGACACCTGTCTCGCGCAATCACGAATACGTGGGCAGCACGCTGTTCGGGGTTGTGTCCATATTTACAGAACCCTGGCACCCTGGTCGCGGCCTGCAACCACCTTGGATAGTCTGCGCGCTAGCCTTCCCACTGCTGCATGGCTTGCGCTCCCAGCAGCATCCTCACCGCGATACCTCTCCGTCACCTTTCTCCCGCAGCCGCAGCCCAGAGGCCCGCTGCAAGCCTCCCACATTTCTCTCCGTCCTCGCCTGCGACTCTGGACGCGCTACGAGCAGACCATTTGCAGCATTCCGCCGCGGCGTTCGACCACTGCATCCGGCACAGCTCTTGGGACGTCCGCGAAACCGCCCTGCCGCCCAGCGCCGATCACTTACGAGCGATCAGCAGCGTCCGTCGACTGCACAGTCCCGCAGACCTCGCGCGACGCCTCTCGACACCACCTCCTCTCCCAACTCGTGGCGACTGCTGGCGACCTTCCAGCCACTGTGTGCTTGGCCTGCCACTCGCCGTCGCGAAGGCTGACGCAAATCGAATTGCTTTTCCCTCGCTGTCGTGACGGGCGCCCAGCTCGACCGCCGACACTGAGCCTCGACACTCCGCACCACGCTCGCCACGCACCTCTCGACCACCGGCCACCTGCATGCGTATTGCTATCTCGTGGTCCTGCGGTCTTGCACCGCGCTGTTCACCCTATCGACTTCTACTCTAACCCTGCAACATAGACGGCTTGTCACCGCCGTGCGCCAGCCATCATGCAGATGAACAACCCCCAAATGCAGATGAACAACGGCATGCCCCGCCAGGGCCAGCCGAACATTGCAAACTACAACCACTTCTTCAGCCACTACCGCGCCCAACAGCAGCAGGGCAAGATCCCCCAGGGCTGGCAGCAGTCCGTAGCACCAGAGGAACGGGGCCAACTCGCCTTCCAGTTCTTCACCCAGTACCGCCTCCTGAAGCCAGACGGGCCGGAATTGGAAACCATGCGCACCTCGCTCCAGTTCGAGAACCAGGTCTTCATTCAGTCGCAGACAAAGGACCAGTATGTCTCAAACATCAAGCAGAAACTCATGCAGATGACAGTTGCACGACAACAGCAGTCACAGCGCATGCAGCCCAACCTTGGCAACATGAACATGCCCATGAACGGGATGAACCAGATGAACATGATGGGCCAGCCTGGTCCTCAAGGTCCTCGACAAGGCACACCGCAGCAATTCAATCAGGGCTTTCCCAACGCTCAGCTTCAACGGCAGATGCAGATATCGCCAGTCCCCATGGCACAGCAAGGATCAAACATGGGCATGAATGTCGGCACTCCTAATCTCAACCAGGGTCAACAGAACCAGCAAGCCAACACGCAGCAACCGCCACACCGGTTACCTCAGGCACAGGAAGGCCAGTTCATCAACGGAGTAGCCAAGAAAATGATGGATACTTGCGCGGCTGAGATTCGCCAAAGGTTTCAGCTGGAAGTCAACGCCTGGCCTGATGAGAAGAAGCAACAGCTTCTTTCACAAGGCATTGATCCTCTTTTCTTCCGTTTCCGCGCGCACGCCGAGATGATGTATAGGAGCGGCAAACTTAACCTCCAAAGCCTCCAGGCGCAACAGCGCGCGAATCCGGCGGGCGGGCAGCAGGGTGGCCAGCCCAATCAGATGCAGGGTCAGCAAGCCAACATGGCCCAACGACAGTCAAACCCTGCATTCGACTTCAACGCAATCACGGACCAACAGCTAGGAGCTGTAAGGCTCCAAGACTCAGGCGCAGAAGTTGTTCCTGCTAGCAACAACAACAGTGCCCAAATGGGTGCCTTTGGGCAAGGAGGTCAGCCTCAGAATGCAGCTATGGCACAAAGACAGGCTGCATTCCAGCAGAGCCTCCAGCGTCAGGCCAATGCTTCCCATATCCAGGTAGCCCAGGCTCAAGCGCAAGCGCAAGCGCAACAGCAAGCTCAGGCTCAAGCACGCGCGCAGATCGACCAACAACAGAGGGCGCAGCACGCAGCGATACAGAGGAACCAGAATCAGGTACTACAGGGGCAGGTCGGTGGACTCAATCTTCCGCCAGGATCACAACCAAGCCCAGCCATGTCGATGCTCAACCGGCCAATGAACCCCCCTGGCCCACAAGGATCGCCCAACCCGCAGCAACGGCCGCCGCAGGCGCATGTACCGCAGATGACGCCTCAGCCTGGTCAAGGACAGCCCGAACAAGTGTCTGCTTTGTTGCGGGAGGCACAGCAGAGGTCCGCTGCAGCCGCTGCTCTGGGCCAGACTCAAGGGCCTCTGACCGACGCTGCGCGGATGGCCATGATGCCAAAGGATCTTGACCCGCTTGCGCAACAACAACTCCTCAAGGTTCCAGAACAGAATTTCCGCCAGATTCTCGCCAACTACCTGACCACCCAACGTCGTAATCAAGCGATGCAGAACGGGTTATTGCCAGGTGGACCTGGGGCTCCAGGACAACGCGGCATGCTTCCCTTCAACCAACAGCAAGGCATGCAACCTGGAATGGCAGGACAGATGATGGGGGGCCCCAACGCCCTATCTAACATGGCCAATATGGCCCGTCCTGGCATGAATCTTGGGCAGCAGACGCCCGGTGTTCCTGGCGGACAACCCCAACAGCAGCGTCCCAATATGCTCACACCGCAGCGCATGATGAATGCGCAACAAATGCTTCAACAAAATCCTGGTATCATAGCAAGCACTGATGCTCGACCTTTCCCGCCAGAAGTCGTGGGTCCGCAGGTCAGACAAAGTCTGCCGCCGGACGTGAAGAGCTGGGGCCAACTAAAGCAGTGGGCCCAGCAGAATCCGGCCATACTATCTCCTGCAGAGACACAAAAGCTTCTCGTGCTTCAAGTGATCCATTTCCAGAACATGTTGCAGCAGCAACAACAAAGGCAGCAGCAACAGCAGCAGATGAATGGCACTGCTCAACCGAATAATCCTGCAGGTATGGCGCCGCCTGCCCCAATGACCCCAGGCCAAGGCCTGCCAAGGATGCCGCAACAAGCTTTGAATTTGGCCAGTATGCAAGTCTCAGAGCAAGAAATGCAGATCTTCCGACAGAAGATGGCACCGAATAATCCTCAGATTCTGCAATTGAATCCCGACCAGTTGCGCCAATACATCATTCAGACGAAGCTGAAGAGCCGGCAACAACAGCAGCAGCAGCAAATGCTTGCTCAACAGCAGCAGCAGCGAAGCATGCTACAGCAGCAGCAGCAGCAACAACAACAACAACAACAACAGCAACAACAGCAACAACAGCAGCAGCTACCACCTCAGCAGCCCACTCAGCAGCCCACTCAGCAGCCCAGTCGACCCCCGACCGCTCAAGCTCAGTCAACACCACTGCCTAAGCCAGTTGCGAGACCACAGCAACCTGCACAACCTGCGGTTAATGCTAACAAGAGCTTAAAACGGCCCAACGAGGACTCTGCTGAGGCCAACACAGACCAATCTGGCGGAAAAGCAGCGCCACAAGCGCCTATGGTCCCTCAGAGACCGATTCCCAATCTCACCCAGGAGCAGATGTCGAAGCTCACACCGCAGCAACAGGCTGCAGTCAAGGCACAGCTTCTCAAGGCTCAAGATGCCTCCCACGCCGCCAATGGCAAAGCACCACAACAACGCCCATTGCAAAGCGCTGATGATGTTCGTGCCCGCATGACCGATCCTGCGAGGATTCAGAAGTTGCATGCCATTATGTCTGAGGTCGAAAGGATGTTGCCCGCCGGCCAAACAAATCAGATCCCACCGCAAGTGCGCGCTCAACTACAGGGCACACTTCAGAAGCAACTTCAATATTTGAAGAAGATTGACCTTTCGATCCGCTTCTTCTACGCATCTTTCGATAATGACAGCAACTCCGAGAACGTCATACGTCAAATTATGATGGCGCGGTGCTTGCTGTTCCGAGAAATGAGCCTCGATACCGGGTTGCTCAACGACCAGATCAATCTGTCAACAGATGGCTTCAAATCCCACCTCCGTACCGTCCTCAACTTCGTCACCAAGATTGGACAGAAAATGTCGCAGTCACAACAGGCTCAAAATGGCAATGCCCAGCCTAACCAGCAACAGTCGCAGCCCAGCGCAGAGCTTGCTACCCCTCCAGCTCAATTGAATGCCGCCAACCTCAAGCAACACACAGAGTCTCACCAACGAGGTTCGAAAGCTCCGCAAGCTCCGACTACTGACCGACCGCCCTTCCCTCTGGGTGGCGGGCAATCCCCAAGTGGAGCTCCGAAGTACTTCGATGAAGCCCCCAGACCCATCTCACTCGTCTTGCCAGACAAGAAGCGCGCAAGAGTGGACGGAGGCAGTGCGAGCTCAACACCTGGACCCAGGCCCTCGCCTCGTATGGGTGGTGGAAAAGGCAGCTCACCTGAGCTCAAACGACAGCCGGGACCCGACAAGCAAATGCCTCAGAAGCCGACGTTCAAGTGCAAGGAAGCTAACTGCGAATACTCTGTTCGAGGATTCGATACACAGACGGAGCTTGAGGCTCACATCAGCATTGCCCACACTGTACATGAAAACCCTCTCCGATTTGCGCTCGAATCTATGGCAGATTACCTCGACGTGGACGCAAAGACTGGCGAAGCCAAGATTGTCACTTCGAAGCCGACCGCGAAGCCTGCGCCTGCTCCGGCTGCTTCAGTCCAGCGTACATCTACGCAGGCTATCAAGACTGAACAGGGTACTGTCCCCACAGCCTCGACTCCTTCCGGACAACATGTGGGTGCCACGCCAATGGCGCGCATACCAACGCAGACTGGTATTAAGAACTCTCCATCCGCCAACTTGCTCAAGACTCCGCAGGCAATGGCCAAGGTGGCCACGCCCAGCACCGGAGCTGTCAAGCCTACGCCTGCCGGTGCTGCGAAGTCGACAGTCAAGGCGCCAGCACCTGCCGCCGTACCCGAGCCAGAGAAGACACAAGATCTGCAACCCATGATCCCCATGTCACTGCTCGACTACTCGTATGAGGAGACATTTGCTGCCCTCGATGCCAACGGTCCCTTCACTGTACTCGACTTGAAGGACGTCGACAATACCTGGGCCACACGCTCGCGGCCCAGCTCACCAACCGAGACACCCGACTCATCCTCCAAGGATACGCCATCCACACGCCAGTCCGACATCTCCGAGAACGATAACCTCATGATCAACATCGACATCGACATGCCCGACGCCTGGATGATGCCCATGCACGGCGACGCGCTCCCACTCGACATGCAGCTATCCGACGACCTACAAACTCTCGGTGTGTCTCTACCGCCTATGGATAGCGAGGAGATGATGCTTTTTCCCTCGCTACTGGATTTCGATGCCGTGGAGAAGCAGATGGACGGCAGTCTAGCTGGGCTGGCAGCCGGCATCTACTGATCTCTCTCGATCCCGCACTTTGCCGTCTTCGGACGTGTTGCACATCACAAGTTTTATGTTTGTTTCATGTACCATCATTCATACACATCGGCGGAGCAGCGTTTCTTGTCCACGTTTGATCGTTTCTACTATTGAGGGTCTGCATGGCGCTTTGGGTACTGCGCTGCGGCCTTGCTTATCGGGGCTTTGCTACGGAAGCCTGGAGGCTATGGCGATGTGTGGCGCCATGTGATTGGGGAAATGTTGTTATGTGCCTCGCGCGAGGTCGGCTTGTGGATAATGATACCCTGTTTAGCTGCCTTTGTCGTTCTGGGACAGGTCTGAAGCGTTCTGCATACTCCATGAAGTCATCCAGATTATAACTCCTGCGCAACCATGACGACTGTGATGTGTGCATTGATAAGCGGTGAAATCAATCTTACAGCGCGGCGCACCTGCATTATCGCGGCGATGCGCAACCACGCGGATTCAAATCTCAGCGACCCGGTCCGGATGCTCGCGCTCTCTCCGTGTCCAGACGCGTCTCACCCTCACAGGCCTTCTGAGACCCATCCTAATACCAAGCCCGTGGGATCTTAATACTACAATCCCCTCTCCGCGTCCAGACGCTGCCTCCGCAACCAGACGGATGCAGTCTGACAGACGCCCGATCAGCGGAGCGCCCAGACGCCCGCCGTCAGCATCGACGGTGCCCGTGGTAATCGACATGTCATAATACCTCTGGCCAGGCAGACGGGGCGAGAATACCGCCAGTCCCACGGTACACACACGTCCCGCTATCGAACGCTGCTCCTCACCCCCTCCTCACCAGGACTTGAAGCTGCGCCGGTGCTCCCGGCTCTGATGCTGCAGCTCTCGCTGCGGGACGCCGACCACAGACGCCGTGCACCCGATTGCACCGCGCCCGCTTCCCAACGAAACACACCCGCAGGTCGCAGAAGGTTCTCCGAGGATTCAGCGTCGTGACCTCACTCTGCAGCGCACCTGCTCGGCGAGGGCGCGCATCCCGGCAAGACACGTGAGGTTGATGCAGGGTGAATTTGGACTTGCCAGATGCAGGCACTGAGTCGGCGCTAGAAGGAAGGGATGGGGAGAAGAATCCTTACAGGCCGGTGCGCTGAGGCTGAGGTTCTGTGTGTGTGTGTAGTGGTGGCGATGCGCTATTCTCGGCGGGCTGCAGGACGTGGCGGCGTGTGCGGGTTCTGGTTGGACGGGAACAGTTCGGCGCGGCGGAGGCCTTGGCCTTGGCCGAGCTTTGAGGAATGTGTTCCGCTGTGACGTATCATTGGGCGGTAGTGCGAGACGGACTACCTACCTACTGCGGCGGTGCAACGGCTACATTCCATCATTCTGTGGAGCGTTCGCGAAGACGGAGATCTTCGTGCGTGCGGAGTGGCTCGCACGAGCTGCAAGGACGTGGAAGCTGAGGGAGTCGAGATGCGGGATTGCTTCTTTGTTGGAAATAGTTGGGAACGGCAGCTTTGCTTCTGGCAAAGCTTGCGTCGTGGTTTGGTTCGCTGACGACGAGCGGACAATGGAGATGCAAGTCAGCTTGCAGTGGAGTGCTACCTCGGGCGGAACAAAGGTACGAGACGTGGCTGGCGCTGTCTGCGTACCGCCCTTTGTGCGTACCACCGTTTGTGCGGGCTCCTGACAGATATCTGTTGTTGGGCTCCAGACAGATCTCTGTTGCTGGGCCCCTGACCTCTGGAAAGCGATCCTGCCGGTGCTGCTTTCGGTTAGGGGGTGGGTCTGGGGTAGCGGCTGAGCAGATCTCCAGGGCTTTGTGGCTTTGTGGCACCCGCCAGAGCACGCCTGAGGGCTCGGTAATGAGGGCCTCTCGGTTGGCTTGCCGAACGGGCACGAAGATAGACGGATGGGGATCGTGGCGTTTTTTGGCGATGTGCATGTATCGATCGCCGGTCACGTAGAAACTTGTGTATCAGGGCTGGCAAGTGCTTCAACAGCCTCTGTAGGACGAGCCGCTGGATGAGTACAACAACGGCGCCGGGTGTTCAGTGCTAGTACTATCTACAACCGTATTCAAATATCAAGCATTCTTGCGGCCGGGAGCGCGTCTTCCGCCAAAACCAACGCCTAGCAGCATGCAGATACGCGTCAGCGCGAGGAAGTAGACCCAGCCGACATTGCCCCAGTCTATGGCGTTCCAGTTCCACCACTGCAGGAATGCTCTGGAGAAGCCCAGCGGCAGGACCGAGTACAGATGACCCACGTCGGCAATAAGCAGCACGATGATGAGCGCCTTCCACACGCTGTGCTCGGTGGTCACGCGCAGGATCAGCGCCTCAGTCAGGGCAAGCCCCAGGTACAGGTTCGCCAACTGAGTCAGCACAATGGACGTTGAGACAGGCACTACGCTGGGGGCACTAGGGGCGTGGGTGAGAGACAGGTAAGCCGACTGGAAGCAGAAGGCCTGCACGGCGCCTGCGAGGATGGAGACAGGCTCGAGGTACAGGAAGACCAGGCGGTAGAAGGCGGGGATGCGTTTGGTGTCCATGGTGAGGTTTTCTGTTGTTGTTTGGGCGCGTTTCGTCTGGGCTGCGTTGTAACAGAGCGGTGGGCGCACGGAGGCGGTGAGGGCGAGACCTCGCAGGCACAGATGCAGTCCTTTGAGGTGCAGACGGGCGGTGCAGGCGGACAGCGCGAATGGAACTGCACTGTAACAGACGTGCAGACCGCCGTTCCGCGCGCAGTACGAAGTGTTCTGTGCTGTTCCAGTTCCCGTGAATTTTCTGGGAGACTAGTGAAGGCCGGCGAGCAGCATCGCAGCGTAGCGGCCCAGGGATCTGCTGCGAAGAGATTGGCCGGTGTCGCCCCCCAGCGTGCAGAGCGTCGAGCCTTATTTACACGCATTTACGCCCGCCGGTCTTTGTGCTCGTCTCATTATCTCGCTCTCTTCGCTGTTTCCGACGACGGTCCGCTCCCTCTCTTTCCTTGCCACTTATTCTTCTGCGTCGTCCCGCTTCCTGCGTTCCACGCACGCGCTGCCCCGCCTGCAGCACTCACCGTCGCTGTCACCGCCGCCGCTCGCTGGCCAGTAGTTGCCGCTATTCTGTTGTTGTTGTTCGTCGTTAGCCCTTTTTATCCATTGTTCTGTCTTGCTGTTGCTGCTGCACCGTCACGCCCTGGATTCCTAGCTTCGTGCCCACGACTCGCTGCGCGTTTCGGCCTCAACCCGCCCTCGCCCCCTGGAACCGGCCTGCTCAGCAGCATCGTGCCCGCCGCTGCATCTGCCAGCAGACGCTCCAATGCATCGCAGTCTGGCCTCCCGTCCGAAGACATCTTCTGCTGCAAACGACGACAACACATCCACCCCCTTCGACCACACCATGAAGAGGACCGCCTCGCAGACCTTTACGAGCAGCTACTACGACGCCGACCGCTACGGCATGGCCCTCGATGCCGTCAACGAAGCAGACAGCAGCAGCCATGGTGAAAGCGCCCTTTCTAGAGCACTCGGGAATCTGACGGGCCCTTTCACCCGCCAGAAGAGTCGCAGGAGGTTATCTTCCTTCTCGTCCGCCTCTGCTGCTTCCTCCCGCCACCGCAGACCGTCCATCCAGAGCTTCATTGAGAGCCTGCCGTCATCTCACGCCTCCCGCAAGTCCAGCAACGAGCAACAGCGCCTGCCTCTCCCCCACACCGACTCAGGGATGCCCTCACTCCCCATCGTCACGCCGTCGCCGACCAGCACCAAAGGCTTTTCGCTCAAGCGCTTCAGTTCCATGCGAAGGAAGCCAGCTGTACCTCAGCCTTCGGGCGAGTCGTCCCGGACACCACAGCACCACACTTCGCTCCTGACTGCTCAACTCCTGGGAGGCGCATCTGCACGACAGTCGGCCGCCGCTGCCAACGAAAGCCGCCTGAACCACATCCGCGAACAGGAGCACACGTACCGCTTCATCCACGGCCTCAATCCCTCCAGCAAGGGTGATGTCGACTTCAACGACAACGAGAGCGGCGTCGACATGACGTGTTCGTCGCCCATTGTTCGGACGGACAGCGCGAACGACAAGAAGATGAGTAAGTTCACGTCAGATTTATGCATAAACCCTGAGCCAGTTCTGACGAGACCCCTAGCCGACCCCTTCCAGCGCCTGCCTGCCGAACTCGCTACCACTGTCTTGTCCAACCTCGACGCAACATCACTCGCCCGCGCAGAACAAGTTTCACGAACCTGGCGAGAACACGCCGCCTCGAGTCACGTCTGGCGCAACGTCTTCCTCCGCAAGTACCAACCCGAGGTCCACGTTTCGCCCGCACCCATCCAGATGGGTGGTTCGGGTGTGGGAAAGCAGGTGAACGGCAAGCCCGCCCCTGCGCAAGAGTGGAAGAAGATGTATTCTGCCCGAAGCACAATCAACAAGCGGTGGAAGGCTGGCACTCCCGCTGCCGTTTACCTGAATGGCCACACAGATAGCGTCTACTGTTGCCAGTTCGATGAGAACAAGTGCATCACTGGCTCCCGCGACCGCACCATCCGCGTGTGGGACCTGAAGACATACACGTGCATCAAGGTGTACGGCGGGCCAAACCACCGTCCTACCCTCAACACACCACTTCCCATGGAGGAGCGCTCGGAATGCGTCATCAGCCACACATCAGTCAACGGCACCGACACTGGCAACAAAATCTACAACGTTCCTTCCGACTACCACGACGCATCGATCCTCTGCCTGCAGTACGACCACGAGATTATGGTCACTGGCTCTTCTGACTACACCTGCATTGTCTGGGATATCACCGGCGAAGAATACGTCCCCATGTACCGCCTCCGCGGTCACGAGGCCGGTGTTTTGGATGTTTGCCTCGACGACAAATATATCATCTCGTGCAGTAAGGATGCGATGATTAAGGTCTGGGACCGCAAGACCGGTGCCTGCATGCGCACCCTCAAGGGACATCGAGGCCCCGTGAACGCCGTCCAGCTTCGCGGCAACCTTCTCGTTTCCGCTAGTGGAGATGGCATGGCCAAGCTTTGGAATCTTGAGACCGGTGCTTCCATCAAGGACTTCCCATCTGAGGATAGGGGCCTCGCAGCTGTCGAGTTCTCCGATGATGCCAAGTACGTTCTCGCTGGAGGCAACGACCACGTTGTCTACAAGTTCGACGCCAACTCCGGCAACCTTGTCCACAGCCGCGTCAAGCACGATGGCCTTGTTCGTTCGCTGTTTCTGGACGCCTTCAACGGTCGCATCGTATCCGGCTCGTACGACCAGAGCATCCAGGTTTCCGACTACGAAACTGGCGCCACATATGCTGTCTACAAGAACTGGACCACAAGCTGGATCCTCTCTGCTAAGAGCGACTACCGCCGTGTTGTGGCCACAAGCCAAGATGGACGCACGTTGATCCTGGACTTCGGCCACAACGTTTCTGGATCTGATTTGCTGGTTGGGGGAAAGTAAGTGATTCCACACTTGCTGGCCCCGTCCAACCAGCGACACCCGCCTCGCCACCACCACCCGCCACCACAACGTGGTTGATGACGAAGAGCCCCACCAATTCATCCTGCGTCCGGCTATGACCGACAAATGCGGATGTCATAAATGTCACCCCGGAGGAACGTAGTATGTTGTCGAGACGTAAGAAGTAAAGGTCTACCACATTGATCTGTTTGAGAAAGAAGAGGTCACCCATCGAGGTGTAGATGTGCTACAGGGAATTTATTTGCATCAGCGAGCGTTTACTATCCTTGGCATTTGGCATAGGCACTCATTTCTCCTTTGTAATAGCAAACGCATACTAGATTAAGAGCGTTGTTCTGCGCTTGGTTCGCATCGCATCGCATCGCCATGCAGGCATCTAGGATACTATCTTTCGTTCTTGTTTGTAGTTTGTATCGCTGAGTGGAGGCTTAGATAGGACGGAGCGAACACTCCCTAATTAGTTCTGACAGTTATCAGAGTATACTATCACATCATCTTCAGTCGTTGTCGTCTCGTGCGTACATTTTGCAAAATGACAATCGTACACAGCATATATGATGCTACAGATGAAGAGTGAAAAACTGCAAGCCGCCCTTCCTCTCTCTATCGATGTGCAGCACATGCTTCCCCCATTCCCAGTCCTCCCCTTTGGTAGGTGAGAAAGAGCTGGGATCCCGATCTTCTCTCGCCAACTTTCAGACCCAGCTCCTCACAGCTCTCGGACACAGTCCCCGTCGGTCACCACTGCACTGTCATTCTATATGACACACAAGACCACAGCCCTCGGCAAACGAACTCCTCGTAAAGTTGATTCCTCCGGTGCGAACCCAGCAAATGTCCACCTTACCACACAACTGCCAACTGGGCATCCACTCAAAGCTTGTTGGCTACGATTCTGCCGGCGCCAGTAGAAGAACGTTAGGATCCGGTTCAGTGAGACGAAATCGTCGCGCTGCACCCTGGCTTCTCATTTCGATACTCGGAATATGGTATTTTTTGGAGTTTCTCGCCGATGCGGTATATTGAGGCCCGCCGCATCTTCCGGGAGTCTTGTGTTGCGGTGATGAGGGTGGTCGATAGCTACAGAAGTGAAGAAATTGATCGTTGTGTGTAAGCTGATCCGCATCTGCAGTGGCTCCTTGGGCTGTGTAATGCGTGCTAATAATTTCTGAACGTATTCGTGACAGTCTCTTCACCAGTCTTAAAATAACTCGCCATCCGGACTGAGGCTTGACAGGAATCACGCGCTAGGCTCACAGACGATTACGGTGCACAGCTCTCTGGAATGTGAAAGGCCCGCTGGGTGAACAGTAAAGACCCAACAAGCCGCTAGCAAGCATCCAACGCGCTACGTCATTACCGCATTTGGTATTCGGATGATTGTCACAACGCTGTCTTCTACCTCACATGGCGGGGGCTAGCGATGCGTCAGGCGCACCTCGTAAATAGATCGCGTGGGTGAGCTCCGCTATTGTGATCCACTCGCAGACACAACACCTGCAAGCGCACCTTCCTCATCTTCCTATTGGCCGACCTCACACCTCGAATACCTCAGAGCAGGGCCGCCCGTACAACCTCTTAATAGCATATAAGCATGTCGATCGGCTCCGTCTGACAGCATAAGACATCTCCCTTCAACCCCCAAGCTTGCAACTTCAGTCCAGAAAGCTGTAGGTAATCGAAGACCTACTACTCAACACAGCGACTCTCACACATTTACCGATTCCAAACATCAGAGATGGCACACCTTGCTCAGGTCCCCTCGCCTGTCGGCATCTTCCCTCAATTTTTTGCCCGCAGTTCTGAAACCCTCGTACTGAAAGAAAAGGTCCTCTCGCTGACCGGCGACGACTTCCACATCAAGCTTGCAAACGGTACACCTATCTTGCGCGTCGCGGGCAAGGTTATGTCGATATCCGGAAGAAAAAAGGTGTTCGATGAACAAGGAAACCATATCTTCGACATCGTCAAGGAACACTTCCACATCCACACGACGTTCCGCGTCGAGGATGCTCATGAGAAGAAGATCATGGAAGTCAAGAGCTCATTCAAGCGTGAGTGCAGCGAGCTTGGTGGATCATACATCATGCTAATGCGTCCGTTTAAGTGATGGGAAGCAAGGCGACCGCAACCTTCACATCGCAGTCCGGCAAGCAAGAAATACTCACGATGCGCGGAAACTGGTTCGATACAACCGCAGATATCACGGATGAGGCTCAAGGCAGTAAGACATAGCTCTCCTCGAACCTCTGCCTGATGGCTTCGTACTAACGGATCCCAGATGCCGTCGTAGCACGCATCGACCGCAAGCTCCTCAGTGGCAAGGACATCTTCTTCGGCCAGCAGACATACGCCGTGACTGTCGCACCAGGCGTTGACATGGCTCTGATAGCAGCACTGTGCATTTGTCTCGACGAGAAGAACAACGAGGGCGGCTCGTAGAGGGTCAAATTCCTCGCTGCGTGGACAGCGGCTGGAGCAGAAGCTGTTGGGAGGAATATCAGCGATCGGACGAACGCTGAAGCAAAGGCTAGATGAGCAAAGAGGAGAAGGCAGGGAGCATAACTAAGGATGCGAAGGAAGCTGGCGAGGATCGAGCGGAATAAATGTGAAGCGGAGTTGAAGGAGAGGAACACAGGGCTGAAGCAAGAGAAACTGGAGTTGCAGAGGCAGGAACAGTGGGTAGCTCCACCGAAGCTCGGGACAGAACTCAGGAAGACGGCAACGTGCGCGGAAAAGCGGGCGAACAGAGCACTAAGGGGCAAGAGGTCTACCAGAAGCAACCCGCACTCCAGAGTAAGCTTAAGATAGAACATAGTGCGGGAAATTGATCGCCTTGAAATGTCTAAGGAGACGTTGAGGTGTCGAGGGAGGTGTTACTATTGATTCAAACTGTACAGACCAGCGCCGTGGTATCCTTACAGATGCTTAACTTATTCACGCATGATAAGGAATTCTGCACCTCTCCAAATGATTGCCGAGCGCTGCGAGCTGAAATGGTTGTCATGATTGTCACAGCAGGGACGTCTTTTGCTGATTGCACGCTTGCGAATACAACTTGTCAGTGATATTTCCTAATGTCCCTTGCCCACAAACGAGAAGAATCGTGGGTTTGAAGGACTACGTTGGACCACCATTCGTCAAGCCCAATGCACTTGTCCTCTTGTCCGAGCAGCAAGCACTCCAGGTCGACAAGGTCGTTACTCCTGACTCCCGCTGGACGTCTTCCACCACTGCGTTTTCATCCGTGGAATGTTATCACTGGGTTCTTGGCCTCTAGTGGATTTCGCTTGCGCTCGTGGCACCCGGTGCGTTAAGGTTTTGCATGCTTTTCACGCCTCCTGATGTGACCTTGTCTCGACTGACCATCTCCAAGACGGCGCTAACACCTCCAAGGCAAAGGCTGCTGCATCGCCACGCAATAAATCACCTGCGTCGGTCGGGAACGGGGCGACCTTATCAGCCGACGTTAAGAAGCGTATTTTCGCCATCCAGGACATCCGAAAGATGACCTAGAAGAAGCGCTCGGAGTTTCTAAAGGGTTTCGTCACCATATTTGTGGTTGAAGATTAGATCGTCGACACTCTGCCCTCCCGTTTTTTTCTCGCGGGTTCCTTGAGCTGCATGAGGCAGTCGTTATTCGTACAAGAACCTGATCAGAGCAATCGACCGGTTGCTGGATCTTTTGATTGATCGTTCTCGGAACACTTGTGCATCATAAACCGAAAGAGTAACTGGTAGGCAGATACATAGTCAGCAACAATACAAGCATGTCATTTGAGCAATTACTTCACCCACATAATTCAGCGTTGCCCTATAACCATCCACTCTGCTAAGCCCCATGATATGCACTCCAGACTAAGCGCAGAATGAACCTTCGCCAGGCTTAGCACGACGCAAAGTGTCGTGCACTTTCAATAGTGACAACCCTTGCGTTCCTAGCAACCGATAGCGTTGATATGAGGTCTTTTCCTTTACTTTTGCATGTTAAAGTCCCATGTTGGGTCCAGAATATCTGCATTGAACCAGTCGAGCGAAGGCTGCGACTGGAACAACTGCCACATCATGTCGTCGTTCCAGGTCGATGGTAGGAAGCCATCGGTTTTATTGGTGCCGACGCTGGACGCCACATTGAGTAGATCTGGAGTATTGCGCATACTCGACAGTGCGGAAGGCTGTGCCGAAGTCTGAGCGGAGAAACCTGGGACGGCAGCGCTTGAACTGCTAAGATCCTGTGGTCCTGAAGTCTTGACAAGTGGGTTACAAAGACTCAAGAGCGTAGCACATAGACGGTGTAACCGGTTGACGTACTTGTTCTCGGTGACGAGGGCAGAGATACCGTCGGTGACAGCCTGCAGAAGCTGGAAATCGCGCTCATTGGACGTGCCTACAACGTTACAGAACACCACGAAGAAAGGACAAAGTGGGTATGATAGCATGGTCCTGATCAGAGTTAGCTGATGTGGGTTGCAATGAACCTCACTTTCATACCAGGCCAAATACGGATCGTAACCCTCGATGAAATGGCCTAAGCTCTTCGACGTGGACATAATGACCTTGACGCACTCGAGGGCCAGGCGCGCGCTCCGGAGACATTCTTCCCTCTCCAGGGGATCGGTCGTGACCGTGGGGCTGAGGCGATGGACTGAAGTCAGAGTTGAGTAGTACTTGAACTCTAGACACTTCCAGTGCAACAAAATGTCCATAATAGAGTCGAGGAGGTGACTTGGACAGTCCTGCGTGGTCAGCTGAGTGCTCAATCATTTCGGGGTGGAGATACATACTCTTTGCATGATATTGTAGATGTCAGACATCTGACTCCTGAGCCAAGCGACTTCTTCCTTGAGCGGTGCATTGGATTTTCTTGACGCATGGTCCAGCGTAAGATCCAGAATCTTGTCGTGAACAGGTATCATCTCCATGGCGATGATTTCGAAGATGCTCATCGGATTTAGCGGGTTGGGTACGATCAGAGACGAGATCTTGACGCTCATAGGGGGAAGAGACCTTGGGCGTAGCAGCAATAGGCTCATACAGCTGTCAAAATGAGAACACCAGGCAACAGCCGCTTGTATCTCTTCAGCGTATTCGTCTTTGATCTCACTGCCTGTCAACTTATGATAGCCCAGCGCGACGAGGGTGCGCGAAGCATGAGCTGTGAGCTCCCAACAGCTTGCAGGATTTCCTATGATCTGCATCATCATAGCGCCCGTTATCAACACTTGGACCAAGAGTAATGAGGGTGTGCTGAGGAAACTGATATGGTCCAGGGCAGTAAGTGCTGCGCTGAGATGCTTGTATTCAAGCTGCTGGATGTGCTTCTGCACGGCCGGACTCTTCGGCCCCTGCAGCTGACTGGCATAAAGGACAACCGCAAACTTGAAGTGGATGATGACTTTGTACAGATTTTCAGTCTTCTCGTCTGCTGTGCCTTCCATTAGGGCTAGAGCGATCCTCTCGACTGCTTTTGGCGGGAGGTGATCGAGACTGTGGAAGTGAATAGTGGTTGGCGCCATGCTTTTGGTCTCAGTCCCCAGGATTACATGAAGGATTTCGCCATTGGTAAGCTCTGTAGGCTCGTACATTGACTTGTCGAATGAACTGCGGTCCTTCATGGCCGGCACAGGAGCATTTGATAAGTGGTCGACAAACGAGATCGCGGTCTCCAGCACCGAGCGCTGATGCATCGAGAAGCGGCTGTTCATTGACAGCTCTTTTTGGATCAAATTACGTGCTTCACTTGTTGTAGGCTGCTGCACTGTGTCGACCTCTGGTGTCGCTGCAAGGGCGCCAGCGTTGACAGCACTGCTTGTACGCTTGCGCTTCAACGGGCGATCGGAAGCTCCGTTTTGGTCTGGGGATTTTTCTTCTGAAATGGCAACTGAAGGTCGTGGAGTTTCTTGAGTGACGCGAACGGTGTCCTCAAGGCTCGATAATCTTTGGACAAGGGCTTGGATCTTGTCATCTGTTCGAACCTTAGGACGGGGAGCTCGTTTATGCCTGTTGCGAAGGCATTGGCTCTTTGAACTTGTGCAGTTGAAGCAAGGATCTTTACGATCACACTTGACCTGCAGATTATGTTAGTTCGGAAGCGAAGCCACTTGCTTCGACTCGACAGATGGTCGGACATGCTATTGCTGGGCTCAAGTGATAGCTACCGTCCACAACCCAGCCACTCATTCTCTTGTCACATATATTAAAATGCGTACTCAATGCCGAGGTATACAATGACATCGATGATTTGGTAGCTATTTGTTTGGATGGAACAGTAGGTAAGTATCGAGCTGTGCCACACACCTTCCTAGCGTGACATAGATCACACGCTTGCACGCCGCCATGCGCGGCCCAGTTTTCTTCTGGCATTTCCGAGTCGATAGGTAAAAGCAGTGGCTGAAGGACGAGACCTCCGTAGAAGTGGACGAAACGGGAGTGGGAAGGAGGTGAATGACACGCCAAGATGCCCGGCTTACGCCTCGGGCTTTTCAGCTTTCCGACAGCCGACAGCGCCTTCCTGCCACCGTCATCCACCAGCAACGAACTCACGGCCTCGCTACAGCTGTGCAAGCTTGAGTTTACAGTCTGGCCTCATTGGTCGTGCTAGGTAGATTGTGAGAGTGTGAGACCCTCTACGAACCTTAAGAAGGGCTGTGACGGACATGGCAGATGGTTCGGCGCCGCCGCAAGAAGGCACTCACTGCATGCACTTGTACAGACATCAAGACGCCAGAACCGAAAGCGTCTTCTGGAGACTCTCAAGCCGCAATGCAGGGAGTCCACCTTCAGTGAAGATCGATGCAGTACGCGGCTGCTCCCGCACTTGCATCCATCGTAGCGAGCGCACCAAAGAGGCGCATTTCTTCATGTGTGAGCGGAGCTGTATACCTGACGATGGCGCTGGCCGTCAGCAATGAGCTTCAGCCTACGGGACGTTGTACTGGAGAAGCTACAACGCTTCAACGGATGTCGCTACGGCACCGCTGAATTATTTTCCGATTTGAGACAATACCTCGCACGCACAATACATCGTACCATGTGCAGTGGGCGCATCGTGAGCCTGTCACGCCTGTGCACCTAGACGTCGACTTGAGTCGCACAAAACAGGAATGCATTGATAATTATTACTCCACAGTTTCCACTGTGAATTTAGAAGAGGTGTAAGAATTGGAGAGAAAGTCCGCCAAAAGCAGAATTTCGGACAACGGTGGGCAGACATCGTGCACATCTGGCGCGCAGCTAGCCGAGTCGATGGCGGACAGGCCAGGAGCTGCGGCGAGAGCGTAACGCACTTACGAGACGTGGGATTGTGTCCCTCGAGCCTTCGATGATGCAAGAAAGGCATCCCGGGGTGAGATGCTCAGACAGCCGGAAAGACGAGCTCTTTTCGGGACGGCCTTTTGGGGGTGCGACCGAGTAATTGGCCTCGGCCGGACGAACACGTGGGTCATGAAGGTTCGACTGTCTATATACAAACTTGACTTCGTTGTGTCAGCTCTGTTCATTGCTATTGATGCTAAGCTGCCAGGATCTCGCCTCGAGGTCGATGATAGTCTGATGTTGGCCGTTCTCCAGTCCACGTGCAAGAGAGAACGCAAGTAATGTTCGCACGCAGGTATCACTGCAAAATGTGAGGTCCGGTTCGAACCTTACACTTGGCAAATGATGGATGCTTGATGGCCGTCGGCCGCCTGCGCAGTAAGGAGAAACGAGGTATTTCTGTGATTCGTCTTCTTCGGGAGACATTCCGATGGTAGTCGTGGAACCCAACTCCGATGTGCTTTCGAGCTGTGTCCCTGTGTGCGTCTCAGGGTCTGCCTGTCGACCCAATCAGCACAGGGGACATTGACTTCGTGGGGTGAATGTCAAAGCGCAGCGATAAGCAGCAGAGTACCAATTCGAGATCTTTAAGATAGTCTAGGACGAGGGAAAGGGCCTATCAGGGTGATACTGATTCAGAGACGCTGTGCGCTGCCGGGCACGGTTGCATCTGGAACACGCGCTGCAAACAACACGTCAGTTTTGCATACCGACAACATATCCGAATTTACATTTGCTCTGACATAATGGCGGAGCGGTACGAAGAGGTGTGGGGTATGGCTGGCTATCCGTACGAGTCTGTATGCTTGTGGGTTGTGGAGACGCGTGGATGGTGCAAAGCTGATCAAGGCTTTGAGCATGAAGCCCTTTGTGCTTCTCGCCACGGTCTTGGAGGCTGCGAGGAGCAACGTCGGCTGCTGCAGGGCGCTTCCACGTTTGAGGAACGCAGGCACGCAATAACGAGGAGGGGCTGCTGGAGAGGCTGCCTGCGGCGAGCGCGCTGACTGGCTTGTTTGTGATCCCACGCCATCATTGGCCCGGGTTCCGGCTTCTTCCCTCTTCCCCGAATAGAAACTCTTTGTCTTATCTCTTACTCTTGACCACCACGCCCAACATGCTCAGCTTCCATTAGAGCCGCCGCCCAGTAGTGGCCAGCACTGTCCCCAGACATGACAGGGCTGACCGCCGCGGGAGCTAACCCGCTCGTAAAAAGCACGAGTACCTGCACATCCCATGGCCCGCTGCTGAGTCGATGAATACTCCACCGCGCACTGCTTCCATCTCTCTTTATCTCCCACGCATTCACATGTCGGCGTAGTCGTTTCAGTTGTCACACCGCTGTCCGGGTGCTCCCGTGTGTTCCTGTTCCGTGGTCCTGGCTGTGAGTACCTATGATTGCTTATCTTGTACACCAATCCTCCTTCGGCCCTGCCTGACTTGCTTCTTTCTGTATATCAGTACAGCTTTGACCCCAGCTAATGATCCCATCCTAGAATCCCCTACGTCTTGATCACGCCCAGACATCCACTCTTTCACATCTGATTCGCAGCCTTCTCTCCTGGCCTTCCATGCGCCTTTTGTTTCTCGACCATTTGACAGTCTATGACCAAACCGGGTCAACTCCCGATGTTCCTCAGTAACACACAGCCACGCGCTCATCTGGCTGCCACCCCGTTTTCTTCCGAGGAAACCCAACTGCCTCGCGGAGAATGTGGATTCATCCAGCCCGAATCCTCGTCGAGCAGTAATTCACGCCAACGCTGCTCATGTCGAAGTTTCTACCCTGACTCGATCGTACGGTCTCGCTGCGGGTGCGGACATCAAGCATGGCACCACGAAACCCAGCCTCTCTCCGTGGTCTCGGTCGACCAGTTCCTACAGGTTGTGGAACAGATGAAGTTGTTGAGGCATGAGGTCCGTCGACACGAGAGCGTGGCGGAAGAACTGAGGCGAGAACTTCTCAGGGAGAGGGCAGCTAGAGAAGAGCATTTTCGGACATACAAGGCACTGGAAGCACGACTGTACGAAAACATGAGGCTGTTGAAGATCACCATGGACGACAGAGTGGAGGCGGTGGTGGACAGAACCTCGTCGTTCAGCGACCAGATCAAGGCTGTCCAAGAGCGCCTGACGATGGTGGACGAAGTCACTATGGAGCTGGAGAACCGAGTCGACAAAGTTCAACACCCCAACGGCTTTACTAAGGATGACACCCCAGTCGAGCCAACGCCCAAGCCTCGCCTGTCAACGCCAAAAGTCTCACCGGTCCCTCAGGTCCCTCTGCTCATGCAGCCGCAGCACATGCTTGGTCAACTGCCAATACGAACTGACAAGAAGTATCCGTTGACCTGGAACGTCCGTGTCATTTTCGTTCCTCGAAAGTCCCAAAGATTCGCATTTGACCCAGACAGCAATGGCTACAGAAGGTGTGCGTCTCGCAAACTCCAGCAGAATATTGAATTTGCCGGTCAGGACAGCGCCTTTTTCGCTTCCAGAATCGAAAATGCGTTCAGGAGTCTCTTGCGTGGTAGAGCATGGATGCCGCTAGTGGGTCACCGTCCTCCAGATGAACTGTATGGTCGCATGGCACTTACGATGCTTCCGCCTGATCTCGTCCATCGTGATCTTTGGGACCATCCTTTCGTTGAAGACCATTGCATCGCTCACGACAAGATGCAAGGGGACGTTCTCTACATTACCCTTCAGCATGAAGACGTTACGTGGAACGAGATTCGGTTCCTGGCTCCCGTCCTCGGAGCCGACGACACTTGTTGGGCTCACGACCCAGAGCTTGACGGCACGGTCAAATACAAGAGTCTGGACACTGAGATCATGTACGATTGCCAGGATCCTCCTCCCACATATTCATCTCGAACTCACTCGCTGGCGGACAGGGCGCCTTCCAAACTCGACGTACTTGCCGACTCCGCTGCTATGCTGAGTCCCATTGAGCGTGCACGTACATCGTCCATCCACTCCAGTCTCATGCGACCATCGCTCGAACGAACCCAGACCGCTTCTTCTTCCCAATCGAATCATCGTTTCTCGTCTGAGCGAAGCAGTCTTCGAAGCTTTGACACTGAGATGGCTGATGACGAGCATCGTGACAAGAAACCAAAGCTCAGGTCAAAGGACAGCGCGGTGAACGTCAGTGGTATGGGCCATGCGCAGCAACCCATCTACGTGTCGGGTCGTTCAAAGCGAAAGATGCCCGTGAAGGAGAAGGGCCAAAAGGAACCTCTCCATTTCAGCGTCACGAACGTTGCCAAATGGAGGCCAAATCTGCTGCATCCTCATTCATCAAAAGGCAAAGATGTTGCTCATGGTCTGTAATGTTTTCTAGATTTCCAACGTTTTTGTTATTTTCAAGGCGTTTAAGAGCAGAGCCTCGTTCAAGCGAAGGATACCCATCGGCGTTGTACTGTACAACTGCATCCGCGGCACAATCACCGCCACACAGCCTCATTTTGTTTATAGACTGGGTCTCTGACCTTGAGCGACGGCACGTTGTATCAACATGCAATACAACATACATCATCTCGGTATTACACCGCTTCTCCATATGCCACAAAATGCCGAACCGCTCTCAAGAAACTCCAAAGGACCCTAAATGTACAGTGCAAGCTGACCTTCGAGCCTATACAGGAAAATTCGAACCTTGTTACAGATCAGTGCAAGAGAGGCAGGAGATTGAATCGCAAATGGTCTGTGAAGCCGTGGCACCGACACCGTATCGACTGCCTAGATAACGCGGCGCGGGCAATCGGTCACATATGTGGGTCCTAACGCTAAGCGTTATCTCACGGTATGTGTGAGCGACACTTATCAGCAACTCTCGTTTGACCTTCGAGATGATGTACGGCAGCCAAGAAACGCCCTCAAAGCGACATTCGAAGCTCAAGCGTTGCCAATGCTGCTCTTGCTCTTGCCATACCTTAGCACATGAGACGAAGACGTCGCTGGAGAAGATCGGAGATGAAGCCTCCAAAGCAGGGTCGCATTGCGGGGAAGGCAGTCAAGCGGAGCCCCAGATCCGGGGTCGTCCCACGGCATATCGTGCTCTTGACATCTCAAAACTGCAGCGGCCACGCGACAAAGCCCAAGACATGTACTTGACGAACTTAAACTGATGCCCACCAGGGTGAATTGTGCCGGATAACCCTTTGCGGCATCCCTGAACAGCACACATGTCAGACCAATTTTCTCCAAGCAAAACGACCATGCTGACGGCTGACAACCTTGGAAGTCAATCTCCCCACTCTCGAGGATCTGCCACACCACACACGAGCAATGATAGACACACAGGCCTGCCCACCACGAACGGCTGTGACGCAGGCAAGGGCCGAGCGTATCAAGGGCGGCGAATCTGACAAGTTACGACGTTGAAAGCATGCGGAAGAATACTACCCTGGGCTTGTCTAACCGTTCTAGCCTGGTTTACGGATGCAGATAAGGCCAGGATGCTGCAAGCCTATGTAACTGTAAAGCGACATCGGTTGATCCTGCGTAATGAGCGCATGAGCGCGATTGTACATATGCTCTTAACAACTCGCCGATGCGCTTCTGGGATCACTTCGTCATACTACCAGAATTTACGACCACATCGGTGTCGGACCTTGCGCAATTGTGCTCGATCCCACGCACACCTAACGAGGCTGGCTATATCGAACAGCGACCATGTCTACCAGCCAAGACCCTGAGCTTGCGAAGACTGACCTCAAGGTCACACATTCAGCGTCTTCGGGAGACGCCGCACCTGCACCCATCGAGGGCGAATCCCAGCATCTACCTAACTTCGAACACGAGAGGGCATTGACATGGAAGTTCGACCTCCGCATCCTGCCCATGTTAGCATTGATGTACTTGTTCAATGCTTTGGACAAGGGCAATCTAGGCAATGCGAAGACTGATGGCATGGACAAAGACCTCGGCTTCAAAGGCAACCAGTACAACGTCATGTTGTCGGTGAGTACATCCTCAGATTATTGACAGAGTATAGCTGACTGCAAACAAGATTTTCTACGTTCCGTACGTTATCTTTGCGCCACCAATTGGCATGTTAGGGAAGAAGTACGGCCCCCACCGTGTCCTCCCCATCATGATGTTCTGCTTTGGCAGTGCTACGCTTCTCGCAGCATCAGTGCAGAACTGGAGCGGTATGATGGCACTTAGATGGTTCCTAGGGATGGCAGAATCGGCTTTCTTCCCGTTAGTTATCTACTACCTTACTACCTTCTACCGACGTGGCGAGCTCGCGCGTCGTCTGGCTCTGTTCTACGCTGCGTCCAACATCGCCAATGCTTTCTCCGGGCTGCTGGCTTTTGGTGTGTTCCAGATTGAGTCGAAGCTCGACAGCTGGAGGTACCTTTTCATCATCGAAGGGAGCCTCACAGTCTGCTTCTCCTTCTTCGCATACTGGTACCTTCCCGAATCCGCCTACAAAGCCAAGTTTCTCACAGAGGCCGAGAAGCAACTCGCCTTCCAACGCATCCAAATCGACTCCTCCTCCGTCGTAAACGAGAAATTTAACTTCAAGCATGCCATTGGCATCTTCAAGCACCCCTCGACGTACGGCTTTCTGGTTATCGAGATGTGCCTCGGCGTCCCCTTGCAATCCGTGTCACTCTTCCTCCCGCAAATCGTCGGCCGCCTGGGCTACGACAAGATCAAAACGAACCTTTACACCGTTGCACCCAACATTGTGGGTGCATGCGTGCTGCTCATTCTGGCTTTCGCGTCCGACCACGTGCGCCTGCGCTTCCCCTTCATCGCCCTCGGGTTCCTGCTCACGTTCATCGGGTTCGTCATCTACGCGACCATCGACGTAGAGCACAGCCTCACGGTGGCGTATTTTGCGTGCTTCATGATGACGTGGGGCACGTCCGCACCATCTGTCTTGCTCTCGACGTGGTACAATAACAACGTTGCGGACGAGAATCAGCGCGTCACGCTCACGAGTATTGGTGTCCCGTTGGCGAATCTTATGGGCGTCGTGAGTAGCAATATCTTTCGCGAGCAGGATAAGCCCAAGTACATTCCTGCGCTGGCGACGACGGCGGCATTTGGCGCGACGGGGTGTGTGTGCGCGCTGTTGTTGGGAATCTATATGGTGCTGGATAATGCGAGGCGGAATCGCAAGCAGGGTGTTAGTCTTAGCGCGAGGGATGTGAGTACGGCGAAGTTGAGGGATGGACCGAAGAGTGCGGACTTCAGGTGGTTCTTATAGTGTGCTTTGAGGCAAGACAGATCGCTCTAGTCTTGGGGTTTTCTAGAGAGCGTCCCATGCAATTAAATGCCAACAGCAGTCACCACCGGTGCCGGCTTGACTTCGCCGTGCACGTGGAACACATTGGCTGAGGTGCACTATGAATCTTGTGGGGACTCCGCATCGTCCAGAGTCACGCGCAGCCGTTGCCTGGATCCGGCTGGGTTTGGAGCAAGGCTGCCAGGAATGAACCAAGAAGCATAACGAATGTCGATGATGCTTGAGCAGACCACGATCCAAAAGCTTCTCTTTTTTCATAGCGGTCAGGCCGTCGTTAACCTGAGACCTATTACCAATCTGTAGATGAATAGGATGTTGATGCGGCCGTCGACCGCGGCTGTCCACTAGCGTGCAGCCTATCTTATCGCCGAGCTCCAGCTGCGACATGATCAGCACCAGCCTCACCACGAGTCACACATCACGGGGCCGTAGCTTGGAGCTGCCTGTCCTCATTACTGAACCCCCTCCCTCCTTCAACACACCCCAGACTGCTGAGTCTGAGTGTGCATCAACCCCTCCTACTTCACTCGAGTCGTCCACCACGGTGCTTGATAGCGCCCTAGCCGATAAGCACGACCGAGCTCCCGGCAGCTCACCCAAACACGCCATGGCAGGCAAAGGCATGGTGCCCATTCTCGTGGGCATGATGCTGTTGACAGGATGCTGCAACACACTGCTCACCAAGTACCAAGTATGTTCCGCGTACTCACATCAGCAGGGCCTTGACACTAATCTTACCCAGGACATGCAATGCGTGCGCAACTGCGACTCTCCGAACCCCAAAAACCGGCAGCACTTCGAGCAGCCTGTGCTCCAGACGCTGCAGATGTTCATTGGCGAGATGGGCTGCTGGCTCGTCATCGGCCTGTTCTCGCTCTGGACGCGCTACGCCGGTGCACGCGCAGGCTACGAAGCTATCCCCGACAACGACGGTGTCGAGACACCAGCGAGCGACGAGAGCGAGGGAAGGGACGTTGCGAATCCGCTCAAGCCTGCGCATCCCGACGATGAAGGCAGGATTCCGCTCGAGGGCAGGAGCGTATTTCTGCTTGCGCTGCCAGCGTGCTGCGATATCGCTGGTACCACGCTGATGAACGTGGGACTGCTGTTCGTGGCAGCGAGCATCTACCAGATGACACGAGGAGCGCTGGTGCTGTTTGTTGGCCTGTTCAGCGTGTGGTTCCTGAAGCGCCATCTGGGACTGTACAAGTGGTTCTCGCTCTTTGTCGTAGTCTTCGGCGTCGCCATCGTTGGACTGGCAGGCGCAATCACAAAGGACGACAAGGCAACGCCCGGCCACAAGGCGGCTCACTCCGATATGGTAGCTATGGATGTTGCGCCCCCCATGTCTCAGGCGCTCATGACCGTCATGGGCGTGCTGCTCATCGCCGGTGCGCAGATCTTCACGGCCACGCAGTTCGTGCTCGAGGAGAGGATCATGGAGAAGTACGCCATGGAGCCCATCAAGGTTGTGGGCTGGGAAGGCATCTTCGGGTTCCTGGTCACCACGATCGTGATGATTGTCCTGCACTTCGCCGTCGGCACTGGTTATTTCAACGCGAAGGAGGGCCTGTACGAAATGACGCACTACAAGGGCATCGCCGTCTCCTCCCTTCTGATCATGATCAGCATTGGGTAAGTCAAACTGCAAAACATCAACGGCTCTGCTAACGCCGTCCAGTGGCTTCAACTTCTTCGGTCTGTCGGTGACACGCACCGTTTCAGCCACATCGCGCTCGACCATCGACACGTGCCGTACGCTGTTCATCTGGGTCTTCTCGCTCGGCCTCGGCTGGGAGACATTCAAGTGGCTTCAGGTCTTGGGCTTTGCTTTCCTTGTGTATGGAACGTTTCTTTTCAACGATCTGATCAGGCCGCCGCTGAAGGCGTGTGTGGAGAGGAAGCCAGAGCCGCTGCTGCCCGAGGATCCCATGGAGCATCACTGAGTGTGAGAGGGCGAGTTGTACGTAGTGAGGAGGGAGGGCGCATGTCGGGTCCAGCATCGGCGTTTGTGAAGGTTGATTTTGCATGCGTCGAATTATAGCATTTACATGACATTCCATTACTCCCCATGTGTCGGTGTTCCCGTGCTCATGGTGGTGATGTTCCTGCCAGCTCTCGTGTCGGGCAAAAGACGGGATGCAAGGTTTGGAGATGGGGGGTTTTCAGATGATTTGCACAAGATCTGTGAGCTAACAGGGCTTCTGGGGACTGCAGTTAGGTGTTTAATTACATCCAGCTTTCTCTGTGACACGAGAGGTGATGTCTGCCAGTTGTGACGCTGAGGCTGACGCACTAACGCACTCTAGCGCTAAATAAGCGAAGCACATTGCGAAATCGCGACCAACGCAACTTCCTCGAACGACAACCACGACGGCACGGCCTATCTGAATCTCAGCAGCTAACCACAGTCCGACAATATGGCCACCACTCAGTCTGCCATCTCCAAGAGGAGAAAGTTCGTCGCTGGTACGCTGCACCTACACCCCCCCTCCCCCCCCCACCCTGAGCACGAGAGCGATCGGAGAAACTGGGGGTGTAAAATTAAAAGACGAGGGACATGAGCGAAGAATTGGAGGCGCAATTGCGACGTCGCATACGCAAGAACGAAAACGCAGGCTAACACCCTATAGACGGTGTTTTCTACGCCGAGCTGAACGAGTTCTTCCAGCGCGAGCTTGCTGAGGAGGGCTACTCCGGCGTCGAGGTCCGCGTGACGCCCACCGTCACCGACATCATCATCCGCGCCACCCACACACAGGAGGTTCTCGGAGAGCAGGGTCGCCGCATCCGTGAGCTCACCTCGCTCATCCAGAAGCGCTTCAAGTTCCCCGAGAACTCGGTCTCCCTGTACGCCGCCAAGGTCCAGAACCGCGGTCTGTCCGCCGTCGCCCAGTGCGAGTCCCTCCGTTACAAGCTTCTCAACGGTCTCGCCGTCCGCCGTGCTTGCTATGGTGTCCTCCGCTTCATCATGGAGTCTGGCGCCAAGGGTTGCGAGGTCGTCGTTTCCGGAAAGCTCAGAGCCGCCCGTGCCAAGAGCATGAAGTTCACTGTAAGACTTATCGAAATCGCCATGTCGAGATCTGTATATTGACTGCGTGCAGGACGGATTCATGATCCACTCCGGTCAGCCCGCCAAGGACTTCATCGACGAGGCCACCCGCCACGTCCTGCTCCGCCAGGGTGTGCTCGGTATCAAGGTCAAGATCATGCGCGGATCTGACCCCGAGGGCAAGGCTGGCCCCTCCAAGACCCTCCCCGACTCCGTCACCGTCATCGAGCCCAAGGAGGAGCAGCCCGTCGTTCAGCCCATGTCCCAGGACTACGGCGCCAAGGCCGTTGCCGCCCAGCAGGCAGCGGACGCTGCCAGGCAGGCAGAGCAGCAGCAGGGTGAGGGCGAGGCCGCACCAGCCGCTGAGGAGCAGTAGATTGCAGCGTGATTACGGGGCGCATGAGGTTACGAAAAGGCTCGAAGCGGAAGCTTATGATGCATCTTCCTTTGCACGTTCGGATCGGACGGGTCTGCTTTTGACTTTGAGGGCGGGCGTCGAGTCAAGCATACACTCTTCGATACACCCAAATACCAAACACCAAAACAAGGCTCTGGCCACCGAGTTCACTTGTCGATTATAACAATACTTGATGCGTGTGAGTTAACCATCGCAGCACATCGATAATTGTACACATATCTGGCATGTACTCGGACCTAGACATACGACCATATGCTTAGTTGCCCCCCGAATCCCAATTAAGCCGTCTCACTTCGCACAGTGACCTACCGCGCTCACATATTCTAGACATTTTGACCACTCGGCTTGGACGTACGTTGGATTCTCCTGGTGTGTGACTGAACCCTACGACATGAGCCAAGATGTATGTTTCTCAGACATTCGAGTCGCTGGGGCAAGGCATGCTTTATGAGGTCCAAACACAATGGTGTTATTTCTGAAGAAGAGAGAAAGAAACAAAGTCTTCATGCACCTGGATGGGGACCGCAGGACTCATCCAGAAGTTCTTACACCCTGCAGGACGTCGAAACATCGAGGCACTCAGGGGGGAACAAAGTGGTCTATGGATGGCCCGACGGTCCACTCTAACCCAAACCTTCACCCCCGGCCATCAAGCTCACGTCAAGCCTGATTACATAACACCCAACCTGTTCGCCCTCGACAACAGCCCCGATCGACATGCCAGCCGCCTGCCCCCGCCTTCCAGAAGCCCACGAGGCTACCCAGTGATGATCAAAAAATGTAAATACGATCAAAACTCAAATAGCCATCCACCAATGCGCTCGGCTCCTCGCCCTTCCGCCACCCAATCCGGCAACCCTTCCTGCCCTTAGCTTACACCTGAGCCAGCAGCGGCTCGGCAGTTCACCATGTTGATATTAGCCCCCGTCGCAAATTGTCCGGGATCTGGGGGGTTTCCGCCAATCTGGGGGGTTCGGAGCGCTGCTACCCCACAATATGCACCTCGCTTGTAGGTGTGTACTTCGTATTACGGCAGCGTGGCTCAATTTGCGTGAAACTTGTGCGCCGTGAGCGAAAGAGGTCTGCGGGCGGGATATTGAGTGCGGTTCGGTCTCGGACCGCGAGGTAGGAGGTCATCTGCGGATATGGTTACTGCAGCGGAGCGAAGAGAAGAGGGGATGGCCCGGTGTCTTCAGTGACCGAGTATAAAGCCAGGTCGGTGTGGACCTCTAGCACAGTACTCAGCGTGCCTCCGTCCCATCGTATCCCGCCATGCGTATCCCCTCGCTCCTCTCCCTGTTCTTCGCGACCACGACCCTCGCGGCGCTGCCCTACAAAGGCATAGACTGGTCGTCGCTGCTCGTCGAGGAGAAGGCAGGCAAGCAGTACAAGAACAGCGCAGGCCAGGTGCAGCCGCTCGAGACGATCCTCAAGAACACAGGCGTCAACACGGTGCGGCAGCGCATCTGGGTCAATCCAGCCGACGGCAACTACAACCTCGACTACAACATCCAGCTCGCGCGGCGCGCCAAAGCCGCAGGGCTCAACATCTACATCGACTTCCACTACAGCGACAGCTGGGCGGACCCGGGCAAGCAGGTTGTGCCCGCTGCGTGGAAGAGCCTCAACCGTGACGCGCTAGTCAAGCAGGTCTACGACTACACCAAGAGCGTGCTGGACCGGTTCCAGACCGAGGGCATTCCGCTGCGGATTGTGTCGATAGGGAACGAGATCACTGCGGGTCTGCTGTGGCCGATCGGGCAGCTGAGCAACACGGATGGGCCCAAGAATGTCGCTGCGCTGCTGAAGAGCGCGTCCAAGGCTGTCAAGGAGTCGAGTCTGTCTGCTAAGCCCAAGATCATGATCCACCTCGATAATGGCTTCTACTGGGGCACTCAGGTATGTTCGCTTCCCCTCCTTGCTGCTGTCCTTTTCCTCGGGCGATAACCCCGGAACTCCACGGCGCGAGACGAACGCAGCTAACCAGCCCAGGAATATTGGTACGACACAGTCCTGTCCTCAGGCGGGGGTCTATCGCTATCCGACTTCGACATTCAAGGCGTCAGCTACTACCCGTTCTACAACAGCGACGCAAACCTCGGCTCGGTCGCATACAGCATGACGCAAATGGCCAACAAGTACGGCAAGGAAGTGCAGGTCGTCGAGACCAACTGGCCCAGCTCGTGCCCGAACCCAAAGTACGCCTTCCCCGCGGACACGAAGAGCATCCCCATCTCCGCCGCGGGCCAGTACGTCTGGATGCAGGAAGTCGCCAAGCGCGTCGCGGCGGTGCCGGGCGGAAAGGGTACGGGCATCTTCTACTGGGAGCCCATGTGGATTGACAACGCGGGGTTGGGGTCGAGCTGTGATTGGAATTTGATGGTGCAGACGAACGGGCAGGTTATGGAGGGGATGGGTGCGTTCAAGGTTATCTAGTGTGGCTCTTGAAGGGGTGTTGTATTTATATAGGTATATAAATTATGTTTCCTAGAGTGTATTGAGGTTGTGTCTCTCGTAACTGGCGTGATGTGCGGAATACAAAAGTGCAGAGTACAGGCAGGTTGTAGAGGGGATGGGTGCGTTCAAGGCTATTTAGAGTAGCTCTTGAAGGGGTGCTATATTTACATACATATACAAATCATTTTCCTTGGAGTATATTAGGGTTATGCAGTCTCTCGCGACCGTAGTGAAGTGGATTGTCAGTTTTCCTGCAAGGATGACTCAACTGGCACGTTCAAATCATCTCGATCGTGCTGTTCAAGACTCGCGTTGGGTACTCTCCAAGTTCTTTGGCTGCGAAAAAGGATGTTGGTCGGATACTCTGCTTCTTTGGAAATGGAAAGGACAAACTGCACGCATTGTGAAAATGCTGCGGCTTGAGGTGAAAGCGACCCACCCGCAGTGACGCTTTAGGAATCGCTCCCGCATCGCTGTTGTAGGCGCATGGATCAGAACAAAAAGCCCTCCTGGCCAAGAGAGTTGTGGAGAGCATTCTACCACCTCTTTCTAAGCATTCTATCACCTCTTTCTAAGTATTCTACCACCTCTTTCTAAGCATTCCACCACCTCTTTCTAAACATTCCACCACCTCTTTCTAAACATTCCACCACCTCGCTCTGAGCGTTCTGAGCAGCTCCTCCAAAGCATCTTGATCGTCCTGCAAACAGTCTGGAAACCGTACCCTCCTCTTCACATCGGCGTCATTCTCACGCTCAGGCCAACGCGAGTCTTCCCATTCAGCGATCGCATAGCGTCCCCCACGCTCAGCATCAGCCTCTCGCCATTCCGAAGGTCCGTCGCCGCTGTCAAATATCACGTAGCGCGACCAGTCAATGGTAGGAGGCTGGCTGTAGCGATCCGCGAAGCCTGTGTCGGCACAGTGTGCACGCTTGTAGAAATCAACTCGGTCAATTGGACCGCGACCCATGGAGAAGTGCTTCAGCTTCGGTAAGGCGCTCGCGAGCTGTCGGAGGACTGCGTGCCATCGCAAGTCGGAGAAGTGGTTCGTTGTCGGTGGCCCGCTGCGCGATGTGCCTGGGAGCCGTTCTGACCATAGGTTGTGCACCTGACGTCGCGTCAAGCGCGATGCATGCATGATGGGACAGCGGGTGAAGACCAGTTGCTCCAGCGTTGGGCCGTGCGAGGTGATGAAGTCAATCTGCCAGTCATGGGCAATGGTCCATTTGCCGAACGCTAGAGACTTGAGATTCGGAAAGTGCAGATTGTTTGGTTGCCACCGTGGATAGATGCCCCAGTAGGTGTTGCAGTGAAGCGTTAGGTGTGTGAGTTGGGACTGCAACGGCTCCAGCCACGTTGCACTCAAGTACATGTTGAACAGAGCATGGCGGTGACGGATCTCGATATCCAAGTCCGTGGAGGCGTCGTTGCTCCATGTAGTGATCAGGAGATGTAGCTTGTGAAGCTTAGTGGAAGAGTGGGCGAGCTTTGGCCGCTCGACTTGACAGTCGTCTTGGAGGTGCTTGACCGTCAGAGAGTCCATCGCTCCACGGGAGAGAAACTCGTTAAAAGCCAAGCCGAGAGCCGAACAATGATTGTTGACGCATGCATAGGCGGTGTCTAGCACCAGCGTGTGTAGGTTCGGCGGGCGGGCAGAAGTCCATTCAGCAGCTCTTTCTCTCCACCATCCCGGCGGCGGGTGAACATAGCACCCATCGTCGGGGTTCTTGTTATCTTCCCATTGAGTCTCAAGATTGATCTGTGTTGGTTCGCATCAATGAAACGTAGCTTCAGGTGCCCAAATCAGCCTATGCTCGGATACTCACCTGACGGATGTAACGGCGGAACACATGGTGCTGCAACAAGCCGCTGAACCTGTTCGCACTCTGCACCGTGAAGCGAAGGGTGGCCACACCAAACAAAGCTTCTGCGGCGATGTCGCTGAGAGCTCTGGAGACGAACCGTGTCGATTTCAAGGCGGCGGTGTCAAGGTAGTTGAGACATTGGCGCTGAATCTCGACAGGAAGCGACGAGAACGTGGTCACCATTGCTGTTGTAGCTTAAAAGTGGCAAAATGTAGATTACACTTCAACCTCTAGATAGGCTCCTTGTACAAGGTTTATTCTCTGCGACAATTGCAGAGTGTTGTTGGTGGAGGAGAGACATCTAAGCAACGAAGTTGTTTGGAAGGAGCGGGAGCCTGGGTTAGCGCGGTTGCCTCACCTGGCACGGTCGAGACTGCACGATACAGCATGAGCTCTAGAAGTGGGTGCAGAAGTGATGAGCAGAAGCAATGGGTGCAGAAGTGATGAGCAGAAGCAATGGGTGCAGAAGCAAGGCGCTCCAGAAGTAAGGGGCTCCAAAGCCTCGATGTTGTTGATGTGAGTCTGATATTCGTGCCTTTTACTTCTTCCCTCCCATCTCCTTTTACTTCTTCCCTCCCATCTCCTTTTACTTCTTCCCTCCCCCTCCCTCGCCGTTCGTCTCGAGGTAGTCTTTGATGCTGAACATCCCGGTGCCTCTGTCGAGGGGCTTCGCTTGATCAGGGCTGTGCTTCCAGCCAATCATGTAGATCAAACGAAAGGTAGCTGGAAGAGAGCCGTCGTCGTTTCCGTGCAAGGATCGGTAGATGGCGTCGGTAGCCAAGAGCACGTCTTTGTGCATCCCACCCTTCTCGCGGGTCAAGACTGCGTTGGACTCGCCCATGGCCTGCAGGTCCTTCATGAGGGCAAAGGTGTCTGGGTAGTCGACAATGATGTCGTCGACATCGACGGTGAGGAGGTTGAAGCCGGCCTTTTGCAGCAGGCCACCGACGTCCTTGACGTCCGCCAGAGGTGAGACGTGCGTGGCAACACCGCCACGGCGATCCTGCTCTGCCAACTGCAGAGACGTGCGAAGCTCGTAGAGACTGTCGCCTCCCATCATGACGGATATGAAGGGGCTGTCCGGCTTGAGGATGTTGTTGACCTGGGCAAGGACGGACGGCAGGTCGTTGATCCAGTGCAGGCTCAGGCTGCTAAAGACGGCGTCGAAAGTATTCGCTTGGTACGGAAGCAGCTCAGAAGTCGGCAGGACCTCTCTCACAATGTCCATCTCCTTGTTGAAGGGCAGGTCGACGTCGCGATGCAAAAGGGCGGCAGACGAGTCGGCGGCAGTCATCTTGCCGATACGCTTCGACCGCGGGCCCTTTTCGGGCTCGTCTGGAGAGGGCTGCGTGAGGGCATTTGCGACGTTGCATGCGTTTGCACCGAGGTCGAGGACGTGGGGGAAGTGGCGATTGATGTCCTGTGAATGAATCAGCATTGAGCATGGAGGCCGCGGACCACCAATGACTGACGAGAATGCGCTCACACAAGCGCGAGGCTACCTCGTCCCTCAGGTAGTCGACACTCCGGCTTGCCTCGACATTGGCTGCGGCGCGCTCCTTCTGCATCCACTTGTGCTGGTTGCTGAAGATGTCCATGGCGGGCGCGCCGGGGGCCTGGACGGCATAGCAGCGAGCTGCGCGGAGAGGCAGCCCCCGCCGTGTCAGGGGCGGTATGAAGGCGCGGACTGACAGCGTGTTCATGGTGGAGTTTTCTTCTTCTTTTGGGCGTGAGTGCAGACGCAATGGCGGGAGTGAGTGCAGATGCAATGGCAGGAGTGAGTGCAGACGCAATGGCAAAAGTGAGTGCAGACGCAATGGCAAAAGTGAATGCAGACGCAACGGCAAAAGTGAATGCAGACGCAATGGTAGGAGTGAGTGCAGACGCAATGGCAGGAGTGAGTGCAGGCGCAATGGCAAAAGTGAATGCAGACAAAAGCTGTGAGAGAGCTATAAGAAAGCTACGTCAGGACTCGCGCCGGCCGGGTTCCCCGACATTTGGCCGAGGCTCGAGCTCTTGTCTCTCGTATGTCGTATGTCGTATGTCGTATGTCGTCTCCCGTCTCTCGTCTCCCGTCTCTCGTCTCCCGTCAACCGACACGTCCGCGGCGGACTTTGACGCGGCGGAAGGACCCAAGGACACACGGTGGAAGGACCCAAGGGCACACGACCAAAGGACCCAAGGACACACGACCAAAGGATCCAAGGACACACGACCAAAGGATCCAAGGGCACACGACAAAAGGATCCAAGGGCACACGACAAAAGGATCCAAGGGCGCACGGCGGGCGAAGACGATCAACGCACCATGGCGCAGCCCTGCCCGTACACGTACTACGCCTGCGACTGCTGCGACACCAACCGCGGCGCCGACGGAGAGGAGCGCACCTTTGACCCGCGCAGCCCGCGCGCCGACTACGCCCTCTTCCCGCTCGAGCAGCTGCTGTACTGCGAAGACTGCCGCCAGCTGCGGTGTCGGCGCTGCATCGTCGAGGAGACGCTGAACTGGTACTGCCCGAGCTGTCTGTTCGAGGTCCCGAGCTCCGTCGTGAAGAGCGACGGCAACCGCTGCACCCGCAACTGCTTCAACTGCCCCGTGTGCGCCGCGCCGCTGGGCGTCAACTCGGTCGAGAGCCCCGAGAGGCCGTCGGACAAGGGCGGGCCATACCTGCTGGCCTGTCCGTACTGCCACTGGAGCACCGCCGAGACGGGCATCGCCTTTGAGAAGCACACGGGCATCCACGGCCAGCTGTCGCGCGTTGCCAACGGCGGGACGCCCGTGCCGACACACAAGGAGCGCGACAAGGAGCGCGAGCGGCAGCTGAGGGCGCTGGACGAGCAGCGGGCCGCGCGGTATGGCGTCCGTCCGCCTGGTGCGCCCTCGTCTGCTGCGCCCTCGTCTGCTGCGCCCTCGTCTGGTGCGCCCTCGTCTGGTGAGCCCCCGTCTGGTGAGCCCCCGTCTGGTGAGTCCTCGTCTGCACCAGAGACGGGCAATGGCGCGGCCACGCTCGGCCGAGAGGACCTGTTTGCGAACCTCACTGCCTTCTACCGGACGCAGATGGACGCCCAGACCCCCTCGCACCCGTTCGCCGCGCACGACCTGAGCTTCTCGTCGCCGTCGACGTACTCGCGCATCATGAGCCTGTACTCGGCCACGTCGCGGAGCAAGAAGCGCGAGAAGCCGCCGCCGATGCGGGAGGCGGCCGCGGAGCTCGAGGGGCTCTGCCTGCACGACCCCGCATCAGACGCTGCCGCAATCGAGCGGCTGAAGAAGGAGGGCTGGCCGAGCACCCTGTCGCCGGCGCAGAAGCTCGCCCAGATGGACCCCCACGTCCACTTTGAAGACGACCTGCGTCCTGTCGCCACCTTGCTGTGCACGAAGCGCTCGAAGCGCTGTCGTTCGTGCCGCCACATCTTGTCCAAGCCCGAGTCCAAGATCACTTCGACACGCTACAAGATCAAGCTCCTCGCGCTCAACCACATCCCGCGCATCACCGTCCGCGCCCTCCCGTCGCCGACTGCCCAGCAGCCGCTGCCCGCCGCGCCAGGTGCACCCACGCAGCCGCCACCGTTCAACTACACCAACCTCCGCCAAGGCATCCCCACAAACTTGATCATCCACCTCAGCAACCCCCTCTTTGACCCCGTCCGCGTCACCCTCGCCACGCCCAGCACCACTCCCGGCAAAGTGCTCTCCAAAGTCACAATCCTGTGCCCGCAGTTCGACATTGGCGCCAACACGGATGTCTGGGACGACGCCCTCTCCTCGTCGTCGGCAGCGCCCGTCAACAGAGGCACAGTCGTCGGCTCCGACGGCGCCATTGAGCCCGGCAAGCCCTACGACCGCGGCCGAAACTGGACCAGCGTCGTCATCGAGGTCGTGCCTGGATTCCTCGAGTCTGCGGGCGACCTCGACCAAGACGACGAGGTCATTGAGATTCCCATATTCGTGCGCCTCGAGTTTGACGCCGACGTCATTGCAGACGAGAGAGGGCTGGGCGATTCGCGTGGGACTAGGGGCGACAAGGAGAGGAGGGAGGAGGCCTTTTGGACCGTTGTTGGCGTGGGACACATTGCCGCGGCTTGATTTACAGACTACATGGGCCCTTGTGCGAGTTTGAATGATACCCCGCCGTCTCCGCATGTCTTTGATTGTCGCCCGTTTTCTTTCAGTCTCGTTTGACACCCCCCAATCCAGTCTCCCTCGACACCCCCCAATCCAGTCTCCCTCGACACCTCTCGATTCAGTCTCCCTCGACACCCCTCAATCCAGTCTCCCTCGACACCCCTCAATCCAGTCTCCCTCGACACCCCCCAATCCAGTCTCCCTCGACACCCCTCGATCCTGTCTGGCCGGATCCAGCTCAATCCTGTCTGGCCGGATCCAGCTCAATCCTGTCTGGCCGGATCCAGCTCAATCTTGCCACAAATCTCATCAATCTCCTTCAGAATCTCCGGCGTCAGCTTCTCCAGCACCGCCAACGCCTTGCAGTTCTCCACAACCTGCTCCGGCCGGCTTGCACCCGTAATCACAGCCGACACGTTTGGGTTCTTCAGACACCACGCCAGCGACAGCTGCGACTGCGTGACGCCCAGCCTCTCCGCGATCGGCTTCAGCTTCCTCGCCTTGTCGATGATCCGCGTCCAGTCGCTGTTTCCGTACGAATCCCTCATGCTGTTCACAAACTTGTCGTCGCCCTCGGCAAACCGCGAACCCGCCGGCGGCGCGTCAGGACTGTCGTTGTACTTGCCGCTCAGCAGGCCAAAGTTCAGCGGCGAGAAGGTGGTCAGCCCGATGCCGAAGCGGCTGTACAGGCGCTGGAACTCGCCCTCGACCTTCTTGCGCGTCAGCAGGTTGTACATGGGCTGCTCGACCGTGGGGCCGATAAGATTCAGACGCTGCGCGATCCCGCACGCGTCGGCGATCTCATCCGCGCTCCACTCGCTCGTGCCCCAGTACAGCGCCCACCCCTTCTGCTCAATCACGTGGTTGAACGCGCGCACCGTCTCCTCCATGGGCGTCAGCCTGTCCGGGCGGTGCGCGTACACGACATCGACGTACTCGAGCTCCAGGCGCTGCAGCGACGCGCGCAGGCCCTCGACAATGTGCTTGCGGCTCAGCCCGTGGTTGTTGACGAGCACCTCGCCGTTCGCGCCGCCCCAGTTCAGCTTGGTCGTGACGACAATGTCGTTGCGGTTCCAGCCGTACTTCTTGATCGCCTGGCCCATGACCACCTCCGACTGCCCTGCGGCGTACGACTCGGCCGTGTCGAAGAAGTTGATGCCGCAGTCGTACGCCTGCTTCATGCACGAGAAGGTGAGTTCTGGGTTCGGTCAGCCGGCTTTCTTTTTTCGGCGCGCTGCTGCATAGTGCACAACCTACCGTTCTCGACGTGCCCGCCGAACGTCAGCCAGCCCCCCAGGCCGAGCACGGAGACGTGCAGACCCGAGTTGCCCAGGCGGCGGTACTGCATGCCCGTCTTTCGCGGTTCTTCCCACGCCATGATGATGCTGCGCTGTGCTGCCAATGTACCGCGAGTGAGGAGGCCAATGGAGGCAGACGTTGGGGATAGTAGCAGAGCAATCACCAGCGTCCGTTTAGAAAAATCAATCAATCAATCAACCAACAGACAATGCCCCTCAGGCCCCTCCTCCGTCATACCAAGCCACATACCGAGGCCTTCCTTCCCCATCGGGCCCCGCCGTCAACACCCCGGTCCACCGTCTGCCGCCTCCCGGCACCCTGCTACCAGCACGCAGTAACGCCACGCCGCGCCCGCCCTAGCGGAGAAGTAGCGGAGAAGTAGCGGAGAACAACACAGCACGACCGTCGAAGCAGCACAACCAGTTTCCGAGCCGCACAACCTGAGCCCGACTGCGACAGGACAGGACAGGACAGGACAGGACAGGGGAGCGATGGTGCAATTGCGCCCCAGAATGACGATTCCCCGGTTTTTCCAATTTTGTCTTGTGGAGACCGTGGGGCCGTGGGTGCGTGCGCGAGCTAAGTTGGACGACACACGTGCGCGAGCTAAGTTGGACGACACGCGTGCGCGTTTGGGAGTTGGACGACACGCGTGCGCGAGATAAGTTGGACGACACACGTGCGCGTTTGGGAGTTGTGGATGGCTGGTGGTTGGTGATGCGTTGGAGGGGGTTTGATGGGTGGTGGATACGTATAGGATGATGGTATTGCGGTGGGAAGGTATTACTATTATTATTGAGAGGGAGCTATTGCGTGTTCGACGACGCGTAACGAAACCTACCGCACCAAGCTGGACAGCACGCGAGGCCGCATGCGCCGAGCAAGACACGAAGCGGGCCTCAGACCGCAAACCGAAAGTCCAGCCTCTTGTTGCCCTCGGCCTCGCGCGCAACAACATCGGCCTGGTACGCCGCCTTCTCCTCGCCGTCCATGCGCGCCCATGTCTCCTCCTTCTTGCGGTTCAGCCGCACCAGCATCTGCCGCTGCAGCACCACGACGACGCAGCTCAGCGCGCACACGGAAACCAGCACCTTGTTGCCCGTCTTGTAGTACGGGCCGTCCCACTTGCGGTAGATTTGCGAGCTGATCAGCGACCCAATCTGCACAATCACATTGTACGTCGCGGCCGTGATGGCGCGCTTCTTCACGTCGAATGAGTTCTCGGATATCCACGACGACACCAGCGGGTGGAAGTACGGGTACCCCGAGATCAGCGTGATGAGCGTGAAGCGGCCCCACTCGCGGCCGCCGTCGGGAAGCGTCAGCAGCGCGATCAGCAGCGGCATGATCCAGAACTCGCCGAAGAGAATGTGCAGCGTGCGCTCGTTGAAGTAGTCGGAGCTGTACGCGAGAGCCAGCATGGTGATGATTTGCAGAAACGCCGACGGGATCGTCAGCATGTTCGAGTTGAAGGTCGAGAATCCCAGGCGCTTGAGCGTCAGCGTGAGGTAGCCCTGCACAGGCGACGCGGGAATGTACGCGATCAGCCCGATGAAGTAGAGACCCCACATGGCAGGGTCCTTCCACGCCTCCACGATGTCTCTGAAGCCCATGGGCTCTTTGATGGCGGTCAGGCCCTTGGCCGGATCGTCGCGCAGGATCCGGTTCACCATGATGACCTCCTCGCGCTCCGTGTAGAAGCCGTTGGGCCAGAGGACCTGCTTGGTGTCCGTGGGCGACGCGGGCAGATACAAGTACGAGATGAAGGCGATGAGACCGGTCAACAGGCCCTCGAGCAGGAACAACCAGAACCACCCTGGCTTTCCGCCGATGCCGCGCATCTCGAGGATGCCGGCGGCCAGCAGCGCCGAGATGACGCGGGCCACGTTCAGCGTGGACCAGAAGACGGCCAGACGCACCGCCAGCTCCTTGGACTTGTAGAAGTAAGTTGCGAACAGGATCACGCCGGGGATGAAGCCGCCCTCGCAGAGTCCGATGAAGGCGCGCCCGAGGTAAAAAGACGTGCGGTCGTGCATCCACGCTTGCGCCCAGGACACAGTCGACCAGCCCATCATCATCGTGGGAAGAACCCACCTGAAACCAAAGCGCTTGGTGAGGAACTGGACGGGGAACTCAGCCGCGAGGAAGCACACGAGCTGAATGGTGGTTCCGTTGTTGTAGTCATCCGTCGTGAGATTGAGGTCCTTGAGGAGGTTGTCCGCAAGCGCGTTGGAAAGGTTGCCGCGGTCAAGCTGCATACAACCATGAGTAAGTACATTCACGTGAAGCCTCGAGTGCGACGTACCTGCAGCCCAAACATCATCAGACACAGCCACGGGAGCAGCTTCAGATCCGTCTTCCAGACGACGCGGCGCTCCTCCTCCACCGTCCATGACGCAGTGGGGTCGAAGCGGTGTTTGCCCTCGTAGGAATCGTGTGGTGGGACAATACCGGCGAGCTCCTGCCTGCCCACCGCAGTCGGGGCCTTGAGCGAGCCATTGTCCTCGCTGAAGCGCGTGTGAACGGCTTCGATATCGTTGCCCATCTTGACCCTGGAAATAAGACTCCTGGAGTGGTGATTATTAAAGGTGCCCTGCCGTCAGAACAAAGAACTACGCACGCTACATATAGTCGATCTAGAGTTCGAGGCGCACATGTCGCAATTCAACAGTGTGAATGCGCGATCGCCCGCTTGTTCGACTACAGTAGCACCGCCGTGTAGCCGAGGCGTGTTCTCCGCCTTGCCTCGCCTGTCCAGCGGTGATTGTATCCCGTCTGCGGGGCTTTGCCGCGGGCTCATTTCTTGGGCCCGGAGCGGACAGCCTAATGCACGTCTGCTGTGCACCCTTGTCGGCACTTGTTCGAGCGTCGTCTCGTTTTGGCCCGGGTGCCGATGGCGTGCTCTGCGAGCATGCCGAGTGTCGACGCTGCGCGGTTTTGCAGGGACATAAGATGTTCCAGCAGCCAGGTGCTCGTCTGTTGCTCCTTGGGTTTGCTTACTCTCGTCTAACTGCATTTGGTGGGCCTTCGTGCACATTACTCGATTGGGTCTTCACGTGCATTTACACAACCCCGTGGCAAATCATTCCTGCATTGCGAAAGACGCCACTATCGTCCGTCTGGCTCCCACCATGTCTTCGGTCAAGAGAGCTCGTCATGATGGTGCTGAGTCGAGTATCGTTGGCGGTCATGAAACAGCGAGGTCGAGGTTGCTGAAACCGCTGGTCTACTCTGGCTCGTTGGACGGCTTCAAGCATCAGGACTCGACTCCGAGCATCGGCAGAGAATATGAAGGCCTGCAAGTGAGGGATCTGTTGAAATGGGGCGACGAGATGATTCGGGATCTGGCCATAACTAGTATGTTAACCAACCTTACCACCACACTTCCAGTCTGACAGTCCTCGTAGTCTCACAAAGAGGTGTCGTCTTTCTCCGCGACCAGGATGTGACGCCACACGAGATGAAGGATCTGATGCTCCGCATCACCGAACTTTCAGGCTGCCCTGAATCATCTGGTCTGCACGTCCACCCTCTGACCGAAGAAGGCTCAGAGCTCGGCGACCAGATCTCCGTCATCAGCAGCGAAAAGCAGAAGAAGGGTGGCGGCCTCACACACCAGCTGTCCGACGTCAGCCGCTTCGCATCCGCAGGCTGGCACACGGATATCTCCTTTGAGCCCGTGCCGTCCGACTACGCCATGCTGAAGATCCACACGCTGCCAGCAACAGGCGGCGACACGCTCTGGGCGTCGGGCTACGAGATCTACGACCGCCTGTCGCCGACCATCAGGACCCTGCTTGAAGGCCTAACGGCCACGCACGACGCGAAATTCTTCCTTGACGAGGCCGCGCGCCTGGGAAACCCGATCCGCAAAACGATTCGCGGCAACCCCCTCAACTTCGGCGAAGGCCTGACCGCCATCCACCCCGTGATCCGCACAAACCGTACGTCTCCCCTCCCCTCCCGTGCAGTATCTCCCCCGCTAACCTCCAACAGCCGTCACCGGCTGGAAATCCGTCTACGTCAACAAAGGCTTCACCAAGCGCATCAACGGCGTCACAAAAGACGAGTCCGACATGCTGCTCGGCTACCTGTTCAACCTGCTGACGCAGAACCACGACGCGCAGGTGCGCTTCAAGTGGCGGCGCAACGACCTCGCCATCTGGGACAACAGGAGCATGTGGCACTGCGCGACGTACGACTACAGCGACGCCAGAGCGGGGGATCGCGTGTGCAGTCTCGGCGAGGCGCCGTATCTGGACTTGAACAGCAGGAGTCGCAGGGCGGATTTGGAGGAGAGGGCGAATGTTGAGGCGGGGCTGGTTATGGCGTAGGGGTGGCGTGGATACGTGTTTGAAATCGTCGGCAGGCAGGTCGGTGAGGATTTGCGGCGGACAGAAATATCTAATGGTGGTGGAAGCAACGGGTGTCATTGGCGTCTGCTAGAGGGGGAAAAAGTGTGTGGCATCACACAGGTGTGTTCCGCCGTGTCGAGCTTGATTCTCGCGGTGAGATAGGACTGAAACGCGGTTTTTTTTGTGAATGACTGTGCTGATCAGGTGTGATCGGCGATATCGCTGTTGTCTTTTCTCTTCTTGCGCGTCACCATCTTGTCCAACGTCCCCTGACTCGCCTCTCTCTTGTGTCCTGCTTTGGTCGTCTTCGATGGCGTCTTCGACGACGTCTTCGTATCAGTCGGCTCCATCTTATGCCCCTTCTTACTCGTCTGCCCCGTATTACTGATTGCCGTCTCATTCCCAGTGATCTTCTTGTTATCCGCCTTCCCCCTCCGACTCGTCTTCGGGCTCGGAGGCTCCGGCACATGGCTCTCTTCATGCGCGTCTGCATCTTCGTGCTCCACCATGGCGCCAGGCGGTCCTTTGGTGCCTTCAGTAGGCCCTTCGGCGTCGTCGTCGAAGAGCTTGCGCCATGTGCCGTCGAGCACTTTGGCATCGTTGCCATGCAGGCCGATGCGATACGCGTTCTTCAAGCCCTGGATGCAGACCTCTCTCTGCGTGGAGAAATCGAACATGGGTTTGGGATACGCTCTCTTCCCATCGACTTCAGTTTCGCTGCCGTCGCCTTTGATGATGCACCCCCATTTCTTCTGGTCCGTAATCGGCGCCTTCCACGGCTCGTAGATGTATTTCTGCGGAAACTTGTCCAGCTCCGGGACAAACTTGCGCACGAAATTGCCTTCCTTATCCCACTTCTGCGGGAACGCGATGGGAGAGTAGCAGCGGTAGTATTGCGCGTAGAAGGCCGTGCACGAGAGCCACTGCCAGTTTCCAATGTTGCATGCGGCCTCGTGGTCAATCAGCCACTCCTCGAATACCTCCGCGCCCCGCTCCCAATCCACGTAGCAGCCGCCCCGCGTCAAGAAGCACGCCACGGCGTGCCGGCCAAGATGGTGGATCCAGCCCTCGTGCTTCAGCTGGCGCATCAGCGCATCGATCCAGGGAAATCCCGTACGCCCTTCGCGCCAGCGCTGGAAGTAGACGTCAGCCTGCTTGTTGTCGATGAGGTACTCGCCTGTTATGAGACCCGAGGAGGTGTCGATTTTCGACGGGAGGTGCCAGGGGATAAAGCGGCACTGCGGGTTCCCGTAGGTCTGACCGAAAGCGTAGCCCAGACTGGCCTGCGCGCCGAAGTACATGTCGCGGAAGAGCAGCTGCCCGGTCAGACTGGTTGGCGGCTGCGAGGCGTGGCCTTTGTACTTGTCGACGACGTCCTGGCAGCGCCAGTAGAATTCCCGACAACTCAAGGAACCAAAGTGCAGGTGAGGGGACAACAGGGTGGTGGCTTGGGGTTCGAAAGCTGTGGGAGCTGTCTTGGGCTTCTCGAAAGTTGCCGTGTAGTCCTCGTTCGCGATAATGTCGTCAAGCATCTTCAGCGCTATCGTCTCGCCGCCTCGATGCTGTGTCGTTGCTGGCTTGAGACCAAGTTCCTCCATGGTAGGCACCGCAAAATCGCCATTCGGCCCAGCAAGCTGCGTATAACTCTCCTCCACGCCATCTCTCTGCTTCGCATTGATATCCGGCTTGCTGTCTGGCACTTCCTGTTCAAAGTCCAAACCCGTATCTCCCGGATCCGGCAGACTTTTCGGTGCCGCGATGGGCCTGGGAATCTTTCCAATCTTCTTCCCCGCAGCCTGCACCTGATTGATGCTCATGGTCGGCTTCCCATTGTTCTGCTCCACCAACTCATCCAGATCGTAGAGCGTGCGCCCGTACCTGACCAGGACCTCAACGCCCGCCTCCTTCGCCAGCGCCATGACCTTCTGATCCCGCTCACGCCCATACGCATCCGTGTCCTTCTCGAACACCAAATGCGTGATCTTCCACTGCTTGAACAGCTTCGGGAACAGCGTCTGCGGCGCCTCTCGGATCAGGAGCAGTTTCGACTTTAGGTTCAGCTTGGTGATGGATTTACTTAGGTCGGACTGGCAGTCTAGAAGATACTGCCAGCGGTTCGGGCCTACGCGGGCTCGATACACGTAATGCGGGTCCCAGGTCCAGATCGGGTACAGACATTCTGGCTTCAGGTCCAGCGCGGCTTTCAGCGCGGGGGAGTCATGCAGGCGCAGGTCGGTGCGAAACCAGTAGATGACTCGTGGTTTGGGCATGGTGGATGCCGCGAGTGGGTATCAAGTGTGCTGTTGTGCTTCGATAGTCGTGATGTGAGGCCGCGCAATGTTGTGGTGGGGACGGCGATCAACTGCTATTGAGCTGTGGCATGTACATGCGACCTGGAAGGAATTACCGTCTCTGCGAACTCGTTCGCGCAGCGCTCGCAATAAAGTACTGTTCCTGACCCGGGTGGCTGGTCGACATGCTGTCATAGATCGTCGCTAATCTGGCGCTACGTAGATCTGAGCCAACCGAATCCGGCGCGCTAGATACATGATCAGTGGTGCCTTATCCATACATGTGCATTGTAAAAGCAGAACAAAGTAATGTTGGACAATATGGAATACAGGCTGCTAAGAGTAGGAAGCAAAAAGCCAAGAGAACCAGCAAGGCGCCAAGAGAACCAATACCCCAATCTCAACACTTCTCCATCTCCTACTCGTCGTCCTCCCAATCAAACGCCCTAGCTGCCTGCCCACCGCACGCCCTCTCGAGCGTCAGGAACGCAAAATGCCCACCAACAACAGGCCGTGCGAAGAACCACGGGCCCGGGAACCCGCCGTCGCCCTCGGTGTTGTACAAGTCAGTGAACGGGCGATCCGTGACCGTCTCGTTGAGCCACGTAGCCACGCGGTCGAGGATCTCGGAGCGGACTTTTTTCGACGCAACAGCCGCGGCTTCAAACTCCCAGTCGGACTTGGTGTACAAGTGGCGACTGTCGAGGGGCAAGCCATATTTCTGCATGACGGAAGCGTACCACTTTGATTGTGCCTTGTAGATGTGGCTCGGGATGAAGTCCGTGGTGATCGGTGTGCGGCCGCTGGAGCTCTCTGCGGGCGCGAGCGGTTCCTGTGCAGGGGCGTTGCCAGCAGCGAAGTCAGTTGCCTCGCGCACTTTGCCGTCAGAGGACTCCGTAGAGCTTGCGTTCGTGGTGCTAGGATGAAAGCATAGCACTGCATCTGCGTATAGCGAATACAGCGTCGTCCAGCTTCCGTACCAGTCGTACGCGAGCTTGGCGTGCCCGCCGTCGCGCGAGATGCCGTACTCCTGCCACTTCTCGATGTAGGTCTCGGAGATGTTGCGGTAGTGCTTTGCGTCGCCATTGCGGTCCATGAGCGACGCGATCTCGCTGAAGGCCTTGATGCCGATGATGCCCTTGAGCGCAAGATTGGTCTGCAGCGGCAGCCATCCGGCGAAGTCGTCTGTGCAGACTATTGCGGTTAGTGGTGAGAGGGAAGAGGGGGAAGGGGCTTACGCTGGTTGTGCGGCTCAAGAGCGTCTTCGACAAGGTAGCCTGTCCATTGCTTCCACAGATCGTAGCTCCCTTCGAGCCATTTCTTCGCTTGCTTGTTGCCCTTGGTGTGGCCGCCCCAGGTGTCGTCGATGTAGGAGACGCCGCCGTGTTCGCCAATACTTGTAAGGGCGAAGGCCTTTTCGTTCGAATCAACGGTGTCGGTGTCATCGCCGACCGTTGACCAGATCGATTGGGCGTCGGCATCGGAGCTGTAGCTCATGGAGTTGATCAAAGCAAGGCCCATGATGAGCATGTCGCCGCACTCCTCGACAGGCATGTACTCGTCACGACCATCGGCGTGTCCAGTAAGATTGGGAAAGTGCGCCCCGAGATCGTGCATCGAGTACTTGTTGGGATACTGGCCGCTCAGCTGATGTTCGAGGAGGGGTTCCAGGAGGTATGCGAGCCATCTTGGGTTGGTGTAGAGGAAGAACGGGAAGGCGGGGAAGATCACGTCAACCGTCTGGCTGTTGCCGTTGGAGGAAATCTCCTTCAGGAAAAGCAAGGGGCTCTCAGGGGTTCCCGAGAAACTTGTTGCGCCCATGGCTTGTCGAGCAGAGAGCGCAACGATGTCGACGTAGTTTGAAGAGCCAGACTGATAGGCGTCGATACGTAGCTGCTCAGAGTAGTTACTCGCCAGGCTGTTGGCATTGGCAAAGTCTCCATAGTGAAACTTGATGACTTTGTCATCTTCAGGGAACCATGACTTCCACAGTGGCTTCATGAAAGTCAGTCCTCGCGCTGAAGCGTACTGCGTGACGGGATCCTGGATGTGGGTGATGGTGAACAGGACACTTTCGCCAGTCGACTTCGACGAAGTAGAAGGCGAATTTTTCAGCTTGAAGCTCTTGGAAAAGGCAAATACCGGCTCCTCGTCCATGATAGCGCGGAACCTGTTGTCGACCTGGTCCTGCAAGGTACCCGTCCTCGCGAACCGTTGTCTAAGCAGCGCCGAGGTACCAGACTCGTGCCTCACATCGCTCGGCCCAGTAAAGTGCAGCTGACCCCACTCAGCCTGGTCGTGTTCCTCGGTGAAGATCTGCTCGACCTGACGCTTGACACTCCACGTCTTGAGCTCTCCGGATGAGCCGGCAGCCTCTTGCTGGGTCAGGCCCCATTCTATGAGACTGTCCCGCTTGCCGCTGACCCATTGTCCGTTTACATCCACATAGATGTCGATGTCAAAGCTTCCTTGGACATGGATGCTCAGATACGCGGCGGGTATCGATTGTCTCAGCGTCGAGGTCGGCGTGATGGGCGAGAGGAAGCTCAGCGTGATCTCGAGATCGCTCGCGCTGCTGGCAAACTTCGGCGGCGCAGGAATAGTGTACGTCAAGTTGGTCGTACTCGCATCGTATTTCGCTCCCTTGTACGTTGGGAATGCGACGGTGTAATGCCCACTGCTTTGTTCGAGCGAGTCGTGCGGGCGGCCGAGCAGCGGATACACATTGCTCGTCTCCGGGACAGACGCAAGCACTCCAAAGCCGAGCTCATCGCCTGTCCAGAACATAGGCCATTTGCTCCATGGCTCCTCGCGCGCGTTCTGCAGCCATGTGCTGAGGTACGGGTTCCTGACGATCAACGGGAGGATGGGAGGCTTTAGAGATGAAGCTTGCGTGACGCCTGCCAGAAGCGCTGCAGCGATGAGATTGGAGGCCCGCATATCAATCACCAGCCTTGAACAGCTGATTGAAAAACAACGACCAAAGATACCAGAACGATGAAGCTTTGTTGGAGGACAGAGCTGTCGAGACTCCGGGGTAGCTCATGCGGGGACTTGTGGGGCCATTCTCGGAACCGCGTCATTTGCTCGACCACGCGTTTCAGCCCCAGTACCTCGGGCTAACATCAACCTTGAACTGCAGCAATTTTACAATTCTCTGCCCCTTGCAAAACGGCACGGCCAGCTGTATGCACACAAGATCATACCGAACGTTGTACATTGCTTCGTCCCATCATCTAAAGCGCGACTTGCTTCATCCGGGTATATCTAACATCCAACTTTTGAAGTATGCCACACCAAACGCCATCGCTATGCAAGTGAAACATCCCTAGCCAACCTTTATTGTCATGCCTCGGCGACGCTATCGCCTCCCGCGCTCGCCGTCAGCATGTCGACCATGCCTTGCACGCTCCACGCTATCTGACTGGCTTCGACTGTGACTCGTACCCGGCTCATCAGTGCGTCGACCAGAGAATCAATTTCCTCACTGCGGCCCAGCTGGTCGGCGTACAGGTCCAAAACCACGAGGGCAACGTCGGTGGTCAGGCGGGTGATGCGGTAGTCGGAGATATTTTTGATGAGCCAGCGCAGGATCGGCTGCAGTGTTATCTCGTCGCGGTTTGCGAGCGCGGAACGAAGGGCGGAGCGGTGGCGAAGGGCGGTCAGGAGGGAGAGGGACTGCGTACGCGCATTGTTGTCCTGTGGCTGTCAGTTTGATGTCGCTGGTATGCAGTGGCAGATCTTACCTTGGACTCGAGCACCATATCCAGCGCCTTTGCATACTGAGCCTGTCGCAGCGCGTGCGCCCAGGGCGCTCCGGTCGTGACTTTCCCACGTGCGTTGCCCTCGATGACAATGTCTGCGCTCTCACCCGTGAAGTCCTTGCCACGGACGCGCTTCTCCCAGCCCTTTCCGCGCTTGCGCTTCTTCGCGCGGTCATATTCGTCAATCTTGCCTTCCATCAGAGCCTTCATCTCCTTCTCGCGCTCACGAGCAAGCGCCTTCTGTTCGCCGCTCAGATGGGTGCGGATCGACAGAATACCAGAGGAGAGACCGACAGCGATGTGCTTGTCTTCCTTCTGGCTGGGGACGACGGCGAGGGACAGGATCGGGGAGGGATACTTCAGGCCGCCGACAACGTTCCAGCCCGAGGTCTCGAAGACCTTGACGTGGCCGTCAAGAGAGCCGGAGAGCAGGCGCGAGCCGTTGTTTGCAAGAGAGAGGGCTGTGACGGTCTTCTGGTGATTGCGCAGCATGTGGATTGGCTTCGCGGCGACGATGTCCAGCACAGAGATGGCGTTGTCGCTTGTTGCAAGGACAGCAGTACCAGAGGGCATAGGGAGAACCGTCTCGATGGGGTGCTGGTGCTTGAAGACCATGACCGCCTTGCCACCGGCACGGGCATCCCAGAGGCGGACGGTCTGGTCGTAGGACCCAGAGACGAGCAGACCCGACTGCGCAGGCATGAAGGTACCGGTGCGCACATAGTCCTGGTGTCCCTCGAAGGTGGTGACGCTTGTGTCGCTGGGAAGATCCCACAGGCGCACTGTGCGGTCGTCGGAGCAGCTCATGAGGCTCGTGAGCTCGGATGGGTTCCATTCTGTCGTCCAGACGGGCTGCTTGTGCTCCTTCCATGTCTTCAAGATGGCCCGGCTCTTCACGTCGAACGCCTGGATCGAGCCGCTGTCACCGCCCGCAACTAATATGCGGCCATCTCGACGGAGGTTTCCCGAGCGCGCAATGTCATCGACGCCAAAGCGCGAGATGGTCTTGACGACCTTGCGGGTCTTGGACGAGAAGATCTGCACACGTGACCCGGTAGTGACGGCGAACAGGTCCTGCGGCGCAGTGAGCGAGTTCGAGGGCGGCGGCGGGATCGAAATGTGCGTGACCGGCGACGAGTGCTGCGACGGGTCGAGGCGCAACTCCGAGGTGAATGAATTCCAGTACTGTTGCTCGGAAGTGATCGTGGACGGGCCCTTGGGCAGCTTCACGTCCTGGAGCAGCTGTACTTCGGCGGCCATGGCGGGAAACGGTGGGCGGGCGGTATGCGAGCGGAGGGGCTGCAGCGTTTGCTTCACGCAGACCTCGACTGCCAAACTTCGTCAAAAAAAGAAGTGGAGCCACCGCGCTAGGCCGAGGCTGGTTGTGGCTAGTTGGTTGGCCGGCTCTGAGGCATCCGCCGTAGCCAAGCCTGTACGCTTCCTGTCCGGACGGCATGTCAGCTCCTGTCGTGTGCGGGCGCCATAACCTGGATGCATCCTTCCGCACTGTTGTTCCAATATTAGGTTTCGTGCTCAGGTGCCTGCCTGATCGCCTGGCGCGACGTCTTTGATCAAGAAGGCGCGATCAACACCATCATCAAAACGGCAGCCTTAAGTGCCTCAACATACCCATTCCGCATGATCTTTTGTTTGTCTCTAGTTCACTCGGTCTCTGACCATCATATTCGCATGTCTAAGAGACGTGCGTCGTCGTCGTTATGGCTGCCATGAGCGACAATCTAGACGAGTTCTTCGACTTTGCGCAGCTGGAGCAGGACAATGGTCTGTACAGCGCACACACAGACGGCCAGTATGCAGAAGCCCACGACGAAGGCGTCACCTGCATGGATTGGCAGCCTGTGGTGTCGGGCTACTCTCTGCTACCCCAAGAGCAGTCCAGGGAACACTGCATCCAACAATGGTCTCTAGATGGAATGCTGAATCAGTCCCTGGCCCACAACAATTCTAGTGTAATGGCTTCTGAGTGGCCCATAAGTCAGACACCTACCACAGACGAGCACCAAAGACTGCATGGACTTGAACCTGCACCCTCATCATCATTGCAGGCCCCCAATTCTTCTGTGCCCACAGGTGGATTTCCCTACCATGATGCGACGCCTCTCGTGGGTAACATCTATCCAGCAGCTACCACACCCTACGGACAATCAGCCAACAACATCTCTGATACGCCAGACGTACAAGGCAAGAGCCGCACCAAAGTCACGCACCCGATCTCGCTCCGGGCACCGCTCCCGACTCGACAGCCTTCGTCTGCAAGCTGGAAGCCAGCATCAGCCAAACGCAAAGGACCCCGATGTAGAATCCCACTCGAGTCCAGACAGATCCTCGACGATGAATTTGCCACTAATCCATATCCCTGCTCCTGGGAGTACGACATCATCGCTCATCAAGCCAACCTTGACGTGAAAAAGGTTCGCAATTGGTTCAACAACACTCGAGCGAGGAAGAAAGGTGAAGGTAAGCTAAAGCAGCTTCCTCAGGCGTACCCTATTTGCTCACTTGTACAGACCCCGACGCTGCCGTCTCGCAAGATTCTGACGCCGCCACGCAATGCCTCAACCCAACACTCTCGAGAACCAGTCTGGAGGCTCTTGATCAGCAAGAAGAGAAAGCCGTTGAGACGCCTCGGCCGCCTTTGGCACTCTACCTTGCACAGTCTTACCAAGAGGAGGGTGTCGAGCTTACCGACATACAGGCCGCTATGGATAGTGATTCTTTCAGCGCCAGCCTCAATTCGGATAGAGGTGTGTGGTCGGTCTCGAGGAGGGGTTCGGCGGCAGATACCGTCATTTCCTCAGAAGGAACCGCCCCTACCACCTATACTGTCTCCTCAAACGGTAGTCGAAGTAATGTGTCTTCATTCGGTCGTGAGAGGCGGCGTGGTCGAAGACGAATGGCCTGGAAAGAATCCCCACACACACGCTCGATCAATGGCGTCAACAGCGCTGGCCAGCCTGAGCAAGACTTGCCCTTCTTCTGCACCTTCTGTCCGCGTGCTTTCAAGACGAAATACGAATGGATTCGCCACGAGGACTCCGTTCACGCCCTACGCACGACCTGGATCTGCTGCGACACCAAAAATTCACCACTGCAATCTTGTCCCTTCTGTGGTCAGATGCATCCTGACGATACTCACATGGCTACACACAAGTATCAGCAATGCTGGACCAAGCCTGAGGCGCAAAGGACGTTCTACCGTCGCGACCACTTCGTACAACATCTACATCACGTCCACTTCGCGAACGCCAAGCACCCGTCGGTGCGTGTGGGCTGTCAAGCGCGCCTGATGGCACCAGAAGGGCATCACTTTGGCTGCAAAGATCTTTCGCTTGCGTGGCGAAAATTCGGAGCCCCCATGAAGAAGGACGACCCTATGCTCCACTGCGGCTTCTGTGGTAAGATCTCAAAAGACTGGTCAGAGCGCTGCGAACATGTCGCCGAGCATTTGACTGCCCGAGAGCTCACCAGATCTGTGTGGTGGCCAGAGAGAAGAGAGAATCATCTCGAGAACCTCTATTCAACCACACCATTTGAGTCATTTCGTTGCCGGTACTGCCTGAAAGTATTCACCGACATTCAGGCTATGAACAAGCACTCTCACTGCCGCGTTTGGAGCTGTCGATTCCTGCGGAGTTTCGATGATGTGGCAGCTGAGAACGCCGGACCTCCGCTTTGTCAGGACTTCCCTTCCGCCAAAGCTCACCACTGTCATCTATGCGGAGCTGGCTATCGCGCTGTGCACGTCGAGCATGCTCAGAATTACCACAGATACAGATCTTGCAATCAGGAGTTCTACGAATCAGAGGAGGCTTTCCTTCAGCATCTGCACAACTTCCATGGTGCATCGCAGCCTGCGTTACTACGTGGCCGTCCCGTTATAGAGCACACGTTCATGCGCAACAAGGGAGCCTCGTTTGAGCCTGTAGAGTTCAACGAAATTACACAGCCGTGTCACTTTGAGCTTCAAGCAACACCACTGACGCCCTTCACTGTCAAGCCAAGTTTCAATGCGTCTGTCAGCGACAGGAAGGACCAAAGGCAGCACAAAAAGCATTCTTCTGTACGAAAACAGCCTATCAGTGCTGATAGCTTTCAAGCCACTGAAACCTTGAAACCACGAAGACAGCGGTCAGATACAGTCGCACCGAAGGCAGATTCTCACGAGCCCCGATTTCTTCGACTCAGCACCTATGTGCCGTTTGTATCGTCACGCATCTTTTACTCGCGCAACTCCAGGTCTTCGGACATTCCTAGGGATAGTCAAGCCGTCGTTGAAGAGATTTCAAAGCCACATCTCACATCCTTGGTCATGAGTGCTGGCCTCATCAGCATGGCTGTAGCACGTTGGACTATCAAGCTGGATAAACGCACCAAAGACAGCATGATAGAGTTGGTTCTTCATGAAGACGTCGAGTGAAACAAAATCCATCGCTCGCACTGCTCCATCAGACTTGAACGACACTGGAGTTTGTTGTGGGCCTTTTATTACAGCAGGCCTCTTGGACCTGGAACTCAAACAGGCTCGGCTGCGCTCAGCATCGGAGCAATTCTTCCAGGTGCTTCGGTCCACGGATCCATGACGTGACTCGACGCAGGTCAAGTTCAACGGCCAATACATTTCATCAAGCTTCCGAGACGCGCAAGCCTCAACAGGAATGCGGAGTGTCGTTCACCTTGTTCGCCAAGTACCTCGTATCTCCAGCTTCCTAATCGGGTTTCGTCACCACCTTGGCGACAGGACGGATATGCATTTCCCCTCAACTCCAGAAACTAGATGAGGGATACCGCCATTGAATGAGAGATTGTATCATAGCTGACTCGGTTCTGCTAAGATTCCGTGGTCGATGACGGAGGCTATAAAGTCAAGTCTACCCCATACTCTTAGTTCTACTGCTTTACCTCTACCATACCTTGGAAGGTGATCAAAGCAATATGAGGTTGATCAGATTGGCTCTATTTGCTCCTCTGGTGGCGGCTTCGCCCTTTGGAGTAAACCGCGCATCGACCCCACGAGACGGAGGTATCAGCTACGATGGCTACCACATCTACAGCATCACTCCATATTCTCCTCTTAACGCTCAAGATTTAGCGAAACGCTTCTCTCGATACCATACGCATCCGATTCGAGACACTTTGTCCGTGGCCATCCCCCCGGACGAGGTCGCTGACTTCGAAAACCTTGGACTGAACACACGCCTCGTGAACTCTGACTTGGGTGCTTCCATCCGATCCATTGATAGCAAGCCTGCTCCATACAAACGAGCATTGCACAAACGTGGAGAGCTGCCTGATCTCTCTTGGTACCTCAGCTACCATACCTACGCAGACCATCTGGACTACTGGGACGACCTAGTAAGCGCGTTTCCAAAGAACTCGGAAAAGTTCTCATTAGGAAAGAGCTACGAGAACAGGACCATCAATGCATACCATCTATTCGGAGACAAGAAGAAGGGTGGTTATGGGCCGAAGACGAAAGACGTACGGCAGAAACCTGTCATCCTATGGCATGCGACTGTGCACGCTCGGGAGGTATGACGGATCCGTCGCTTACGACGCCAACTTTACTGACCCACGACAATAGTGGATCTCAACAATGGTAATCGAATACCTCGCCTATCAACTCATTGACGGCTACAAATCCGGCAACGCCAACGTAACCACCTTCCTGGACCACTATGACTTCTACCTTGTCCCCTTCCACAACCCAGATGGTTTCGTCTACACCCAAACCACCGACCGTCTCTGGCGCAAGAACCGCCAGCCCCGTCCCAGCATCAACACCACGTGCCTCGGCACAGACGGTAACCGCAACTGGAAGTTCGAATGGGATGCCGAGCCCCCAGAGGGCGGCTCAACTCCCGACCCCTGCGGACAGACCTATCGCGGTCTCGCACCGGGCGACACGCCCGAGAACGCTGCACTCGATGCGCTTTCCGCACGCCTCGCGAAGCAGGGCGAGGGCATCCGTTCCTTCATCGATTTCCACTCGTACTCGCAGCTCATCCTGACGCCTTGGGGATACTCATGCGACCCGCTCCCTGAGACCATCGACCGCATGGTGTATGTTGCGAATGGTACGGCGCGCGCCATCGAGGCCGCGAGTGAAAGGAATAGCACCTATCAGGCTGGTCCTGGGTGTCAAATTTTGTACTTCTCGACTGGAAACTCCAGGGACCATCATCATGCTGTGCATGGGGCGGATCATTCTTGGACCTTGGAGTTGAGCCCTGCGGATCAGGCGGGGGGCGGGTTTGTGCTGAGTCCGGATCAGATTTGGCCGGTTGTTAAAGAGCAGTGGGCTGGGCAATTGTGGACGCTAAGGGAGGTGTGGGATGGCGAGACATAGCTGAGAGACGTTGAGTGCGGTGTGCTAGTGTGGAGTCGCTGCGTTTGTTCATCAATACAGGGGTAGTTCCTTTGTTGGGCACGTTCTGAATACTGTTGATCGCAGTGAAGTTTACCCGAGGAGCCGTGTTGCGGACCATTGATCGACGTGCAGATGAACGACAGATTGGTCTGAAATGCCCAATCAGGCAGTTCTAGAAGAGAGGAGTCACGCAGAGCTCTACACACTTTTGTTGCGGTGCAATTCGGTCCTATAGCCTTGATCGTCACCACTGTTGACTATTTTGGACTAGCACGTCTCAGGACATGTATATATGGTCGACTCCTAGCTAGCAAGCAACTCAGCACAGTTTTCCATCGATACATACAGCGGCTGCGTATGCCGCAACAACTTTCGCTTGGAGCTCTGAATGGAACAAGCTTATTCATTGAAAATGACTGCAGAACAACTTTGCTTCGTTCAGCGGGCTGTTGTGGGGTGGGTCGTTTCGTTTAAGGCGCGTAAGAGATTGCGCGGCGTTGTATGATGCCGCTGTAGTTGCCCAGAGCGGAAGGTTTGGTCAAGCATTGGTGGCGGACGGGACTCGACTGCCTGCAACTGTGCGCCGCGGCGGTGCCCTCCTTCCAGCATCGACGCCGCACACATGTTCCTGACTCCACCGCTCTGTTGGATTTATTGCACCCATGCTCTCAAGGCGAACCCTGTCTTTCGGCGCTCTCTCGATTGATTGTCAGCTCCATCACTCGGCAATGTGTCTCCTTCCGCTCGCGATTGCAGCTACGGATTCATCTTCACCAATCTACAGCCGGACCGCTGCTTACAGCACTACGAAGCACGATGACAGACGATCGTTTCGCAGCCACACCTAGTGCGGGCGCATGTGCACGCCATCGACTCTCTGGTGTCTAGTCTTCGGCAGCATCAGCACAGCACACAACGAGGGCAAAGAACACAGCCTTACTCAGAATACCTGATCCCAGACGTCGTGCAGGCACTGGCGAGTGAATGTTGGGCTCCGTAAGCGATGCGGCTGCAGCAGATGGATATCATTCGCCGATGATCCTTAAAATCTCTAGGATTACCGTCCCACTGCCTCAGCCTTACGTGCGAGTCCTGGCCGGCTGACAGCTGCATCTCAGCCATGGGACTTTCAGCTGCCAAATGGCGGAGATCCCGAATATCTGCTCACCGTTGTGGGTGTCGTTCTCCTACACCTGACATTGTGGCTTTCCCTTGCAAAACTATATCGGCCTCATCACCTCGAAACGTCTGATTGACAACACCATGCAGTAGTATTTAGAAATCTCTTCTCCAGACATTCGCCGCCAAGAGGGGTCATGGAGCGCTCAACGTCACCACCTCCTTTAATGTCGCCCCTAGGATCACCTGAAGTTCGGATATCACGACCAGAGTATGCCTCAGTACCGCAGCGCACGAGCGACGATGAGTCCTGTGATGACAGGACTGACCGACGCTCGAGATTCGAGGAGGCTATCGAGCCCGGCCTGGGCATCCAGATGAGGCCACTTGCATCACCCAAATCCCCAGGAAAGTCATACAGCCAACAGTCAACACCCAAAGCAGGGATGTTCTCATCTTTTTCACCAATTACACCTCGACTGCCGTATCGAAGAACACCCGATACCTTGTATTCTTTCGGAACAGGGATCTCACATTCACGCACAGATCCTATGACAGAGAGGCTCATAGCTCACAGAGCAACTCAATCTGCACGATGGAAAGTGCATTGGCGCACACCGACGTTGATGGTCTGCACCTTCTTCGCCGGCATCCTTTTAGCTCTAGCACAACACCTCTGGTACAGGTTCCTCCACCATAGGCCGACAACCAGCGAAGATCAGAAAGTCCGTTGGGTCTTGTACGGCCGTGTATTAGCCTACTTGTCGAAGGTAGCTTTCGGCGGATGCTGCGTCTTAGTCTTTCGGCAACGCATGTGGAGGACATTTCGAGACCGAGCGCTATCTGTGTTGTCGATAGATCAGCTCTTTGGTGCGACGGACGACCCATCACTGTTCGCCAATTGGGAGACCGTCTCCAATGCTCCGGTTGCTGTAGCGATTGCTACAGTATTTTGGTTAATCCCACTTGCAACCATTATCTTTTCGCCCGGTGCGCTAACGTTCGGCGATTTCCTTATGGGGAATTCCACTACCCGAGGCGTGCCCCATATCAACTTCACACATGAGACAGTCAAGGACTGGCGCCATCCGATATCATACGTTCCTGATGATAATGATCTCCTGGCAAAAGGTGGATACAAGAGATCAATCATGTACTACAACACGACAGACAAGTCTTCCAACTCTACGAGCCAGGACTGGTTTGACTACTACGACCAGCCTTCTGCCGAACTGAGACGTGTGGCTCTACTCTTTGGATACAACATGATGAGCCACTCCACGCACAGATTAAATGCACGGCTAACTGTCTGTGGCAATGATGATGGAGGACCGTACAATTGCACCTTCACGCAGTCATTCGTCGCACCCGCTTACAAGTGCGACCTTATTGCGAATAGTACTGACGACAACGGTCGACTGTCTGAGCTCGGCGCTCCTTTTAATACGTCAGCACTCGTGCCTGAAGGTCGCAACATTTATCAGGCCGAAGTGGATAAGGGAGGCTACAAGCACCCGCAGATGGACAACTTTCAGAGAGGCCCAGGAGGTATTCCTGTTGGTGAAGCCCCAGACGATCTTGGGGTCTTCAAGTCAGAACCCGTTCTCTGGATCGGGATGTCACACAACACGACCGAACCACTGCCCTCAGATTCACCGTTTCGCAGTATCTGGACACATCGCTATCAGCTACAGGTCTTTCGGTGTGTGATGAACGAAGCCAGATACAAGGTCAAGTGGAGCCTTACTGGGCCGTATTTCATGGAGATACCGACCATTGAAGAATACCTGGGACCAGTCTTGGATACAAACTTCACTAGGAACGAGGACGGATCACTCAATTACGATGCGGACCCAGGACCGGCGGAGAACTTCATCAGACCTCTTCCCGACGTGAGATTGTACAAGAAAGTAGCAGCCTACCACGCGATGGGTGACGTGCTCCGCGACTTCCTTAAGGGTCATATCGAACTTGAGCCTCCCTTGCCGGGTCCCTCATACGCAGTGGTGGCCTCGGATGTGACGAAGACGCGCTTAGTCGACGTCAAGAGTCTACCCAAGAAGGACTTTGGCATGGAGCTTCAGAGTTTCTTCAGCGACCTGGTCCTATCGCTCTACTCCACACCCGAAATGCTTGTCGTCGATAACCAAGAACTGGAGATGAACCGCACACAATGGCGCTCCTCATTTGTCTACATACCCAAACGACTTTGGATGTGCTACGCCCCTGTCATCGCCGTCACACTCATCATCCTGCTCTTCGGCATATTCACGATCTGGGAAGACGGGACGACTTTCTCCACGGGCTTCTCGCGCATCCTTGTCACTACGAGAAACACGACGCTGGATGATATCAGCCGCGGTGCTTGTCTGGGGAACGACCCGTTCCCGATGGAGCTCATGCATACGAGACTCAAGTTCGGCGTCTTGAGTGAAGGGAGTGAAGGGAGCGAGAATAAGCTTATGGGCTCGGAGGGGTTTCAGCATTGTGCGTTTGGGGTTGCGAGCGAGATCGCGCCGATTAGACACTGCGTGCCGTATGCGGGTTTGAGGCGGCGGAGACAGAAGTTGGAAGAGACCGACGAGTAGAGATGGAAGACTTCGGTCTCGTTGCCATGCCAGCAAATCTATACTCGAGTATATTGGCTCCAAGCTCTCAGTGTCACGCTCAGCATGTGTAGTTGATGTCGAGCACCACCCTCGGCGTTCCTTCGAAATCCCCGGGCACCACATACGAAATGTTGTAGAACAAATGGTTCCTCAACGCCTTCCCATACGTCACAGGTTGAGCCTCTAAGCCCGACGCATCAACCTTGATATCAACACATGGCAACTCTCCATCCAGCCCCGTAACTGCATGCCCACCCAGCGTCCAGCTCGGCGGCACATTGCTCAGCGCAAAAGTAAAGATATCGCTCCCCTCCTGCGTCGTATTCGGATAGCTAACCGTCAGCCTGTTCGGCTCCGCAACCGCGTGGATGCTGCTCGCGCTCGGATACAGCGAGAAGAAGGTGCTCAGCGGGAACGGCGTGCGGCTCTTGTCGCCCGCCCAGTGCACAATCGCAGGCACAAACTGATCGCCCCTGTTCTTCTGCTCGGCGAGCTGCTGCCCGCCAATCATCAGTTCGCGGCTCATCCACGATGTTGCGATGCGCGGGTGTGCGCCACCCAGTTCGTCGTAGATAGTCTTGTTCAGGTGCCGGTCTGGGCCAGTAAATGTGCCTCGTAGCTTTTCCTGGACGTCCGAGGGAATGATGCTTTTCACGGTATCGATGACCAGGGCGATGGCTGCGCCCTGCGCGATGTCGAAGAGCAGGTCGCCGTCCAGCTTGGGGGGCTGCGGGCCGTGCGAGTGCCCGAACATGCCCCAGAAGAACATGGAGACGATTGATGAGTGCTGGACAATGTCGCGCGTGTAGGCGCGGTCGTACGGGCCGACCATCTGGCCGAGGTAGCCGTTGTAGTGCTCTTCCAGATCGTGCCAGAGCTCGGCGAGAATGGTCTTTGCGTTCGTGGTGAATGTTTGGTCTCGGGGGCCGTACTTGAGCTGGGCGCCCAGAGCCCATGAATCGATGCCGTAGTATGTTGGCGCATTGTACTCTGACAGTGTATTTGCGCCGTTGAGCTGGAAGAGTTCAAGCAGTTTCGTGCCCTGTTCGTTTGCAAAGGCGATGAACTCGGAGTTGTTTCGTCGTGCGCCAATCCATCCGACTACGAGTGCCCGCATCATCCCAGGGTTGCTGTAGCCCAGCGTCAGGTTGTCGTTCTCGGGAAAGGTACCATTGCGGCGCATACCGCCTACTGCGGCGATTTCGAGGGATTCTTCGATGCGCGCCACCAGATCAGCACCTATGAGATGACCGAATTCCTCCACGACTTGGACAAACTGGGTGCCGATGAACTCGCGCCAGTTCGGATCGTAGGTCTCGTAGATCTTTGGTGGGTACAACGTCGAGTTCGGAGTCGGGTCAGGCTGGTCAGGCGAAAGCTTGTACGTCCCGTACCAGGCTGCGTCAAAGTCATCTGTCATCTGCACGGAGATGATGTTCATGATGGCTGCTTTGGCGTGCTCAAGGTCATCGCCCTCGTTCCTGTGGAGCAATCCGGCTAGGTACCATGCTGTGAACCGCACCGACCACGACCCCTTGTCGCCATACGCTATGTAGTTGTAGGATGCATCGTATCGATTGTCCTGTACGAACATGGAGTAATCGAACAGAGTCTGTGCTTCTGAACCTGTTTTAGCTATGATGGCTGATGCTTGCTCATTTGCACTTGCCAGCCGTTAGAACGGTCTTCCTGCTATCAATTGCAGTAGCGACTGCTTGAGCTGCGAGCCCTGCTGCAAGGAGGACTGAAGTCAGCATATTGATCACGTAGACACATTCTCGATACAGCTGGGGAACTGTTGTGTTAAGTAGCGCAGCCGGGTATCGTCTTGTACGAAGCAAATGATCATCAGATTTCGGCACATCTCGAACCGATTTTGCTCTTCTCTATACTGTATCGAGCAGGTATCGTGCACCTACAGGCTTCGTGAGGGCCATGCCGAAGCTTTTCCGCATAGGTAGCGGAAGAATTGAATGGCGGGGATTAAGCGTGTGCGTCGGTGGCGCTTCCCCGCGCATTACGAGTCATGTATAACGACGGTAGCTGACATACTCCAGAGCAAGGCAAAATACCCCACCGCTGGTGCGTTCGTACGAACGATGACACTGCTTAGACATAGCGTGCCGTACGTGGGTTTGAAGCAGTAGAGACAAAAGTTGAAGATTGTCAAAGATTAGAGATAGAAAACTTCGGTCTCATTGCAATGCCAGCGATTTTATACTTATGATCACTATCTTACGTATTTAGCTCGCCCTTCTCTCACTCTAACAGATGCCAATGACTCCGTTGACCGGCACATCGATACTCGTCGTGTAACTCGCCGCATCACTCAACAGATACACATACGCACCACCCAGCTCCTCAATCTCCGCCAGCCGCGGAATACCACCGTAGTACTTCAATTGCTGCTCCCAATCCGGCTGCTGCTCGACCCAGTATGTCATCGCCGTCTTAACCAAGCCTGGCGACACGCTGTTAACTCGAATCCCATACTGTGCCCATTCCATGGCAAGCGTGTGCGTCATGTTCTTGACACCGGCTTTGGAGGCGCCGTAGGGCGCGCTGGGAACGCGCTTGTTGGGACGATGCGAGGCCATGGACGCGGTGAATACTATGGAGCCTTTGACGCCTTGCTTAATGAAAGCTCGCGCCGCGCAGCGCGCGGTGTAGAAGGAACCGTAGAGATTGACGCCCCACAGTTGATCAATTTCCTCGGTTGTGAAGTCCAGCGCGGGCTTGTGCTTTGTGCGACCTGCGTTGGCGACCTGGGAGCATGCGTTAGAGATGGCTCTTGTTGCTAGTTCACATTTTGCAGACGCGTACCATACCGTGCAGACCACCGGCTTCAAAGAGAATTTTCTCGACGACTGATTGAATAGATTCTTCTTTCGTCACGTCGGCTTGCAGCGCGAACATCTGGCCTGGGTATTTCTTTGATACAGAGGCAAATTCGTCGCTTGTTTCGCCAATGTCGATGGAGTAGATCTTTGAGGCCCCGTTAGCGAGACAGCAGTCTGCTATCCCGAGTCCGATACCTGCGAGCTGTCATTGATGGGCTCAGAAGGGTAAGAGTTGTATGCTACCTCTGTTGGCGCCTGTGATGGCGATGATCTTGCCCTCAAGCTGGACTGTTTTCACAGGCCCAGACTTGGGCACTGCGTTCATTTTGGCTGCTGATGAGGACATACTGTGGGCAGTATCGACGTGGAATGATGCAAAGATCAGAGAAGGGTTGATTTGGGTGAATGAATGACGGAGAGAGCTCAGAGAAGGTCCGTGGAAGCTGCCAAAGATACTGGCTTCTGCGTCTGCTTGTGGCCATCTTTATACTTCCTAGAAATCTCCACATAACACATCTTTCTCCGTGGTTCACCCCGCATTGGCTTATTGTGGTCTGCCATATGTCGTGACGAGCTGTACGATGCATGGCGGCCTCGTGGACGTGTGCCACGAGACGAGGCACATTGCCGGATGCCGAGATCTGATCAACCTAAGGTAAATCTGATTAGAAGTTGAACTACTGAAATCATCCTGACAGCTTTATCTCTCTATTGGTAAGAATATCTACTGCATGTCAATTTGAACGCCGTTTCCCGTTTGAGAGGCCGATAGAAATGTCTAGTTGAACACAACGGTCTTGGCACCGTTCAAGAACACACGCTTCTCGCTCCACCACTTGACAGCAGCAGCAAGCACCTGGCTCTCAACATTGCTACCCTCAACAACCAGCTCGTTCGGGTTGAGCGCGTGGTCGACGCGCGCAATGCGCTGCTCAATGATCGGCCCTTCGTCCAAATCCGCGGTCACAAAGTGCGCAGTCGCACCAATGATCTTCACACCACGCTCATACGCCTGGTGGTAAGGCTTCGCGCCCTTGAAAGATGGCAAGAAAGAGTGGTGGATGTTGATTATCTTGCCGGACATCTCAGTACACAGGCGAGGGGACAAGACCTGCATGTATCTTGCCAGGACGATAAGGTCGATGTTGTGCTGCTTGATGAGCTCTAGAATCTGGGTTTCTTGCTGGGCCTTAGTGTCCTTGGTGACAGGCAGGTGGTGGAACTCGATTCCATGTGCCTTTGCCATGTCGGCGAATTCGGGGTGGTTGGAGACAATGACTGGGACTTCGATCTTCAACTGTCCGGACTTGACGCGGAAGAGGAGGTCATTCAAGCAGTGGCCAATCTTGGATACCATGATCAAGACTTTGGGCTTGGTGTCTACGGAGCGGATGTCATAGGTCATGCTCATCTCCTTTGCAAGATCAGCCATAGACTTCTCGAGGCCGGCGAGCTCAGTCGCGTGACCAAAGTGCACGCGCATGAAGAAGGTCTTCGATGCTGGGTCAGAGAATTGCTGCAGGTCGAGAATGGTGAGATTCTCCTTTGCAAGCAAGCCGGTGACAGCATACACGATGCCTGCCTTATCCGGGCAAGACAAGGTGAGGAAGTGATCAGAGCCGGCCATTTTCTTAGATGTTGAGATCCCTTCTGGTTCGCGAGAGCCGAGTTGCTGGAATTCTGCAGGCGATGTTGAGAACCGGCGGCGAGTAAGCCGTGATGACTGTTGCGGCGCCGAAATTTTATGAACTGTGTTTTGCCGGTTTCTGACAGCTTGGAGCGATGCTTGTGCTGGTCGAGAGAGTGCCGATGTGGAGAAGCTTCTTGTGCTGATGCGCGCAGAGCGTGCAAGCATGTCTAACGAGATGTGACTGCAATCGAGACGCGGCACGTGTTCTTCCTGGCCTTTTTGTGCATTCGAGGTTGCTGTTTCCGGCAGCCGAGATCGGCCATCCAATCCGAGCCTAGTGTTTCTGCTTACGTAGGAGCGTTTCACCTTTTGTCTCGCCAATATCAAAGATTCGCGCCCCTCTACCGGCTTTCAAACATCCATAAGAGCTCGCTCGATTGTGTTCTTTGCACTCAAGATGACAGATCGATGGCTTTCTCAAAGGCAGGCAATCCACGACAGCCTTAAATGCCTCGCCTGTGAACTGCTTCCGTTCGATGCTCTTGCAGAAGACAGAACTCCTCCGCCCACAACGATTGATCTCGATAGCGTCGACATTGAAGGGCTTCGAAAACGGGCAGCGAAGTGCGACTTTTGTCGTGCCTTGGTTGATCTGCGTGAGCATTGGCTTTCGGAAGAGCGAGAAAATCGGATGCCTGACGACGGCTTCGCTTACCATAATTTTTGTGGCATGAGCGACTGGCGTATGAAGCGTACCGATCATACATACTTAGGTCTCAATTCGGACTTTGGTGCGTACCGGAGCTGATCGCCCAGAGGTGAGCAATTGATGAAAGACAGACAGTGTACTCGCCAAACGGATAAATGATCGCTACATCTATAGCGACCCGCTATCAGGTCTACCCCTGAAGCAAGTCTCCCATTGGATGCGTAAATGTAGCGAAAAGCACAAGAGATGTTTTGAACACCCTACAGATCTACCTACACGCGTGATCGATGTTCGCTCACCGCGACTGAAGCTACTGGATCCAAGTCCAAGTAACCCTCATCCATATGTAGCCCTCAGTCATTGCTGGGGTACGTGCCGGGACTTCCTCACAACACGCGAGAACATCCAGGACCGGAGATCTGGATTCGAACTGACTGATCTGCCCGCGACCTTTCGTGACGCAGTAACAGCTGCCCGTATCCTCAACATCCCCTTCCTCTGGATAGACAGTATATGCATACTCCAAGGAGATAAGGATGACTGGGAGATGGAAGGCAGCAAGATGGCAGACGTCTACTCTAATGCCACAATGTGTATCGCAGCCGCAGATGCAAACGATGACACAGAAGGTTTTCTAAGACCAAGGAAAGACATTCCAACTCTGGCTATCGATATTGTTCTTACCTTGCCAACACCGAACCAAGCCCAGATGAAGACGCGGATATACACGCAGTTGCCACTTAAGAGGCCCGGACTACATGAGCGGTTCCCGGCGCTACACAATCGAGCTTGGTGCCTTCAGGAGCGTTATCTGAGCCCCAGAATTCTGTTCTTTGATCGTGACAACATGCATTGGGAATGTCTCGAGGACGTATGGTCTGAAGCTGGCCGACGTCTACCAAAGCACAGGCAAATGCTTCCGGACATCATGCCTAGGCTCAACAAAACTGAGGGCCTGTCGCACACGCCTTGGTGTCGAATGGTACGCGAATACACAACACGCGCTATCTCATTCCCTTCCGATAAGCTACCAGCGGTGTCTGCCCTGGCTTTGCGAATTGCACAAAAGACCGGAGACGGGTATTGTGCCGGGCTCTGGAAGTCTGATCTCCTTCGCGGTCTACTGTGGTATCGCGCGGTTCGATATAACTTTAGAGCCCGTGAGGCAGCCGGTCCTTGGAATCCCAATCAGCAAAGACCACAAAGCTTTCTTGCACCATCTTGGTCCTGGGCGTCTTACCTGGGCGCTGTGGACTTTTTAGGTATCGAGTCCTTGTTGCACATACTACCTTCTGCGAAGCTCATTGACGCAAGTGTGGTGGTGCCGGGCAGAAACAAGTTCGGAGAAGTGGATAGGGGATATGTCACGATTCTTTCCCCTCTACTGACCTTCGAAGAGCAGCAGTCTACATTCGATACGACAAACGAGCGAAAGTACGGCTGGACGCATGATTCATTGGTCAGTCGTGACACCGAGACCGATGAAGTGACCATTACATCTTGCTTTGACTATCCAAATGAGACTCGGCAGGGTTGGTTGCTTGGCATACCGTTAGTGTACAAGAACATAGCTGAAAGACAGGAAGATTCGGATGGTCAGGAAGGTCAAGAAGATCAAAAGTATTGCTCACAAGACACATCGGAGCAGCCGTGGTTGGCTATCTCCGGCATCCTAATCATGGAGAAGAAAGGTGATGAGAAGGTGTACGAGCGTGTCGGCTGCTTCTCGATCGAGCCTGTTCAGCTTGATTCATTTCTCGACTTCCTGCGAGATCTTTGGACCCAGGAAACCCGGATAGTCTAAGCGGCAGCACGGATCTTTGGTTTAGAGTGAGGGTCCGGAAACAGATGCCTGACGTTCAGGAAACCCAGAGGATAGGCAACGCTGTGGACTGAAGAGGAGCTGTAGGCACAGGTCGCATTGGACGACAAGAGCCACACTTGACACAAATTGACTTAATTGGTTTCACTTGCATTGTGTACTACGTGCATCTAACCCATCTAGATACTCTTATATGCTCGCCCATCAATGCAGACGACCGCGCTATCCAGAAAGCCAGTCCCGTCCAAACACGCTCAGAAGTCCCACAACGTACCAAACGCATGCAGACCCGCAGCCCGACACCCTTGCATCATCTCATCGTTGCCCTGCATATTACTCGTGATATAGATAACTTCAGCGCCCCAACTCTTCCATGTATCTTTCAGCAGCTGGACGCTATCTGGTCTACCGCCCCGCTTCTTCGAATCCCAGAGAATCATTCGTTCGGGCTCGATATGTTTCCTGATGAGGCCGGTGATGGTAGGTCCGAAGGTGCGCTCTTGATCAGAGCCGATCCAGATAAGGAACCAGTCGGGACTCTGGATGCATGTGGAAAGTGCGGCGCCGATACCAGTCCCTGTACAGATGCGGATGCCACGCTTGTACATTGCTGAGGCGTGGCCAACGCCGGCTGATTGGTGTCAGTGAAAATTAGGATGGGTTGGTGAGAGAAACGCATACCAAACTTCAGCTGCCTCGTCCAAACATGCTTCGGAGGGTTGGCGACGAGACTTCTTGTGAAGTCTCCTTGCACACCGCAGATCATGTAATGGTGTGTGGCCTTCCGATCTTCGCTGATGATGCCAAAGGCATGATACTCCATCACCGAAGTTCGGCTGATGCGGCCTAGAAGACCTTGTTGCATTCCGCGCTCGAATTTGAGGACTGCCACTTTGGGTGATGGGATCTCCACCTCAACAGGAACTTCGCGCAGGGTGACCCAAGGGGTAAGGACGCTGTAACAGTTAGTGACGACGAGCTGTGTTGGTAGTATCAGCTCACAAGACTGTCATGAACACAGCGAACCACAGTTCTTGCGCACTAAGTAACGAGTGGGTGTCTGTTCTCCATTGGCCGAGCTTGATGTCGTAGGTGTTGCCCATGATCAGAAAGACCCAGGTCATCTAGAAAGACGAGTCAGCATTGAATTGTTGTGAAGAGCTTGATTACTCACAGCGAGTCCAAGCCACCCGATAAATCTGTGGTGTTTCTCGAAAACATTATGGTATGTGCTATTCAAGGCGTCAGGCTCTGGTGACGAAAGCTAGCCAGTCGGTCATCACTTACTTGCGCACCCATGGAAGAGCGCTCAGTACGGAAATGATGATGAAAATGTTCGTGACAATACCACTTGAAATTACAGCCGGATGCTGGACAGCCCGGTATCGAACAATGTCGACGATCTTGTACACAAGCCAGCTGTGGAGGAGTTAGCGTGCTGATCATCGCCCGATTGGCTTAACTTACGCTGCGCCGGATAGTGCGCAACCCGAGTGCACACCTCCCAGATGCTGCAACACAGAGTTTACCGCTAGCTTAATGCGTAAAGGAGCCCACTGCCCATTCTTATCAGTAGTGATCTGAGAGCGAGACAGGGAAACATACACTTCGTAGCCCGTATATGGCGGCCAGATAGAGGAACCGAACGAACAGTTCGTTGCGCATGAGGATGGCCATTAGCAAATTACCCAAAACCAATGCACCCAGATGATTATCTGCGTATTTGAAGTTACCGGTCGCGGCTAGGACAATGCCGGTAATGTTGAATAGAACAACGAAGGTAAAGAACCGGCGGTACGCGTCGAACCATAGTTCGAACAGTATCCACCGACTGATCTCAGGTCGTACTGATGTTGTGTGCTTGGGCTCTTCGATCACCTCGACGTGACCGACTTCGCCTCTCGCTGCTCTCGGAAGCTCAAGCTCCGGTACGCTTGTGCAGGGCGTGATTCCCTGATGGACTGGCGATACAAGTGACAGAGGATTAAGATGTGTTGGTCGTCCTTGGCTCGTGTACAAAAATGTTGGAGGTGTTGGCAGTACCACTGTACTGTCGTATATACCCTTCTCGGCATCATCAAGAGAGTCCTGACTCTGGTTGACGACTGCATGGGCTTTTTGTGAGTTCGACATGGTGCCAGTTTGGCTCCAGCAGGTTGAGACAAAGATGCTGACTGAGGATGCGACAAGGGTGATACAGATTCTTGAATACTTCCATGCACTGTCGGAGGGTAGGTTTATAAAATGTCGGAGGCACCAGCCAAGACCGGGCAGTTGGGCTGCAATGACCAAACGTTGATGAGCAAATTCCACATCTAGATGCGGTAAGGGCTACCAAGTCATCGTGGTAATTCTAAGGTATCGGTGGGATCTGAGTATACCGTAGTCTGTGCTCACCCTAGAACGGAGGTGATCAGTACACACTCCAATATATCCAGATACCGGTAACGACTTCGTGCGTACCGCCATGTTACAGCCATGCTAAGGTCTCAGATGTTCTTTTGGTGCAGACGCCACAACCGCTCGTAATCATCGATTACCGGTATCAAGACATGCTTTTCGGGTCAGCTTAAGATCGACCATTGCGACTTGCCGTGCATCTGTTATGGACCTAGCGCGACGCTTATTGCTGTCTAATACGAGGCTGACCTCTATTCCTACTCGTACCAAAAGGCTTCGCGCGGCCGGGTCTTTAGGATGTGCGACAGGCATCCAGTGATCTATACATGCATATTGCAGCTCTGCATACGCGGTCCGACATCCGACGTTTGTTGTTCGTGATCTCACGTGTCACTGCCTCAAGGGGTAGCAACTTGGAGCCGAAGCTAATATGGCTAAATTGCTCCGTCAGCCCATATACCACAACTCATCTCGGACCGTCCTCACATATGTTGTCCAAAGCGTTCTCGAAGTGATCTCATCTTGCAGTATAATGGTAGGTGGAGGGTTCAATGCTGTTCGATGTAAGCCGGCCCCGCACAAGCAAACGATCAACCTCATAAGAGCGCCGATCTGCTCACTGTAGGCTCTAAAGTTGCCTTTGTCGATGTTCAGTTATCCGAACTCGATCAGACACAAGCTGAGCTTGATCAAGGTGGATGTAGCCCTAGAGGACTATGCCGCTGCAGGGGTGTGGGCCACCTAGAGGCGATCACTCTGTCGACATTGTCGCAATGTCCAGAGTGACCATTCCTTTCGTTTTGCGCGATTGACACCCTAAGCGATAACATCCTAAGCCATCCAAGCGTAGTGTTGTGTTGAAATGCCGTTTACATCCCGAAGCAAGCATTCTGTAGCGAAGCTCGTTCGGACATGGTATATACTACTAGCGATGCCATCTTCATTCTCTCTCGCTTATGTTACCATCGATGATAGAGTTCAGCGCTTATCGACACAGCCCCAAGCTACAAGTATAGAACAGCTGCGGGCAGCATTCACGGAGTACGGCAAGGATTTCCGTGGAATGTTAATGTTGTATGTCTCGGAAGACCAAGGTAAATTGCAGGAACAGGAACGAGCTTGTGGATCGGGCCAGATGAAACATCGCAGCGATGTCAGAGAACGCACAGGCTTATATCGAACGCGGTACAGTACAGGTTCATGCTCCAGGCCCCTCTGGGTTTTGGTCCACAGCGCTGGTGGCTGGTGCGACTGAACAGATGGATACACATCTAGGCCAATCAGTGAAGGATCTGGAGATTGATCAGATTCAAACAGAAGCAGATTTGTGTCTAGAAAAGTGCAAAGGCAAGAACTACTCCAAGCGCCAGACTGCATGGTCCATTTAACGAATTCAAGCCTGATGCAGCAGCGTCACTTGTTGTCAAGCTGATAGCACCGCTGTTGTCTACAGCTGCTATGCTATGTTAGTGGAGTCAGCCTGAAAGGGTCATGAGCAATGTACGCACCTTCTCCGATATCACCACCAGCCTGCTGCCCAGCAGCTCCGTTCTGGCGAAGTCCGATCTCTGTCGTGCATAGTTCGATTAAGGTGATGTTGCTGCGGAGGTCTTGCAGCTTGAGCTCTGCAGTCTCCATTTTCTTCTTCAGCTGCTCCGTCTGCTTCTGGTTCAAGATCTCCCCTGCTAGATGTTCATCGTATGCAGTCTTGTTGTTCGCGAGCTCCACCAGCTTTTCCAGCTTGTTGAGCTGCCCACAGTCTTTGACAACTTTTCGGTGCGCATCGACGACGCCGCATTCGGCCGTAAGTGTGGCGTTCGAGCTCAGCTTCTGCAGCTCAGCATTGATCGCGTCCTTCTCCGACAGGATCTTACTGGCTTGCTCTTGAGTGAGCTTCTTGTTCGCCAGTAAGGCGTCGAGTCGAGTTTGATTCGAGGCCATTTTCGAGAGATCTGTTAGAGCAGCTATACGCTTGCATGTGCCTCTGACTGATCGTTCCGCTGAGTCGGCTTTCGCGCTGCTGGCTTGTTGTAGTTCGAAATGCGGAAGTTGAGGTCGGGCATACGAGGTCGCAATGAGCGCAGAAACAACGATGAGCCAGCCATATGTGCGCATATTTGGTTGTCGACTGCCGTTGAGGCCCCGGGGGGAGACTGATCGAGGGTGCTGCTGGTAAGCAAAGGAGTGTTTATCTTTCCTCCAGAGGATGTGTTGATTCTGCAGTTTCTCTGTAGAAAATGATCAATAGTAACGGCCAATTCTTTGGCGGTGGTATGTCGGTTGTCTTGCTTTTGCAGATCCGGAGCCGCTTGATCTGTCATTGTTTCACACTTGATCGAGCGTACAGCATCGAACGTGACCCACACACCAGTTTCAGAGTGCCAGTTCTCTGACGTCTCTACTTTGGAGTGAAGCCGCGAGCTGCGGTAACAGCGTAGAGCGAAAGTGAAATGTGCTGATTTAATAAACATTGAGCGCAGATCCAGTGTCAGTCTGTATGCGGTAGGCAGAAACGGAGTTCCGCAGTCCATATATCCAGGAGTCAAGCTTGAAAGCAGCGCAATGCGATGTGTTGCCACAGCCCACAACAAGAGATCTGGAAGGTATCTGGGAGGTGTCTGGAACGCGGAAGCACGGCAAGGGCCGCACCACTGGTAGCAAAACCCTCCGCTGCAAAGCCTGACGAGCAGTTGCTGTGAATCAGTGTGCTACCGACGTCCAACGTATTGAAGAGCATGACATGATGGCTGGTAGAGCATACCATGCGTCAGTGGGGTCATGTTTTGATTGTGAGTCAACGGCTGTCAGTGGGTTGTTAAGACAACTGCGAATGTACACACAGAAGATAGAGATTGAGTGGCCTGAGAATCTGTCTCTCCAATAAGGTCGCGTGTCTGAGTAGCTGATATCAAAGACGGGCCATGTCACGTGGTAGTAAATGAGCAGAGCTCCTGCACTCGAGTACGATGAAGGGAACAGCTGTCAGAAGAGACAAAACATTGCTGCTGTCGCCGTCTGAAAACGATAATGTTGATGTCTGGACACACTACTTTGATGAGCATTGGCGAAGCGGCGACGTGTGAGGTGGAAACGTCCATGGTGAGCATCGTGAGATGTGGCCCAGCGGCCCCTCGGAGTCGTCGAGGCGGCGAAACGGAAAATCGATATCGATAGCTGAGTCATCCAGTTTGACCGCGGGGAAGGCGCGAAGGTCGGAGTCAATAAAATTAGCCCCGCCACGAGAGCAACTCGAGAACACCACGCCCAAAGATGTCGATCGACTTTCCCAAGGAAGAGGAGCGCATCCTCAAGCGCTGGGAGGAGATTGATGCCTTCCTGACGCAAGTTGAGCTGGTATGTAAAGTCCCAAGTCGAAGTTGCATTTTGTCTAGGCGCACTGAAAGCATTCGACTAACAGCAACAACAGTCGAAGGGCAAAGACCCTTACACATTCTACGATGGACCACCCTTTGCGACAGGAATGCCTCATTATGGCCATCTTCTGGCCTCCACCATCAAGGACATAATCCCCCGATACTGGTCCATGAACGGACGATACGTTGAGCGCCGATTCGGTTGGGATACGCACGGTGTGCCCATTGAGTACGAGATTGACAAGGAGCTTGGGATGTCTGGTCGCGACGCAGTGCGGGAGATCGGTATTGCGAAGTACAACGAGAAGTGCAGGGCTATCGTCATGAGATATGCGACGGAGTGGAGGCACACGATCAACCGGCTGGGTCGCTGGATCGACTTCGACAACGACTACAAGACCATGAACACCAGCTTCATGGAGTCTGAGTGGTGGGTCTTCAAGCAGCTCTACGATAAGAATGCTGTCTACCGCGGCTTCAAGGTCATGCCTTACAGCACGGCCTTGGCTACACCACTCAGCAACTTCGAAGCCTCGCAGAACTACAAGGATGTTCAGGATCCCGCTGTGGTCGTGACGTTCCCTCTCGTTGAGGACCCCAATACATGTCTGCTTGCTTGGACAACCACACCGTGGACGTTGCCCATGAACACCGGTCTTTGCGCACACCCTGACTTCGAGTACGTCAAGATCCTCGACGAAGCTTCCGGAAAGCACTACATCCTCCTCGAGGCGCTGCTGCGTACGCTATATAAGGATCCCAAGAAGGCCAAGTTCAAGATTGTGGAGAAGCTCAAGGGCAAGGACCTGCTTGGCTGGAAGTACGAACCTCTGTTCGACTACCTATATGACGAGTTTAAGGACTTCGGCTTCAAGGTGTTGAACGATGGATACGTCACAGCGGACAGTGGTGTGGGTATTGTCCACCAGGCACCCGCCTACGGTGAGGACGATTACCGTGTCGCTAAGGAGGCTGGCGTCATCACCGAGGACCGATTGCCTCCCAACCCCGTAGACGATGCAGGTAACTACACCTCGGTCGTCCGCGACTTCGAGGGTCAGCATGTCAAGGCTGCGGACAAGGGTATCATCAAGCTGTTGAAGGCTAAGGGCAGGCTCATTGTGGACTCCCAGCTTCTCCATAGCTACCCCTTTTGCTGGCGATCTGACACACCTTTGATCTACCGAACCGTTCCATCTTGGTTCATCAAAATCCAAGACATCAAGGAGAAGATGCTGGAGAACATTGAGGGCTCGCACTGGGTGCCTTCATTTGTCAAAGAGAAGCGATTTGCCAACTGGATCAAGAACTCACCGGACTGGGCCGTCTCAAGAAACCGCTTCTGGGGTACACCGCTACCTCTGTGGGTCAGCGATGATGGCAAGGAGGTCGTCTGTGTCGGCAGCGTTGAGGAGTTGAAGAAGCTCAGCGGCTACGAGGGCGAGCTGACTGACATTCATCGTGACAAGATCGACGACATCACCATCCCTAGTAAACAAGGCAAGGGCGTTCTGAAGAGGACACCCGAGGTTTTCGACTGCTGGTTCGAGTCTGGATCTATGCCATACGCAAGCGCACACTACCCATTCGAGAACGTCGAGCAATTTGAGAAGTCCTTCCCTGGTGACTTCATTGCTGAAGGTCTCGACCAGACCCGTGGATGGTTTTATACTTTAACCGTTCTCGGCACACATCTTTTTGGCAAGTTGCCCTTTAAGAACTGTGTCGTCAACGGTATCGTACTAGCGGAAGACGGCAAGAAGATGTCCAAGCGACTGAAGAACTACCCTGACCCTCTTGGTGTCATGGAAAGCTATGGTTCGGACGCCCTGCGATTGTATCTCATAAACTCGCCAGTTGTCCGTGCCGAGACTCTCCGCTTCAAGGAGGCAGGTGTCAAGGATATTGTTTCCAAGGTGCTGCTGCCCCTGTGGAATAGCTACCAGTTCTTCGACCAGCAGGTTGCTCTGCTGAAGAAGGTTGCTGACCTTGAATTCCAATTCGACCCTGCTGCCGGGAAGACCAATGCCAACGTTCTTGACCGCTGGATTTTGGCCTCATGTCAATCGCTGCTCGAGTTCGTGAACGCTGAGATGGCCGCATACCGACTTTACACCGTCGTCCCGCGCCTGCTCGAGGTTAGTGATATCAATTACCATGAGCCATACAAATAGTAATTTACTAACTGCCCTAGCTCATCGACAACACCACCAACTGGTACATCCGATTCAACCGTCGCCGTCTCAAGGGTGAGTACGGCCTGGAAGACACAAAGCACGCCCTCAACACCCTGTTTGAGGTTCTGTTCACTCTCTGCCGAGGTCTCGCCCCCTTCACTCCTTTCATCACCGACAACATCTATCTTCGCCTCCTGCCACACATTCCTAAGGAGCTTCGCGCCGAGGACGATCGCAGTGTGCACTTCCTTCCATACCCGACCGTGCGCGAGGAGCTCTTCGATGAGAACGTAGAGCGCCAGGTCAAGCGCATGCAGTCAGTTATTGAACTTGGCCGCATCTGCCGTGATCGCGCCAACAAGGGCTTGAAGACTCCTTTGAAGACTCTAGTCGTCATCCATCCCGATCAGCAATATCTCGACGACATCAAGTCCCTGCAGAACTACATCTTGGAGGAGTTGAACGTCCGCGACCTCGTTCTGTCGAGCGACGAGGAGAAGTATAACGTCCAGTACACTGCTACTGCCGACTTCTCTATCCTGGGCAAGAAGCTTAAGAAGGACGCAATAAAGGTCAAGAAGGCGCTGCCAAATCTCAAGAGCCAAGAGATCAAGGACTACATAAAAAACGGCGAGATCACCATTGAAGGCATCAAACTCGAGGGCGAGGATCTCCTGGTCAAGCGCGGCCTGGCAAAGGATGCCAACAGCAAAGACCAGGAGTTCAACACAGACAACGATGTCCTGATCATCCTAGACGTTGCTAGCTACCCCGAGCTTGAGCAGGAAGGTCTGGCACGCGAGGTCATCCGTCGTGTGCAAGACTTGCGAAAGAAGGCCGGTCTCGTCGCCACAGACGATGTCGGCATGGAGTACAAGATCTTCAGCGATCCCGACAATGTCGGTCTGGAGGCAGCCTTCGAGAACCAGGGCCCGCTGTTCGAGAAGGCACTCAGGAGAAATGTCGACAAGCACACTATCACGGAGCTCGACGGCAAAATCCCCGAGAAGGGTAGTGACACTGTAATTGTCGAAGAGGAACAAGAGATCCAGAAGGCGACATTCTTGCTGCGCTTGATCAAGCTGTAGGGGTCCGATAAGCAGAAGGAGAGCATGCCCTGGCGCACTTTATGATGTCACAAAAAGAGCAGATAGATGAAGGAACGAATGCATCAAGATTTGAACCATTACACTGAATTCACAACATCTAGGGTCGTGATGGTACATTGCCTCATCGACCTCGACTACTCTTGATAGGGAGCGTTTGCTGCTTTGCCACCAGCTTCCATCACCGTGTCTTATATGCTTTCTGTAGAGCATTAGTTCGAGCCATTTGGTTGGACAGAATAAACCTACTAAGTAGCATTCCTTCAGCTTCATGAACTCCTTTGCACACATATCCTTGTGCACGTTGTTGTAGTCTGCGAATATGCACTTGCCATACACAGCGCTCTGTATGACATCAGCATTTTCCCCGGAGCAATCCTCTTGCGTCCAACATACCTCCATAGAACAATTTCCCACCGCCGCAGCGAGTTTATCAATCGGTCTTGTGCGTCCTGGCATTGTACTGTGTGGTGATGCAGGCGTCTCGATGAGGTCAATAGTGATGGAAGATGTCAAAAGCACAGGCGGCTTGGCGCGGACCCCTGCCGGCGAATCGACGGCGTCGAATCCCGGTGGTTGGTCGCGGGGATGCCCAAACAAAGCGCGTCCGTCAGCACTCGCCTTTGACGCGCTATTGTTCCCTCTTCTTACGCTTTTGTACATTTTGATGCTTGACAGCTGCCCGCGCATCCTCCTCTTGTCTTAATCTCTTGCGTCTACCTTTTTGGACGCGATACCACTTCGATCAACGAACGCTCATGTTGTCGCGAACGCGCCGCACTTTATGTCGCGAGCTCGAATGTCATCCCCCATGAACGGCAGCGGATACAATACACCTGACTTACATAAGGATGACTTATCTGACGAAGGTAGATAATCCCTAGCCTACAGTACCTCCGTTTGCCATGCATACTAACGTTCTCCAGCTATCGAGCTCCTCTACACTATAATTCACCGCGCCTCTTCATCGCCAGATCGATCCTCGCGCGCGCTCTTCAATGCCTACGAAGAAGTCCTCGAAGAACACGGACTACTCCCCAGCGACGATGCCGTACTGCATAGGTTTCTATTCCGCATGCAAAAGGACCGAAGACGAGATGAGAGTCTAGTCGAAAGGTTTCACAGAGTGCTGGCAGAGTTCGAGATCGTGATTGAAGCTGAGGAGGAGAGTGAAGGCGATGTTGCCTTTGCGACCGGCAATATTGCGCATGATGGAAACACAACGAACGCCAGGAACGCTGCACGTGCTACGCTAGGTCATACGGATAGACTCACAAGACGAGGAAGCTTTGAAAGCTTCTTTGACGGGACTGCGGACAAGGTCGCTGGCAGCGAGGTCAGAGGCGTATCAATGAGTAAGAGAAGGAGCTCGCTGAGCCATGCGCCCAATGGAATACTGCCGAAGAGGCGCTCGACATCAGATACGGAGGCACTGAGGTTGCAACAGGCGCATATCCCCATTCGTACACGAGTCAATGGTGTGGCGCAACGACGAGTCTCGTCTGGACAGTACTACGGCCGTCAAAGAAACGCCTCGATATCAAGCCGCGGCAGCTGGCGCATTCGACGAGATATTAATACCTCAGCGTCGCAACAAGGAGTCTACGAGGAGGCAGCCAGCGAGTATACCGATCGGACAACCGACTTGGACCTTTCACGCGTGCAGGTTCCAGGCGTGAACGCGCCGATTCCTGACGACCAATACGATCAGCGTGAGACGCACGCGTCCACGCATTACTATCAGCAATTCGTACCAGAGCCATACCAACCGTCTGACACACGACTGATGGATGAAGCCGAAACCTTTGAGCACCAGCGCCTACATCGAGTAACGCGAGGCTGCATACAAGCCTGGCGCAATCGCACGCGAGACCTGGTCGAGAGGCGCTACGAGCAAGAAGCGCTAGCTGAGGCATTCGATCGTAGGATCTTGATGAAGGTGACACTTGATCAGCTCCGAGATACAGCACGTGTGCGCCGCTCGAGCTACGAAACCGACCGCTTCTTCGGTCGCCTCGAGTCGCGCGCAGACAAAGCTCGAAACCTCTTCCTACTGACGAAGGCCTTCACACACTGGGCGAGAAGTGCGGAAGAAGAGGTGCAGCGCACGTCAGTCGCACGGCGACACATACTGCGCACACGCTTTTTCAACGGCTGGCGCGAGATCACGGCGATCAATGAGCTCAAGATTCAGCACTTCGTGCTTACTAAGTTCCTGCAGCAGTGGCGCGCAAAGACCGCAACTGTACGTGAGAACGCTCAGTTCGCGGTCACTCTGTATGAAGAGAATTTGGCACAGAAGATCTTCACAAATTGGTTCTTCCAGTTCTGCGCGATTGCAGGGTCGGCTTGGCATAACGACCGCTTGAAGAGGAATACGTTGAAGAGGTGGATCGAGCTTGCGGGTATCAATACCCAGGAAAACGAGTCAGCAATCAAGAAAAGTGAGAGCATCGTTCTGGCTCGAATGTTGACAGGCTGGAGGCAGAGAACGACGGCTCTGCAGAGTCTAGAGTCACAAGCAGACGAGTTCAGACGGACAGCCCGGCTTGCATCTGGGCTCTATAACCTCCGGAAGCATGCACAGCTTAAGCCATTGTTGCAGCAATTTCAAACGCGTATCGACGGTGGACAGGTACGGACTACTTTCCAAGTTTGGCGGCACACTGCACACCTTTCCCAGCGCGCTCAGCAAGTGGACAAGTTGCGCATCATGCGCAATGCCTACACTGCGTGGAACGATCGCCTTCGTAAGCAAGCACTGGAGCAGCGAATCAACGACCGTATCTTGGTGGAATGTTTGTACAAGTGGACATTGGCTTCACGGGTGTCCCTTTTTCAGCGCGTCCAGAATCGGCAGATCAAGGAGTCAACATTCCTTACCTGGGTAACGAAGACAAATCAGCGCGCAAACACATTCGAAGCCGCCGAGAGGAGATTTGCTAACTTTAAGCGCGCGCAGCTTCTGCGCATATGTCTAAAGAAGATGGAAGTTGACACGGCTGAGAAGAGGCGCGAAGAGTGTGCTGTAATCGCTGAGTACGACTTGAAGCTCAAGCAGCGCATCTTCGAGAAGCTGAAGGAGAGGTTAGGGCACTTCCAGCAGCTGAAGCAATGGTCGGCTGATGCTCGGTTCTATGTTCTCGGTACGCGCACATTGAAGAAGTGGAATAGTGCGACACAGCAGACGCGCAGAAACCGAAGGCGCGATACCTATGCGCAGGTGCGAAGAACCGTCAAGACGAATCTTGTGCACAAGGTCTTCGAGTCCTGGCGGGCAAGGGCAAACACTATTGTGGAACAAAACGAGCAAGCAGCCTTCATACTTGAGGCCCGTACCCTGCACACCGCTGGCACGTTGCTGCATGACTGGCACGACCGCACACTTGCTATTCAGCAGCTCGACACACAAGCTTCGAACGTCCACACTTTTAAATTAGGCACCAAGCATGTCCAAGCATGGACCCAGCGTTTGGATGCTCTACAGTCTATGGACTCACAAGCCGCTGCGCTTCGTCAAGAAAGCACCGAGATAGCAGCTGCAGGAGCTCTCAAGAAGCTCGGCTGGCGATTGTGGAACGTCCAGCGACAAGAAGAGACATCAAGGGCGCTGTTCGAACGCAACTTCGAGAAGCATGTTCGTGCAATGATACGCTTCTGGCACGACCAAACAGCCGAGCGCCTCGCCAATCGACCTGTCTCGCCGACGCCCACACGAAGCTCGAGAGGTGGGCGGGGGAGTCCAGATGACGACCACACCCGATTCAACGATGATCATGGAGATGGCGACGAAGACGAACAGGTGAGTCTCGACAACGCCGGCGACGAGACACGCCGTCTCGAAGCATGGACAGCGTTCGATGCCTCCGCGCTCGGCCTCAACGACGACCTCGACCTCTCACTCTCTATCACACCAGAGCGCCAGCGCACAACAAGTTACCCTCTCGCTCCACCAGCATCATCACCAAAACCTCCATCCTCAACCCGCCCGCCGACTTCACGGCCACGCACGTTCCCACAGTCTGCTTCCGCTCTGCGACCACCACCCGCGCCCGAACCTGTCTCACCAGACCTCGAGTTTGCCGAAGACGAGCGCAGCACTTTTTGGGCCGGCACACCCGCCTACCCACCCCCAACGACCAGCAAGCTCAAAGGCGCAGGCTACCTCAAAACACCCAGCAAGCGCGCCGTGGTACGTGCCAAGCGGCCAGAGCTGCCCTCGAGCCCTGAGAAGCGCGTTGTGAGACTGGGCGCAATGAGCGCACCGCCTGTGCAGATGAATAGGGAGTTTGGCATGGCAGGGGGTAACGGTGGCACTGGCGGTGGGGCTGTGAGCGGTGTCACGAGTTTCCAGAGGAGGCTGAGAGAGGGCGGGTTCGGTGTGAGTGTTGGACCGTCCGCTGCGGTGCCGAATAGTGCTTTGAAGGGTGCGAGAGGGAGAGCGGTCGGTGGGAGGGGGAGAGTGGGGTTTGGGGATGTCAGTCAGTTTGGATAGGGGTGTTGTACATTCGTTGATTAGTGTCGCGATGGATACAAGAATATGTGCTCAGCTTGTATCGACCGGTGAGCGAAGCGGGTTGTGACACATACATTTGCATCATTTTGCCCCTGCCTGGAGCCTTTCTTGGTGTAAAGTGAGGTGCTACGGTAATCCGTGGCCGGAAAGTTTCACGGCTCAGCTCTCAGCCTTTCCTCGGTCGTGTTTCCGATTGAGCGACAGATCGAGCGAGCTTCGCATGTTAGAAATATGCCCCGAATGTCGAATCAATCGATAAGAGTGATGGTCGCCCGCCTTGATTAGCGCGAGGGTAACGATCAGTTCGCTGGCATCGCACACATCCAAGAAAGCTCGGCGCAGCGCATCGGGGTCTCTTATATCCTTCGTTTGCAGAGCCCGTGTCTGTTCTCTCAGCATGTCTTTTTCTTCTTTGGCCTTAATGGCGGCAGTCGTATCGCCATCTCAGAAGTAGCGAGCGAGGTCATATTTGACATTATCAGCCAGCAGTATACTAACAGTATCGAGAGTGAGTCCCAGTTCGAGTCGTCGCCTTTGCCAACGCCACAATGGCACAGAAACCTGTGGGGAAGAGCAATGCCGTATGGGGTTGAGATGGCATCCTGGAGACAAGATCGTGGCGATGCAATCACGTTTTCTGGCAATCTCCCTACAAATTTTGCAAGGCGCCAACAAACTCGTACTTGTCTCATGCCACACCAGACATCAAATTCCAATGCTGAAAGCACGCTCGGAGGCCATCATGCCTACGATCGAACCAGGACATGCCAGGCCGGTGCAGATGATGCGCGATAGGCGTCTATTGGATTGTGTTACTCCTTCGACGCCGACACTGACAGCGCCTGGGTCGCGAGATGGGCTTGATGTCGCGCAGTCTCCCATCTTCACACGATGCGATGCCAACCTTTGCTCTGAGAGATACGAGATACCAGCTCGTGTTGATCATGCAGCTGGCAGAGGGTCATCTGAATCCGTGGAAGCACATGGCGCCTAGACTCTAGACTCTAGACTAGGTCCGGAATATGGAGAGCTCATGGAGCTGTTTGGTGGTTCGGCGCATTACCGTGGCCGTGCGCCCGATGAGCCAGTTCAGCCGATGAGCCACCCGGAACATCACAACATTGAGATAAGCTAGTCCATATACTTTCCGCGCACATATAGTTCCCGCGCACCCCACCACAACGCGTACCTCTGTTTTTGAAGCTATCTATTGTCAACGCCACATACCCAAAATGGATCCCAAGGAAGTTGCTATCCAGTCTGCTATTGATGGTCTCGTTTCTGGTGTTTTTAGGAGCCAGCGGAAGGCGGCTGCTGCGTGTGGGATCCCTGAATCGACGCTGCGAGGCCGGCTACGCGGTCAACAACCACACGCGATAGCTCACTCAAATCAACAACGATTGACGCCGGAGCAGGAGAACTTCCTAGTAGAGTGGATACTGGAAGAGGACTCACGTGCACAGCCACCATCTCATCCCCGTGTGAGAGAGATGGCCACCCGAATCCTCCATATGAACGGCGACCACGAGCCACTCGGGCATCTATGGGTACCCCATTTCATCACACGTAACCCACGCGTCGCCTCTATAGTTGGACGAACAATTGAGAGCGCAAGGACTACAGCAGCTAATTATGAGACAATTAGCGCGTTTCTGGAGCTATTTGAGCGTACTCGGATTGAGCTGGGTATACAGTATGAAGACATATGGAACATGGATGAGACTGGGGTTGGTCTTGGGGTATGTACCAACACCAGAGTGGTTGCCAATTCAT